GGATACTGTACAGTCACTCTGAGACATGCCCTCGTTGCAGATCACTTGCTTGCAATTCCTTGAGCTTCTATCTTACTCATTTACTATCTCGCCTATCCAAACTCAATGCCCAAATTTCCTTGATTCCTTGAAAATTTCGTCAGGCTTTACTATTATAGTGGATTCAGAGGGCAATCCTTGAATATCTGCCCCGTCTAGTGGACAACCCCAGGTGAATAACGACAGTATGATGTAACCAGCTGCTGTGTTTTACCTCATATCACTTAGCAACACAGAAATCGAAATTTTAAAAACAACTTGGTATAAACTCCATGCGTCCTGTCCCTACTAGCTACAGCATAAGCTAGTGCATTACTGTCGATACGCTGCAGTAGCTATCCATTGGATGCCATTGCTTCCCAGGCCCTCCCGCCGCCTTACAACGCCATCCAATGCATCAGTCTAAGTGATCGACATGATTTCCCAAGATAGTGATAGACCTTAAACGCCCTCTAAAAACCGGAGCCATGATTACGTATACATTTCATCTTCTTCCACCATACGTCCGAGAATCAAACTCTGGATGACAAGCTCGTCGCTCAAGACACGAATATTTTCGATCCGGGGCTGAGTTGCGGTTGATCTTCGACGTTTCTTATTACCTGTTGTTTCCGTAGGCGCAAGAACTGCGTCAACGGTCCCTGTTCCTTTATCCAAATATAACCAGTCGAACGGAGTTCCAGCTTTCTGATGCTCTAACAATAATTCCCTTGCTTGTTGTGTTGAAAACACTCGCGAAATCGATGGCCCTAGCACACTCGCAAGGAAGATGTAAGGTTCTTTAGCCTCATTTCGAGACTTCTTTGAGTCAATGACAACTAGGACACGCTGTCCGTCAAGGAGTCGTGGTCGCTGCTGGATGACCTCGGCCAGCCTTGCTTCAGTCGCCGAGTACGGTGCCAATATTCTTGACCGGATTGCATTGCCAAGCACAGTGGATGCGCCTGCACAGAGAACGTAGGGTTCCCAATCGACAATAACGCCTTTGTTGACACATGTTGTTATCCATTGAGGGGCTAAACAGGGGAGCCCCAGCGCCAGAGCCTGCATATATTTGACTTTGCGTGAGTGTTTGTCTGCGATGAGTGCTGTGAACCCGCTCTCAGAAATCAGCTTGGTGAGTTGTAATGAGTCCTGCTCGTCCATCACAGGATCGGTCGCATTCATAATGGATGAATGTTCAAACATGTCTTGGAACCCTTCAGCAAGAATGATACCTCCCGACTGTGTGATTTTCGTCGCTAACTTCTTGCGTTCTTGTGCTTTGAACTGGTCTGAGAAAGAAATGGCAAAAACCATGCCCTCGAACAGTCGTCCTACTCGGTGTGACTGGGCAAAGCTTTGCTTGAAGGATCTACTAGATTTGGAATGCACCATGCTCCTTTCAAGCACACTTGCAGCTGGCGAGTGATGTAGCTCATCAGTAGAATCCGAATCAAGATATGAAAACCGCTTGGATACCCTTGCTGCTCTTTTTGCTGGCTGAGGTGACTCTGTCTTCGATCCTTTTCGAGCCTCCTCATTATGGAAATCTCGACTGCCTCTCGGTGACGGCAGAATGACTGATTCCGGCCGTTCAGAACCAGGGGAGTCTTGTGTCCCGGGTGTTGTTTTGGCAGAAGGCAAGGGTGTTGTTGAAAGGATACTCAAACTCGAAGATGTCGGCGGCATCTGACCTACAGAACGACTGGCCAACGGGGTCACTGGGGCTGTCTCCGCTCGATCGCTCCTACGCGAGCGAGTAGTCATCGGTGGGGGAAGATCCGCATAGACATCACGGGCAGGTTTCCTGGACCGCGGTGCGGACTTCTTCTCGCTCCTGTCTTCTGTTGTACGGGACACAGATAATTCCTCCTCTGGCTCTTCTTCAATTATCGAAACTGCAGCCACAATTTGCAAAGGCGATGATACAGGCGTAGGTTTTGGGTCCAAATCACTCATCAGCCCATCCGAGAAAGAGGAACTAAGAAATGGGTTTCTGCGCTTTTGCCGAGCTGCACGACCGTAAGTCCTAGTCGTCCGCTTCCGTGCTGGTGGCAAAGATGAAGGCTCCGAATGGTCATTAGGGCCTTGCGGCAAGCCCTCATATTCGACGCGGAGCTGTGGTAGCTCAGGCTCAGATGGTGGCGGTTGTTCAACGGGTGCTGTAGGTGGGAGAGAAGGCGCTGGACTGGTTGCAGGTATCATGTCATCGTCTAAGACGACCTTGTCCGCATCGACCAAAACTATGTCTCCATCATGATCAATCTGCGGATTATCGGAAGCACTGTTTCCTGGAGTGGCCTTAGTTGATGTAACAGGGAGAGTCTCGTTAGAAGCCACCAGCCCTTTTTGGGAGTCATCCACGAGAGGTGGCAGTTCTTGCCCCTTACCCCTGTCGGTTTTGGGAGACGGCTTGCGGGTTGTTTCGGGCTCTTCAAGCGGCAAAACCCTTCTCTTCTTCCTTGATGGCTGTTCTTCTGAATTGCGCCTGATCTTGGGGGTAAAGCTAACGCGGCCCATTTCCTCTGCAGCCTGTGCCTTTTTCCGTTCAATCTTCTTTCGTCTCTCCAGCCGTCGAATAGCATCGTCGGAGTCATCATCGGAATCCCAGGGAGGAATCACGAAGTTTTCCATGCTCTTCCTTTCCTGAGACTTCTTCATTGGCTCGTAATGTGCCATTGGCTCAGTGGCGTTCGATGATCTAGGTGCTTTGGCTCGAGGTGTGAGATCAGTGGATGGGGGTGATTCTGGAATCATTTCACCAGCTGTAGATTGGTCATTCACAGGCGCTGACGCTCTAATAGGTCCCTCATCTAGATCTTGTAATGACGTTTCGGGGATATCATGGAGGCGACGTTGAGGACTCGAGGTTCGGATATCGGATGGTGAGGAGACATTGGCACGGTTCTTCAAAGGAGATGTCTCAATGATGTTTGGCGAAATAGAGTTGAAGAGCTTCGGAGAAGGTCGTGAAGATGTTGGACTAATATGTTTGATGGCCGAAGAAAACTGCGTCTGGCCGAACAATTGGCTACCGGCCAGAGGCGCGGCAATGCTAGGTCTCGCAGCAAATGGGTTCTTGGGTGCAGCAGGCGTCTCGAAGGTAGGAGCGTGAGGACGGTGCGGGGTTTGGCCGTTATTCAATTGTGAGGTCCCGTCAGGATGTCTCCAGTCACCTCTAGTATTGTCGAAACCTGCATCCTCTGATATTTGAGACGAAGGTCGGCCCAGCTCGCTCATGTATGCAAAATTCACGGCTCCTGTATCATCATCTTCAAGGGTTCGAGGTTCGTGAGAGGCGGGCTGAGTATCGCCATTGACAGGGCTCGAAGGTACAATATCACAGTATTCGCTGTAGTCACGATCATCGTTAACCTGTGTCGGGGTCTGTTGAGAATAGTCCATTTTGCGCAAGGCGGCAGTTACAGTACTGGCCGGCGGCTTGAGACACTTGATTAGAAGCTTGGGTGCATTGTCTTGCACTGATTGCGGCTGCGGGCTGTCATGGCGCGCGGACAAGTTGGCAAGGTGTTTTGACTTGACGAATGTAGTTGGCACCCGAACGCTCGAATTCACGTTGCTGTTCGAATTGACGCGATCCTCGATGCCCTGGACAACGCCATTCACCACGGCTGCCTCGAGGGTTGCACATTGCTTTTTCGGATATGTCAGTGCCACCCTGGTCGTGTCCCAGTGCGACGGATCGTCATTCTCAGTAGTGGGCCCCCCTGGGCGCGCTTTGTCCGATAACGCGTCGCGAGGAACAGTAGTAGCTGGTGCTGCTAAATCGATGGCTGTCGGGTCGGATGATGGAACAACTACTTCACTCGTAGGTGGAGGAATCTGTTTCGGGCTTGTCGTGCTTATTTTCGAAGATCTAACGTATTTGGGAGGCGAACTACTGAGCTGTTTGAGGCATGCAAGTGTTAGTGCATCTTGATTGTGAGGATGCAAACCCCAGTGCATAGGCAATTCAGCTACACTGGTTACGTACCGTGCCGACACCAAACTCGGCCCTGTAGGCCTCAAAAATGGGCTGGCTATCCTGCGTCTCATTGCTGCCTGCTGGAGCAAGCATCTGCGAGTCTGTCATCGTGGCGAGTCTTGCATCTTCCAGGTGAAGACAGACGCGAGCAGGCGACTTTTAGAAGAGTGGCTAAGAAAGGAAATCAATTGACTGTGCCTCTGTGCGGCTAAAATGAATGTGAATTGACCGAAAGGGAAAACAAGAGACCAACCGTGAACGTCAGTGACACGAGAGCACGTGACATTTGCGACCACTAACCATGAACCTTTCTGAGCCACCAGAGACAATCAAGACTGCCTTACCTGGGTAAAGTTAAGCTATAAATACTTATTAGCCTTTCATGTCGGCAGGTTTCGTTTCCCATATAAAAGTTGGCTTCTTATCTTGGGGGCAGGTATTATTTTAATTTACACAGATGTTCCTCAGCCAATCAGCATTCCCAATTCATCAATAATTTGACACTTCATTGTTGGGCTTAAGTACTACCTACCTGCTGGGTAAGTAAGGTATCTTAGATAAACTCTGTAAATACAAGCTTTCTCTACCTCGAAAGATCTTCTAGAGGGATCCAGTATTATGATTGGGGAGTAACAACAGAGGCACCTTGTGTGCAGCGCATTATTATCGAGCACCCATAAGTCAAGATCTTCCTTCAATCAATCACGCAAAGGAAATTCCAATAGTGATATGCTATGAAGTCTTTACAGAAAAGCCGCGGCGTTAAACAGTCATTCGTGCTTGAATCTTGCGGAAGCTTTGCTGAACTTCATATAACCCAAGGGTCGTCTGGTTGACGTTTCTAACCCGGAAGTATTCAAGAAGCTTCGTCGTCTTCAGTCCGGCTACCAAAATTCTTTGGAGACCTTTTCGAGTATAACATTGAGGAGGAACTTGCCCAGTCCAACGAGTATCGTCCAAAACTGGAAAATACGCTGTTGATGGTGTCTCATTCATGCAGTCAGTCCAGGAGAGAAAGAACATCATTGTGGAAGCGGCGAACGCTCTCATGCTCGACGTCAACTGTAGCTCATACCCATTGATCACCTCGTCTAACACAACACTTGTCAGCATCATCAGCGGTCTTACCTTGAATCCCAAGAACATCATAGAAACGATCGGAATAGTGAAGGCCTGTACGGCCCGCGTCGGTTAGGGGGCTTTCAAGACAGAAGATACTGGGGATATTGGAACTAAGCTCCAGGAGATTGGCCGGGAAGGGGAATTCCAACCGGCAGAAGACGCAGATGTGGATGGTTCGGCCTTGTTGTTGTCAAATACAGCACTTCCATCAACTACTGCAACTTTCTAAACCTCACGAAGCTTGATGCTCTGGATACTTTCGACACTATCAAGGTCGCTATCGCTTACAAGTTTGATGGCGTCGAGCTTGAACATTACCCTGCCGATCTCGATATGCTAGCCCAAGCCGAGGTTGTCTACCACGAGTTGCCGGGATGGCAGAAGCCAACCACTGGAGCAAACACTTTCTATGGTCTTCCTAAGCAAGCTCGCTAATACCTTGAGGTAAGACGTCCGCCAAAACAAAGTGCTATCGTGCTAACGGCCGCTATAGTACATTTAGAAGTTTGTTGGAGTCAAGATAACTTGACTTATTTGTTATAACTCATAAGCTTTCACTAACATGTACCAGATCAAGTGGATCGGCACTGGTCCTGACTGTGAGGCCACGATCAGGCGCACTTAAGCGGTCTGTCTTGCACAGTAGATGGAGAACTTAAGACAAGAGGTAAATGTTTCTTTCGACTGATCGCCACTCAAACAGATAAGATACAATACAAAATATAAGGTCGATTATGCGCATGTAAATGACAGTCATAGCCTCGTTAAGCCTCAGGCAAGTATTCGAGATAGTCTGCGGTCTTCACTGCGTAGCAAAAGTAACACTGATAGAGGTTTGAACTCACCATAGTGCATCATTTCACAGATTCTCATATGCATTCCTATCATGTCATGCGAAATGGCAACTTTGAGCTGATGGCTATTGATTTTTCGAATGTGAGCTTTTATCCATCATTCATATCAGAGCCCCTTCTTCTTAAACCCAGGGTTCGAGAAGGGGTAGATACACTTTCAGGATACATATATGTGGACTCTTCCCAATACTTATCGTGGTTTTTGCCGTTTGAAGCGATGCTCAGGGATGCTTTCTTGGTTCATGGTTGCCACCTTTGTCTTAAGGCGGCTGTAGAAGTCTTGATACAGATTTTGATCATACATTTCTGCTGTAGTGGGATGGCATCTTGCTGCTTTGCATAATTCCAATAATTTACTAATCTGCTCCATGTATCTTTATCTGTCTCACTGTATATATCTGTGCATTATTGGCTGGTGTCTCTTTGGTTGACAAGATGTGGTCAGGCCGATGGCTCTCGGAGAAAGAACGATTACAGGAGGAGCAGTAATATCCATATCTCAGGCATATCAATATCAATTATTATTTTATTCACGACTTATGTTAGTGCTATCTATAAGTAAAACAACAATGTGAATGTGAATGTGCCATGCTAGCCCCTGAGATCTATCTAGGTCACACGTATTTTGCAAAGGTAAACAAGAGTCAGATTTATATCTCAATATCATTACAAAGTAGTCATGTTTTTGACTTAGTGACTCATTTGAGATTGATTCTGATCTCGAGATCAGAACTGTACTTTGACAGATAGCAGGGGGGACTGGTGTTGAACCTTCAGTTCACGATGTTAGCCTGTGAATATTGGGCTTGAGGATTCAGAATATCTACTCCAACTTCAGGATATAGGCCAAAAAATCTGAATATGCACACCTGTCATAGGGAAGGGAGCACTTCATGTCATGATGATTCGTATATTGACAAGAATCCAACTTTCAGGGATGTCTTAAGCCCGAGCCGGTCCATCTTGAGGAACAGCATGACCAGGATACGCACTATCTTCCTTGGAACGAAAACGACGATTCAACTTACGCGCCGTTTCCATGTTTCTTCTTCTCATCATGTGAAGAGCAGTGACTGGGTCAGGGAACAAGGGCGGAGGCTACACGTGAACTCATGCTCGGTGACCATCTCTCGGCCAGGTCAGCAACTGTTCTGGACTACAATAAGGGTATCAAATATCTTTATTCTTAGACTGTCTCCATTAAAGTGATCATTTTGCCTTTCGGCTTTACATCAAGATTCTTCCTATCAGGGACCATCAATACTACAGTGACCCTCGGTTTACCACCAAATCCACCCAAATACCATATGGTATCCCGTTGTGTAGTCACCCGTCTCGGTTTAATGCGAGCACCCGGACCGGTGCGGGAGTTTACATACTGACGCTTAATCGGTATCAAGGTGCAGGTCTCGGGTAGGAGTATCAGCATTTCGATTTAGGCACAGGGCACACATACACACTAAGCTACTAACGAGCAGAATGACGGGTAAGTGCATGATGGGAGGGGTAGCTTTGGGTAAATGATACGGTATAAACCATTGCGAGTGGTTGATATGTTTCTGATGATGTATCAGAATTATGAGTGGAAGTTCTCCAAATGAGTGAGATAGTAGGGATGAGGTGAGGTTTGCATTTTGCCAGGTGGTCAACCAAATGCAATGTACAATGACCACCTTGTCACAAAAAAGGCTCAGTATAACGAGTCAGTTCTAGTCATACTGGAGTTTCGTTATACACCATCTTACAATTATTCACTGAATCAAGTGGTTCATTGATATGTTGCTGGACTGATTCAATATGGAGCTTCATGTCCGTTATCATTACCCTAGACCATAGTCTCGCAGATCATCTTTTCTCTAACCCCCCACGCATCGAACCCTCATCCAAGATCATCACTATGGTCCCGTGAGAGGTCACCACACCCACCACGTCCCCTCACTGTGCCCAGACGCGCCCTTTTTCTTGTCTGTCTCTCTGTGAAGCATGTCATTCCAAAACGCAAGGGTCTCAAAGTTCCTGCAGAAGCACCAATCGAAATGCCACCTCATCAAATGCGTCACATGGCACGGCACAAGAACGAGACATCATCCAACTCAGGCGCCACCTCCGCAATATTTCCCCTCTTTGATTGCAGCAGAGTTGTTCTGTGCAGCATTCCCTCCTAGCATTTGTGCGCTAGAATGCAAGTAGACAAGACTTGTCGTTATCACACGAGAAACACTGAACTAACGGGAAACGTGGAAGATAGCAACGTTGATCGAGGTCACGGGAGAGGGGGTGTGACCTGGTATTCGATAATGATTCAGCATCAATATTCCCTATCACCAAGCTAGCTCTGACCAAAGCTGAGCTATCTGCTGTATCTTACGGACCAGGGATAGCTGCGTTTCGACTAGACCCAGACAAGCCAGCATGCAAACATGCATAGACATGGCTGGTGATAATCTCCCTCATGCAAGACGATCCCATAACGTACAGGAGCCTCAAAGAAAATGTCGTCAGAGAGCCTGGCCCAAGCCCTCGGATCTTCATGACAACACTGCCACCAACACACACTGAAGCGTCGTGTTTGCCAGTTGGTGGCTGATGTTGAATACAGACCTTCAACTGACGGCCCCAAAGGTACGGTCGGGAAGGTTTGTTTTCCATGACCATGGTACTGTAACAATCACACTATCTCGAGTGCGAGCGCTTGCTGTAACGAACAAAGAATGGAGAATCTGTCCAACGCACTACGAAGAAGGTTTGTCATCCTTTTCACGGCGTAGCCGTTAGCTCCTGTGAAGCCACCGACAAAGCCGAGTCCAAGCCTGGAGAAATCCGGGGTAATTAGTCAAACCATGAAGCGAGGTTGAGAACGACGGGGTTCAACGTCTAGCGAGAGTGCTAGTGTCGTCTGTGAGAAGTGAGAGAAAGCGAGAGGGGTCCGCCAAGGATGAAGCTCTCTTGGTGCAACATGACACGCCGTGACGGCCTCTTCTGGTTAAGCATCATACCACTCATAGTAGGGGTCAAAGACGGAACAATATGACAGGTAAACTCGAGAATGGTGTTGAACAATGGCCATCCAGCATTTCACTTCGTACCGTAGCCAGCCGCAACTCTGCAGCTAGAGACAGCTACAGGACGGCACGGAAGCGCCCCGCAGTTAATATCATGCAAAGCCATACGACCAGTCTCTTTTTCCCTTCTCAGAGCCTTTCTCCTCCTTTCTCTCCAACATTTCAACAAATGTTGGAGTTCCCCACGTCTAGGGGCGCAGCACAAGTCTGGGGTTGCTCAGACGTGATTGGCTGGCTTTACAAAATTGCTGCGTACAATAAAATGCGACCTCGTGGCGATCTCAGCTGGCAGAGCTGCATAGCAAATGGGGGTTGAATCTCAAGATGGACAACACTACAAAGAAAAGAAAACTGCTCTGATAGACGAGAGAAACTGGTCGGCTGCGATGCAACGGTATGCAAACTTCGATTCGCCCCCTCGCAATCAATCACCCGTTGAGTTGAGGCTGTCTGAGTCTTGCCACACACGCCTGTTTCTGTCCCTCCCTAGAACGAGTAAAAGCTCATGTTCTTTGTACAACCTGACAAGTCAAGTTCTTTCTAGGACTGACTTTTCGTATATACTGTATGCACAACTCAGAGTCTGGTGTCTGTCCCATTTGAGCCGCCAGCACCCGGTATGCCTCCAAGCGAGGGCGGCCGAAGCGGATCTTCGATGGTCCCGACGCAGGCCTGTCGATTATGCTCCTCTCCTTCTTCTCATTGTCCTGTCCATTGAAATGCAGATGCAATGCTTCATAACGGCCCAGACTCAAAGTGTAACCCCATGGCCCCCGGTGACCACTCAGCGTAGGAACGGGGATTACACGGCAACCCCAAGCCCCCTCCCTGATAAGCCACGAAGGCGAGCTTACTTTTTTGTCCAAAAACATGCAGCTGCAGCAACTTGATGCTGTAGAAATTTGCCATTTTGCATTTTGCCCCGGGCCTTGGGCTTGGGGGCTTAGGAGGCACCTGTCCTGTCCTGGCCTGTCATCGCACAGACTTAACAACCTGGTAGCCCGGTAATATGTATGCCCTGCGATGTAAAAATGTTTTTGTTTGTCAAGAGATTGGGTGGCCAATATGCCAATATCCAATCCCGTTTTCTTTCCCTCCCCCTTGGACAAGACCCCCTTTCACTTGAAAGAGTTGAAGGCGTAACTACGTGACTGTGCCTGTGCCCCTACGTAACTGTACAGCAATGGCCAGAAGAGCAGACATCCTTGCTCGTTGCAGCAGAACCTGCAGTAGATGGCAGCGTGGCACCACGGGCCCTGACGCTGACAAGCTCCCTCCTGCTCATCATGCAAATTTGCTCCAGCCGAAGATTAACAACCCTTGTCGTAAGAGACAGAGAATGCGGGGAACGCACGTTGAATGTGATATGTCAGATCTGCCTAGTCAGCAAGCAGGCAAGACAAGGCACGATGCAACGCTCCAGGCCAGACCAACACCAAAGACGTTGAGGGAGGCGAGAAAGCAATTAAAAAAAGGAAAATATTGCAGAACCGTTGTTGAATACTGGAGACACCATGTGGTCCCTGCTTGAGAATGTCTCTGAAAAACGTGTCGGCGTTGAAAACTTCAACTCCGACGCAAGGGATGTTCTGCAAGCGAGGGTCACCGGAGGTTTTGTAAATGATAGGTCAAGTCCTTGCCGAGTTTATCAGGACAATTTCATCTCGCTTGAGTTGACTTGAGTTGCTGACCAAACTCGAGACTCTCAGTCAAGGAACGACGTCAGGGAGCAAAGCATGCGGCTCACTGCAAACCCGACATCAACCCCAGACTTTGTATGTCGTATTAGGAATAGGAGCAGGAGTTCGGAGTCAGAGTCTTCTGTCCTTGCTTTGCCTGCCGCTGAAGCGAGGATATGAATATTACCATTTTGCTCTGTTATGTCAGGGGTCAAATGTAAATCTTTCAGCGATGCGACCTTGGCGACCTTTGTCGATTATCAGAATGTCACTGATAGAATGAGTGGAATGATTGCCCTTAGACAACCGTTGAATTTCTCCCTCTGAGATGTTCTGGATGTTTCTCATGACTCAACCTTTAGGGCCAACGTCAGCAGGGCAAAGTCCCAAGAACCACATGGTAATGCAAGGAGGTCTACTGATACAGATTCCATAACAAAACCTGGAAATAAGACAATCAAACTAGGAGATGAAAACTTTTTCTTCATCTCAGTGAGAGAAACCTTGGTTCGGCTAGGGACCGTCAATATCATGAAGCTCTTCATGGTCAATGCAACCAATCTTCGAATGACACGGCACTTGAAGCGGCCTGTGAGCCAATCAAAAGCCCATGTAAACGCACACCCCTTGCGGGAAGAGAGGAAAAGGCGGCTTCTTCGGACCTGAGCGAAAGCGGCTGCTAAATCAAGGTCCAAGGTCAGGGTCAAGGTCACGTCAAGGTCACGTCTCGTAGTGAAGAAACTCCACCTCTCAAAGAGTCACAGATAGACAGTCACAGACACAGACACAGTCTCAAACGAGTGACATGACAGCTGCTGCAAGGAACGAAACATCTCGACACGCGCCATTTCTCGAAACGTGCTGGTGCTGGTGCCAGGAGAATAGCAGATTATTAGTCACGATCGATCAGGAGTCGTTGTGTCAACGATCTTGACAATGTGCTTATAAGTTAATCCACAAAACTTCAAACAAAGAATGAAGCAAAAATGACGAAATAGTGTTCAAAAAACATCAAAGGCAGAACCAAGGCGAAAAAGAAGAAAAGTAAAAAAAAAAAAGCTTTCCGGACTCCACTCCAGTGGAATCCGATCTCATTGCACAACCCAATCTCACGATGGCATCAGCTCACGAGGACTGAGCTTCATGCCCTTGCTCGAGTCTGGCCCCAAACAGAGCGACAGAACAGGGAAGACAGAAACCAGAGGAACAGAAAAGTTCATGTCGTCATGCAAGCAATCGGCCGATCTGGTCATCTCATTCTCTGTCCCCAGTCTCAATGAAATGAAGCTTGGCATTCTCAGACAGCGCTTTCACGTTCTGGGACAAGTCTCTTAGCAGCTCCAAACTGCAGAAAGGGACACCCGTAGAAAAAAGCAACCATAAAAAATTGCACACGGGGAGCCACGGCTAGTGGACAAAGCCCCTCTGTCGAGCCTTGAGCTCCAAGTCTAGCAAGTCTGAGCCTTGAGCCCTACGCAGCCAGTCGAAGGTGTGTCGTTAAACAACGCTCTAGCAGTTTTAGCTCAGCCTCTAGCCTTGGACGGCAAGGTACGTAGCGATAGGCTTTTGTAGATCATGCCCAACTTGGCAGACTGACCAGGTTCAGACTATTCTTGTCATCCATGACCCAGTGCCTGTCAAGGAGCCTTGATGCCCTAAGCTGATGCACCCGCTTTCAACCTACAGTCAACTCTGGGGATATCTCTTGGCACGGTCAATGAATGGCTAACAATACTCATAGGATCAGGTATCCTGTCAGGCTCTGGTGGAGAGTAAGGGATTCGCCGTGCTATTCCCTAGCGACAATGGCTCAGGGGACTGAAAATTCGGGATCAAGAAAATTTTCATATCAACTTGAACCTCAATCTTGTCAGATCATAGTGGCTATCTGATGAATGAGATGGCTCACCTAGCCATTGGGCACGAGGCAACCACTCCAGTCAGACCACACCACACCCAGAGAATGCATTTTTCGGTCTTATCGCCCAATTTCTGAATGCGGCTGGCTGTGTTCGTTTTGTTGGTTGCCTCTCACGATCCCATAAAGTTGACCTGCATGAGAAACTTGGAGGATGTACCCGAAGCCCATTCGCTGTTGATGCTGCAAGGCACAGAGCTTCCCGGTACAGCACAAAATGGTATGCTCAACAGATGCTGCGACCGACCCAAGCCGGCATGCATCGGCAAGTGCAATCTCTCAACTCTTCAGCTTGTCGGGAAAACCTTTCCCTGACGAAGAATAGTGATCTTTGCTGGCGTTTACGACCAACGTGGCCTGCTAGCCTTTTGTCCAAGCTCTTGGACCCTTGAAGATACAGCCGTCTATGTACGGTGCTCGCGTCATCCCAGGCGGGCGATCTGCTAGTAGTTTCTTTTTCGTCGATCGAGTACTTGTAGCGCAGCTTAACTTGGCGCAGCGATCGAGGGAAAGTGGCATTGTAAATTAATTGTTCTTCCACTTCGTGAGCTTCATTGTGCGCAGATTGTCTGCGGCTTGGCTAGACCTTTGTCCAAGTCTCACTTAAATCCCGCCACTGCGCTTTGCACGGACTTCGTTAGAAATAGGGGCTGGTAGACCAAGACCACGAGCGCCTACTAGAGGGCTTGGACAGCCTGGTCGGAGGGTGAGGTGATCGGTGAGCCCACCATCAACAGCACCACCAGACCACGCCAATCTTCAATATCTTTTCAATGGAGTTCTGAACCCTTGCAACAGCTCGAACCCCCAGCTGAGATGGTTCATCTGCTCTGGTGATGTGCTGCACCGACTTGTAAGTGCTCATCCTGGACTGGGGCTCGATGTGACTCTACAAGTCTTGAATGGTTGGGCAGGACTGCAGCTGAAGCTGCGCAGCTCCTCGATTTGGGATGACAGTGAACGCCACAAACTCTCAACACGGAAATATATTGACTCTGCTTTTGTGAGTTAATCTCATTTGGGATTGCTGACCTGCAGCCTTGAGCGAATCGACGAAAAGAATGCAGCTTTCGGATGAGGCTGGCTCTCTCCCCAGCGGTTCGCTTACACGAGGCAGCTGCTGAGATGTGAGATTGGTAGCGCAATCTTTGCCGCTGTGATCAATGTGTTGCTACTGTGTGTCTACTCCCACACATGAGAGAACTGCCAGGAGTGAACCGGGCTTCCCGCAATCTTGTCGATTGTCCATACACATACTACGGATCAACTCCCAAATAAGATCGAAGGATGTGGACTTTTACAATTTGAGTCTTTTGAGTTTGCGGACAAACGAGTTCCCTGGTTCCCGCGTAGCCAGTGCCTCGAGCCTCGTCCCCTGTTCATTAGCTTTGGAGCGTTCTTTGTGGTTCCTGATGCCATCATGTATGAGTACGGCGTAGGTTACGTAGTAAGCCAACGGCGAAAACCTTTCATACTCAATAATTCTCGGCGTCGACGGCTGACAACAAAATTCTGTGCTCAATTAAGTAAAGCTCACCGTTCTAGACCGGAAAGTTTGGTTAATAGAGTTCATGACCTGGCTGCGGGCTGGGCGGCTGGAACCGTGTCCGAAGACCAAATCCATGGATCAACTTCCAATCTGGTCGCTCTGTCCGACGAGCTAACAGCAGGCATTGCTAATCTCGGACGAGCTGATGAAATCGTGGGGGGACCCTTCGGCTGTTTATCTTATCAAAAAAGGTACGATGGAGACTTGATTGTGTGATGAATCTGCATCGTATGCGCCATATCTTGGTTGATGCAGCTGCGGGCGCTCAAGTGACGACAGATGCAACCCGAGTTATCTGGACAATAGATATTCACTCAATTGAGTGGGGGCCGTACTTTACCTCGGCCATTAATACATATGCAAGACTTGGACTGAATATTCCGTATATCTTCAAGTGTCATCGCCGCGATTGATCGTCAATGCGCTGTGGACGTATCGTGAGATCAGCGCTGTTGTGTGAACTTCTGATTCGGCCATGAATCTTCACAGCTCCTCAAAAATGCACCGTGGTCTTTCGGGTAGCAAAATCGCTGTAGCATCGTAGAAATTATAGGCCATTGGCAGAAACCTTGATTGAGGCGGTCTTGAAAGCCCGAATGAAACCTAACTAGCACAATTGCCGCGACATGCCGAGTAAAATTGTTGATTGGCGAACAATATAGCCATTATCTCCCGACAGGCGATTAAAAGGCAATACTCTGAGCATGTTGCGTTCGATTGCGTCTTCAATACATCGTATTGGTGGATATGTCAAAACTGCCTCGAAACGTTGTTAGATAAGACCTGACAGTACGACCCAACCAGGCGTGTTTCAGAGAGTGCAGGATACGCCATGTATGACTGAAAGATTATGCATGTTTGCTATCTTCTACCAGGCCCCGGCGTCGTTTATTCCACAAGAATCTGGGGAATAGTACTGGCGTCTTGTCAAGCTTACTTCAAAGGGAACCAATGTTGACAACATGCACCCCAGAGGCAGTCTTGACCCGCTAGTGCCAGAGACCACAAACTAGGAGCAGCGAAATGGGCGTGATACACGACAATGCGACCTTGTTGTTTTCGAAGAGGTTGGAATAAGTGGTCAGGCGGCAGAAACAGGACGGGGATGCAGTTGGATGGAGTGCAGATCAATGGTAGAGAATGATTCGCTCCGAGCCCCTTGTCGTATCCGCCCCCAGACGCAGGCATGATCGAAAGAGGAATGGCTTTGCTGAGAAGTCCAAGAGATCAGCGACGCATGGCTCTGAATGCTGGTGTTAGTTGATGATCACGATAGGCGGCCGGCCATTGTCAATCTCGCTCCCTCTCTGCAGTGCAATTCCCGGTGAACCTGGGGTAAGACGCTGAGCGCACAGGCTGGTTTGACTCGTAGCGCCTAAAGGCTCCTTCAGGTCATCGACGCTTCAACTGACACAAGCGCTACTTCAGGAGACGGCAGGGTTGTGGACATGCTCTAAAACTTGAGAAAAAAGACGCCATACAGCAGCGTGAGATAGTAATGCAATACAGTAAACAAGTACGTGGCGGTTGGTCTCTGCTTCGTGATGCCCAGTTGTGCATCCATTGAGGTGCGCATATCATGCTTGGCGTCATTCCACGAGGCAATTTAGACCAAGTGTAGTTTGTGATTTGATGTACTCTGCTGCACGACAACACTCGGGCATTTTAGAAATATAAAAAGCCTCGCGAAGCCTCATCGACAGCAGCCCATGGTGGCTTGTGGCGATGATATGAAGAATTTTATTCTCCTTTGTAGAATATACAGTGAAAATCAAGGGTCTAGTGTGGTAGATCTCCCATTGTTGGCTGGGTCATGGTCGAGAACAACCCTTGAAATGTTTCGGTGGCGAGCTGCGCGGATTGTAATTGTGGTTGTTATATTGTAACCCAAGATTGTGGATTAAAGTTGCTGGTTTCAGCAACGGTCGCCTCCTCAAGGTATGATGGCGACATTGAACCATTACGGTTGATAGGAGCTTGATGGTCATTGGCTTGTTGGCTATCAAGGTGCAAAATCTGGGCCAATGGTGTGATGAACTTCATGTAGAACGACAGAAGGTTGATAGTGGGAGAGCGGCAGTCGAAACTGTTGTCGAATGGTACGGATACTGCAGATATTACAGCATCCGTAAACCCGGTAGAGGACTCTGAATGGTCGATTGCTGTTCGGAACGCCCATTCAGGAAGCTGACCTTGGTTCCAGGCCTGGCGCAGTCTTCGAAAGCATCAACATGCAATTCGTTACTAGATGGCGTCACTCTCACTTCCTGTACGATCGAGCGTCTCACAAAGTTCGATTGCGCGTCTGCTTAGTTCTTGGTCGAGGTTGCTTTGGCTGCTCTCTATGTCGTCAGGAAGATCCTAGTCATGTGGTTTATTGTGTGATGTATATGAAGTAGTGTCTGGTTATGAACTGCAGCATTAACTGAACGGCGCAGAAAGTTCGAGTTTGTATGAATTGAATCTATATGCCGTGTCTGTGCTTTCATACTATTCGCCCACTGTGCAACGCATTCGAGCATCGATATCTTAAACCCTCCTGTTCCGGAGTCACGACAGGGACTAGCCATTGCTAACGATCTGCTAAGTTGTTGAGATTGGCAAGGCTAGATTGATTGACCCTGAAAGGAGAGCAGAACTCAAAGAGCACGTTGTCAATGTTAGTGGTTATTTTGCGTGCTTCAGGTGGAGAAAGATGTGAAGTGAAGTGAAGCAGCTAAAGTGGAGAGAAATGGAGATGGGAGACGGCAGCAGGGATGTGGGGGAGGGGGGCATTGAGACTGCTATGCCTTTACAGGCTTAGAGCAGCAGCACTAAACTCATTGCGTTGCTCTTGCGGGCGCACAGCTGTTGGGTTCCTGCCTGAGGCCTCTATTCTCCTGGGCCAGCCATTCCCAAGGGGCGAGCACCTTCACAGTCCGTCCCATTCCTGTGGGCCGCTGTGTTAGAGTCCATTTTGAAGCATTGGGAACCATACCACCGCCAAATAGATTGCACTACGCCGCAGTACATAGCAGCAGCTTACAGCAGAAGCACCATGAAGCAGCATAACACAGCATGAGCAAGAGACCAACAGGGAGTGCATCAACTCGCTTGTAGCCCCCTCCCCAGACTCGACCTTGATCACGAATATCACCCATTGACCATTCATGAGCGGGGTGGTCACTGGGTCAAACAGAATGCCAGCAATAAAATCCCATCAAGAAGTGAATTTACGATGCTCGACTTGTAAGCAGACCACTGTCGAACAGGCCTCACACCACGGAGGGCGGAGGGCACGGGGGTCGAACACCCTTTGTGCAGCACAACCTTTCGTCTTGCGGGGAGAGGGGACACTTGGGGCACTCCGAAAGCTCCAGCAAGCGGGCAGAACCGTGCAGAATTGCACGGTAGGTAACGGAAAACAGAGGCGAGCAACAGCCCACTGCCCACCTCCGGTGTCGCTATGGTGTTGAGTCTGTTCATCAGCTCAGTCCCCAGTGAAAAATCTCGGCTGATGCCCTCGCGGTGCCATCCGGGACCCTCAAGACCCCCATTGAGAACCCATCTGAGTCACCTCATCGAAGCTCAATATGGGTGATTGCTCTCGTGGGCATGAACTGAGCATAATTGAATCATCGAAAATTTTTCGTTTATCCATCGCAATCTCGTAGCCTTCCTTGGCCAAGTCGGGAAGGGCAGGGAAGAGCAGAGCAGACACAGTCAAGTCAGCCAGCCAATGTCTCCAGCAGAATCACACGCCTGTGTCTGGTGTCTGAATGTCTTGGAGGCTTGTCTTGTCCTCTGTAGCCTACAGCCTACAGGAGTAGGCCTAGAGAGCAGTGAGAGCTCACTGACTGAAAGGACCAGGCACCTCTTTGATCTCTGCATTGGATCTCCACTCCTCTTGCTATTGCTGGCACTCCCTCTCTAACACTCCCTAAGGGTGAGACACCCAGGTGTGTCTGTTCATCACACACCCAGTTGAAACGAGAGCAACCCACACCCGGCGGGCGTCCCATCAGAGTCCAAGGTGGACCAATTTTTCCTGTACGTACTTCTTCTATTGGATCCTTGCCTGCACTAACATCTTTGCTGCAGGGCATTGAGAGCGGCAAGGCGCCCCCACCTGTCTGCAAAACTCCACCAAGACCAGTACGTATCGATGGAGCAGTGGTGTGCCTTGGTACCCTCCTCCACGAATTCCTAGGCAATGTACCTCTAGCGCCATCCTGGTCGTGCAACTGATCATCGACCAAGGCTGTGCCTGGGCCACTGACCAAGAATATACATAACCCTTCCCCTCGAACCTCTTGACCTCTGATCTCCTCCACCATCATCTCGACTCTTTCACTTCGCAATCCTTTCAATTGCTTCTTCTCCATTTTGAACTATTGATCTCACTCGACATCACTTGGATATAAAGGAGTTTTCACTTCTCTGCCTCTTGGGTCAACCCCTTCACACACCAACCACTCTTCCTTCTCATCAATCACACACACCACCGCAGCCATGGACTCCGATTCTTGGGCTCACTCTTTCTGCCTCGCTTGCGACAAGCAGGTCCAATCATCAACTGATGCCTACTGCTCTGAGTCTTGCAGACTGGCCGACTTCGAGAAGACCTCAACAACAAGCTCTCAAGCCAGCTCACCCGGCCTCGCTTCTCCTCCTTGCCAATGGTCATCGAAATCCTCCAGCTCGGGCTTCTACCTGTCCCCCGCCTACGATTTCTCCAACGCAAAGCCATACGGATCAAGGCACATGAGCCAACCTACCTTCAAGCCTTACGGCACTGAACAGTCAACTATTCGATCCCTCACTCCCTCGAGCTCCCACAGCAGCCTCTGCTCCATGCAAAGTACCTCAACAACAGGAGAGTCTAGTCAACTGTCAGACAAGGCGAGGAAGGAACTCCGAGCGTACGCAGTGTCCTTCGACAATGTGAGGACCCAGCGAAGGCGATCATACTAAGTACGATACTACAACGACTTCACACATACACATGCAACCTCACCTAAACATCACCTAAAAACTTATCATCACGCAACTCATTCAACATCTACAACATCAAACGCATCAACGAAACCTCAACTCACACTTCACGCCTTTTTTCTTTTATCTTCATCGAAGAATCTGTTTGTACCAAAGACGGGCATTACACCGGAGCACTGCATTAAAAAAAAGTTTGTTTTACATCGACCCATCACGATTTCTTTTCATCTCAACCAATATCTGGTGGGATAATCTTGGGCGGTTTATTTGTCCATCGGTATCTTGTACCAAATACAGGGCGGATTGATATCAAGTTTCAGAACATGGATTACGGGAGCACGGGAGGTTTATCATGATACCGGGATACGAACGGCTGGGGACATTTGGGTCTGGCGTACAGGACCGACCTGGCAAGAAGCCGGTCGATGGATTATTCTATTGGGAGGTATAACTGCGCTTTTTGACTACGGGGCACTGGGCATTGACAGGAACTGCGGAAGACTGCACTACACTGCACAGCATAGCACATCATTGGATACCATAGCATAGTATAGCCAAAGAGATCTTTTTTCTCCCTCCACACAAAGCAAGCCAAGTTTCCAAAGTATAGTGTGCATAACTCTCCGTGTTTCGTTTACTCCCCCTCGAGTGTCACCCAACTTGAATGGCATAATCGACGGGTATTCTTAGTCTCATACAAAGGCACAACACATCGACACTATGTGGGTAGAATTGCTTTTCTCGGAGGTTTTACCACCAAGCTCACAGTCACCGCCAGGGAGAGACTGGGATGGATCGACTTTTCATCTGCAGTGACTCAGCAATTTCGGCTCCACGCATCTCAATGTTAAGCAAGGAGAAACGAGGTTTCGGCGGCATTGAAATCTGTTACCATCGTCGAAGCTAAAATTCTACAACTAAGTTAAGTTACTAGACGGATGCGCGCGCGCAGCGAAGAGCAAGGGTTATCCGCCGGTAGTTCCAGACAAACTCTAATGATTGAGTAACAGCAAAGAAGATTTGCAACAGTCAGAAGATAATACTAACTAACCTAAGAGCCGCTTTCAGCTCCGTTCCCCAGACTCGATGTGAAAGCTTGGCCGGGACTACTGTGTGAGCCATAACAGCTCCGATGGCCGGCCATAACCCCCTTGTTTATGGAGACAGCCTGACTAACAATCTTAAAGATTCAACGTCCTCGTGGATGTCAATTAGCATGATTCTTGTTTTTCGCCTCGCCGATGAACGGGGCCTCATGAAACCGAGATTCGCAATTTGGGTGTCATGCGGCTCAAAAGTAAAAAGGCAAAGTTCAGTCAGAGCTTGTTTTGGAACCCGAAACGTGCTCGTCTGTCAATATGATGCCACCGCGAAAATCAAAAGAGTACGTATCGTCATATTTGCACCCCAAGCTGTCCATTCCATGCTGTGATATCGTAAGCCAAGTCAATTCGTTGAAGCTAAGTAAACTCTACGATACACCCGCTTGGTTGGTAGTGGTAGGTAGTAGCCGACCTCTCTCATCAAGTTGCCCCCTGGGGATCCCGTTCATGCAACCATCATGTCCCTTGATAGGGATAAGGGAGCGAGCGATATGAGATAGAGGCTTGGGCCGATAGAGCACGGAAAGGTTTTTCCTCCAACACTTATCAAACTTTAGCCCAAGTCAGGCCCAGAGTTAGAGGCTGACAAGATGACTTGAGCACTGTTAGTCTATCTTTAGAAGAGATGAAGCCCTATCATTTTGTCACCTGCCATCTGAGAGTCTTCCCAGCGACATTGAACATGATTTTAGCTTCCCGAAAACCCGGTTACTAAAAAGGTATGTACGATACGGGTCCAGATGGAGCAAAGGGGGTCGGTCAATTGGACTCTGAACGTCATGATCATTGCGGGCCGTGAATCAACTTAGCTCAAGGCTTAGGCTTAGGTATGGAGACTCAATAACTCCTGGCTTGCTCTGCCAGCGCATCCTCCATCTCCATCGGCGATTCTCAACTGAATTTGATGATCTGAGCTAGCAACGGACCCTCGCACGTGTGCAATAAAGGAAAATTTTATGGTGGACTGGCATTGATCATGTCTGCGCTTGGGTTTTTTGTTTTACAATTAGGGGACCCAAGAGCTATGACCCTGAAACAAACAATCAGCCAACCCAATATTGAGAAAATTTTCACATCTCTTTGTTCTGTTGTTGGGATTGAGGTGAGATTGAAGGGCGTGTAAAGATCCAACCAAAAGCCTTGCAAGGGCATCTTGAAGATTTGCATCTTCCAACCAAAATGGACATGGCGCATAACTTGTTTGACTTGGAAATAGAAGGGTACGTACCGAGATTTGCATTGGTCGGCTCAGATCGACATCATTTCTTCGGCAGGGTCCGGTCATGGTGAGATTCACTTCAAATTTTCAGGGCAAAACATGCAGTCTCCAGCTTTTCCAGTCTCGTGTCTGGGGGGATCTGACGCTAGAGGTGTTAAAAAAGAAGATACAGATACAGATACGAGAAGCACGGTAGCCCACTCTGTTTCTTCTGTCTGCCCATTATCCTGTGATATCCGATGCTGGGCGGTTGATGGATGAGCTGTTTTTGTGGTGAAATTGTTTTTTTCTCGGCAGATGGCGAAACAATGCGTCCATCCATTGCCAGTTAGCCATTCACTGTACGGTTCCTCTCACTCGCTCGCTTGGTCCGGCAGTGAAACCCCAAGATTCCGGCATCTCATCCGGGCTTGCTTTGCTTTGCTTTACTTTTGGTCTGCATCAGAATCAATAACAAGTGGCATAATATGGAGCAATGTGGGCTGTTTCGGGAGTATGGAGTCTTTTTCATGCTTCACTTCCAACACATCATCATCACAATCTTAGTCAGTCAGTCAGTGCTGTTGGTTGGTATGTGCTAACTTTTTCGCACTTGCATTCGAATCTATTTCCATCTAGATCGATCGCCTCTTAGAACCAACGCTTAGAGGGAGTGTTTTGTCTTTCCTCTGTCCTTGGTACCTGACCCTGATGCCTTAGACTACGTGGCAGCCTCTGTACTCTCTACTCTGGACATATCGAAACCCTGTACCTGTCTGTACCTGGCTATCATGCCTGACCCTGGGAAGGAAAACTTCTCTTTTGATCGGCGGGCTCGGGCCGGAGGTTGCGTCGCGCTGTGAATGGATGAGATGCGCTGTGTGTTATGCTGACTGTGTTGTGTTGCTTGTGTTGCCGGAAACTCACCTCTTTCTATGTGACGTCGGCCCGCGCCAATCCAGGTTCAACCCTTGCTTCAATGTGCCTTGCTTGGTTCAAGGAACATCATATCACATCAAATACCTTGGTCCTTGATCTTGGTTTTGCCTGTTGTTTCGGCCTGCTCCGCTAGGCGTGTCAATTCCATCTACCCATTTGGATGGAGCCTGTGTAAGTCGAATTGAAGTGAGGGATAACTTTAACTCATACAAAGAAAATGCAAGGTTACAGAGTATCCATCGTGGCTTTGCATTACTTTGCTCTGCTTTAGTGCACGCACAATGGACTTTGGTACTGCCAAAGCACGGCATTTGCACAACTGTCGATATTGACCAGTACCATATCAATGTCTTGAGCAATTTGTTTTTGCTTTTTATTTCAAGCGTCCCAGCCAATTAAACTCTCAGAAAGTCCCGGGTATCATCTCGGCATTCTTTGTCTCTGAGGCTCTTCAGGATGTTTATGATTAATCGTCATGACAGGGTAGCATAAACTGATGTTTTAGAAACAAAACAATGGTCTCTTTATTTTTCCCACCCTCTTCACATTCCAGGCCAAAGTCAGCGAGCCACTTCCAATCAAGGTCTCTCCAACAGAAAAGAAACTTTTTATCTTGTTCTTGTTCAATGGCTTCCGGTTCGTCGCTTGGTTCGGGTCCCTGCCGTGTCAGCGGTTGAGGTGTGACAAAGGCAGGGCGGCTGTGATACGTGAACATCCGTGTCAATTGTTGTGCAACGCGATACACATGCCTCTGGCCAAAAGAGGATATCGTACTGAAGTCACCGAAGAAAGGATGAATCAACCTCTATCCGTACAAGGAAGGGAGTTCTCAACAACTCGTTAACACGACATCAGACTATACCAACACCCTTCTTTATCCCTCATCTTCATCCCTGAGTTGTCTCCGAGGCAAACGCCCTTTGTTCTGTATCTGATGCCAGGATTAGGAAACATTCAGGTACCTCTGGTGTGGTTACACCACGTGGAATCATGCCCACCATCAGCAACTGCGGCTCAAAGGCCGAATGGACGTCTCAACGCCTCTTGCACCACTCACTCGCCCAGTGCCATTGACCACAACCACAGCCATCTCCGACATGTTGCAACTCTGTTGATGCCTTGTTTTTTCATGCTGATATGATTTGATCGTCGGCTATTCCAACGTCAATTCGATAGGCTGTGACGTTGACACATACATCGCCGTTTCAGATTGGGGGATCATCGTTTATGCCGAGCGGCATTTCACTTACACGCTTACACGTACCTCAGGCTCCAGCGCCATCTTTCTGACGACATCCTCACTCTGCACCGCCCAATAACGGAAGATGCGGCTATTATGGGTCAATCCGTCTTACACTGTCTCCCTTCGGTTTCCATTTGTAACGGTGGTGTTTACAAAGACCAATTGTCTTGCTGAGACTTCAACACAGGGTCTCGTTGCGCAATGCAAAGCCTGGCAATGGTGTTGCATCAGGAAAGGCACCATGTCAATACCATACAGCCGAGGATAATAAAAGTCAAAGGCAAATATGGATCCCTACGACTACGGTTATCTCGCCTATGGGGGGGGGAATACACGGTTTTCTCCCACGTCTGTCTGAGACCTGAAGGATGAAGGGGTGCAACCATTTACACCCGCGGCACCCCTTTGGGCAGCCATGTCTCTGAAATACACACAGAGGCTATGTTCTACAGCGTTCGCGACTCCAAGCCATGAATTTCTCTGCACATGTTTTGCTACTGCGTAGGTGGAGGCGGTGTCTTGTTGCCCACCAAGCCGGGACTGCATAGGACGTCAGCCCAGAACGCCTGTCTCGTACGGTCCAGCACGCCCGTATCGACTATCCCATGCTTATGGCGTCTTTTCGTGCTTCTTATTCCAGTTTCCAAACTTTCAGCTAGACAAGGCGTGGCCCCCACCGCCTATGTTGGGCTGTGTGCTTATCTCTTACACAGATACAAACGTTTTCTATCACAGTATCGTTGCTTCTTTAGGCGCTTGATATCTTTAGAAAGAGCACCGAAACATGTTGTAGCCTATCAATACCCGGTCCCCCGATGTGTTGATCTATGACAAGTCCTTACAATCTTAGTAGAAACGAGTGGTTGTTACAAAAGTGCTACAAGATTGAATGGCGAGACGCCGTGTGTTAGCAGATCATGTTGCACTTCTGCGGTACTTAGGGTATACGTGATTCGGGGACTCAATGAAAGATTGATAATATATCGCGTTATATGAGCATAATTATGGTCATAGCTCCTAGGCACTGACAAGCTATCATTGTCTCCGGATATGTGTATGCTCGCCTCGGTTGCCAAAAGTTGATAGATCCGTTTCATGATCCTCCCTCGAGAAACAATCAAGTGCATGAGGCTGGCTCAAACGATCCTGGAATGGCTGAGCTATAATTCGTTATCTTTGTGTTCATCACATCGAGATTCTGGAGCTTCGAGAAACTTTGTGGAACACAAGCTTAGGCCAGGGGTTGAAAAACAGAGTAAGCAGGGCAACATGTCTAACAATTCCTGAATCTTGGCCCTCTCTTGTTGGTAGCTGCGCTCTTCCTTTCTTTTTCACGTTCAATAACGCCTTGTCTTTAAGCCATCATGACGCGCACCATACGTGTATGTATGTAGGCAGGTCCCGCTCCTTGTCTCGAAGTTGTGCAACCCGAGCGGGCAGAGAGACAAGACGTGCCATTAAGCGGGGAGAAAGCCGGTATCAGGGAGAGACCCAGGCGATTGGGTGTGTGTATTTGTCTTTCACTTATTTCTCTCATGCTTACAGTTGCTTGTGAGAAATGTCTATGCCATACTCATGACGTGAAGTTATTAGTGTAATACCGGATCAGGTCCAACCGTATTTCGGATGCTCTGTCTAACTAGGCATGGTATGAAGGAGAGTTGAGACAGAGTCACAATAAACATTGGCCTCTTACTCTTACTCACGGTTATTCTCGTCAAGACTCGGACATTGTGGTCCTTTGTTAGTGTTTAGTGCTTGTCTACAGTGGATAACGTCAACTTTAGCTGTGAGACAGGAGCTTTCCCCATCTCCGTTCCCCGCGTTGGAGGATACCGAGTGCGGAGTTCGGGCTCTCACGGCGTCCTTGGACGGATGAAGACGGCATGAAAAACACAGTCATCGAGTTTAATGGTGTCGTTAAGTGGGAATCGCTGCATGTTGTGTTGCAAGAGGCGAATTAAGGCGTCAACTATCACCATCGTGAGTGAGTGTCTATCCACATCAAGGGCCTCATTTTGGCTTCATTCATTCACGTCCAGGGTGCTCAATTCCTTCATAGGACAACTCCCTCCCAGAATCGGGTATAGAGGCATGGCAAACAAAGGGTCACTGGTCGCGAACAGACGTTTTTTCCCTCTCCAAGTTCCAAGCCTCTTCAGGTCCCGATCCCCCAAATGGTGACATTAGAGGGTCACATCCGCATTCATGATGCCAGTTTAGACTTTTTTCTCTCTCATTTTGCAGGACCAAGTGCTCCAACTGGTTCAAATCTCCCCCAACACACGACACTAGTTAACCCCAGAAAATTTACGGGGGCCAGTTATCGCGGGGATCGCTTTCGTAAGCTCCAAACCTTCAAGGGCACGGCCGTTGGTGATACCAGGCCATCACCATCTGGACCACTCACCATCAACAGAGGCGCCCTTGTAGCGGGAGGCAAAAAGGCCAACAAACAGAACCATATCGAAACCCAACCCTAAAGCGTACGGTTCCTCCGTTGTGACCCTCCAGCTCAAGGTGCTATGGCCTCTCCCCTGCCCTAAGAGCACGCTAGGCTAAGACGTTATCAACGATCGTCAAAAGCTTGGCTCTTTGGAGAGGAGGAGTGGACGCTTGCAGGATCTGGGAGCATCTAGAGTTTCGCCTATTCGATATCCCGAGAGATCTTGTGGTATCCCATGTCTGGCTCTCTCTGTTTTCCCCCCTCAAGTTTTTCGTTAAGGAGGTCCGAGATTACTCCTAGTGTGATAGTCATGGATATAAGTGAGACCATCACAGCCGACACTAATGGATCGTTCGTGGTGGTGGTGTTAAACCCGTGCCAGTTGTGGTTCATTTCTATTCGCTCGATGTTTTGAACCCTGGTACGAAAATTCTTTCCAACAGCTCGCCTTTCGATCTAAGGTGCAGCGGACAATTTGATCGGGAATAGTTTTGGGGCTTGACAGTTTACGCGAAAGCGAGTTTAATAACAAACTCTAGTTATTCTTGTATACTGATACCCCTGACTGCAATTCCTTTCCTCAAAGGGATGCTCGTGAATGTTTGTTGTTCACAGTGGATTCTGTCCCATGAGTCTGGTACGTATTGATTGTGAGCCAAGCCAATGGAACCTTGGGTAGCTGAGAATGGCTGGCTGAAGTTGGCTGCATACATCCACGATTGTACCAGACATATGCCGCAATTATCCCGTCATCAAATGTAAATCGCATGTATGTCTGGGATCACATCCAGTGAGAATCGTTTCTTCCTCTCTTGCAGGATCTCTATGATACCCTGACAGGGAATAATGCCCCGAGATATAGCAATTCACTGTACTGCGCCTAAGACTACCCTATCAGATTCTGTTCGGGTATCGGTATTGCATTGGATGGATTGTAAGGGTTCAGGCACACACAGTAAGCATACCAGGGCCATGCACAAGAGATGCAATTTTCGATTCGCCTTCAAGCCAACCTGCAGTAGTTTCACCACTTACAGGGCACCATCAGATGCACTGAACTCGCTGACGTGGACATGGCATGACCAGCAGGGAATGAACAGCATATTCCTTTTTTACTGTTGCGTGATGGGCAAACTAATTTGGCTATCTATTTGATAACAACAGAAACTCAAGTCTCTGTAGCTGAGCGGCGTCTACCGGTGTCTCCTTTCAACTTGACCGACACCCTCAACTTACCATCCGATGGCGGCCGTCCGTATCACTCATGCTGACACGCTAAAGCACCGGCTGTTTCCAAGGGTCCAGCCGCTTCAAACAATCCTTGTTTGATGTCCATTAAACAGCATTAGTGAATCCCCTCAACGTTTCCCCGTCCCCATAAGTCGGACCGTCTCTAATTTTTCACTCACTGAGCTGGGGTTTCAAGGGCCGTTGGATGGCATCTGCACCCTAAAAAAAAATATTCGGGGCCCTTGTCCAAAATATCGGGACCCGGGCATGGGTCAAGTCTTCCGATTGGTGAGCCGACCCCCGGACGGGATCTATCCGTAGCGGACCGCCGGGTTGGGCGCCGGAGTACAAATTTGAACAGCGACTACGGCACGACCAACACAAGTGCAATTGGATACACTTTTGCCTCACTTTGTCTTCCGGCTCCTCTCTTTGCTCTACCGGAGGGGACGTGCTCAATATGTCTCCATTGAGCTTGTTGCATTTTTTCCCAAGGACGAGACCGGCCTGAGGGTCTGCGGTCTGAGTTGTCAGTGGAAAGCATCGGCCTGAACCGGCTGGGGGAGGTCTTTGTTTATGCCTGGAGACGACCAATTCATCTTCAGCCTTCCGGTAGACTACCCTGAATCATTGGATCAAAGCAAGGCCGCATGTGCTTTCTAATAGACGTCCACAAGTTGCCTCGCCATGTAGGGTAAGGTAACGTCCTCGTCGATGAGTGCAAAGAAAGAACCTTGTATCAAAGATGATACTGCCCATGTTAGGTAACTCCTGAACAACCATTGTGATGGCAGGAATGTTTAGAAAGATGCACCTCAGAAACTTTGGATCTGGCTTCTACTCCTTGTACTATGTAATCGTTATGTTCAAGCCTGAATTCCTGCCCTAGCCGTATTGAACCAAAAAGAAGAGGAAGCTTTCCTGCTCCGGAATGTCGTTAGAAGTCGAATCCTCTGAGAAGAACAAGAGCAAGCAGATAGAGGTTCCAGCAAGATAAAAATGTAAAGGGAAAAGAGAAACGAGGAACAGAACGCCTATAGAAGGAACCAAGAGTCAGGAGCCATCAAAAGCTGCTTCTCTGATCCTAAGAATGATCTGAGCCATTGAAGTTTTTTCAATGATTAGGCAAAACAAACACAGAATCCATACTCATATCTTCATGTATAAGGAACAAAAACGATATGAATTCCAAGCATGTTACATATCCAATGAGGTTCGGCTCGGATGGCAAGTATCTGAAGCCAATCTTCGGCGAGGAAGGGTTGTCCATACTCCACAGCGTCACGCATATAGAGTGCTCCCCTTACTGATACCGTTTCTTCGTCAAGAGCTTTCCATCACGTCCTTGGCCTCTCACAATCAACGAGCGTCCTTTTACAATAGCATCCAAGACTACAGAAGATTTGCTCCTCACACCTATCGAGGGCAAGCGTCACGAAAGGACCCGGGGAAGGATCTCTCTATTCCAACATATCGAGCCTCAAGTACCAAACACAGATATCTTTGCTGGAAACCAGAACCTCCATATTTGCGTAAATATCGATGCACGCCAAGATCGTTTCCCAGAGACCTCGCTGCGAGCGATGGTTCAAGATGTGACTGAGATATTTTCCAGTCATCCAGATTATCCGAAAGTTATGGAGGTCATGCTGACCATGGACGAAAGGATCGTGGTTAGCTTGGGCTGGGAAATTGATTTGAAGTCGAAGGCGAACCAGCTTCCTGGCTACATTGCTTGCTGTGAAGTTGATACTGGAGTGGACGATACCAGTCACGAGCGATGGTTTCATTGGGGCCCAAGACAGCTCACCGATCATCCGTGGCCTGTTCATGTCAGCGAACTACCCCTATTCCCTGGAACGAAGCTTCGTGGTTCCAAAGGTGTTGGGAACTTGAGAGGGAAAGGGGATACACCACGCTTTGCAGTAACTGGATCTAGTGGCGTTCTCATCAAGAACCAAAAGGACCAACATTTGATGACCACGGCAGCGCGTATTGTTCACCCAGGAGATGTTGTAGGGATGAGGGAGTTCTTCTTACAAAACAGAATTGGAATGGCTGTAGATGTGGTCCCGGGTACAGATGTTGCTCTGGTAAAGCTGGACGAGGCTATCAATTACAAGAACCAGCATGGGACTATGCCATTTGCGCGGCTACTGGGCGAGGACCCAGGTGATGCGCTTCCATGGGACACTATTGTCAGTCTCGCTACACGCTGGCCTCCTTTTACTAAAGGTATAATCGTTGCAAAGTCAGTCAGAGTCGTGCGTAATCCTGCCACCACTCACTATCGGGTCTGTCACTGGGCTTGGACTGGCCAACCGGAGGATGAAAAAGGCCCGAACCTTACGCCAGAAGACAAAATGGTTGGAGCTGCTGCGATGAACGAGACTGGAGTTGTGACAGGGTTGCTCCATTCCAACAAACACGGTCTGTGGGCAGGCTACTCTGTCATGTCGAGTGCAAGTGAACTGGTGGATGCCGGTTACAGTTTAGTGAGATGAGTCCTCTGGCAAAGCACATAAGGTGAAAATTTACTGGAACTTGGCTACTTAGGATGGGTAAATTGTTTCCCAATGTCCAGGTGGAAGGCTGAGAAGTGGTAGAGATATGTCGAAAACCACATAGGGGGAGATATCAAGTCTGTTCCATGGGCTTAACGGGGACATGAAAGCCAACCACTAGCCAGGTTCATTAAAAAGCATCTCTATTCGCAGTATGATCACATTTTGTTGTGTTATCCAATCATGTTAAGACAGAAATGCTATTGCAATGCTTCCATCACTCGCTGAAGACCCAGATCAAGGTACTCATCTGGATGGGAGAACACAATTCTGAACCAGCCCGGCTTCTCGGAACCAAAGGCTTTACCCGAGGCAAGAAAGACCCTCCCTTCCATCAATTTGTCCATGACAAAATCCGTGATATCGTCAGTCTCAACCTTCGGGTGCAGTGCCTCGTAAACCTTGCCGAGATTAACCCATAAAAAGAATGCAGCGTTCACGCCGGGAGCGTAATCTATATTATTCTTCACTGCCCAAGAAACGACTCGTGCGTATTGAGCTGATAGTTTTCTTTGGTTCTCGGCCAAGTATGCATCGACAAAGGCGTCGTCCTCCAGGACGTTGGCCGTGATGTGGTCGGAGATGGAAGATACAGAGCTGTATAGACCAACAGCGACTATAGCAGCGTGAAGGGATGAGTTGGCCTGAGATACAATGGCTCCAACTCGGATGCCATTGGCACCAAAGTCCTTGGACATGCCCCATAGAACGTGTAACCTCTCAGGGTCAATGATACCCGTAGTGTCGATGGCAAGAGCAGATTCGAAAGGAATAGGGGGAGGGTGTTGATCGACAGTGTTCGGCCAGACTGAGAGGGCGTAGATCTCATCGCTGATAAAGTGAACCTTGTACTTCTGACACAGCTTCATGAAGCCAACGAGAGCTTTGCGAGAATAGCAACGTCCCAATGGGTTATGTGGGTGACTGATAACTAGACCGGCAACCTTGGTCCCCTTGGCTTGAGTATCGAGAATGACTTCCTCGTACTTGGTCACTGCCTCTTCACAGAGAGGATCGACATCACCAAACGCAACTGGAAGAAGCTTGGCTCCAAAACGATACGTGAGATCAGGGACAAAGGTACCATAATATGGCTGCCCAAGGAGAATCGCATCACCAGGGTTCGCGACCGCCCACGACAAATGCTCAATGGCAGCGCTACATCCATTGGTCATGGAAATATGCGCTGGTTCAATATCCCGAAAAGGCTTCAGATGCTTATTCAAGAATCTAGAAACAGCCTGTTTGGCTCTTTTCGTGCCCGTGGTACCATCTCCATAAGTAAAAGCCGGGTTGGTCAAGGCCAAGTTATCGTGAATGTGTTTTCGTAAAACATTGTGCATGAGGGTATTTTCAGCCACCCCAAGACTCACAATACCATCAGGATTGTTTTCCTGGTCGTAAAGATTGGTGATGACTTCCCACAAAGCCATCCCCTTGCATGCCTCCTCGGCTTCGTGGGCGCGGTTTGAGAGTGCCATTGCGTTTGACGGTGGCGTGTAAGTGAAGTGAACTGTTGTATTGAGAAAACATATGATAACTCTCCTCTATATATCGGCTGCCGAACTACTGGCTACCGGTCACCGATAGCCGCGTAGGACGCATTTATAAAAATCCCGATCTTGATTGTTATGTAAATTTTCCGTACTCACTTTGACATAAGGCGCGTAGGGCGTGAAATTCTGGCAATTGAGTTCTTGATACTATCTCGAGGCGTCATGATCTCGCTTGAGTCAGATACGGTTTGGATTCCCGCTGTGACATAGCCAAAGGACAGCGCAAGGGCGCGAGAAACTTTGTGGAACAATGCATGTAACGACTCTTATGAGGCGATTCCTTTTTGGCTTGAGATTGATTGATCAGTCTTTATTTCCATTATTGGATTGCTGCAAGTTCGAAGTAATCTAAAGTCATACCCAGACTCGAGCTGTTACCAATAGATACATCTACCTAATTGCCCAAGCATGTACCACGAAAAGACCCAAGATCGATACCTCAAAGTATAAAAGAGCGTCTAGTAAAAGATATTGATCCTCAAACTACGCCAAGTTATCACGATGCAACAAGGAAACACGACGTGAGGTCTAATGAAACCAACAACTCCTTTTATTTCTGTAACCCTGTATGAACGCTAATATCCTTTCCTCTATATCTTCTCTATTTCAAAGTAACAAGCTCTTCAGCGCTGGTGGGATGAATAGCAACACAGCTATCAAAATCGGCCTTTGTGGCACCCATCTTGACTGCAACACCAAAGCCCTGTAGCATCTCACCACTACCCAATCCCATAATGTGAAGACCAATTACCTTTTCCTCAGGTCCAGCAACAATCAGCTTGTAGTTTGTTGGTCCCTTCTGCTCAGGCTCCATCATGGCATAGTACATGGCTGTGAAGCTTGTCTTGTAGACCTTGATGTTGTCCTTGCCATACTTCTCGATGGCTTGGGGCTCGGTGAGACCGATGCTGCCGACTTCAGGGTGGGAGAAGACAACCGAGGGGACGTTGTTGTAGTCGAGTTTGAGGTTAGCAAACTCGGGACCGCCGAACAGACGGTGTGCAAGACGGCGACCAGCTGCGATAGCAACTGGGGTCAGCTCAACTTCTCCGGTAACGTCACCAAGAGCGTAGATGTTGTCGACTGCAGTGTTTTGGTACTCGTCGACGAGGATATGTCCCTTCTCGCCAAGCTTAACTCCAGCCTCCTCCAGACCGATATCCTTAGTCTCAGGAGTGCGACCAATAGCCCAGATCAGGTTGTCGACATCGCTGACAACACTCTCGTTGCCCTGATCATCCTTGTATGTGATGGTAAGCTTTCCGTTGGAATCCTTCTCGACCTTGCTGGCCTGCGAGCGCTTGTGCAGCTTAACACCGAGTCTCTCATACTCCTTAGTGACGCTCTCCTGAATCATGGGATCGAAGTTTCGAAGGAAAGTGTCGTAGCGGATGAAGAGGTGAGTCTCCGTGCCAAGGGCGTTGAACATGCCGGCAAACTCGACAGCGATGTAACCAGCGCCGACAATAGCAACCTTCTTGGGCTGTGTCGAGATATCGAAAAAGCCATCACTGTTGGTTCCGTATTCGGCGCCGGGGATCTCAGGGGGAATAGTAGGCTTGCCGCCGACAGCAACGAGGATCTTCTTGGCGTTGACGAGGACCTTGGAGTTGTCGTCGAGTGTGACCTCAGCCTGGTTCTTGGAGACGAGGCGCGCCCATCCGTGTAGGTAGTCAACCTTATCGTTATTAAGGTTTCGCTCGTAGATGCCGTTCAGGCGCTTGATGTAGGCGTCACGCTTGGTCTTGAAGCTGGACCAGTCGAAGGGAGCGGTTTGTTCAACGGAGAAGCCATAGGCCTTTGCGTCGTGGATGGCTTCGGCGAGGGCGGCAGCGTTGTAAGTGACCTTCTTTGGCACACAGCTGGGTTTCATTAGCGTATATTCATATTGCATGGTTCATCAGTACGCACCCAACGTTCACACAAGTTCCACCGAGTCGCTTGTTTTCGACAATAGTAGCCTTGACGCCAAACTTGCTGCTGGCCATGCGCGCAGAGGCAAGACCTCCACTGCCGCCGCCAATGACGAGGTAGTCGGTCTCCTTGGTGATGGGAGCCATATTGCGCGCAGATGTAGAGAGATGGCGGGTAATTGAAGCTATTCGCAGCGGGGTCGTTCTCGAGGACGAAGACAAGGTTGATGAGCGTAGGGAGTGGGCTAGAGCTTGCATGAGGTTGCCTCGAGGCTTAACCTTTTGTAATTGGTATGGAAAGAGTGGGAAAGAGATCGGGAGGGGAATGACGTCTTTTAAAGGGACGAAGATAGGACACAAGATGCGAAGGGACCAGAATGAGAAGTGGTAGGTAGTGGTTGTGGCGGGGTTACTTGAGATTAACGGAAGCGGATTGGATGGATGTGATTTGAGAAACGAGAATTGTGTTATTAAGACAGTCAATGGAGGGTTGAGTAAGCAAACCGACTTCAATCCAAGTATTGGTTGGTTGATATCAATGACGAGCTGCAGAAAAGAGACGATTTCAAATCCACCCGCATTGAGGATGATTTTTTGATCCCCGAGCCTAGGTAACTACAAGCTCCGTTAGCGGGGATGGTTCATAGTGGAGTGGAGGCCATGCCGAGCTCCTGGGGACCTTTTTGGAGTCTGATGGTGGTGTCAGGTTTCAAATCAGATAAATGGATGTGGAATCATGGTTCAATTCAATTCGATAAGTCCTGTTACTTGCTTAATTCTACCTATGCTTCCAGAAAATCCGACATAAGCCCCGCATTGGGTTGCATCAATTTCAGTTCCGAGGCTGGTTACAAAGACAGAGGGCGATATAAGACGTATTCTGCTGCCCGTTCATGATATTATTTCATGGTACCCTGGGACTGAAACTATTTCCTGAAATATTCAGTGATTAGTCATGACTGGGGCTACTATAACCTGGTCACATCATAAACACTGACGATGGTGTATATTGAAACTCTTGCACTTAGTGCTCGAGTAGAGCTGAATGGGCTATAAAACCTCAAAGGCTTTTAACTACCAGTGAGTGAAAATGATTGAGTTCATGATTAGGCTAAACTCGGCTTCTCCAAGTCAAGTGAGACATCTTTCGAGGCCTCGGAATCGATGGATGCACATGTAACGGGAAGCCTCGCATATGCATGCATATCCGGCAGCATGGTAACACGACACACCAAGTCTTACTGTCAGAGACCCTTGAAACTGGAATTAAATCTCAATCTTCAAAAATCGTTTAGTCTCGATTTTCTTCAAGTATACATCTTCAAGTCAAACCTCTCCCAGATGGCACAGATAGTTCTCTTTTTTTACTGGTAGAAGCCGCATGTAATCAAATTCATGCTCCTAGTCTGTTGTGCAACCTGATGGTCTGGGGTAAAGCCTCTATGATAGACAACAGCAATGGAAACAGAATGTTGAAGAACATGACTCAAATTAAACAACAAGCTATTCACATCATGGTGTTTTCTTCAATATCATCCATTCAAGCGTCATGACGTATAAAGGTGGAGCTTTGACAGCTGAATATCAACAGCTTTGAGCTTCGGTGGCCCTTGTGGCTTAAACCCTTACGTAGCCTGTGAGACTCTGGCGCGATAGAGGACGAGTTTCAAACTTCCAGTGCGTCTCTAGCGGATAATTGCTTCTGTCAAGGTTATTTATCCCCAGTCACGTCCCGCCGACTTCTGGTTGGTTACTGGGCAGCCTTCACCATCTCTCATTTGCTGCGTTGCTCCCTCTCGACTTGGCAGCACCGACCAACCCCCCCATAATCCACATCCATAATGGTCCAGCCCAGGCTGACGATCCAATCTCCATACTGAAGCGAAGCACAATTCAACCTCCATCTTGTCTCCTCAACTACATATTCTCCACGCCCGTTATATTGGCTTCACTATCGATCGCTGTATCGACTGTATAATCGATTACTGCGGTCCATTACTATTGTATACTCGAGATCCTTAATATCTCTCCTGGCGCTATCGCGATCCATCGTCCGTCTCTACCGTCCTGAGCTTCCATAGCTCGTATACGCGATCATGGCGGCTGATGAAGGTACTTGAAGCCCACATCCGATATTCTCTACCACACAAAGCTGACAAAACAGCGCCAAACCTGAACCTCTCCCCTGAGGAGAAGCGCACCTATGGACAACTCTTCCGACAGGCCGATTCAGACAGTGTTGGTGTCGTTGTCGGTGAAATTGCTGTCAGGTTCTTCCACAAGACAGGTTTAGACTCCCGTATCCTTGGCGAGGTACGTTGATGATATACATGACCCTTCTACTGACTTGAACTCAATGCTGATACTTGAATTAGATCTGGCAGATCGCCGATAAGGAGAACCGAGGTTTCCTAACACCAGCTGGCTTTGGTATCGCTTTACGACTCATCGGACACGCACAAGCCGGCCGCGAGCCCACTCCCGAGATCGCCCTCCAACAAGCTCCCCTTCCTCGTTTCGATGGCATCGTTCCTCAGGTTACAGGTGCCGGTGGCATTCCACCGCCTCCGCCTGTTCCCGTCAGCTCGCCGCCTCCCCCGGCCGCTCTTCAAGCCCAGAGCACCGGCGGGCCGATCCGTATCCCACCCCTGACTCCTGAGAAGGTCGCACAATATACTGGTTTATTCGAACGTCAACCTCTCCAAGGCGGTCAGCTTCCCGGCGACCAGGCCAAGTCCATCTTTGAGAAGTCCGGCCTACCCAATGAAGCACTGGGAAGAATATGGCAGCTTGCCGACACCGAGCAGCGTGGTGCTCTTGTCCTGACCGAGTTCATTATCGCCATGCACCTTCTTACCTCCATGAAGACAGGAGCTCTCCGATCTCTCCCTAGCGTCCTCCCCGCTGGTCTTTACGAGGCTGCCTCGCGCCGTGGTCCTGCCTCGCGCCAGTCTTCGACTGGTCCTGGCATCTCAGCCATTCCTCGACAAGTTAGCGGAACAGCCCAGGTTCGCACAAACAGCCCTCTCGGTCGTCCTCCCATGTCTCCTCAACAGAGTGGTGCTAGCGACTGGGCCGTGACACCTGCCGACAAGGCTCGATTCGATCAGATTTACGCCGACCTTGACAAGGGAAACAAGGGATATATCACAGGAGAGGAGGCTGTCACTTTCTTCAGCCAGTCTAACCTTCCTGAAGACTCCTTAGCCCAAATCTGGGATCTTGCCGACACAAAGTCTCAGGGGCAGCTTTCGCGAGACGAGTTTGCGGTTGCTATGTATTTGATTAGACAGCAGAGAAGTGGTCGTTCTGTCCCTCTACCAACTACTCTACCACCCAATTTGGTTCCTCCCAGCATGCGCACCCAGATTCGACCACAGACTGCTACATCCGCCTTTGATCCGCCTCCACCACTTGTTGTACAGGCTCCTCCTCCCGTTCCTAAGTCCGCTCTGGATGACTTGTTCGGCCTTGAATCAGGCACTTCCAGCCCTGCCCCCCCTCCCCCTGCTCAGGCTCCAATGTCAACAGGGGGTTCCAACGCCAACGATCCTTTCGCCGGCGGCTCTGCACTCACGCCTACCTCTCCCGTTAAGCCATCTCTTACAGGAACCGGTGGTTCAAGCTTTAAGCCATTTGTACCATCATCTTCATTTGGTAGAGGCTTGACGCAACAGCCCACTGGTGGTTCAGCTGGCTCTGGCCAGAAGCTTCCGGCACCTTCTGCATCCGAGGACTTGTTGTCAGATAACGATGAGGCTAGCAAGAACATCTCCGGGGAAACCACTGAGCTTGCAAACCTTTCTAACCAGATCTCATCTCTGTCCAAGCAAACCCAAGATGTGCAGGCCAAGAGGAATACCACTCAAAATGAACTGAACCAGGCCACGTCTCAGAAGCAGAACTTCGAGCAGCGACTGGCCCAACTGCGCACCCTATATGAGAAGGAGGCGCAAGATACTCGTGCCCTTGAGGAGCAACTCAGTAATGCACGGAAGGAGACTGCCAAACTTCAGTCTGAATGCATGGCGCTTGAAGGAACTTACCGTGATACTCAGACGCAGCATCAGCAAGTATTGGCAGCTCTTCAGGCGGACCAACAAGAAAATACCAACCTCCGAGAACGGATTCGTGTAGTCAATGGAGAGATCGCGCAGCTCAAGCCTCAGATTGAAAAGCTCAAGTCTGATGCTCGCCAACAGAAGGGACTGGTCGCCATCAACAAGAAACAGCTGTCCACTACAGAGGGCGAGCGTGATAAGCTAAAGGGAGAGGCGGAGGAGCTCACCAAGAGCATTGAGGATCTTCGGCTGGCAAACACTGGCTCGCCAGCATCTGCTTCGGCTCAAATTGCAAGCCCAGCTGCCTCGACCTCTAGCGCTAACAACCCCTTCTTCCGCCGCACTGCAAGCACTGATATTATGGGTGCATTTGCTTCTCCTCCTCCCACCAAGAATGTCTCTGATAAGTCTTTCGACGACCTCTTTGGTCCCTCATTTCCACCCAGCGTCTCAGCCACTCCACCACCACCTCCACAGACCTCGTTCAAGCCCCAGCATACTGGTGCCTCAACCGCTAGTGCAGGCTCATACAACACCCCTCCTGCCGCGAGCTCTCCTATCATGAGCCGCCAAGCAACCCTTGCTGCTGACCCCCCTGCTCCCCCGGAGTCAAGGCAGATCAGTTCCAGCTTCTTGCCTTTCCCTGACCATACTGAGTCGCTCTCATCCTCTCGCCAAGTGTCACCCCCTGCTTCGCGTGCTGATGACCCTCTCCATGGTTCAGCCACCCCTGTTCCCGGTGACCTGAAAGCTTCTGACAGCCCTGCCGGTGTTCCTGGTGCTTTCCCTGGCGACGAGCTTGACAAGTCTGAAGTCAAGGACGTAGCCTCTGCCCCTGACGATACTACCCGTGATGCTGTTAAGGACGAAGCACCAAAAGCAACCGAGTCTGCGGATCCATTTGGCGGTAATGATGAGGCCAAGGCCAAGGCCGACTTCGAGAACGCATTTGCTGCCTTCACCACTGCTAAGAACCATAGCAAGCCTTCCCCTGAAGCGAACAAGTCATCTGCCTTTGATTCGGAGTTCCCTCCCATTTCAGAGCTTGAGCGTGATGAGGAGGAGGAGTCTGACTCAAGTAGTGACAACGGAGGCTTTGATGATAACTTCACACCTGCATCACCGCCCGCCAAGCCCTTTGGCGAGAAGGCGAACGCGGGAGAGTCACCCGAAGCTACTCACGCAGTCCCTGCCAGCACTTCACCACAGCCAGCCCAGGGAGCCACCCCTCCCGCAGAACCCAAGGCCCCTAGGTAAGTGGTCGATCATATTCAAAGTTCTGATGTCAAGAGTTAACATAAACCAGTACCGAGCAGCCTTCGTCTCCCGCAACCGTGACTGAATCCACTGCTCAAAAGTCATCGGTCGATGATATCTTTGGCGCGGCTGCTACCGGAACTGCCCCTGCTTCGCAACAGCCTGCCCCTTCCAACCCCCCTCAGACCAAGGGTGGATTCGAAGACTTGGACAGTGACTTTGAAGGCCTAGAGGATGCTAAAGAAGGCTCTGCTGATGAGGATTTTGCCAACATCTCTCGCTCCGGACTGGACGACTTCAACCCCGTTTTTGATAGCAGCCCACCCGGAAGCCAGACTAAGACTGAGTCCACTGCGTTCGGCAACGAGAGCTTCGACTTCATCTCCCACAGCTCAACTGGCGCTGCTCAGCCTGCTGTCGGAACCAACCAGCAGAAGGCTCCCGAGGCTCATGACTGGGATGCTATCTTCTCTGGTCTCGACTCCCCTAGCGCAACTGCTGCCCAGCCTGCTTCCGCTGAGAAACCAGCGGGCGCTGAGTCCCATCCTGGTCAGCAGGCTCTGAACCGCACTTTGTCAACCGAATCCGAGCATGATGACCCAATCCTGAAGAGCCTTACAAGCATGGGCTACAAGAGACCTGAAGCTCTCGATGCTCTCGAGAAATATGATTACGATCTTGACAAGGTTAGTTGAACTCGATCTGCATAAAGGAATTCCTCTAACGTGTACAGGCGGCGAACTTTCTAGCTAGCCGCTCATAATAAACACAACAACAGAGTTGTCTCAGATATTATCTTCTGAAGGAAGGGCTTAATGCATACCGCATACTTGTTTCCTTGCTACTGTTTTTGTCTGCATCCTCATGATTCCTTTGTTGAATATTTTCTTGGCAGCGAGATTTTCCTTTTGCGTCTTGGTCCCATTGGACATGGGCTTGTTCTCCTATCATCTATCATCTATCCACACATTGTAGTATCATGAAGACTACTTGTTTGCTTAAGCCTGTATTGATTTCGTCTTTCATGTTGCATACTTTGAGATTGCAGCTGTAGAGATGCAGTTTCGTGTCGCCGATATAATGATGCAGATAGAGCAGACACCAACAAGTTAAAATAATGAGTCATTCAAACAAGCGTAAATAACATTGTCGCTAACAGGGCATGAAATGATGCCCATCATACACAATTGCAATAACCATCTACCTTTTCCCATTTAAACGCAAATCATGACTCGTCCTCGGTTACTTGACCCTGCTCATAATAGTCTCTGGTCCACGCCCACTATCAATATTGGCAGCCTCCTTCTTAACCGCGCCGATCCAAGACCTCTCAAAGTCATCTCTTGACTTCAACACAGCCTCAACCCACTGCACATTCAGGTCCCAATAAGCCATCTTGAACGTCACGTAAGCGTCCACGATGGCATCGCGGTCAGCTGTCAACAGACGCAAGAAGTGTTCTGTAACACGCCAGGTCTCCTTGATAGAGGCACCAATGTCAGGTGAAGGGAGTGTGCTGAAGCACTCGAAAGCTGTGGAGATATCGTTGAACAGCTTGTCCTGAAATGGGTCGGTACGACGGAACTTTGCGCCCTTGTTGCGCACAGCGGATAAGTAGCGAACAAGTAGCTCCTCAGCAAAGATCTCAACGAAAATATCGACCAGTGAATGGTGCAATACATGGCGGTAGTCGTTAACGTACTCCTCGAACGTCACCACCATCTGCTTCATAGCAGTAGTTGTGTACCATCGAGGCGTAAAGAAGTCAGGCATGACGGTACCAAAATCGACAGAGAATATAAGTTGAGCGAAGCGGTTGATACACCATGTGCTGAAGTCGACGTAGCCGTCACGCAGCGTATTAACTTCACTCTCAATACGTTCAAGGTACGCGGGTGTAACATGCTGCTCCACAAGACGACGGAAGCTTGAGAGGTATGCAAGACGGTTCTCGTCCTCGTTGTCGTCGATGCAGGCGATCTGGTCGTTTGCTGTAGCCACGAGCCAATCCTGAAGAGCCTGGAAACCCTCGAGTTCAGGAATCTTACCCTCCTCGTAGGGGATAGCCTCATCTTCAAGCATAGCCTGCCACGACTGCTGACGAGTGCGTAGACGGGCAAACATAGCGTCGATTACACCCTCAACAACATCAGCGCGCTGGGAGTTGGCAGCTGTGTCCACTTGCTCACGCAGCATTCGCCATAGGGCAACAAAGTTCTTGGTTCTGAAATAGCCATACTCGTCCTGATCCAAGTTGGAGCCCTCGACGTTGCGCTCTGCCAGGTCGCGCTTCTCTTGTGCAAATATTCGGTCAATCCACTCATCAAGGAATTTAATGATGAGCTCACGAAAGTCGCGAACAAGCTCTGCCTCGCGGTTGTCGATAACATGAGGTATAAGCTCTTCTTGCTTCAGACCGATCTTTACCATCTTTCTGTAGTACTTCTCCGGGAAGCCCACGATTTCCAAGGTATGTGCTGACGACGCCTCGTTGCCATCTACCATACCGACCAGGAAATCGTGCATCAGCTGGTGATATACGCCAGCGTATGTCTTTACGATATTCCACTTCTTTGGCATAAGGTGCGACATTCCAACCTTGACGACGTTTAGATCGTTGAAATACCACTTCATGATCTTGTCCAACTTGCTCGGATCTTCGAGGAACTCTTCTTTTGCTCCTTCGAATTGTTGCTCTGCGCTGAGTCGAATAGCTTGTATGAACTTCTCCTTATAGCCACGAACCTTCTTGGCGCCGTCTGTGATACTCTGAAAACGGGTTGCCATTTCTTTGTGATCTTTGAGAGCTTCCTGCAGTGCTAGTACACGTTGGTCGCTTGACTCCTCGGCCTCCATCACCACTGCGAATCTCACAACAAGCCCATTGTTGTCCTGCACAACGAGATTAATGAGATTCAGAGCAATGATGCCAACATGCTCATCAAACCAATCAATCGTGTCGTCTAGCCTCGAAAAGTAGTCCACCAGTGTCGCTTCAAGACTCTCGTCCTCTGCGCGTTGTATTTGTTCCATAGCATCGTCGCGGATATTTCTCAATTGAGTAAGTTCGTAGTGGCACGGCAGCAGATTTGGCATGTTGTCGCTGTCCTCGTCATCTTCCCGAAGCATCAACTCGACACGCGATATGCGCTCGTTGAAGGTCTCGAGGTTGCGACGCATGGTCTCGACGGCGCCAAAGTTGCGGTGTGCTTGTGACACGAGGTTGATGCTCGCAAAGTCCTTTATCATATTCTGTGACTCCGAGCACAGCTTGTCGATCTTGATCATTTCCTCTTTGATCATCTGGACCGTCTTCTGGCCGTCGCTCAGCCCCGTCATGCCCGATTGTGTCGTCTCAAGCTGCTCGCGAAGGCCGCTTCGGAGCTGGCCATCTACGGCGCCCTTTTTGCGTGAGAATTCTAACTTGAGCGCGGGTATCTTGTCTAGATCGTCGGGATGCCGTAGCAGCTCCGAGAGCTTGGGAGCAGGTGTGTCGTCCATTGTAGCGGCGTCGGCGTCGAGGGGTTCCGCGCCCAATCAAATCATGATGCGGGGGTATCGTGTCTTTTATAGTGCTGGGCTTTTGGTGCTGGTGTCTAGATATTAAATTCGTTGGGCATAGGTGAACGTTAAAGCGAGTGTGTCGAGTTGGGCATGTCAAAGTCAACGTCGCGGGGAGCTAGCTATTCACTGTCCCTTACTGCAGGTCGTTCCATCATGTGGCTGACAGCGGAGCACAGCCACTCAGGTCAACACCAACGACAGTATCATGATAGAAAGCAACAAAGTAATTAAGGAACATCGAAGTGGGGGAAATAATATGCAGAACTTGGTACAGGATATTTTGTTCATTTTGGGGTATCATTACAGTTACGTCTTGACCAATTTATACCTGCTCAGTCTTAGTCGCTATCACTTCCAGAGCTGCTCGTCTCATCATCGTCATCATCCTCTTCTCCAAGGCTTTGTTCGGCAATCACATCGCCTTCCTCAAGACTTACTCCCTTGAATCCAGTGTTGATGCCATCGTCTGACTCATTTCCCTCCTCGTCACCCCTGACCTCACCTTCTTCTACATCCTGACCCTTATTTCTTCTTTTGTTCGGTTTGGCCGGGCCTTTCTTTCCAGGGGGGTTTTTCCTCTTGTTACTTTCCTGAGGGGCTTTATCCTTGGGTCCAAGTGTGAAGGTCTCAGGAAGGCTCTGACCTTGGTCAAGAACCCATATTGTGGGAAATTCCAGCACGCGCGTATTTCTCAGTACCTCTCGCAGGCAGTCTTCGGGGTCGAGTCTAGTGACAACAGAAGGCTTGTCCGAAGGGGTCCGGAACTTTGCGAGAAAGAATTGAAACTGCTTCTTCTGAGCTTCTATTTTCTCAGATGGCCACAAGCCTGGCCCTGTGTCGTTATGATTCGTCCAAGTAACTGTAGAGGGATCTTGGAGCGCAAACGACCCAGAGGACCATGTGTAGTTCACCAAGTCCTGCACCTGTCCGTCCGTACCTGCTCGTGGGGTCTTCTTGGCCTGTTGCCCTTTCGCCTTCTGCTGTTCTTCTAGTGAAATATGGTATGCTTCATATAGTGGCACATCATCCATAACCTTCGATAACATCCGGACCTTCTTTGGCTCTGCATCGGGATGATTCTCCAACACCATCCACTCAACTTGCCAATTGATTCTGTTGGTTCGCCGGTTGAGTGTAGTATGGTTCTCCTTCTGCCTCGCCATGCCCAGCGGCGCACACACGATCGTGATGTTCAACTTCCTCAATCGTGCAGCCAAAAACCGTTCAAAGGTTCTGCCTTTAGCTTCGCGTAAGACTCTGGTGACGAGAACCTTGCGCTTGCGCCCATCTTTTCCAGGCTTCCATTTAACCTCTTGGACCGTCATCGGTCGCAATTCCTCCTCTTGCACGATACCACGCTCTTCGACGAGAAGCTTCTCGGCGCGTTCGACAGAGCGCTCAATTCCATGGAGGAAATTGTAATCATGATCGACACCTGCGGGAGTACGAAGTTTCGATGGAGCCATGTAAGCTGTTGCGTCGCGTTCGCCGGAACATTCAGACCAGGCTTTGTGTTTCTTGATGCACGCGAGGGAACAGGTTCGAGTGCCACATCTTGGGCATTTGTATTTCGGGGTCGATATGTGGCAAATTCCGCAAAGAGATGTTAACAAAGGATCAGCCATTATAGATTGCGATAGTTGAGAAGTCTGGGTGAAGGAGTTGTAGAAAGAGAAGAATGCGCCAACACTCTCAATGGGTAGACGTCGCTAACGGAAACTTTTTTATGGGTCTTTTCGCATATCTTATCAGTAGCTCACGTCTCATACCATACAACGTCAGGCTAAAAGGCCGTAATAACTTGCAAGTCTATAGTACGTGCCACTACAATGATGTATATTACAGCAAGTCAAGTACTTTCACACATGACCAGAGGCTAGGATAACATTCAAATGTGTTTCATTCTTATACCCCCCTTCAACCAAGTAAAGGAGGAAGACTATACAAACACCGCTACGTAGAAGAATATTCTAACATAATGAGAAGATGGCCGTCAGGCTTAACGTAGGTATATGAGCTAAGCTGCTCATCAGATGAGGCAGAAAAATGGTAGTGACAAAAAAGATATAGGGGACATCAAACGCCGAACCCGCAGGTTTTGATCCAAGCCAGCCGCCAAATACAAGACAATTAAATCGAAATAAGCAAGAAGTGGGAAGTTCACAAAAAAGCAAGGCTCATGCTCAGACGTTAAGGTGTTTATCCAAAACACTCAGCGGGTGCCACCGAGAGCGCTGATCCTGGCGCCCGACGGCCTGTGCATCAGGGACTGTTGGTGCTGGAGCTGATGCTTAGAAACGACGCTTGTCTCATGTGTGACCCCTCCGTTGTCGCTTCGATTTTCCTCGAAGTCCTCTTCGTCATCCTCGACAATCTTGGTGGGGATCTCGTCTCTAAGGCTATACTGTTGGGACGCTCGCTCCGGAGTCGTAGCCGTAGAGGCAAAGGACATTGCTGTGCTGCTCCTGTTGGGAATGAGATCCGGGGTGGGAGGGATACTGGACGCCCTCCCGGACCGCGGCGCCAGGAGGGAGTCGTCTCCTGTTTCGGACGTGGCGGCGGAGTGGCCGTCATCGCTCTGGGTGGTAGAGAGGCTAGAATTCCTTCTACTAGAACTCCCTAGTTCGGCATCATGTGCCAGCTGGAGACCCTCAACAGCAGCTTGACATTGCTCAGCAATGTTTCGGACGATGTGAGCAATGGCGTCAGTCTTATCCTTGAGGTGACGATCGGCAACGTCGGTGAAGCTAGACGAAGAGTATCGCTTGTTTCGGGGGTTGGGGCTGGGGGTAAGGCGGCCAGGCTCACCAGCCTGTTGCACATCCTCCTCGGCTTCATCATAACCCTCCTCGATCTCATGGGTAAGGTCATCAGGCTTGGTGAGAGACTGGATGAGATGCTCCATGTGGTGGCTCTGACCACCGATGAGACTGCGGAGGTGAAGGACAACTCTGCGAGCCTCATCACGCTGTCGCATGATGGTCATGTTAGTGTGCTGAAGCTGGGAAAGCTCCTTCTTGTTCCTCTTGCGCTCACGCTCAAGCTCCTCAGCAATCTCCTGCTGAAGGACAAGAGCCTCGAGAGCGTCATCACGCTGCTTCTCGGTTCCAGTGAGGCGCACAGAGAGGCGAGCGTTGTCATCCTTCTGTTGATCAATGAGACCAGCAAGACGACGGTTCTCCCTCTTGTGTGTGTCAATCTTGACCTTGAGATCCTGGGTCTCCTTGGTGAGGGTCTCAGCGAAGGCCTGGAACTTGAGGAATTGCTGCTTCCAGCTCTCAAGCTCCTCAACCAGGTAGTTGTTACGCTTAGTAACCTTGTTGAGCTCCGTATCCATGCGGCCCTTAAGGTTGATGAAATCTTGCCAAGCCTCAAGAGCATCGCGAGAGTACTGGTTCCTCTCACGAACGATCTCATTAAGATGGCGCATAGAAACCTTGGTCATGAGAGGCTTCTTCACAGATCCACCAAAGACGGCCTTGATACCAGTGTTGCGTCCAAGCTTCTCACAGACGTGGTCCATAACAGCCATGACGGCATCCTGGTTCCACCACTCAGGATCCTGGATAGACTCAACCTCACCGCGCATAACGATGATCTGGCCCGCGGGAACGAGCTTGCCGCCACCATAGGCGGATCGAAGATGCTGAGGAACTCCAGAAGGAGTGACATCACCATTGAGAGCTTGTGTAAGTCGTGTAACAAACTTGTTGCGCTGGCCGGGGGTAAGAGCAGTAGGAGGGCTGGAGGTAAGAACAAAGTTGCGATCAAGATCAACCACCAGAGCATCGGTAGGGGCAGTGAAGAGCGAGCGACACTCAACGGTGATACCCAAAATGTAAGGGCCGGGCTCCTGAACCAGTTCCTTAGCGTGACGAGCGTGCACAACTGGGACATAGAGTCCGCTCCACTCGTAAACTCGAACACAGTATCGCACGGTCTCAGCAGCCATGGTGAGCATAGCAGGGTAGTGGCTGACGAAGATGATTCGGCGTGTAGGAGAGATGGCGGCTTCGATAACACCGACAATGTTGGGAATCGAGAGACAGTTGAAAAGAGGCCACATGGCAAAGTTCTGGAATCCAGTAGGCGAAGATGGGAACTGGTAGCAGAGAGCGTAGTCCTTCATGTCGATGCGAACAAGATCGTTGAGGCGAGGAGCAGGGAAGCTCAGGATACGGGAAACTTCCTCAGCGTGGAACAGGTTGGTAGCCTTGTTCCAGTGAATCCACATACCTCTGAGATAATCTCCAAGAAGATTGTACAGAGGGTATCGTGAAAGGAACGACAAGCAGTAAGGGATCCAGTAGGTCTCATCGGGGTTGTCGTAGTAGTCGCTCTCGGTTCTCTTGCGAAGGTCGCGAATTGTCTCGGCCCTCTTCTCATCGGCTCGCGACCAAACGCGCAGGCAAATGCCGTAAAGAGTGTGAGAAGAATCTTGCTGGAGAACGAAAGCATGGTGAACACAGTGAGGCTGACTTCGGCCTGTGCAGATCTCGACATCGTGAGGGAAGCATGCCTATACAATAGTTGCCACTGGTCAGCTATATGAATTTTAAATGGTCAATGGGTTGGGTGTACGCACCCTCATAGCGGAGTGAAGAGCCCGCGCAATCTCATTATCCTGCTCGAGACGTGGGCTGCTGCCCAGAATCTCAGGGAGCCAGAACTGCCCAACAGCCCCCTTCATGTGGCCAATCTTGCCTTGGGCCGGTGCAGGAGCCTTGACCCATTGAGAAGGCTCACGACCAACACCACAAACCATGTAGGCATGTGTCAAAGTCTTCGGAGTTCGCTGCTGAGGCTTCATGTTGAGGGTTGAAGGGATGGGCTGGGTGATGCGCGAGTGAAGCGAAGAAGTTCGGCTGGGGATCAGGAGGTTCTGATCAGCGCCCTGGTCGCGGGTGCTGGGCCTGCCATCGCGGTCGCTAGTCCGAGGACGGGTAAAGGAGGGATGGGTGTTCAAGGAGGGAGGCATTGTTGATAGTGTTGAGCCTGAAAAGGCCTCTCGTTTCCTTCGTAAATTCGGGTATCGATATAGTTGTCGTCGGATTGACTTTGAGAATAGTCGTTATGCTCTCAATTATGCTGTCTTTATTCCTGAGTTATGCTGACTAGCAGGTTTGGTCAGTCCTCGAACTTGTCTTGGAGTGCCCGATTTACTTGAGGCTCCGCTCCGCACTCAAGGCTTCATTCAATGCTCGAGTCAACCGGGCTTTGAATAGAAAAGCAAGGAAGAAAAGAGAGAGAAGATTGAAACTCGAGAAACGAGGGGGGAGATGAAGGAAAAGTAAAGGGAGAAGAGGCGAGAGAAGCCATGAATGGGTGTAAGTCGGGGGGTGAGTGGAGAACTAAGGTAAGGTACCTAGAGCCCAGGTAGGTACGGGTGCCTACCTCTAGAGCTAGAGAGCCAAGAGAAGCGAGACAGCTTCTGAAGGAATGAGGTCAAGTACCTATACGTACCGTTTTCAGTTGAGAGAATGGATAGAATGGGAGCTCCCGTCCGTTGAATGGAGCGAAAGTGGAGGAATAACAACGGCAGAAATGAACCAGAAGCACTCAACGAACAGGGCTTCAGCGGGCGAAATTGTGAGACAGATGGCGCACAAGGGGGCTTTGATCCCCTGCCAGTCACTTTCTAGGTTGGGATAGGTACCGTAACTGGTTTCTCCTAGTTTGGTGAGCCGGGCATTTATCACTAAACAAGGAGGGTAGGAACTGAAAACAATTGAGTCGTATTTGTCGGCGCAGTCATGCAGAACAGGTAATGTGATTATGTGTAACCAATCTTTTCGCGTGTAAGTGAGTGACTGTAGGTGAATATGCTGGCGTTGACTCTTTGTCACAGTCTCACAGACGAACCCAACGAAAATCAAACCCTTATGCTCTAAATCCCTCCTTACAGTCAATAAACTTGCTTACACTACCTACTAAAAGTAATAGACCACCTGCACCTGCACTGCAAGTCAAGGCAAGGGGAAGCCGTCCGTCAGACGATGCATGTACCGGTACCTTACGTACCGTACCTACATTAGGGGCTAGATGAGGAGCTACAGAGGTCCAATCCCTCCACCCATTGAGGGGCCGGGATGCTGGGGCTGTCAGGGGCACACTGCACGCCTTCTGCAGGGGTCATGGGTCCCTAGGTTCCGGGTACATGGCGGACACGACGGCGGTATTTTTATTATGGCGCTCAGCGTTCGACGCGACGTTATGACCCGTGGACGGACCTCATATAGTTCGGACGTTGTGATATTCATTTGGTTAGATTCACCAAGTCATGCAGATTCTTTGCTTTGTTCTCGCCATCAGGGAGAAGAAATTCCTTGACATGTCATAACCAAACGTCTTTGTTAGCTTCTTAGCCTCCAACGCCAACGTTTAAGTGGCGAGATCTAGAGTTCGAGGGGAACTCCTTTTCTGACCTAGAGTTGAGGGCCGGGGAAACTCAAACCACGAGAGACAAGCATTGCCATGTCAAGTAACGGATACTTGATCTGACTAGAGCCGGAGCACTTGGATACCGGTCTCCAATACACAAACAATAGCATTGCGCCGTTTGTTGTTGAACTGACGTTGGAGTTCCATTGTCCCAGGGACTAGACAAAGCAGTCCAGTGCCGTTCTGTCATTTTGACAATGTCACCGAAGAATTGACATGACATTTCTTCCTGCTTCTGTCACTTGGTTCCACATCCCTGACACCCAGCGCAGTGTTTGAGCTGTGTCTTGATTGCCCGGGCTACAATCGTTTGCGCATTTGTTTCTCCAGTGACTATAACATAAGCAGGCAAATGCCATTGTTTCTGGAGAAACTCCATTCCTACAGGTTAAACATCTTCATCGCCCTAGGATAATTAACCCATTCCTGCCGTTTCTTCGAGTCGATCTGAGTCTCTGGTTCTTCCATAGCGTGACCTTAACACCAAGGATCGTCACCCCCACTCTATCAACCCCCGGCTCGAGAGATAACACAACCAATCGTAATCAAGAAAAGTGAGCTCCGGACCCCAACGTGGGAAATTATCTGTGGTTGATGTTGACGTTCAGAATCTTCTGATGGTAATGAACAATACGACTGTATCTTTTTTCCCTGTGTGTCTGTGTGATGCAACATGAAGAGACAAAAAGCAAAACGCCTTCTCGAAACCTAACGGTCAAGTGATCTATCTATCAACCAAAGCCAAACCAGATGAAGGAGGTCGAAGACAGCACGTTTGAAGTACAGTGACACTTGAATTGAGACCAATTGCACTAATTATGGAAATGAACAAGAAACGACAACTCCGGAATGTCTTGTATTACAAGACACAAGCATATCACTCTAATACCTTGCCTAGTACAAGTACATTACACTGTAGCTAATTGCTCACTGTGCTCAATCAAGTTGGCATTGTTTCTCTCCAAACATTTTATGATACCAATGTCTGAAGTTTGGTCCGAAGCTTGACCTTCTCTGTCCAAGACGATGATAGGCCTAACGGGCGATGTGACCAGGCGCGGAAACGATCGACAGGGGTCCCTGGGCGGAGAAACGAAACAGGAAGGCTAATGCGGTCTTTGCCATTATCTGGTAAGCTCTTCAGGTTAGTTGAGGTCAATAGTTGAAGTCGTTAAGAAACAATAACTTGGAGGTGGTGATGTTTTCAGCTGTGGTCATGCCAAGTTAGTTCCTCTACCGATAGGCGTTTGCATTTGCATCATCCCCTGCTCCTCGCTTCTGTACGGTTTACCTGATGATGCATGCACTCTAGAATCCATCGCTGCAACGACTCCACCACTTTAGATTCGTCTGCCTGTGTGCAGACGGGATCGGCATTGCTAGAGAGAACACCAAAGCTCAATTCGAGCCGTTGTAATCTGCTTTCAAACTCTAACATCTCGACAGGCCATATATTGCGGCAAAGCCGCTGAATACTGCAGGTGTGTTTCAAATATACAGTACAACCATCATCCTGGCACTTGGATAGTAACATTGATTTAACTTCCCGTTAATGGAACCCCGAACGATCAACAGTAGATCAATATCCACGAGGCTTTTCTTCAAGATGTCAGTGGCCCTTGGTTTTTGAGGCAAGTAACCTTACCGTTACTTGAAGCCGCGTATAATAGATAACCGGCTTATATGAATCCGCCACCAGTTCGTGGCAAGAAACGTTGAAGGTCTAAACAAAGCAACATCCTGGGCATTTATGCCTCGTACTTGACCCCTGCTGCAGAAACCCAGCTGAGGAAACTGAATAATAATAGCTGAATTATACATACTATTGAGTGCATATGTGGCATCAGGTGTCTATCTACGGAGTACTGTCTGTCTTGTCATCAATCGGCCAAAGGAATTACCGTGATGGATACCTCCATTTCTTACCAGCTTCGACCAAGTTCAGGTTCAAGCACTAACTATGAGCCAATGTCGCCAGTGGAGGTAAATAACACAAATTCTACCAAACTACCGGGCTTTTATCCACTCTCCCTGGAGTTGTGTCCCATGCTCATGACGCTATACAGCCGCCGCGCGTTTCAAGTCCTAGATGGCGTCCATCTAGGCACAGCACCAATGGCCTTGAAGGCTTGACCTAAACAACGGCTTTGTTATCTCGAATTTGTTAGCATCTCTACGTCTATTCGCTCACTATAATTATGTCGATCTTTGTTGCCTCTCCGGCTTACGATATCCTTGTTTCACCATGCGCCTCAAGCCAAGAATCAGATACTGCACTCGACTTGTCAATTGAGACATATCATCGCTCATCTCGTATAGACCAAAAGCCTCTCATCAAGGCAAAGCAAAGCAAAGCAAAGCAAAGCAAGCCAAGGCAATTAATTGTTAGGCGAGGTCCTTACCTGATTCTCTTCTCCCCCGGTCCATGCTCCTTATCCCGTCCTCCTGATCCGCGTCTAATAAAAGGCCCATGTCCTTATTAACCAGGGCTTGCTTTTGCTTTTTTCCTCTGCTGATGATGATATTTCTTTCCGTTGCGCACTTACCCACGTGCATTCTGTGCTTTGCTGTGCTCCCGGCCTGTCAAACTATACAGACGCCGAGATAGTCAATAGTCTCTCCGTGAACCCCGAGGAACAGACTCGCTTGGACGTCGGTCTCGTTTCGCTATCAGCGTGCTACTCTGTCGATCCTCCTCTCGGTAATACTAAATAAAAATTCGACATTTCAGATTTTTCGACTGCTACGGCTTACTATTTCGCCGTTCATGAATAATGCTGTCTTGGCCTCTAAGAACATGGTTGTCAGACATACCATCACATTCCAAAGAATTTCTCCGTTGATAAATCGATCGAGTCAAGAAAGACTCGGGTGTTTCTAATTCTGAAAATAGAGCTATGCCTAGAATTATGCTTGTACAAACGAACTGGGCCAAGTAATCTCTTATGCAGCTTCCCTGTGCCTCGCATTCATCCCTAGTGCAATGCTCACCGACGACATAGCATGTCTTATAATCATGGGTAGACCGCTCTATTGGGCCCAGCTGAGCTCCGTTGTTTCCGATGATGACATTATTAACTCCTTGTTTTGTCTTACTTGCATTGGCGTAGGAATGCTTGTTTGATGGTATCACGATCCAGGGTATGATGTTGCACGTTTGCAACCAACTGATTCGGGCGCGTGGCACTTTGATTCAATAATTGTGTACGGATGCAACTGCATACTGAACATGATTTTAATATTATTCTGTATTTCCAGTTTGCACTATTGTTCATTTGTGCTGTCTCGTGTGGGCTCCGAAATCCAGCAAATGTGCTTGTATGTGGTATCAACGATATGCCAAAGAACAAACCCAGGCATCATGAAATGCCCAGACTCCAAGCCTCCTACGAAAAGGAACAAAAGAAAAACCAAAGACAATGTGGTCTCATTCCTCTCGGGCCATAACATCCGATACCTTCTTGACTGCGTCCTCGATGTCATTCCCCAAATTCATCACTCGAGTGACCAAGCTGATACCATCCAGCTTATGCCCTAGGCTTGAGGGAAGAACAAGTTGGCCTCGCTCGGCGGTGGCAGGCAAGACATCAGAATTTTCTGTTTTCGACTCGCCGTTCGTTAACCGGGTTGAGTTCGATATTTGTTGATCTTGTACGACCTCTTGGCGGTTGATGTTGATCCAGAACAAGGAGATGTCTTTCCCGCAGATAATTCGAAGGATGTCTTCGATAACTTGTTGGCTCGATATGTTGTTCGCCAGAGAAGCTGTCACCAGGATAGTGTAGCCCTGGTCCGCCAATCTTCGGATCTCATGAAGGTAGGCTGATCGACACCCTCGCTGATACGCGTGAGGGCACACTGGTCCGGCCATTATGGGGCTGTCGACTATCTGAATCTTCTGGCCATGGAGTCGTTCCTTGAGGTTCTTCACAATGCTTGTTTTCCCCGTGCCTGGGAACCCATTAAGGATCAAGACTCTGCCTTTCTTGGGCTCATCGAAGGGAGCCTCAACAGTAACGGCACCAACTTCCATGTCGGCGGTTAATGGTGGTTCTTGATTATTCTCCATAGTCTTCGATTGTATGTTACGGGCCTCCAAGTTGAGAATTGGCTGAGACTGTGTAAGTCGGGATATTGAAGACAATGGGTCAAAGAAAATCTTCGACAAAAAGGAAGAGAACTTGTAGATTATATGGTCCATTCTTAAAAGTCTATGCCCTTTAGAAGTCATCTTGAGAAAGTTTATCGAAATCTAGCCTCGAAGAGTTCACGACTTTTCTGGATATTTATTAGACTTAACCTTGAGTGTTCAGGAAACTCAAACGTGAACATGGCCACTTGAAATCAACCGTGAAACAAAGACAAATTGAGAACACCACAAAGAACAAACGAATGTAGGTGAATTACTGACGCCCCTTTGTCGCCTATAGGTCACTGGACAGTTCTGGTACTAAACGCGTTACCAAAAGGACGAAAGTTATATCATGGTATGCGGGTTTGTTGGGTAGGATAGTAAGTGTAAAGTACACATTGCCTTTTGTACACAATATTCTTATGGGAGAATTAGAAGAAGTTCATGTTGGCTCAGTATCAAGGGAGTTGCTGAACTAACACCAAACAATACCAAGAAACCTCTGCTTTGATTCAAGGCCACATAACCAGGTTCACAAAAGCTATCTCAAACGCTGGCGATATCTGGGATTCGTCGTTTCGAGACTATTGGTCTTAAAAAAACCAATGTATTCTTTTCACTGTCGTGATGCTGAGTCATATGCAACCATAAATCCTTTGAAACATGCAAACTTTGATCATATATGCTTTATACTGCGACTCATGGAAGTGCAAATGAACAAACTTCATGTCCTGAAAACTTAATGCTCAGCTGTCCATATATCTTTATCATCATTAAGTTCCTTCCAAATCACTCCAGAACAGTAAGCTCGGCGCTCTCGCACGGAATTAAAGCTTCAACTTGGATCGCCTTTCCATGTAATGCTTTATTATAGTAACTTAAAGAACAGATATGAAGCAATGTAAAAAGTGTTCTGGGCGGGTCTTAGCACACGCCGTATTAATAAGACATGGATATTGCAAGATGCCGGACATTACCAGAGGCCACCATGGGCGCAAGAACACTGTCGATTCTTCTTTCAATTGTCCGCCTTCCTGTTGTTCATCTTTTCCGGCGTGTTGTAATCACCAGTAAACCAGACTCGACTTGAAAGCATTGGCATCTGTGGAGATAGTGGCCGTTCCTCCAGTCTCAGTGGCAAGAGTTAACATAGTCTCCAGCCCCTTGCTGGACGGCTCGTTCTCGACAATGTCATGTTTGATATAACGTCCGTGGAAGCGCCATTGTCGAAAGCGTTCATGACCACCTGAATTAACGCCAGCTGCCGAAGGCGTTGGTGCTGCAGCAAGCGACAACAGGACGATTGTTCATCCCCATCTTTGGGTGAGTAGCGAACTCATACTCATGGTTGGAGATACCGGCCTCTCCTGTTGCGTCAGCGCCAATAAGGCGGGCACGCTGCCAGTAGTACTTGGGTCCTCGTTCTTGCTGGACTTGTTGCTTCTCTCCTTCTGTCATAGGAATGGTGGGCTCAAAGAGGTCCTTTGAGGACAGAGTTCTGGCAGTGAGCTCCTCTCCAGGCATCACTTTTACAGCCAAGTTGGATGCCATCATGCCGATAAAGAAAAGGCTTGGTGAGCTTTTGACAGGATTATCTGTGTCAAAGACATCATTGACCTTCTTGATTATCCGTTCATCTATATCCCGAGGCTTTCGGGTCGGCCTGCCTGGGTGAAAGTACCGAGAGTAGTCTCGTGTCTCGAATTTGGACAAATCGGTCGATATGATGGTTTTGATCTCAGCTTTGATACCATCTCGTTTGGCGACCTGGAAAAAGGTCTGAGCCCAGTGCTCTTGATTCCTTTCGTCGGGACTTGGGATCTGTCGCGTGACCAGAGCCATCTTCTCGTCTAGTCCCTGTGCACTGACAGGGCCGATGAGTAGACGTCGACGTTCATACTCAGACGCGGTGTGCTCCATTTTGGCACAGAAAGCAACGTGAAGCTTGCCCGGCCCAGCAAAATCCCCGGACTAATCGTCTGGATACTCATTTTCTAATGATATCACTGCAGAATTGGTAGGCTTGGAGACAGATGATGGTGCATTCTGTCGGCAGTGTGGTCCTCCCAAGCAACTACTTTGCGCACTCGGTGGTCAGATTGATTTACGCAGCGCATCCTGACATACATCCGATGATTCTGTAGCAGTCGATGGCGTCTGATTTTGTAGCCTGGCAGCCGAGTATTTCAAGGTTGACTATAAGGCAGCTGTCAATAGCCTTTTGGTCGATCTCCTTCCGGTGTTGGTGAAGAGGATTTTATTGCGTATGAGCGTCTCGTGGCACACAATTGCTAAATGGTGGAATGACGAAAGCAATGTAACAAACAGTAGTGACTGGTTTAAGAGGAGTCGGGGCTTAAGTGACTGATATTCATTGTAGTATTAAAGGTGTCAAAGTATTTGTTATTGTTGTGCATTGGTTTTCAGTATTTTGTTGCATCGTGGGAGTGGTGATGGTTGCACGAATGTTGCCAACAGCACCCCTAGACCCCCATAGATAAATCTTGAGCGGCAGTAAAATATTCCACGTGATAAGCTTATGGAAAGAAATTATTGTGATTCTGATAATTGCTAGACCTCACTGACGGGCAGCTGTCAAGCAGTGTCAGGGGACCAAGTTCCGAGTGCTAGGACGGGCACCAGCAGCACAACAAGCATTAGAGGAGGGCAAGTTTTCTTTTTCTTTTGTTTTACTCTGATGGAATTAAATATCTTCATGTTAGAATTTGTTTTCCCTTTTCTGTGAACCACACAAACATTATTATCACGATCACAATCACTGCAACCTCCCCTACATTAACCACCATTCTCTCTCTCTCTCTCTCTCTCTCTCTCTCACACACACACACACATATATATATATTCCACAGTATTCTTACTTTATTTTTTTCTTTCTTAAATATATAAATATGCCGACCATCTCATCAGCATGCAGCGCGGACCTTGCCACGACTTTTACTTCCTCTAAATGGCCGAGTTTGATCTCTACTTCGTGCGGATCATCTCCCCACGGGAGTAGCCAAGACCAGGCGATCGACCTGGATACATGGCGACCGCACCCGTCAGTGCGAGACTCCAAATCTTTCACTCCAGATATCAAGTTGGAGGAGATCCCACCAAATGTTGACGAACACGCTCCACCGGACGCGCAGGGCCGGTACCTCATCAAGGACGAAGAGGGTGAGTTCCCCTGCACTCAAGCCATTGCCAACACTATTCTCAACGAGTGGCGACGGCAAAATGGCCGAGCGGAAGTCATCCCTTCATACCTCGTGGGGGCCAATGAACCCGCTCACAAAGTCAGATTCTTGGGTGATGAGCACCCGCCTGAGGCTGGACCCTCCAACTTCAAAGTCGACGACCTACCTCCGCTGATCGGTCGTTCGTGTTTCTCCCTTGGAATCCGCTGGAAGTTCCTGAACCTCGAGGGGCGCACATACTGGCAGCCCAGCGACCCTTAGGGAGGGGTGGAGGAACGAGCCAACGAGATCCCCTTCATCGACCATACCGGGGATGAAGCACCCGCTCTGGAACCAAGCCTCGTAGAGGCCGCAAACAACAGCGCCATGCCGTTGTCTCTCATACGCAGTCCACTGGACCCAGAGGCCTCTGTCATGGTGGTGGAGCTGGATCAAATCAGCCAAGCCATAACACAATCAAACCTCATGAGCATAGATTTCGCAGCAGTAACAAGTAGCTCAAAACTCTATATTATTATCGAAGCATTTGTCTATGAACTGTATTAACTATTACGAAAGACACAAAAGGTACGCGTGGAAGGATATTCTCCCCAGTCTGCCAGACATAGAAACTAACAGCAACGACAGTCGCACCCGTAAACGACAACAGGGAATCCATCACAGCCCCTATTCAGTGATGGAAGACCTCAAGAGAAACAAGACAACGACCGCCCAGGCCATTGGAATTGAGGATTCGAAGGATCGCCTTTTCCGACCAGGGAAAAAACATACAGTGAAGTATTTCGAGCTGCTGAAGCAGCGACGAGCCCGGCCTGTCTCTTCCAGGAGACAAGAGTTCCTAGACGCCTATCACCAATACCAGGTAAGTTCTTTGAGTGCCATATTGCTGTGTACCTTGCGCCAACCTGACTCCACAACAGGTGATCGTTCTGTCTAGCGAGACAGGTTCAGAAGAGACCACTCAGATGCCCCAGTTCATCCTGTTTAATGAATGGGAGAAACAGAAAAAGATTGCCTGTACCCAGCCTCGTAAGATCGCAGCCACTTCAGTAGCCGGACGTACCGCCGCCAAAATGGAGTCCAAGATGGAGAGGAAGTTGGTTACGCTGTGCGCTTCGACCGCAAAGCCCACCCGATGAAGGCCAAGCTTGGCTACATGACAGACGGCATGTTGACTGAGGTGGCCAAGACCGACTCAATCTCTAACCTCTACGTATGTTCCCTAATTCATAACTTGTTTGCTTCAGAGCATAACGCTAATCGTAACAGGCCTACATCATAACCGATGAGGCTCACAAGCGCACCTTGTCGACAGATCCTGCTGGCCTTACTCAAGGTGATCAGCTTCTAAACGTTCAGATCTGAAGTTGGTGGTCATGTCGGCCACGTTGGACGCAGAAGAGCTCGTTAGCTATTTCGGCAGCGAGAAGACAACCCACTTTGCTTTGAGTGGCAAAAACCAACCGGTCCAGATCACTTACCTAAAGGAATCAGTTCTGGCAGTCTTCAGCGTGGCTCTGATGATTGTAAAGGATATCCACGACAAGGAAAGGGACGGGGATATCCTTGTTTTCTTCCAGTCCGTTGAGGAGGTTGACGAAGCCTGCACCTTGCTTCGCAAGGAAATAGGCGATCTTAACGTCTTGCCGCTATACTCTCAACTACCAGGGAGCCAGAAAGACCCAATCTTTCAAACAAGCACACAGGGCAAATGCGTGTGTGCCACGAACATTGCTGAGGCTAGCATAACTATCGACGGGATAGTTCATGTTATAGGTACGTTCTCGCGTTTATGTACGACTGCGTATGTCTAACAAGATAGATCTTGGCAAGTCTAAGCAATCTGGCAATAACCCGCGCTTGGGATTGGAGGCCCTTCTCACGGGTCCCATCTCTCAAGCTGCCGCTCGTCAGCGCGCAGGTCGCGCAGGTCGCACTAAGCCTAGGTTTTACTATCGCCTCTACACTCATAAATCTTTCATGGAGGAAATGCGACCATCCAATCAACCTCAGATCCTCGAATCTGATATGGCTAGCCACATTCTACAACTTAAGGCCATGGGCTTTGATGATGTGGCTCGGTTTGACTTTATCGACCCGAGCTACGAGATCAACACCCGAAAACCTCTGGCTCGAACCTCCTACCACCTTTCAGCTATTTGGTAGCAAGCCTGGGTCAAATTTATATGGAAAGACAAGCTCTGGTTGTTTAGGCTGAGAGTTCTAGGTTGTTTGGAAGCATCTTTTAACAAGACCGGTTCTATCAATTCTCTAAATAATTGCCATCATGTTGTCTCGTATTCTTTGTTTCAGGATCAGTTTAATGAAACCTGTTAAGTTACATCAAAAGAATTTATTATCATTATTCTCATTATGCCTTTCATGAATTGCTAAGTTCTAACCCCTTTAATCGCTGACAACTCTTGTACTTATTCCATATTGACCAATTTGTCGGTAGAGGGTGTGATGGCGTATGTTGAGCCCAAAGTTCGAAACCTTAAGAACAACTCAACTATATCAGACGAAGAAAACGGCAAGGGACTGCAACCCCAACTTGGCTGGGACTGGGAAGTAGATATTGGTAAACGTTGGACGGTTGACAAAGTTTCGATTCTGGGAGGCCGGCTTCCAACCCTACTCAGAAGCGGGGACGGCCATTTGGATGATGATCGAATCGGATGGTATGCAAATCAACCGAGAACTTGAGAAGGAGTTCCATTTGATTTGTGCATGCGTCGGATTGGTAGATGTTATCAAGGTTTCGACTGACAATGTTCCAAGCCCGTACATAGCAAGAATCGGCCACATGTAGTCGATATAGTCCCATAAGTATTTGTATCTGGTAGGGAAACATTTCTCTAGGCTTTTCCATTCTTCATATGAACCGATCTTCCCATATTTCTCGATATCCAGAACACCAACCATCCGGGCCAGATGGGTTGGTACTTGAAGCATGAAAATTGCTCGATTCTCGGAAGTGACTCCACGAATGCGATGTTCCAACACTGCCCTGGCATTGATAAGCTCATTTACCCAACCACACATTATGGCTCTGATGGCATATAAAACGTCCTCCTTCGCAGGTGTACCTTCTTTCAATATTTCCAGAGGATAATCCCAGTCGACTGCTCGGCAAGGGAGATCCCGGATTTGATCTCGCATATGTCTCGCGAACTCAGGTGACAAGGTTATGATCTCCGGAAGATCAGGACTCATACAAGTGTCTTCTTCGTGCTCAGTTCCGGAACGTGATCCATCCATGTCATCATCAACGTCGACGGTTTCGCCGCTGAGGGCTTTAAGACAGCCTCTTGCAAAGGTAGCTAGGTCCTCAGTCCATGTACGGGGGCTGTCTTCCTCAGTACGGGCGACTAGTCCAGCCTCCTCAGCCTCTACCTTCTGCCGAGCCCAAAGACGCTGCATCATCCTAGAAGCGTCTATCATTCGCGTGACTGTCCATTTCTTGTGAGATAGTGATCCATTTGTGCATACTGATCGGGGTAAACCTGATAGTCGCTCGAGGCTTCCTCGAGAAGTTGAAGAGCGCGGGACTCAGACAAAGCTAGTCGCTCGCGTTCGTCCAGTGCGGTGAACCACTCATGGTATTGGGCGATCAGGTCGATTTCAGCTGTTGTAAGCGACTGAAGGCCTCTTAACCTGACCCTGATCCTTTCCAAATTTGGTTCAAGATGATCCATTGTGTTTCTCTTTGAAGGTTTGAGAGTCTAGGTTGACTCTGCTGGAGGTGAAATTCCATCAGTGGTCGTGGTCGTTTTGGGTCGAGTTCTGTTCTGTCTTCCCAAGCAATTCATATCCTCCCTAGAATGCCTCGACTTATAGAAATTGTTCTCGGAAAACCTAGTCCTGGACCTGGTGGTCTACTGAGTTTCCCCCAATTCATCTACAACTTCCTGCATCGCCCGGTTCATGCCACCAGAGAATACCGTATGCAGGGCTTCAAGAACTGGACCTTCGCGCAAGCTCAATCAAGAACCTTTAAGAATAAGTCGATTCTTTCAAAGCGGCTGAAGAGTTTATGTCTTGTCATCATTTCGAGAAGAGAAGGCCGTGATCGCCCCACCCGAATTGAAGCCTTGGTTACGAGACCGAAAGGAGACCATTACCAGTTCATAACCCAAGAGGATGTTGTCCCTAGCTTCTGTAGGCCAGACATGTGGGGGAATCTCTGGTCTGGTAGTGACGAGCCTCAAGATATCACAAGATCCATTCCAATATTTTGCAAGGGTCTAATGATTACATACCTCAATCTACATCGTGGCAACTCAGCCTAATCAATCCCAGCCAAGTATCGACCATGCAAGCATCTAGTACTAGACTTTCAAACTGGAGATAGATCAGGAATCTCTATTATTGCAATTGATTCTTGATCAAGACCCTTTGTCCATGTTGTCTCATTCCATGGCATATGCTCACCAATGCGCCAACGAACAATGCGGAAAATCAACTAAGATGCTCTTTCAGTCGACTTCGCGACAGTTTGTATTCTTCTCATGAAATCAACTGACCTCTTCAGACTTCAACAATGATAATCTTGTGTTCGTCGCCAAGCAGGGAAGAATTTCTGACTGCTCGTCAGGATACCTCTAACATGGCACTGCACAAGAATCATCCCTCGGCAGGAAACAAACCCCGGCTTTCTGATTACACTCTCACAAGTTTACGAGACTTTCTTATTCACTGCCTTGGAGAACATTCCTGATGGGTTGTCGAGGACATTCATGCAAATCATCATCACAACTCCGCGCTGAAAGGGTGAAGAATGGGAATAATCTTTGCTAAGATTATGCCTAAGCTTATCCTAAAATCATAAAAGTTTTAGCTAAATATCCTAAGATTAGATAAGGAAGGCCTAAAGTTTATGATTTCTCTTCTAATTTCATGTCCTATCCTGGTGGATGCCTCCCATCTGTTTCCAGCCCCAATCGCCTTGACATCTCCAATGAGTGCGACAATGATGCCCGAAGTGTTTCAAAGTCAATCACGATGCTTGGTAGGTGCATGGTGATAGATACTCTGTATGTACCTCTCGTGATACTGAGTAAAGAACTCGGGTAAATCGGGTATTTGTTGTCAAACTATCACAGGGATAGCATGCCGGGAAACTCCAGGTCAACTGCTGGCATTGGTCCGTTTCCGTCTGAAAAAAATCCTCCCGACTCCAGCTTAGGAGAGTTCTTAGCCCTGAAGTATAGGCAGATAACGTGAACTGCCATATTGGTTGGCATCGAGTCCAGAGGATGAGCTGCCAAGAAGATGTTGAGCCTGTCGATTAGCTTCTTATGTAGTTCAAACATCCCAAGTGCGCGGCAAGATAAATCCAATGAGTATAGTTTCCAGCTCCCTTCTGTTAAGGATACGATAAGATGGCTGATGTCCGGCATCGTCGCTGGCTTTGCGGTTTTGCACAGGTTCGACGGGAAGATATTATAGGACTCGGTTGTTCTGGCGCACGAGTCTTTCCATTGGCGCCGGTTGCTCCTCGAAAACTGTTGTCTTGTCCTTCACAAATCGGTTGAGCCGCGAGATGTTTCCCGGCACAGTACAACCTTCGTGGAAAATTGTGTTGATCCCTGCCACGACATTGGAAGGCTCAGCCCTCAGATCGAAGCTCTCTGTGTTGTCTGTGAATGAGACCTTGTTGACCTTGGCCTTGTTCCGCATAAACACATGCTGTATGGCGACCCTCGAGATACCCACATAAACTGCAGGTGTTGCGCTCTCTGGGCCGGGGATCTTAACTGGCAAACGGCCTGGCATATGTTTAGCTCCGTCTCGGGGGATAAATAGACGGCTGGCGCGCACATACTTTCGGACAATCCTCATGTCCCCATTTGTCACCGTTGACCCACTATTGCCTGGTGTCCAGACATTGTCAAAATAGGTGCCATGGACAGGCACTTGGTGAGGCTCGTCGTTGCTGTCGAGCATGTCCTCGTGATAGTATGCAGCAATCACTGTTTGGTTGGGCTGAACCCACGCCGACGTTGCTTTCCTCGACTTGAGCGTCTTTAAAACGGTTCCCTCATTATCACCATCAGACGCAGTTTGGCTGGTTAAATTCTCTGATAAACCAGTAGAGGGAACTGGCGCTCGTGTTCCATGCCCCGTCGCGTCAGTCTCTCCAGACAGGAGGGCTGCTTCCGCAACATTATTATGTGTGTGCTGCGGGGTCAACTATGATGGCCTTCCTTCCACTTGGTCCTTTACCGAGTGGCATTGTAGCCGACAGAACAGTCACCTTGTCATCCTCATCAAGGTGCTCGAGGACTTGGATGTCTTCGGCGTAGCTCTTCGCGTCTTCAGCCATGGTTGTTAGGGCAGTAGTAACGCTGAAGAACGAGTCCTCTCGGACTTCGGGGTCTTGAGAACCTCTGTCCAGACGCTCTCTTGCTTTGTCGATCTTATCAGCCTCGTTTGAGGTGGGCTCATATGCAGGATAGGCGCTCACGATCGCCAAATCAATATTGTTTAACTGGTAGCTTGAGTTCAGCAATTTATCAATGATAAAGGCGTGATCTTTTCGGGCAGATAAATACCTTATTTGTTGAGTCGGTCGGTGACCTCGCTCTTTTCAGAGTCTGGGCCAGCCTCTTTCCAGCCGCACTCGTGCTCCATCGATCCGGTTCTTCATCCATTCGTCAAGCCTTCATGGCACGACCAGGTGATTTTTACTGAAGCTCACCGCGATCCTCGCAGCCGCATGTTCGCGGTGTTTCCTGGTGCTTGTCAGTGTGAACTAATTATTGTGCGTTTCATGTGGCCTACTGTGCATCTCGTAGTGACGAGCACGCCTGCACCGGGCACGTCCTGCTCAAATCAAGTATTCTGACAGAGCGGAAAGGTGGGTTTGATTTTCATCTCAAACATAATAGCGTTGTAGCTTCTCGAATAAGAATATTTCTGGTCTGATAATAACATATATATAATTATGTTGAAAAAATTTATTCTTTCCAAGTTGGAGTTGTGTTGCTGTACACCTTAAGGAGAGAATGCGTACAGAGTAGCCCCGCTTCGATCAAGCAGTGTATCTCTCTGGCTGAGAATGTTATGTAAGCGGTTTGTTTCCAACTCGCAGTGATGGCCAGTGAAGGTGTGTATACCTAGGTAAGTACTATAGGTAGTCTCATAGATAAGGTATCTATGATAATGTGATGTCACTATTACGTATATTCGTGTTGAAAATCTATCGCTGGAAGTTCAATGATTAGGCAGTTTGTGTTTGCGGATCAAATATCAGGAAACTTGGCATGAATGAGTATATTATGTATTAAGACAAACCTAAACAGATAATCCTGGATGCTATCTTCCTTTTCTGCCTGTCCTGTTGCTTTGGCCTATGTTTGTTACGATAATTGTCAACCAAAGGAACTGGTAAACAGAGGAGCATTATTAAATACCCTAGAGCTTCACCAATTTATATCAGTTCTTGCCAAGACTTGGGTATCGCTAGCTCTCTCAGTTCAGGTACTTCTTACTGGAGAAATGTTGCTACGTAGCTCAATTACTCCTGGCTATGATGCTTGTCAGTTTAATGCGTTTGCGCGAATAATCAAAACAGTCTCGGTGCGTATCGCCGTTATACGGCGAGGCCGTCCCGTTCCGCGGCGCAGTCTAGGTGAGCACGGTGAGCATGGAGATACCAACCCTCGTCGGTATCGAAAACGTTCCACACGATGTCTTGGTAACGTGTCTGTCTCATGATTCGACAAGTTGTAAGTGGTCTCTCGAGGCTCACGGACCCGCGAGATCGGGACCAACCGGGCTGCTTCCTTTTGCTCTATCAGGACAAGATATCTTTTTCTGGATGTTCTAGCGAGCTTCTAGGGTGTTTCAGGCTCGGGTTCTCACCGAGCTTCCCTTTTAATCTGATGCGCGACATTTCACATAGACGAGGACATCAGCCCTGAGGTTCTGGCTGTGTTGGAGTTGATCGTTGGAGTTGGAGTTGAAGCTAGGGGGCCGGGCCGGCAGTCCAAGCTCCGGACCAGTTGGTGTTGAGCTTGACTCGCTGTCCTGGGGTCGGAGACACTGTGGGTAAGGGAAGAGACCAAACTGGGGTTTTAGGTAACGATATCGAGGTTAGACCCTCTGAGATCGTCACAATGCCAATGTATGCGGGTCTTGACCGGACTCAAACGTCCCGGTCAGGTTGAGATTGGGCAGAATATGAGGGAAGAGAATGTAAACAAAGTAACAATAAGAATTGAACTTATTGCTCTGAGTAGGTTATACTGAGGTGAATTCCTTGGTCACCTCAATATTACCCCCACCTAAGCTCTTGAGCTAGCATTTATGGACAGTAGCAGTACGTCACTTTGCTTGTCATTGAGGTGAGCTTCAAATAACTGCGCGGCGGCCAAATGATAAAGAGAAAACTTGAAAAAGTAGGGCAAAACTCAAATGATTGGACAGAGCTGGCAACGTGCATATCTGTTAGAGAAGCGTCTCGACTTTCAAACGACATGACATGTCGTATCAGGCTGTGAAAAGGGGGGTATCTACCCCAGGATTGACGCTGTAATGGAACGTCAAAGCTGCGAATAGTGGCATGCTTGAGAGATTATGTGTCCTGCTTTGGACACTCGGTGTGAGCTGTTTGGCGATCATGTTCGATCTCGGGGCGAATTCTGGCTACCTCAACACGCAACACGATAATTACGCAGCCAGAGAATTGACTCTAGAGATGCCGTTTTCCGTTACGGGTGATGCATCAGCCCAATCCAATCCAATTGCAGCTCTGTTCTTCACCACCTCCTTCACCTTGCAGCCCAGGTCAATGCTCACCTGGCTCCTGGGGCCTCACAGACCAACTGACCAGGCACTGTTTACAGTTGCTAGACGCTGAATGGCCTCTTTTTTTTTCTTTCTTTTCTTCTGCTTTTATTCCTGCTGTGGTACAGTACTTGGAGAGGCAACCTAAAAGGTCCCACCCCCGAATTTTTCTGTGCTTTAGTGACCAAGGCCATTACTGGTTTTTTTGCACTTATATCCAATCCCCCGTAAACATCCACATTGAGTTTTCCTCGTCCCTCTCCCTTCTTTCTTCTCTTCTTGAGATAGATCATCTCTTCCCCCGCCGACATCTTGATCCGGCTGTCGCAACTATTGTGACTTGCATGACTGGGCCTCACTAGAGCCATATTGCCAGCTTCCCATTACCTAACCTAGTCCTACTAGGAATCACCACCTCGACTACCTGATCAAATACCACTCCAACCTTTTTTCAAATTCCTTCTCTTTATCCCTCTTCTCACATCGCCATCATGTCTTTCAGTGGACGCAAATTCTCTATCAACCGCCATACTGGCGCCCCCAAGACCCTCACTCGTCGTTTCAGTACGACCGAGCCTTCGATGAACGGTAAGCGCCTTTTGTCTCTCCTTTGTATGTGGCGTTTCTCGCCCAACTGCACTCTCAAGACGGCTTTATATGTCTTCAGCTTGAAGATTATACTTTAAGCTCTCCAGTGCCATATTGTCTAGCTTCATGAGCTATTTGCAACCATCAAAGAACACCGAAACCTCATCTACTCTCCTCACCGTTTTCTTACCTCCCCTCACCGTCCCGCCTTTTCACTCTCACTACCGGCGCCACTGGCGCGTTACTTTCCCCTCTCTGTTCCTAATAATCCCTGTCATTCTGCCCCTCCATGAACTGAACCCCTCCAAATCCGTCTTAGATGAGCTACACAGGAGCTTGGCTGCAGCTGCAGCTCTGCCCCACAACGTCATAATTCAACTCTCCAACATGGTAGAGAGATTGTATCAAAATAAACAGTACCCAATCTCATTATACTAATTCAATATCTTGTTAGAATTCCAATCCAAGGTTCATCGTCAGTTCCGAAGTGCCCATGAAGGTCATATGCCCCACGCTGGTCTCGATGCCAGCCGATCATCAACCGGTGTTATCTGGTGTACAGAGCGAGCTTCCGAGTATGGCTATCTCGAGAACCCTGATGCGTGGGCCAATCTTGGTCAGGGTGCTCCTGAAGTTGAGGACGATATCGAAGGCTGCTTCCCCAGACCTGAAACCATTAACATCTCAATGGCTGGTCGAGAGTACGGTCCTACAGCTGGTATCAAGCCCTTGAGAGAGGCTGTTGCTAAACTGTACAACGAGGCTCATCGTCAGGGAAAGGAGAGTCAGTATACTTGGGAAAACGTTGCTATCGTCCCTGGTGGTCGCGCGGGTCTCATCCGTATCGCTGCCGTTCTCGGCAACTCATACCTGTCTTTCTTCTTACCCGACTACACGGCTTACAATGAGATGTTGAGTCTTTTCAAGAACGTGCGTTTTACTCTAGCGAAAAATCTATGCTTGGTGGTGGGGTGCTGACAAAATCTCACAGTTTGCCGCCATTCCCGTCCCTCTGGCTGAAGAGGACGGCTACCACATTCACCCTGACAAGATTGCCGAGGAAATTGCCCGTGGTACCTCTGTCATTCTTACCTCGAACCCTCGCAACCCTACTGGCCGTGTTATCGCCAACCCGGAGCTTGCGGAGATCCAGGACATTTGCCGAGACAGAGCCACATTCATCAGCGACGAGTTCTACTCGGGATACAATTACACATCCAATTGCGATGGCTCGACAATATCAGCGGCAGAGAACGTGGATGACGTCGACGAAGATGATGTTCTGATCATTGATGGTCTCACCAAGCGCTTTCGTCTGCCCGGTTGGAGAATTGCTTGGATCCTGGGACCCAAGGGTAAGCACACCAAACAATCTAAACACCAAGAAAAGACACTAATTTTGTCCTTCTAGAATATATCAATGCGTACGTTTTATCTTGAATTTTCTCTGAACTTTTTGAGCCACTTTTGTTGGTACCCCTTTTCTGCCATAGATGACTGACATACTTGTAGCATCGGTTCATGCGGATCTTACCTCGATGGTGGTGCCTGCCATCCTTTCCAGGAAGCTGCTATTCCCATGCTTGAGCCCAGTGTGGTCAAGAATGAGATGATTCACCTCCAGTCTCACTTCAGAGTAGGTCTCACGGATTAAGACAAACAAGACATGAGAGACTAACTATTTCTTAGGACAAGCGTGACTTCGTCGTTCGACGTCTCCGTGAGATGGGTTTCATCATCAAGTATGTCCCTGACTCGACCTTCTACCTGTAAGTCTTCACCTACCCAAGATTCATTTGAATGAGACTAAACGATCATCAGCTGGCTCAACCTTGAAGGTCTTCCCGAGTCCATCTCAGATGGTCTCAACTTCTTCCAGGCTTGTCTTGAAGAGAAGGTCATTGTGGTGCCCGGTATCTTCTTCGATCTTAACCCTTCGCGCCGTCGTGATCTATTCGACTCCCCTTGCCATCACTTCGTGCGACTTTCTTACGGTCCCCGCATGGATGTTCTCAAGATGGGAATGGACGCCATTGAACGTGTTGTTCAGAAGTAAGTTCCAGTTCAACCAATACCTCGTCGTAGTGGTTTATAGAGCTAACACGCTGCAGGCACCGAAAGCTCAACTAAGCCGTCTCTTAAAACAACCAAGACCTATGCTTGCTTGAAAGTTTGACTCAACCACATGAGTTATGTGTTATTTTATTGCCTGAGCCGGGTTGTTGACGAGCTTTGCGCTTTGACAATTTTGAGACACCTCAGAGTATTATCTCACAGAGACAGCAGATATGTTGTCACAACTGTTATGCATGGCAAATGCACGCAGTTTGACAATAAGTTAAGCTGAGGTTCACACAAGAATTAGTATTGAAAGAGATCATCCCTGTCATAGATGGAGGGGTCTGCTAGATCGTCTCAGACAGTTGTATCCATCGTTATTTTTCCTAATGAATCGTCCTCGTCTCGAGTTCTTTCATATTACTTGAAAATCACAATTAGTCCTCTGTCACTTGATCATGGTCTGACTAAATACCCTCTATCAGTCACACCCTTTTGGCAAGTTACCCCACGCTGAGCATAAAGACGACACACATGAACTCTAGACCGCCGCATCTATGCAGATGCATTTATCACGCCTTATTCCGCCCTCAAGTCCCCTCATCCAGCTCATATCGCCATCGCCCCTGCTCCCGCTCGGATGAGACCCTGAATTAGCCTTTCAAAGGTGATAATCCTATCAGAAGTTCAGGTGATGGCGACATTGCACTGAGGCGTAGATCTACCCGCTCATCTCGCTCAAAAGTCCCGATCTCTTTATAAAACAAGCAAAAATGGCCGAAAGGACGATACCCGTTGTGGATAATTCTTGATGTGAGGTCGAGTCCCCCACTGTAACTATGTAGTTTGTGGTGTCCTGGTAGTTGGCCAATACGAACAACTGTAATGCTTCTCCTAGCAATGGCGAAATTCGACAAACTACTATGATAAGATGTTTTCAGCTATCTTATGATAATTATGTCATGAATCTCGATCCCTTTTGGTTGTTTGAGTGCTGGAATATGGAAGACAATGGAGCGGCTAGTTCTAGAATTGGCGCAGGGATTCTTAGTGGCTGGCCTACTCTATCGGCTTCCATTTTTTTCTATCCTCCTCCTAACTTAATTCCATGACACTCTCACATCGACCTTCAACTTCTCAGTATAATAATCCATCAATAGAAAACCCCAGAATCATTTAGACTCAGAAAGTCTGTCAATTCAAACAAGACGCATCATATAGTGAGAGTTCCGTGCTTTAATACACTCATAAAGCACTCTCCCTCAACGCGTGAAGCCATAACCACTCGACCACATTATGCTCAAGCGGCTCCCACGCCTTACAATCACTCGTCTATACAACACTACATTTGCACCTCGCTTCTCCAGTACAATGTCCAGCAACGATCAGCAAACGCAGACAGGGTCCAGCGAAGCTAAGGACACCAACAAGACACCACTTCCTCTTCCAGCCCCAGAACACGCCGCCGCAGACCAGGGCGATGACGTGACGTCTCTTCGTGTGGGCGAGTCTGTTAAGCTCGACGCCATGGGCCCGCTCGTTGTAAACACAGATGGAACTATGGGTAGGATTGGAAACTGGGCGGGTATGACTGAGCATGAGAGAGCGCAGACGTTGAGATTGTTGGGAAAGAGGAATAAGGAGAGGATGGATGTTCTCAAGGCCAAGAAAGCGGAGGAGGAGCAAAAGTCAGGCACCAATGTCGAGAAATGAGGGTGATTTAATGCTACGAGGAATGATAGAAGCCCTCGGATGTTCGGATGATGCGATGAGGATACTGGAAATTAGATGCAATGGATGACATTACGACTCATCTCACAGACACAGAATAGACTTTTCGAACGTGTTGAACCTTAAGAACCTAGTTACGGAAACGATGTATCGTATATCCGTTGATATCATTGCAAAACAAAAAAGCCCTCCCAGTTTGTCCTGTCATCCGAACCCAGGGACTGGTCTCTATCAGTTGCCGTCAAACAACCATGTATATCCATCATATCGTCATCCACTGAACGTCACCTCACGAAACCTCGCGATATTTTAGGTTGTGCACCATACCAGGCAGCCTTGATGGCTAGCCTCAGTGCCCCATCATCATGCACCATGTATCCCAGAAATTGTTGAAAAGATCAGAATTAAACGCCACATTGCCTTCCCCAAATGCTCCGAGCCAGAACGCCGCCCGTCTTTGTCACCGTATTGTCTTCCCCAACGCTATACGTCGGATCACCTCGTCTCCTCCTTGACGGCGGACTTAGCTTTTGACTCGGACTTGTCGGTAGACTTGGACGCAGCAAACTCCTTCCATAATGTGACAATCTCGTCATTGCCTTCGTTCTTTTCAACAAGGAGGTTCTTGAGCCACTTGTTCTCCATCTCGAGCTGTTGGACTTTGCTCTCCAGGACCGAGACCTTCTCGGACATCTCCTTGGCGGACTTCTCAAGGGCTTGCTCACGCTGCTTCTTCTTGATGCGGAAGCGGGCACTAGCAGCAGTGTTGCGCCTTCGCTTGTCCTCCTCGGCAGCATGACGGGAGGCTTCCTCAAAGTTGAGGCTTCCGCGGCCGGCACCAGGGCCACTCTCAGAGCCGCGCTTCTCGGTTGAAGGCTGAGGAGTAGCTTGCTGACCGTAATGGGGGGCTTGTTGCTGTTGCTGGACGGGCTGGTAGCCCGCGGGGGCGTTAGGCTGCATAGATGGGAAGTTCTGAGCACCATCCGCGAAGCCGTTCAAAGGAGTAGACGGGTAGGTGCTGGTAAAGTCGGGGAAGCTAAAATCGCCTGCCATCATAATGTGGTCAGTTTATGTCGAGAAGAGTCAAGTGTCATGACGAAGACGAGAAGAAGATAGTAGACATTGAGAGTTGAAGAGTAACAGATAGTCTTGCATAGGCCCTTGAGGCCTGGGGAAGCAGGCTTTCCCAACTTGGGAAGTGGTTGTGAGGTGCAGGGGTGTAAGTCGATGTCGTGATCAGTGCCGGCAAATCACGAGATATTGCACCATAGACACCACCGTCCTCCAGCCACTGATATCGAGCTGGGGATCCCAGGCGGGCCACACTCAAGTAGACTTGCGTCGGGGGGACAACTTGTCCCCAATGACAGAAGGGCGTGATGCACATCGGGAGCAGGGCTCTCAACGGAAGGTGGGGGTAGTAAGGTTAATGGCCAGTGAAGCAGTAGAGACGCTGTTCATTGCCGATTTCAGGGTCAGGGTGTATGAGGCCAGGATTTTGACTATCCGCTTGGACAGTGGCGATACGTCTGGAGGAGAGAAGGGAAAAACATGAGCGACAACAAAAATGAAGCAAGACGGATATCAGCTCATCTGTGGCATCTTTGCAGGGAGAAATTTATGACCAGAGGCTCTGCTTTGTGACGAAACCAATGCTCCCGTCTTGACTCCATCTTTGTCTCATTTTCCATGCTTCGAACTGTTCTTTTCAACCTGGCGCGGCCATAGGGAAACAAGTGCCATACTGCAGAGATAGCAAAACTCACCCTGGATGAAATCAAAGCTGTTGGGGTTAATATCACCAACAACTGAGGGAGCCGGGGTCATTCCATCAGAAGGCGAGGTGCTTTGAGGAGCCTCGATATCAACCTTCAGAGGCTGAGCCTGATAGTCGGTGTTCTGACCAGTCTCAAAATCGAAGAACTGAGTGTTGGTGAAAAGAGCGAGATCCTCCTCCATGTTGAAAGGCTCCTCGTGGGCAGTCTCCTGACGGTTGATGGCGTTGAGGTCGCGAAGATACTGCGACACATTGGGGCCGCGACGACCGTTGAAGTTTGACATTTCGGTGGTTTAATCGAGGTCAATAACTCTTTCTTTCAAAATTTTCTCCAATAACAATATGAATTCCTCGTCGTCCCTTCAATAGATGGTCGACGTTTCGTTCGGTACCAGTTCCGAAAGCGGCTCAGCGAGAATGAGCGGGGTTTTGTATGGACAAATTTGCAGAAGCCCTGGTGACTCAATAAAGACAGTCACAACCACAATCACAAGTCGATGGCTGTCGTAGTCGGTGATGTACTTGAGCGGTCGTCGGTGGTGTCGTCGAAATCCAGTATCGAAATTAGCAGTGAATGTATTCCGAGGTTGATTCTGGGGGAATTTGAGGGGAGGAAGTGGAGGAAGAAAGAACAGGCAGTCAAGTTGGTTTTCTCAAAGTGGATGCTAAGGTACTTGCGAGTTGAGGCCGATTGCCGCCGAAGCCACTACGGAGTGGGTAGTGAGCTGAGGGCAGTCACTGGACAATTCGTGGGATAGTGGGTGGCATCCCCTAGAGGTTTAGTGGGTTGTAATGGATGGGAACCAGCCTTTTTGGCGATGAGATTTGAAGAGAGCCTAGAACATGGGTCTCTTCGGCGAATAGCACAACAGTCTTCGAATGTCGCAATACTTATCTCAGGATGATTTAGGTTGGTTGTGACCAATTCTTTGTTGTTGCCGTCTGGTTTATTGTAGAACTCTATTCAGAACCTCAATTCATTGCCCTTTTTGCAACTCAATAACCCTCAACTGGTATTCATGATCGATAGGCTCATAGTGTAGAATCTGATTACCAAGCGTCCCCGAGCAAGTATTACCTGCAAGACCGTCGGCTTGCTTAACAATCACGCAGATGATGGTTCCAGCCGTCATGGATTTCCCCTCTCACCCCCCACGCCAACCACCAACCAGAGAGTTACACCAGCCCTCAAGTGTAACAGGGGGGACGGCTACCTCAAGCGACGACAGTTCAGGCTGTTAATTGTGATGTAAGTAATACGGAATTTCTCTACAGAACATAAGGAATCAAAACGCATGTATGTTGAAGTTGATGAACTGTTAAACAACTCATCACTTCAAGCACTGCACTTTGCAATATTCTTCGTGTGAACAGTACATAATTTTACTCTACCCATTGGACACAAAACATCAGCCATGGCGGAAATTCAACTCCCCGCCCCCCTGTCGTTCATCTGCAGATTTTCTCGCTTTCATCTGAAAACGTGGGTTGTCCTTATTCCTTGCGGTCCCTTCTCCGCTTCGGAATGTGAGACGTCCTTGTCAAAACACCAATCCCTCAGTCCCAATGAGTGATTATTTCACAAATTATCACACCAGCGTGGGTTGGCTTGCTCTCCTTTACCTCAAAAGGGATGAACTGCGACAAAGAGACACTCCACTCGTGCATCTTTGGCGTTGGTGTCACAGCCGACAGGGAGCTTCACCCGACAAAACAGCAAAATTAGAGCGCCCATGGAAACGTGGAAATACGATCAGCCAAGCCACCGCAACGTTTCTGATGCTCTGCAGGTGGCGATTCCGGACAGGCTCGGGGAGTTCGTTCGGCTCTTTGCCTCAGTCGAATAACTCAACTAACCGTATCGTTACAAGTCTGTTGTTTTGGTTTTCGCTAACTCTAGTTTCTTGCGCTGAGCCGAATAATCGGTGAACGGATTTCACGCACAAAGGACGTTTCCCTTTAAAATTCGGCAGTTGAGCCTCGGAATGAGAGGAAGCTCAGATTACTGGAAAGACATCTTCTTCTGCTCAAGACTGAGCATTCCAAAGTTCAGAAGCAAAACAACGGCACTGTTCTGTATAGGTAGCTTTCTGAGCTAGCCCCCACTTGCATACATGGTTAACGGTCTTCATCACACTCATGTATTGTGATAGTCCCGGGCAGGCTGACAGGTTCTCGTCTTTGTCTGCTGGGTTGCATATGATCCAGCCTCAAGGGTCCCTCGTGCGCTTTTGCGGCTGCAAGTTGGAACCGAGTGGAGGTCATCCCTTGCTTGCGCGTGGGCAAAGTCAATCATGATCCAACCGTAAACCTCTTGGCTAGCTTCTTGTTGGTTGGTACGATTCCTTGAGTTGAGCCGACGCTGAGTCTCAGGATCCGGACATTTCCCGAACTCCCCGTCAAAATTGGGGCCCCAGGAATGAACTGGGATCTCTTGTGGAAATCCTTCTCATTCAATCTCCAAAAAGAAAGTGTCCCCGGTTTGAATAACGACTCGCTTGTCTGCGGCCCCAGGTCACTAGAAGAAAATTATGACACATATTATTGAGGCTCTGGAGATAGGCCTACCACGGGCTTATTACCTTCCGTTGCACCTCGGAGTTGGTGGTCCTTTCGATGCATCACTTGTATTACACTGCAGGATCCTGGATGCATTTGTTCCTTCAATCCTTAGCCCGTCTTGAAAAATCTGCCGGACAGATCTGCAGGATCCTGTCGAAACGTCATAGCCCCTGCCCCTCGACTACGTGGGGGCATTTGTGAAGCCAATCCAGAGAGAGTTCTGAACAGACACAGAAAATCAATTCCCAGCGCGGCCCGCGGTTATAGTCAATGATTTGCCCCATTACATCAAGACCAAGATGAGCGATGACTTCCGACGGTAAAATCCATCAGGGCTAATTGGACCCTGTAGTCAGCCCGTCATCGGAACCAAACTTTGTGAACGCCAACCCCTTTGGTAGTGGAACCGCGGTTATCTGGTTCTGACAAGAAGCCATGAGACACTGGAAACTCTGAACCAATCAACTACTTCTCCGAGTTGGCCCACGATCATGTCCGAGTCGACCCATCGTTAGAGCCGAGTCGTTGTTTCGACTTCTTATGAGAGGAGCATTTTATCCCGAAGAAAAGCGGCAAATGCACTCTGAAGCTATCCAAGCATATCGAGTGTCTCACACATCCAGAATACGCTGTGAATCCTCAAATCCGTAGTTCAGGTTGTAGGAAGATAGTGGCTGTATATCACGTGATAAAGCACGTGATCGGTGTATGAGATGTCTCTGTCCGAGATCGTTACTGGTCCGTGCATTCAATTGCCCTTGGTTGGATTGGTTTGAGACGCGATTCCAAAGCGAATATCGCGTCTTATCGAAGCGTTCAAGCACTGTTTATCAACTTAATCTGTCTAAAGGGCTAATTAATCAACCCAACCCAGTTAGACGTCAATTAAGGGGGCAGCCTTGCGGTGTTTCTCAACGCATGCCTCGTTCAACATCTCAAATGGTTACTGTGACTTTACCATTGTAAACACAAACAACCAAACAAACAACAATGGCCCGCTACTCTATCCCAACAAAAGCCAGGCTTCCGTCATCATTACGAGTTGATGCATCTAATCCTGCTGTTGTCAAGAGTCTCAATAGACTCTCACGAGAGTCTCTTATTTCCCTGGCACTAGACTGGCTTGACGATGAGAGTCTCCCGAATTCTATTCCTTACATTGAGAGGAGGGATGAAGACGACGATGAAGAAAATGACGATCTTTACCCTCCCTGTCAAACTATTGACGAATTACAACAACTTTATTTCGATATGCAGCAACAAAAAGGGTCAAAAAGAGATGTTGTCAGCCGTATTGTTGAGGGCGATTGGAGACTTGGCCTGACATTATTTCAACTAGCCATGGCCGATATGGCCTATTTCGAACAGAACCCAACATCTCAAAAATGGTCAGCCTATCAGATTCTGCCTCTTAAGCAGCCTTCTCAAGATGCCGGCGAGGACCAGGTGCTCAGAGTCGACCAAGAAAGTTTGACAATACCTCGGTTTCATCCATCAACGTTTCTCCAAAACCTTCAAACCCATGTGCTACCTGACGTCAAGGCACATTATCACTTTCACCGACCTACAGCCATACCTGTTCTACTACTGCGCATTTTCGTCATAGATTCGCCCTACAACACGGACTTTGCTCTTTCAAGTCGGAACCCAAATGGCACAGCAACAAACTTCGACTCTTCAAGGACAGTGTACATTGCGTTTCCCGATGGATCACCTGCTTTGTACATTACGAAATCGCAAGCTACAGGCAACAGTGGCTCAGGAGAGTCTAAGAGTTTACATAGCTTAATCGTGGATGGGGTACCCAAGGCTCTCTCACGCCCACGTGAACGATACACTCTCAAATCAGGAAACCTTCAAAGCAAGAACTTGGATGCACTTCTAGAAAAGAAGGGATCTGGACGCACAAACTCCGCAGGAGGTGGCTGGAGCATCTACTCCAATGAGGCCACAAAGATATCTCCATTGGATACCGTTATTCCAACTCCACCACTATCTCGAGAATCATCGTCCTCAAGTCTCAGCCTCAAGCGGGGAGTGTCATTCACTGAATCTGAACGAGTTGCAAAGAAATCGAAATTGGTTGCCAAGGCTCGGTTCGGCGATTCGGGTTTTGTCACGGATGGTAAAGGAGTGGAAAAGGTTGACATCATCATACAGGATCCATTTCCTTCTACAAGTGAAGATACTGGCGATACAGAAGAGAATGAAGATGACGCCACGGCAGGGAGCAAGAATCGACGAAAGAGCAAGATTACGGCCGTTATTCGAGAGGCGAATATCACAGCAGAAGAAGACAACGACGATACCATCTCTTCAGATCGATGGACACCAACTATCAAAGTTACATTTTCTGGAACACATGTATGGGCTGGCGTACGGCAACTTGTAGAGGCTGGCATAATAGATGGAGAGCGGATGCCGGGGTGGATGACAGGAGAAGAGGGAGTAACAACAGGACTTGTGAGGCATGGAAGAATACGTGGATACAAGGGCTCAGGGATGTGAAACAAATGTTGGATCTATAACGGCGCATGGTCTATGTCTTTCTTCTCTATTTGATACCCCCATGACAACATGACTGATCAGCCAATTCTTAGCTCTCTTCAAGTCCGAAAACTGTCACTGTGTTCTTCCATGCGGCTTCACAAACTTCCTCGATACTAACTCCCTTGATACCTGCGATGATCTTGGCGACACGCTCGATATTGCAGGGTTCGTTGCGCCCCTTCACCATGGCTCCCTCTTCCCACTTCTCCTTCTTGACAGTCTTGTATCGTTCCGGGACCTCCGGCTCTTTCTTCTGGTTCTTCTTCGACTGCTTTTGCGGTTTTTGTGCAGATTCAGCGGTAGCAGCAGTCCCACTCTGTTGGTTCTCGGAATTAGGCGTCTCTTTCTTCTCGATCAGATACTTGTAGCCCTCGTGGCTTGGTCGCACCTCACACCATGGTCCATCGGTCTCAATCATAAGACGGTCGAGGTGAACTTCCTTGACAACAGCGCAGTTCTCTACAGTCTTGAAGCTGCATCCATTGATACCAATGTATAGACCCAAGTCCATCAACTCGCGCATCTCCTCAGCTGTGCCAGTGAAACTATGCACTACGCCGCCCTTCTCCAACTTCTCTAGCTTCTCACCAAAAGCCTCCTTCAGAAGCCGAACAAAGTCATTGTGGGCCGCGCGAGAGTGGAGGAACAAGGGGAGCTGAGGAGATATCGACGCAGCAACCTGGAGCTGAGCTGCGAAGGAATGGAGCTGGATGCTCTTCGAGCAGTAATGCAGTCGATCATAGTCAAGCCCAAACTCACCCATAGCCACAAGGCTCTTCTGACCTGATGCTTGGGCCTCTTTCACCAAAGAAGTCAAGTCTCTGATGAGTTTACCAGTCTTTGTTGGGCAAGGGGGGTGCTCTTCCGAGACTGGAGCTGAAGGATCGGGATCACATGGTGTTGTGTGCTCAGACTCGTGAGAAGGACCCGCTTCACTGAAGACGGAGCTGCTACAGGGATGAATGCCTGCAGTCCCGAAGATAGTTCCGGCTGTGGGTGATGTTAGTCTTGTTATCAGATTGATAAACAGGGGTGAGACTCACCATACTCTCTGGCAAGGGTTAGGGCATCTCGAGAGTTGCCAAGGTCTGAGCCGGTCACTATAAGTTTTGTACAACCAACTTCACGGGCTCTTCCGATAATAGCATCGAGATCGTCGGGGTGTCGCTCTTTGCCGTGGTATTTGCCTCGGAAGATGGGATCGGTCAAGTTGATGCCAATCTACTAGTAACGCTATGTGTTAACGGGATCTGATATTGGATGTATATTGGGTGATTGACATACATCGATGTATCTAGGTTTGTAACTGGAGCCCTCAACGGGCTGAGGCGTTGGTGAAGAAGCCATATTGCGGAATTGTGAGGCTTGAAATCTGAGACTTGACGTCCTGAAACCAATTCTTGCTGAAGATTGAAAACAGTGAAAGAGAGGTCTCGATGTCATTGATCTTAAACGTCTCTTGCTTGACTCGAGCGTGAGTCACTGGCTTGTTGCTGCCTCGCAACCGTAATCTCTAGCTGCCTTTTTTTAGACTCAAAAACGGAAAACAGGAAGGTAGTCTTGGTTCCCGACGATGATTGGCTCTTTGATCTACGTTTTCGTTCAAGGTCTCATCCTCCCGTCAACCTCAGTCCAAGGTCCAAGCTCAGTTAATTCCACGGGATGTTCTCCTGCTTACGAGAGCTACCAAAGACAATTATTAATTTGCATGGATCTCACGTGATTTCGCGCCGTTGTCTGCCCCCCATGAACCCCACCAAGCGCTGCAGCAACGCAAAATGACTAGGGGACGCGAGGACGCGATGTGGGAAAGGGGGGGAAGAGTTTTGGCTCATTGCAGGCGTAAAGTGAATGAGATAACCACGAATTACGATACTCCTGTCCTTGTTAAACTCATGCGAGTCAAGTGAATCCCTATAACTCCCTCCAATCACCAGCATAACCCTCCATATCTACCAGTCAAAGCATCAAACGGGGCGTTGCCTCAGGTTTTGGGCGGGGCTTTTTTTAATGGATTGCGGCGATGCCTGTCACTGTTTGTCGCGCTAAGAACTTGGCGTCGCGTCTCTGGACGCGCCTCCCTTAAAACCACCTCGACCATCCACGCGAAATTTGCTTCTCTCATCTCCTCAACAACCACAACAAAATACGACGAATTTTATAATAATTCTCACGTTCTCTTTCACGGAAGCGTCAATACCCTTCAGACGCTCTTTGCCTTTTAATCTCTTCTATCAGCAGGAGTAGATCCTGCTATAAGCTCAAATCCGACCTCCCCGCCTTATCCTTCCTCACCCGCCATCATGTTCGTCAGAAAGAGAGGTATGTATGACCTGACAACATAAGAACTCATGATGACTGACTTGCTCATTAGATGGGCGCCAAGAACGTGTTCAGTTCGACAAGATCACTGCTCGTGTCTCGAGACTGTGTTATGGTCTTGACATGGACCACGTTGACCCCGTTGCCATCACCCAGAAGGTTATCTCCGGTGTCTACGGCGGTGTCACCACCGTGCAATTGGACGATCTTGTAAGTGACTCGCTCATCATGGCTGCTCCAGACACCAGCTAATTGATCACTAGGCCGCTGAGACTGCTGCGTACATGACCGTCACACACCCCGACTATGCCATCCTCGCGGCCCGTATTGCCGTCTCCAACCTTCACAAGCAGACCAAGAAGCAATGGTCCGCTGTTGTGAGCGACCTCTACCACTATGTGAACCCAAAGAACGGCCGACCATCACCCATGATCTCCAAGGAGACTTATGAGTGCGTCATGCGACATAAGGAGGAGTTGGACTCTGCCATTGTCTATGACCGCGATTTCCAATACCAATACTTTGGCTTCAAGACTTTGGAGCGATCATACCTCCTCAAGATTGACGGTAAGATTGTCGAGCGCCCTCAGCACATGATCATGCGTGTGTCTGTTGGTATTTGGGGTGATGATATCGAGCGAGTCTTGGAGACATACAACCTGATGTCCAGCAAATTCTTCACACATGCTTCTCCCACGCTCTTCAACGCCGGCACCCCTCAGCCCCAATTGTCATCTTGCTTCTTGGTTGATATGAAGGACGACAGTATTGAGGGAATCTACGATACTCTCAAGACCTGTGCCATGATCTCCAAGATGGCTGGTGGTATTGGTCTGAACGTGCACCGTATCCGTGCTACTGGCTCCTACATCGCCGGTACCAACGGTACATCGAACGGTGTTGTTCCTATGCTTCGTGTCTTCAACAACACTGCTCGCTATGTCGACCAGGGTGGCAACAAGCGACCCGGTGCTTTTGCCATCTACCTCGAGCCTTGGCACTCTGATGTCTTCGAGTTCCTTGATCTCCGTAAGAACCACGGTAAAGAGGAGGTCCGTGCCCGTGACCTTTTCCTCGCCCTTTGGATCCCTGATCTTTTCATGAAGCGTGTTGAAAAGAACGGTGACTGGACGCTGATGTGCCCCAACGAGTGCCCTGGCCTCGCCGACTGCTACGGAGAGGAGTTCGAGGCTCTGTACGAAAAGTACGAGAAGGAGGGCAAGGGTCGCAAGACTATCAAGGCTCAGAAACTTTGGTACGCCATTCTTGAGGCCCAGACTGAGACCGGAAACCCATTCATGCTCTACAAGGATGCCTGCAACCGCAAGAGCAACCAAAAGAACCTCGGTACCATCCGAAGCTCCAACCTGTGCACTGAAATTATTGAGTACTGTGCCCCTGACGAGGTCGCTGTCTGCAACCTTGCCTCTCTGGCTCTGCCCTCTTTCATCAACTACGATGAGGCTTGCTACGACTTCAAGAAGTTGCACAAGGTCAGTCAGGTTGTTGTTCGCAACCTGAACAAGATCATCGATGTGAACCACTACCCTGTCCAGGAGGCTCGCAACAGTAACATGCGCCACCGACCCATTGGTCTTGGTGTTCAGGGCCTTGCCGATGCTTTCCTTGCTCTGCGCATGCCCTTCGAGTCACCGGAGGCTCGTGAGCTCAACAAGCAGATCTTCGAGACCATTTACCACGCTGCCCTCACTGCCTCCGTGCAGCTGGCTAAGGAGGAGGGTCCCTATTCCACCTTCAAAGGTTCCCCCGCCTCTGAGGGTATCCTCCAGTTCGACATGTGGAACGTCAAGCCCTCTGACCTCTGGGACTGGGAGACTCTTCGAGAGGAAGTCAAGACACACGGCATCCGTAACAGTCTGCTCCTTGCTCCTATGCCTACTGCCAGTACCTCCCAGATTCTGGGCAACAACGAGTGCTTCGAGCCCTACACCTCCAACATCTACCAACGACGTGTTCTCGCTGGTGAGTTCCAGGTTGTCAACCCCTGGCTGCTCAAGGACCTTGTCGACATGGGTCTGTGGTCCGATGCTATGAAGAACCGCATCATTGCTGAGAATGGTTCCATTCAGAACATTCCCAACATCCCTGCCGATGTCAAGGCTCTGTATAAGACCGTTTGGGAGATCTCTCAGCGCCAGGTCGTTCAGATGGCTGCTGATCGAGGTGCCTTCATTGATCAGTCCCAGTCACTGAACATCCACATGAAGGACCCCACGATGGGCAAGATCACCAGTATGCACTTTGCAGGCTGGAAGCTTGGCCTCAAGACTGGCATGTACTACCTTCGTACACAGGCTGCTGCTGCTCCTATTCAGTTCACTGTTGATCAACAGGCTCTCAAGCTTGCCGATTCCAATTCGGCTCAGATCAAGCCTCTAAAGAAGCGTGCTCCTCCTGCTGGTTCAAGCTACCTCATGTCCTCGCCCTCAACTATGGGACGTACTGAACTGAACGGTAGCAGGACTGGCTCCCAAGACAGCGGCCTGAACGGCAATGCCGCCAAGAGCCTGAATGGTACTGCGACGGTACCTGGACGTGCACCCACCATCAAGGCTGATGTTGAGGAGGGTGACAGCCCCAGGGCTCTTCCTACTGAGCCTGCCGAGAAGGTTCAGGAAGAAGAGCTGGGTGTCAAGAAGAACCCTCAGTCTGAGGATCAAGACAAGGACAACGAGGATCGTGAGCGCGATATCTACTCGGAGGCCGTCCTGCAGTGTGAGTGACAAACGTTCCTTCGGCGTGAATGAAGATACTAATCGTGTAACAGGCAGCATTGAGGATCCCGAGTCCTGCATTATGTGCAGCGGTTAGAAAACAGCAAGAGCTGTCTGCGCACGTGTATTTATGACAATGGATGAGTTGAAAACGAAGACATGTTTTGGGAGGCATGCTACGATACAGCAAGGGAAAGGTAATTTGATGTTTGGTTATGTATGGGTATCTTGGGAGACAATGATCCCCGTTGGGCATGCTTATACTGGAGTATATTGTTAGATTCATGATATTGAGACCATGGAAGTCTGCTCGTGAAGCTGCAGCTGCTATTGACTTGGATAGTTTATGTTGATGCTTGCGCATTTGAATAATATTTTATGTTTAATATTTCGTTGTGCTGTGATACTCTCTGTAATCCATGGGCATTTTGGCATGGACATGAAGTGGCTTGGACTGATGGGCGTTGAGAATAATAGCGGCAGTCAACTGAAGCTGGCGTACGTGGGTAACTGTTTTCCGATTGAAGTTGAAGCCTTTACCGTTCTTCTTGATATCCAATGGCAGGCAACCAAGGGTAGCTGCAGTTCGGCGAAGATCGTTGTCACTATCGAGATGACACTTTTGCTGTTGGCGCGACGCCCGATTATGCAAGCTCAGCTGAATGTGGTGATCAGCAACAGTCTAGCAAGACAAGTTGAAGGTCTACGGGTTCGTGCATCGATAATTCGATAATAGAGCTGGATATCCTTGTCTATCGCAATATACAGCTCTTGAACTACAGTAGATCGAGACTCTAGAGCCGTCGATTATTGTGCTACGAGGTCTGAGAGTTTGAACAACACAGCCACCCTGGAGCATACCCAATTGGGCAATTTACTGCATTTCCAGGTGTTAGGCTACACTCTAATCACCAATTGGTTCTGATGCGACAGTTTACGAATGTGACCCGAGTCCCAATAAGGTATTATCCAGTTTCAAAGCCAGGTCCCTTGCGATTGGGCTGCTGGAAATGAAAGGGACTTTGAGAGGGCTGGGCTGGTGACCTCCAAAACTCTGCCAAATTGGAGATGGCGAGACATTACGACGTCGCAGGGAGAGCCAGCCACAATATGCGAGCTGAACTGCAAGTTAGACAGTGGCTGGTGTCTCAAGTTTATGAGATGCTTCGATCGGTGCGAGGTTCCGGTCTTCCAAGGGGCCGATAATTGTCGCACTTCGTTTTTAAGCATCTCCATAAGATTATCAGTTTTAACCATGACGATGATCAGACGACAGTTGATCAGGAATGAAACATGAAACAGAATTCCGATAGGAATTGAATTCAATGAAGTGACAACCAAGATCGTCACGATGACGAGACGGAAAACGTGGCATTGAGATGAAGACGAAACTCCCGAGGCCCAAGAGGTGGAGGGATGTTGATGAATACCCAATATCGAGCAAGGCTCAAAAGTCAAGGCCCAGGCTGGTCTGTCCAGCTCGACAGGGCCTTGAGCCATTCGCTGGGGTAGAAGCTTGGGCCATGAGAGAAACAGAAGAAAACAGACGATGATGCGATGGATGACATCAAGAGCCCGCCAGTTGACCTAACCCCTGGTTCTCTTGGTTCGCTTGGCGTGTGGCTTGAGTGGCTTGGCCCGTTGGGTGGCTAGTCTGGGCACAGCTCATCAAAGCCAGCTGAGCAGGGAATCGAGCATCACAATCACAGACAGCACAGGGTATGTGGTGGAAGTTCTCGATGGGTACAGAGTGGGACGAGTTGAAGTGGATGAGTTGGTTCAAGTGGGGTAGGCATCATCGAAAGATCAGGCTTGAGGAGAACGATGTTGTAGATGATATTAAGCGAAAACCTGATAAGACACAACCACAATGCGAAATTGATACAGAGATTGCCATGATTGCACGGACAAATGATAATCAACAAATAGAAGGTCGGGTTTGAGGCCTAAATTGCACTTGTCTGTTCCTGAGACAGGTACGCACCACACTACCATCACCATTGACACCATCTCATCTGATTCAGGAATCGAGAAGAAAGTTCCCAAAGGACAAGAAAGAAAAAAGAACATGATTCCGCTTCCCGGTTGCCAGGGAGTCAAAAGTTGGCTAACACCTCAGCTTGTTTTTGTGTGGTTGCCAAGGATGGATTAGTACATGGGTAATTGGCCAATCGGAGAGAGCACCAACGCCACTGGCCAACGACGACTAACTTCACTCTCGATAATTGGAGATGCGATATCACACGTACTGTGAGCTACTGCCATGGGTGGTCTTTAGAAGATGGAAATCTGGGATAGTGTTTAGATGAAACTGTGGTACTTGGTTGTGATTGCCTGGCAAAGATGATGGTTGCTGTGGCAGGAGCACAACACAACATCAATTGCACTGAACTGGGCAAGCAGGGTACTGTTGTTGGCAATCGTCATACCCGTTTTCCTTCCTTCATGCTCCTGTGGCCGTTATCCGGCTCGGCATACGAGTTCCTTCCTGCTTGCCTCAATCAATTCATTTCTTCACGGTGACCCAAGAGAGTTCCGTCATAGACGAGAGCTGATCCAGTTTTCTAGTCTGGTGTGATCAAGTCAAGTTTGCATCTTTTTGCCTCCACAGGCTGTATTGGTGGTAGGACCGAATATCCGAAAGTTTGGCTAGCAAAGAAGCACAGAAACTACCACGCACGCGCTATTGGCAAACCCAACGAGGACATCGAGTTTTGAATATCAATTTGTCCTCGCATCAGCTCCCGTCCGGTTTCAAAGCCCCATGCGCCATGATGTGGATGCCGATGCGGGTGGTTGGCGATCTAGCGTGGCAGCCCGTCCAGCTATCACTCACCTTGACCTCTTTTTCCATCTCATATGCTGTAGCTTCCCTGATAGTATCCATAGTTGCTGATGAATATGAAACTTTTCCAGTAGGTAGCTTGCTTTGTCAACTTCTTTACCCCGCTACAGATATCATAACGTCAAAGTCAAAGTGTCCCCTGGGCGAAAATACAAGAATTTTGAGTGTAAGAACTTTAACTGTGAGACCCTCGCAGCCACTTACACCAGCGTCACCGACGTGGACAAGTTGCTATGAAAGCCGCTCCCCGTTGTGACAGGGGTAACCCATCTTGTCTACAGCTCATGCTCTGACCTCATTGTGTATCTCCAATTACAGCATTGACGTCTGATTTGGATACCCAATTCTCGATTGCATTGACTCAATTATCATGGCGGAGCAAAATCACAAATGAGAAATTGCTTGGCTCATCGTAATATCCTTCTGTCGTTGACAAAACATCCCCGTAAAACAACATCATAGTCAACATGGGGGGGGCCTCCAAGTGCCTGGCCCTGTCCGTCTGTGCTGGAGTCTGTGTCTTTGACGGTCCGGCCCAGTGGAGTGGACTTTCTAGCTTCCCCGCCAGCAACTGAGCCTTGACTGGACTGGGTCGTATTAGCGTTGGCCCCTCCCGTGCCATCGGTGGTCTCCCTGCAGGCGGTATCCAAGCCAAGCAGCAAGGTACTGGCCCAGGTGCAGATTTACGCTTCAATCTGTGATGGCAGTTTCCTCTCACTCTAAGAGGACGTACGTAGTGACAAGGCAAGATCAAGCCCGTGCCGTGCTTGCCCTGCTAGACCGCCAATGCCAAGCTGGGAAACACACCGTTTAGCTAGGGTACCCTGCCTGCACTTGCCTTACCAGCTGGCAAGCACTGCTCGCTCCTGCAAAGCAAGCAACCGTCACGCCAAGATCAAGATTCTGGCTCCCGCCCACCCACCACTTACTCCTGCCTTTAAAGCCACAGCTTCCTCCTCACCCTTCCTCTTGTTCCACATCAATATCAGCCTTGAGAAATTTTCATTCCAACATCTCAAACATCCTCTCTCCAACAATTCAATCGAGTTTATCTCCCAACCTCCAGCCCCCAGGCCAGTCTCACTTCGTCTCACTCTTACACGAGATCGATCACCTTCGTTTGTGCCGTAGTCACATATCAATTACCATCAAGGTAAGTTACTATCTCCTCGTTATTACTCCAGCTACACTGTCCATCTTTGCCGGCGCCTTTTTTGCTTGCCAACAAGTTTGCCTCATTCCAACTTGGTGATTGTGTGATTTGAAACCGGAACGTGAGCACTGAACATCGCATTGCGAGGGGCTGAGGGCTACACACTTCTTGTTCTCGGCTCTTCCATACCTCTGTGATACACGTTCCCTTGCTTTGTCTCACGCAAACATCACTCGCGTGCCTCAGGAGCAGGCCGCCGGTAGTCGCACTTCATTTATTCACGGGTCGCCTCTGCTCCTGCTGGCGGTGATTCACTGCCTAACTTCCCCTCGTTTACATCACTCGCCTAACACGCTCGCAAAACCTACCTTCGTTCACCATCGCCTTCTTACTGTCGCTACAAACTTCATAAGAGACCTCAACTAATCCACCAATTTGATACAGACCGTCGATCAAGCAAAATCGTCAAGATGAAGTCTTCTTTCCTCACCATCTTCGGCCTGGCTGCTGCCGCCGTTGCCCAGAGCTCTGATGATCTCCCCCAGTGTGGTGTAAGTCTAAATCCAAGCATTGCACAGCTAGAGTATCTCTAACCACGAGCAGCGTACTTGCGCCGGCAACATGGTCAGTGCCGAGAAGTCACAGGAGCTTGGATGTGACGCCGGCGATATTGGCTGCCTGTGCACCAACCAGAACTTCATCTACGGTCTCCGTGACTGCTCTGCTGCTATCTGCAACGGTGAGCAGGCCGCCCAGGTCCTGAACTACGGTCTTGAGATCTGCCGCCGTAAGTTTCCCTGATCCCACAAAAGAATCAACATATCTAACCTTCCGCAGGAGCTGGTGTTCAGATCACTACTGGTGCTTCTGGCGAGGTTTCGGCCACGGCTACTGGCTCTGGCGCCGTTCGAACCGTCCTTAGCACCCTTACCTCTGGCGATTCTACCATCACCTCTGCTCTCTCCACCATCAGCGGTACTGCTACTGGCGCTTCCGACGATGTTTCCGTGAGCACCTACACCAGCGTCCTCACCAACTCTGAGGGAGATGAGTTCACCACCACCGGCAAGGCTATCCTCGGCGGTGCAGTTGTCACCACTTTCACCTCTGGTGGTTCTACCATCGTCTCTACTATTACCTCCGGGTCTGAGACCGAGACCTCTGGTGCCGAGTCCGCTGAGGTTACCACCTTCACCTCCGATGGTACTGAGATCGTCCGAACTCTTGTCACCGAGACTGCCTCTACCGACTCTGCCGCATCCGCCGAGGTCACCACATTCACCACTGATGGCACTAAGGTTGTCCGAACTCTCACCACCGTTACCAGCGGTTCTCAGTCCGAGTCGGTTTCGGAGACCGTTACTGACGCCTCCACCGCCACCGAGGGTGCTACTGGTGCTACTGGCACTGATGCTTCGGCCTCCACCACCGGCACTGACAATGCTGTAAGTTAATCCTCTCCTATGTTCTATTGAAAATCTCTAACTTTCACTCAGGCCGCTGCTCAGATGACTGGTGCCCCTGCTGGTGTCATCGCCGCAGCTGGTATTGCCATGCTCCTCCTTTAAATCAGGATGGACGATAATTTGATGTTTGATGCTTTTACGTTGCACATGTTTGATACATAATTCACGCCTGTACCTCGATCTTTTGGGACCCTTAGCATATTTCCTCGGTGCAAGGAGTCGGTTTGTGGGGGAAAAATCTTCACATAATGGTGAATGGTATGAATGGACATGACGGGTCAGGTTTTTCGAGGGTTTAATGATGCATACGGCTTATCTCTCCTTTAATGGAAATGACGCGAAATGTTAGAATGGATGGGATCTTGATGCTGTTTGTGACAGATGAAGAAGGGGGCGGTGGCGTGGGAGATGACGACGGGAAGCGGCAGACTTGTGCTGCCTTGACACAAGCTCAGCCTGTACGTGTCGTCTCTTATGGTTACATGGGTTCTGGGATGGTGGTGATACCCGGCCTACGGCCTGACTTCGGTGGTGGACTTTGCTTCTCACATTCATTGAGAAATAGTAATAGATAATCTTCTTCAAAAAAAAAAATGTGCGTAATTCGTATTCAGTGTCACTTGATGTATTACCATGACATAAAGGTGTTGAAACCAAACAGAACCGATTGTCAAGCGGCTCATTTCATATAATAAATAGAGGGACCGGGGTTGTTGGAACCTAGTTTGGACTGACAGGTTTTCGATGGTAGACAGACCGTGGAAATACTATAGAGGACCGCGATTAGATTATCATTCTTGGTATGATTTATGCATGTAACACAAACAATTTTTTCAAACAGCGCTGCCAGCTCATAAGTGTAGTTATAGCTAAATACATATCCCATTGTAACGCCAGTCAAGTCATCAAGCCACATATATGTAAGGTTTAGTCCATCATGGACTTGCCAATCTCACTCTGCCAGTTCTCTGCTCGCTCGAAACCGTTAGAGTGGGTTTGGTAGTCGAAAAGAGCTTTGGCGACGTCCTCTTTGGAAGTGAGGACAAAAGGGCCGTATTGGATAACAGGCTGATCAAGAGGAATACCAGCGATGAGGGCTTATCAAAATGTTAGTATGTATAGTTTCTCGGGGGTAAGTGTTTTACATACCTAGTCGAGCGGGTTTTGAAGCACCAGCGTCAACCTCAAAGTGAACAACATCTCCCTGTGGCTCAAAGACAATGTTATGGTACTGCTCGACAACACGTCGCTGGTCATCCTTGCCAACGATAACATCTCCCTCGAGAGTGTAGGCAAAGGCGTTCCAGTTTGCGGGGAGAGGTTGGGTGATCTTGCCACCAGGGCGGATCTCAATGTCGAGGAACCAAACGGGTGTGTAGGCGAGATCCTTGACTGAGTCGATGCCGTGGCTCTGGCCAGAAATGACCTTTACAGTGACCTTGTCATCGTCAACCTTGGCGATGGGGATCTCGGAGCCACGGAGGTCGCGATACCGAGGTTCGCAAGCCTTCAGGTCCTTGGGAAGGTCGACCCAAAGTTGAAGACCGACGTTTGCACTGCCATCCTCGTTTTGTCGGGGCATTTCAGCGTGCACAATGCCTAGGCGATGTTAGTACGATTCTGCTATTTAGGACAAGTAAGTGGTTCATACCTTTTCCAGCAGTCATGAATTGGAGGTCACCGGCGGAGAGAGTACCCCTGTTGCCAGCAAAATCCTCATGATCCATGCCACCCTCAAGGAGATATGTGATAGTCTCCTGGCCACGATGAGGATGATCAGGGAAACCAGCACCAGGCTTCACGGAGAAGTGATCGAGCATGAGAAAAGGAGAAAAGTTGCGGAGCTGAGGAGTGCCAATTGAGCGACGAACACGAGCACCAGCTCCTTCGGATTGCTCAACGGCAAGGAAGACCTTGCGAACAGCTCGGGTGACAGACATTTCTGTGGCGTAAAGGTGGTGTTCTTTGTGCTGAGTGTTTGCCTTGTCGAAAGTCAGGAGGGTAAGAGTCCCTAGGAATTCAAAGGTTGAAGTTGCTGTGTCCTTGATACGATGTTGGAACAATGCAATAGCTGCTAGAGCAGTGAATACTGGTATGAAGATGGAACGAAAAAGGGTCATGACCAGGGAGGGCGGTTGAGAAAGGGGATTTATATACTACGAGAGACAAGGTTGGATGAGAAGATGAATTTGCAAGCACGACAAATGCAGGGTCCTACGAGTAGAAATAGATAGAATAAGCCATGGATGGCATTGGATCGAATTGATCCGTGGTGGAGGTTAGAGATGTTTAGTCAATGTTACATCAGCAGCTAAATTGTGGTGGTTTGCTTTGCAACCTTTGGACCTAGCTATTGCTAGAATGGAATGGTCCCCAATATTTTTGGTTTGCTAAGGCTGACCAAGGTGATGAATGTCTAATAAGTGGAGATAATGACTTAACGCAATATCGATATCCGTATTTCCGACTACTGCCTACCCTAAACTTTCGTCTTCTTGGTATCTTAAGCTTTCATCTACAACCTTGTTCGCATCATGGAGGAAGTTTATTGAGACATGGAAATGATGCGCTCTTGCTGCTTGTGTGTGGCTGTTTGCTTAAACAAACCACGCCACACTTCTCGCTTTAGGATTTCTCCCTAACATGGAACACCCCTAAATCCTGACGAATCTTCCTAAGACATCACGATAGTTGTGCATCGATCCTTTATCTTGTAAAATGCCAAGACAAACCATTACTCAATCGTCGTGGTACGATAATGCCAGGCGACTCAAGGACCCGAAACCTCGTTTGGAGTGGGACGAAGTCACAGAGTGGGAGGAGGCGAATCTCTGCAACAAGATAACCATCTTCGACTTGCCCCTCGAGTGCCCATTTCCTCTCACCAACAGACGAAATGCTTGTGCCCTGATCGAAAATTTCCTAGACGCCGTCAGATACCACAGGGAACTATTTCCCTACTGGCGCAGGCGCGCCATCAAGTACTTTATCTGGCGTGAATGGTTCGTCATCAGGAACAACGATGAGTGGAAAGATTACAGGAGCCACCCCCTATTCAAGAATCGTGACGCACTCAGGGCTTTGGCGAAGAAGCAATTTCAGAACGCAATGGGGCTTGCATCTGGTTTGTTGTTCGTCCTCCACGGACTCTACACCAACGACTGGGAACTCGAGTTCCTGTTGAAGGGGCAGCAGAAACTCATCGATACATACAACATGTGTGATGTCAATATGACGCTGTGGAACAGGGAAAAAATGCTCGACATCCTGTTCATTGAGTGCCAATGGCTCAAGGACACGCTCCTCGAAGCGCACATGAAGGAGAAGAAGGAGATAGATGAAGAGTGGGAGCACAGACAAACAAAGACACTCGAAGAAATGGAGGTTTTTATCGATGAGACACCAGAGCTTATGGATGAGGATGAAGATGATGATAATGCTCAAGGAAACGCTCAAAACAATGCTCAAAACAATGCTCAAAACAATGCTCAAAACAATGCTCAAAACAACGCTCAAGGGATCACTCAAGGTATCACTCAGAATAATACTCAAAATAACACACGAGGTATCGATCAAGGCAACGCTCAAGACATCAATCCATGGGATGTTCCTATCACCATGTGTATGAATCAATGGGACGATCAAAGTTTCGCACAGCAATTCGAGCAAAGGCTTCGAAGGCAGGAAAAGGATCTCCGTCAATGGGACGCTCAATGTTATGCCCAGGGTCTCAATGAAAGTCTGGTTCACAGTATGGCTCAAATTCTCAAATTCGAGGTAGAGGACGCTCAGTATTTCGCTCAACGTCGCGCTCAGGATGTCAACCAAAGGAAAGCTCGAAGTATTGCTCAAGAAAGGGCTCAGCAACACCGCAATCGACGTCAGGCTCGAATTCGCGCTCAAATCCGAGCCGAACGTCGCGCTCAGGGTCGAACTCAGGGTCGCACTCAAGACAAGGCTCGAGGTATTGCTCAAAACAACACTCAACGTATTGTTCAGTATTTCGATCGGGACACCTCCCAAAATATCATTCAGAGTCTCCCCCGGGGAAACACTAAAAAAAGTGTTAAAGCTTTCATGGAAGGTGTCTATCAAGAGCTTGCTCGAGGTATCGCCCAAGACAAGGCTCAACAACGTCGCACTCAACGTCGCGCTCATCGCACCGTACAGGAGAACATTCGAGAGACCACTCAAAATACCGCCAAGGAGAATGGTCAAGAAGGAACTCAGAACAACCTCCAAGATTCCACTGCAACAGCTCGTCATCATCAACGAACAGACTCGCAGGCTCCTGAAGAGCCAGTCAATACTGCTGTCCCACCTATACACCCACGTCCTGCCCTTCCAGCGAGGCCAGTCGACGATGATGAGGATATATATGGCTATAGCGGGGGCGAGGATGGCAATACTAAAAAGAAATAGTGAAGCTGCCGTTGAGGTTTCTGCTCCATGAGAAAGCCCGTCCTTGGAGTAACTTTTGCAAGGCAGTCTTGGTTATATGGCTGATGCAGAGGACCTAGGAGCTCTCGAGGATTACATATGGCGCTAAAGTCAATGTCAAGCAATATGCTTAGTCGAGTGTTGGGAAGGTTATTGATAGCAATAGGAAGGGTAGGCGAATGCCGACGAGACTGGTAAGGGCAATGCTGAATGCAGGTACAGCGAAGGAGGATTCGAGTATGAGAACAAGATTGCGTTAAGTTGGGGGTAAGATTGGCAGGAACCCTAATATTCAGAGGCATAACTACTGGGCCTCATTATATCAGCTTTTAACTACGTAGGGTCCATGTGTTAGAACTAAAGCGTTTCCAATAACCCCGTGTTCCTAACCCAACGAAAAAGCTGGAGGGCACATCGTCAACACTGCAAGTTGATAGACCGAGAGAGAATTAACACGTATGACGAGTAGCTAAAGCTCCTCAATCCAAGTGTCTCCATCATCAATGTATCCCATATCGTGAAACAGGCGCAGTGTCTTCGACGCCTGGGGATCGCAGAGCAATACATCGTGTTCTCTCAGATACTCAGTGACCTCCTGATACACCTTCTCAGATCCAGCTTTCGGGGTAGACAGTTCAATCTCCATAAGGTGAAGCTCCCCAGCCACTACATCATCCAGCTTCGCTTTGTACCCCAATATCTTTAACTTCCACTTGCCATCTGGGAAAGGCCCGTAGGGTACAAGGCCATCCCAGTCAATGTCGTCGTACTTTTCCGCAAAGCGAACTTGGTCATCGCTCCAGATCTCTTTGGTCTTGTCACCCAGGAGGTACCGTTGACCGCAAGTGAATGGAACGTTGTCTCCGTATCGATCATAGACGCAATGGGCGCCGGGAGGAATGCGCTCTGGTTTCTCATCGAAGCGGACCTTGATGACAGAAAATGGGTTGCCTTTGTTCGTCTTGGTGCGGAACATGACGCCTTGTTGCGCATGAGTCGGGGGCATGGTGTCGAAATAGGTGATCGGATTGCGTTTGTAGGGTGGACGAACTTCTTCCCCTAGTTTCTCGAGGACGGCTTCTCCATCACGATCACATAGTGACCACTGAAGATGTATTTCTTTATCGGTGGCTCGACTCAGAGACGAGGTCACAAACAGTGCGAAAGACAAGAGGTTATAAAAAATCATATTGATAGAAATAGATTACAGTACAGTACCTAAACGTAACCACACGACATCTACCGAAGAAAGACAGACGGAGAGAGATCGGGACTGACGGGCGGGAATTTAAAGAGGAAAAGCAGCCGCAGCAGCAGCAGTTGTATCACTTGGTATAACCATCATCTAACTCACTGAATGTGTGACGCACATCTTTCTGTCTGTGCACACCAATTTGCTTGCGCGACAGTATCAATTACCGCGCATAGTGCAATAAATTCATCATTTTCGCATCTGACCGTATTGAGGCCTGACGTTGATCGCCGATTGACAGGTGTCGCAACCAATTGAGCTGAAGTAGCTGAGCAGCTGACATTTCGATCCGCATCGAGCCGTCCCTTAGCAGGCGTAGATATTCCTTCATGTCAGAACTAAAGTAAAACATTGGAAGATCCCCAAGAAAGCCGCCGCTTGGTTTCACAGTGTTCAGCGATGTGATTCGGCAAAGCCTGACCTGAATGTGGGTTAACAAGCTGTTGTAAGACAACAGGTGACCATGATGGTGAAAGCAGTGTTGCTTTGTGAAATGTGAACAGTATCGTTATATCGACTTTTGACAGTGTCTCCGATAATGCGATGAGTGAGTTTCGAAATTAGACCAGTCATACTCGTAAATCTAAAGATCCGTGAATCTTCAGGCATTGTGAATTGGTGTACGAATATTTCGAGACTGCATATGGCTTGCGCCGCGATAATGCAGGGAACCGAGCCCAGAAAAAAGGCTATGAACTATGATCATCGGAAACAACCCGAATTCGAGGGTCTTGCATGTGGTCCAAGATAATCCGAGGAGCCCTTGTAAGTCAGATCAATCAAAGCGAGCGGATCTCCCACGCATGAGCACAAGCATGAAGAGGAAGGGAACATGCAAGTTATGTAGGGCTGTCGACTAGCCCGAAATCAGATGCTAGGTGTAGATGAGACCCACATTGACCGACGGAAGCTATCGTGCTGGGGTTGAGCTGCCACGATCACGATAGGCATAGCGATAACGAAATAACGAAGAGTAGATTTGTTTTGGACATGTGATGTTGAGGGGACGAGTAGCCCTAGCCGTTGGGCTTCGTTAGTCGCTCACCAAAGACACAGAGAAACGGCGTTTCAAGAAAATATGCATCCTGTCGTGATCACGATATGCTGAAATGATGCGGCGCAAATTCGGTGAGGCTTGAGAGGAAGATTCCCACCGCAGAAGACGAAAAAGAGTCGTGAAGAAAAATATGGAAATCATGCAAAGTGTCAACGCTTGGTCGACCACCCTGTGCGCCGACCAACAGTTTGCGCAGAGGAACGTGTGGGCTAGAGAGAGGAATGCTGGCGTTGTTCACTGGTGTCACTTGAAGATCGTGAGATTTTGTATTGCTGGCATGCGTTGCCGAGCATGCGCAATGAGCCGTTGAATATACTGTCGATCAAGGTTACACAAGCGCATCCGTCTGCTTGATTTGAGACTTTCAAGGGGGCACCCACGTCTAATCAATGGATGAGTTCATCGCCCATCACTCAGTCATCACTCGACATGTAATTTCTGACATGTGAAAGTGGCTGTAAGTGGGCCGTAGTCGACTTCAGTGACAGGGGAGCAGGAAGTGCATGCCACGTAGCAGGGGACCCTTGGGGCTTTTGGGTGATCGGTCGATAAGGTAATAGAGCGATTCCGTTAACGTGATGAGGCTATGGAGCAAATGTCGAAAGAGGAATCGAGTTCGTAGCCACGAGACGGAGCCGCTTTTCTGGAAGCGATATTTATTCTTTCTTCCCTTGAGATCCGAGGCCGGCAGTCGAGCTCATGTCTGATATGAGGTTTAACCGCGGCAGCAGCTGGATTGCCTTTCGCCAAGTCGGCAGCAGAATGAGAGGTCTCTTATCAATGCATTGGATTCGTCTTAGTATTGACCGAATGCTTCACGTGGCGGCTACACCAAGAGTGATAAAAAGTGCCCTTCCTACATATACGCGGACTGCTACCCCGTTACCAAGTAGGTTTAGGGGCGAATAGCTGACAAGCTAAGTGCCTGCCACCTGGCTGAGACTGAACGAGGCGACGATTGGTTCCTAGCAAAGGGGAGAGGAGGAGTTGCTGATCCGACCTGATTGCTGTTGCTAGGTTGAACGGATAGCTAAGACTTCAAAATGCCCGAGATAAGCCATACGGAGTACGGACTGTGTAGATGAGGATTGGCCGTGGACCGAGCGCTTGCAGACGCAATGCGAGGGATCACAGACTTGGAAAAGCGTCGTGTTGAAACGCATCATGACGAAGATTGAGTTGTGTCTGATTTTCCGTTGCATTGCATTGCGCGGTATTGCACTCCACGGAACTGGCCATTGGCCATTATCTCCGAGGAGAGGCAACGCTTCCACATTCATGTGCCAACTAACTGAGCCCGCGGAAGAAGTTGATAAGCCGGCTGTAGACAGTGGAGATGTCAAAGCCTCCAAAGTAATAAGTCTCGTTCACTTGAATGTCATTTCGTTCGGAATACCCAAAAGGAACACAGATTGTATCAAGAGCTCATTCTTGCTTGATTGACGCCAAGGACGCGTGGCGTCGATGTAGAATTGTAATGGCTGCACTCCTTGATCAGTGAGAGAGGGATTCTATAGCTCAAGCTCTTTTGTTGGGGAGATTTGAGTCGAATTGACAATCTTGGTGTTGGCCATGTTTGGAGTAAGGGAAACGTTATTGCTTGGAGAGTGGGGGGAGGGGCCACTTTCACATGTCACGGAGATCATTCATTCCTTTTACTGCCTGCAGGGACATTACGCGAGCAGCAGGGGTACGTACCTAATTAATGAGCTCCCGTCTTCCCGGGGCGAGCCATTTGATCGAATGGCTGTTGAGGAAAGAGATGAAACGAGGAATGAACACTCAGAGACAGGGCATGCGGCTGAGTCGAACGATTGCCTATCTTTTGACTGTGATGGTGTCACAAAGGCCCAACAGCACCCCACCAATGCCTGTCCTGTACCGACTGACTGATACTGACTGATGCCTACTGCTATGATCGAATTGATGTTTGGTCAGGGCTACAAGAATTGAAAAGCATGTGGCTGACATGTCATTCGATAACCTCAGCCAAAGACTCAGCGAAGATGTAGTGATGCCAATCTCCAATCTTTTCCTTCATCCAATATCAAAAAAGGGAGACTCACAAGAAACAGCTTGAATCAGCCACAAGATAATGAGTTAGCAGTACCTACATGCCCAAGCTACGTCAAGTATCCACTCAGCCCAAAATAGCTCTAAAGATACCTTGTCTAGTACAAGCACATGTTTGCGCATTTGCACATGCAAATTGATTGCTCCCTAACACTCACTCACTCACTCCTCCAGAATCCTCGCGATGGCAAAAAACAGCTGCACCTTGATATTTGCTGTATCGTAAAGGTGGGTTACTTTCCGGAATTTTCTAGCCCCCTACCTACTGGACAGCACTTACAGCACACCCAAAGCGCATTTATTAACCTAGATAGGCCCTTTCCTCTTCGTTTTCCCTTCTTCCTCCGAGTTCTTTTACACCAAAAACTGTAGGTAATGAGCTTCCATACTGTGGCGTCCCACCAACATCATCTCCCTCATCTCCCTCATCCGACCTCAGACGTAACGCACACGCAGACACACAATTTGGTCCTGACTACTCCTCCCCTCTTCCTCGTCCATCCTGTTCCCTTTTAGCCTCTGCAGGTCCCCTTCAATTGCGACCATCCCACTTTCCCACTTTCCCACCTTCTTCTCTTCTGTTTATCTATCCTACGCCATCACATCCCACCTGAAGCTCCTCTTAAAGAAAATTACCGTTCCTGACTCGAATCAAGCTTATCCATCACTCGTCATCGAACGTCATCACGATTTCGACAAGCAATTGACTTTATCTCGAACCTTGCGACTTCACCACTTGCACTGATTCTTTGCAAGCAATCCTAAAACAACTACCATGTCTCATCAAGTTAATGGCGACGTGAGCGCTGCTCAGTATTCTGCTTTCGTCCAGGTAATTGTTGAATAGCCCACCACTTTGCGACTCAAAAACTAACCCGTTTGCAGCATCTTCTCAACTACCCTGTCATTAGCGACGGCGTCCACTCCTTCAAGTCCAACGAATTCGGCCAGCGCTCCATCAAGCTCACCGACGCTGCTTACCAGACCTTCGCCGCTCCCGTCGTCCCCTACTTCGCCAAGCCCTACCAATATGTCTCTCCCTATGTCCAGAAGGTCGACTCCCTAGGCGACAAGACCCTCGACCGTATCGATGAGAAGTTCCCCGTCGTCAAGAAGCCCACCGATGAACTCTACCAAGATACCCGTGCTCTCATCCTCTTCCCAATTCAGAAGGGTCTTGAGGGTAAGGACCACGTCTTCCAGGTCTACAACTCTGAGATTAAGAAGGTCGAGCAAGGAGGCCTCGTCGCGCACGGAAAAGCTGCCGTTACCACCGTCCTCGTCGTCAGCAACGAGACACTCTCTTGGTTGAGCTCTTTCCTGCACCAGAAGAAGGCCGAGACCACCACTGCCGTCAACGAGAAGATTAACCAGTAAACGCCTCACTCAATGACCATGGCACCACGAGCGTGATGACTGTCCTCAGCTGAACCATACCTATACCCCTCCCTGTTTTCCTTTTACTCAGAATAATTTCTTGAAACCATGGCATTTCCTGTTGTACTTCTCTTCCCTTACTGATTCTTGGAGTTCTGAATGATATGGGAGCATAACGCCGTTGCAAATCAGCTTGTAACTCTCGGAATTGTCTGATGTGCCTCTTTGGTTGCGCTGCAAACATGATTTCAATGGTTGTTTCAGCCCTAAGAAATACAGGTGTTGAATTCGATGTGCATTTCTCTCTGTCGTGTCTCATAGGCGCAATGGGGGTTGTCTGCCTCCCCGTTCTCTCGTTTCTATCTCCCCGCTTGAGGATTTAGCCGATGACAGAGTGGCTAGCGGAAGGTGCTGATGAGACATATGATGATCAGACGATTGTGTATCCTCGAGATGTGTACGTGAGGATACGCACGCGGCGGGTGGCTCAAATCGTTAAAAGGATGTGGACTTCGAAAGACTTGAAAACGAGCTAATAGATTTTGTTTGTATTCTTGAGTGAAAATTGAGTGTGATTCTGGACCCTGGCTTTACTGAACGGGTGAGTGATGACGAAATTTGTATGCAACAGGATGCACAAGTATGAAGGGGTGAAACAAAAGAATATGTTAAGCTTTTGATACCACGATCACGATGCAATGGTTGTTCCCAATCCCGATTACCATCACAATGGTACGTGGTGGCGCCTAAGCCCATGCTCGTCTGAAGATTCACGTAGTACATAATCTGGTGATGTCCAGGAAAGTCTATCGACTTGTGTCAGACTGTCTGAGGAAGCAGATAGCCACGGTAGGATCATCAAATAAACATTGACTGAGTTGAGAATCTCGCCAAGTGTGCTGAAGGAATAACATAACCGGATTCGATTAGCACTGCGGTTAACCTGGCTCTTCCACTATCACCCAACGGGAGTAGCTCTATATGATAGACTCAGCCATTGAATATGAATGATATGGCACCGAGCAGCCTCACACAAGAGCAAGAAAACTGGTTACGAAATCTGAAATGAGAGTGGCAGTTGCTTGACCTATCATGCACAGCTTTACTATCGCCAGAGCCAGATATCCGTGAGACTCAAAAGCACCTTGGACAGAAATATAGCAACTAACTGACGCTGGGAGACATACCTAAGTCAAGTCCCCGGATACTAGGTAACGGAGTTTGGTAATGGCTTCGTTGTAGGTATCGAGAGCCTGGCAACCAATATATACCATCTTGCCATTGACGATGGTTTCGGCATCGAGCTCTTCAGGCCAGATACCGAGACTCATAGCAAAACCCCAATCAAGCTCAAAACGTTCGGCTAAACTTAGACCCTTTGGATCCCTTGGACGAAGTATTGTCGCTTCCTACTTAGAGATCAGCTCTTCGGCTTATTCATTGAGCAGACAGGCTTATACAATTCCCTGGTACCCAGACAAATCTGGACAGACCGAAGCGACTGACTATGCGGTTCAATCATATTCTTTGTCTTCTGAGAACTAAGCTTTCGTCAACGGCCCCTGAATTATGCGAGCCCCTGAAAATAGAATATACTGTGGGCAATGGATCTTCAAATTGGAGCTAAGCCAACGATGGAACATTGGACCGCAGTTCTGCACAGAAGAGAAGGATACCGAAATATCATTATTAAGGATGAACCTAACAAGTAACAAAATGGTATATTCAAACACTAGTACAGATTATCAAATTTAAAGAGCCTTGGAAGCAAGGCCGCTGAGCTCCAGGAAGACATGGACGTCCAACCCATCAATCAGTGACTTCTCGCGTCACCTGAAGGGGAAACAACTGTCTCTTGAGGTCCTTTATGAGCAGGGTTGCCGTCACCTGAATCACTACCATCAACGATACCAGCGCTGAGAGCGCCGGCACTGGTTGGGTCGATAGGTGCAGAAAATCCATACCATGCCACGACGGCTACACCCAGGATACCACAGATACAGCTGAAGACAAGAGCAACGATACCACGAGGAGTGAATCTTCAAGGAGTGTCAGTGCGTCAGCCTCATGAAGCAAAGGGAATAGAGGGACTTACCCAGCAGGCAGAGCCTTGGCAGGTTTATTCTCGCCAGTAAGATCAAGGAAGTTCTCAGTATTAGCAGCCGCATTTCCCTTGGTAGGCATATCAGCAGCGGCGCAGGCGTCCAGGTGGTTCTTAGGGATCTGGATGGTCTCTTGAAGAGTAAGAGGGTCTTCGACGAAGGTGGCAATGAGACCGGACACCACGTGCCATTCAATATGGCAATGGAACAGCCAGACACCTGAAAAGAGTTAATTATGCGAATTCCTTCTTAAATTGAGTTTTGGCACATACCTGGGTTGTCGGCCTTGAAACGCATAACAATGTTACCGTTGGGATAGATGACGAGAGTATCACGTCGCATAGGAGTTTTGGGCAAATCAGCTTCAGTAACATTGGCATCGGCCCAGATACCAGCCTCCTCTTCGGAACGGTAGATAGATTGGAATGCGTGTCCGTGAAGATGGAAAGGGTGGCGACCAGAATCGAGATTGTTCACGACAATTTGTACGATCTCGTTCTTCTTAAGGACCATGGAGTGTGTGTAAGTGCCATAAACACTTGGATCCTCGGCGTCCTTGCCTGCACTGAGGGCGGTGTACAGAGTGGGAACCTTGGCTTCGACGTAGGTAATGTTGTTGAACCAGGCGTAGTTGGCTCCATCCTTGAGGTTTTCCATCTTGACATCGAGAGTAAACTCCTGGTCAGGTTTTCCAAGAATGCCCATCTTGTCGTATGGAACAAGCTTCATGTCATCGTGGGGGTCCAAAGTCTCAACTGTAGCGGCGTCTGGCTTGTCGGCCTTTTTATCATAGACGAGCCAGCCGGTGGCATTGTAGTTCAGATCGGGGGGAAGGACATCAAAAAGGGTCTAGATGAGACTGTCAGCTTTTGCTTCAGCATCATTCTTAGGCTGGCAGCACTCACAGTATCCATGCTGGCAACAATAGGGAAGTTCTTGGAGGTGTCCTTTTTGGTAGTGAGCAAAAAGCTGACACGTTGAGCAGCCGAGATGTAGATCATCTCTGCCTCAGCCTCTTCGGTATAAATACCATCGACCTCGACAATGCGCATCTTATGACCCTCAAACCAGAGATATTGGCCAGCAAAGGCGCCTATGTTGATAGTACGGAACAGATAGGTTGTTTCGGGCTTGACAGACATTGTGAAGTTTGTGGTCTCGTTCATCAGGGCATTGTTAGGCACAGGCTCTGCGCCTGAAGGGTTGGCCTTGCTCATGAACTTGGGAATCATGGATTGCATCTCGTCATGATACCAATCAGAGAGAGTAAAGATAACCTCTTCATCATACTTATCCTTGTAGGGGAAATCTTTGTCGTGAACGATAAAGGGAGCACGTAGACCGTCAGGGTATTGAGCAGCAGTGTGACTGTGATACCAATAGGTACCTGGTTGGTCGACCTGTAGTGGATATGTTAAATCTAGAGATACAGAGGGGATCTCGAGCATCCTTACAGTGAAGTTATATGTGAAGCTGGTTCCAGGAACAATTGGACATTGACTGACACCGGCAGGGCCATCCATATGGGTAGTGCCGTTCATGTAGAGGCCATGAAAATGCAGAGAAGTTGATTGATTGCCCAGGTTATTGTGAGCATTGATGATGACCCGATCACCAATGTCTACCTCGATTGTAGGGATTGGCCACTTGCCATTGATGCCAATAACTGGGCGCTCGAAAGCATTATCAGGATTAGCTCTGACCCAGCCAATATCGAAATCAAACTTTCTGGTAGCTGCAGAAGCGAAATGAGGAAGGGCGAGAAGCAATGCTGCCTCAACTGATAAAGAGTTGAAATGCATTCTGAAGGTGTGAGAGCCTAAGTCGTCTCAACCTCAGCAGCTTGAATTATACAAGATACTATGGTGAGGATGAGAGACAAGATGAAGGAGGGGAGGGATAGGCCCAAGCAGGGAGGTATAAAAGCTTGTAAGACACTGGTGGGAAGCAGATGTCAGGAGGCAAAAGAAGAACTGAGATGGAACAGATTCAATAGATTAGATGACAAAAACCGGAAGTAGATTGAGTATAAGATGGGGATTGGTGGGATGATCAATTTACGGTATGGACATGGGAAAAAGAAGATGCATGCACAGTCCTTGGTCAGAGTTTGGGTAGCACCAACACCAGAAAAGTAGGTAGTAAGTAAAAGGTGATACCGAGAGCCGAAGCAAGTCAAGAATCGCCTAAAGATTATCCAGCTACTGAACTGTTTAGTCTAACAACCCTTGCTGTTCCATCCATGCCTGCGATGAACATAATTCAGGAAGAACGTCCGACTAGCGAGTCAATTCTGCGGCGCCAAACGTGGTTGACACACAGAAATGAAGCTGGCGCATGATGATTGATAAAAATGCTGGAATGAGCTGATCAGGGTCAAGGCTTTGGGCTGAACCACAACTGCGGAATCGGCGCGCGTGTGCAAAAACCGAGCTAGACAACGTGAATGTGATCGTTCTAGACGAGCAAGGATCGGCCTACAGATGGATAAGATGAGCAGCTGTTGATCCATCGTGGCTTGAGAAGGCTTGAAACCATCGAGAAATACCGTCTAAGTGCGAGGTTGAGGGGTTCAGGTGGAGGAGTCATTAACGGTAGAAGGCTAGTGGAGACTAAGTCGATTCCTCACCTTTCTCCTTTCAGCTAGTGGGATGCTAAATGATGACTCCCCCTCTGAGCTTCATCTTATCAATCGTAACCTCTTCCTCGTGTTTCCCTCTCTCATTCAATGCCGGTAAAACTTCTTGACATATGATTCGCTTCGGAGCAGGCCAAAGAATTGAGTTCCCAAGTGGTACCACATTTTTCGGCACAGACACTCCCGATCCCTGGAAGCTCATTCAAGGGTCCACGATCTTCTCTCCCTGCAGACCCTGCCCAGTCTGCCTTAGACTGCCAATCTTATGCCAAGCCGGGTCACCCACAGCTATCACAGGCGCTGCAGCCTCTTGGCGATCGTTTCTACCCTCGAAATACCGAGGATTCTTGGCTCTGTCCATCCAGTTTCAATCAGAAGCAAAATGCATTACTAGAGTGAGCTCTCCTAATCACTCATCTCGGCGTCAAGAAATAACAAGTCCTTGGGAAAAAGAGGATCCAGTGGCATACCAAAGCCGAAAACAGCAGCCACATGGTCTCGATTTGACTTAGACGATCATGAGTGGGCCCTTTAACGGTCGAGAAGCCATTCCATGGTACCAGCAGCCAAAGAGTGGTCTGACAACGGACAAGCCTCTCCAATAGAGCCTCAGCATCACAAGCGAACCCGAGATCCTGACGAGCCATGCAACTCAGAACTTTCAGCCGCTGCGTTCTCTAATCCTTGATGCTATCTCGTCTAGCTTGGCTTTGTCACTGATGGTTGCTTCGGATCAGATAATGATTATCTCCTGATCTTTTTGATATGATAACTTTGATCTTGAATCAGGAGGTCATAACACCCTCGACCCTCAGCCGCTTGCCTTGATGCAGCTGCATGGGTGCGGCTGAACTGTCACTGCCATCCATCTCGACGGAACATCGCCGCTTCGGAGGGAATGTAGTTGAGATTCCAAATTTGCCTCATCTGAAAGTCAAGGCTTTTGGGCATGATACTTTCCAGAATACGGTGACTACAGCATTTCCGAAAAGTACCACAATTATCCATGTCAAGTCGATACAAGCACGAGCATATCGGCATTTGACTCTTAACTGGGATCCGAGGTCACATTGTGGGGTGCTATGAGACACGGAGCTATCCTAAGCTTCCATCAATGTAGCTTCGTCAATGAGTCTTCCTCCATTCTTGTCTTGAGCCTGACTTTCGAGCTGTCCAGTTCAGCCTGAAGAAGTGTGTGCACAATGAGGGCCTCGAAGTCACTTCAAGTTAAACGTTAAGCATCAAAATAAGAAACAGCCCAATTGCGGGAAATCTAGGACATTCACACCCTTAATCTGCAGTCACAGAATTATCTGATTGATTGATTAAGGCCGCCCCATGAGGAAACATCCCACGCTACGGCAATTCCTTGCCGAGTGTCGACGAGCTAACTTAGCAGCAGCAAGCCACCAACCATCCAACAACCCAAACAAGTCCGATCATGGGCTGTTTTCTGACCATCGCTCCGGTACTCGGTAGCTCGCGCTTCATTCTCGACCAGGTTCTCATGTTCGAGGTTTTTTTTTACATTCCGCGCTTTACTCTGCTGATCCTTGCGGCATCTCAAAAGTGCAACTCGTCTAAGTATACGCTTAGCCAACAAGCTTAGCTTACAAGGTTGTTATGCGGATGCTAAATCAGATCGTGTCTTCCGACCCCCTGCTCGAGCTCTTCTTCTCGTAAGGGCAAAAAAGTTATCTGATCGGCAGCCTGTGATGACTGGATCGTTCACAAGCTGCTCCAGTCCCAAACGAACCAAGTGTAACATCAAATTCAATATCTCCGTTGCCACACCCTCTTCTCGACAGTCCCATACTTCTCACTTTGCTGTATCACCTTATACTTGAGCTCGAGACAGCCCCTCTCTTATCTTGAGCCCAACACAGCTCTCTCAAGTGACTCAACTGCACAACACAACACAACACTATCAACTGTCAACATGGCCGTAGACGTCTTTGCGGTTCCTGTCTTCCTTGTTGTCTTTCGAGAGACTCTTGAGACAGTCATCATCGTTTCTGTCTTGCTTGCTTTCCTCAAGCAAACCCTTGATGGTCCCAATGGTGACATCAAAGTGTACAAACAGCTGAGACGTCAGGTAAACCAACAGAGATATTCCCTACGCCTGCCTTGAATACTGACTAGAGTGACAGGTCTGGCTTGGAACGGGTATCGGATTCTTCATCTGCTTGGTTGTCGCCGCTGCTGTCATTGGTGTCTTCTACACCGTTGGCAGGAACTCATGGGCGAAGAACGAGTACTACTATGAAGGTGCATTCTGTCTCTTTGCATCCCTAATCATCTCCGTCATGGGCGCAGCTCTGCTCCGTATCGGCAAGATGCAAGCAAAGTGGCGAGTCAAGCTGGCAAAGGCTCTCGAATCGCCAATCAAAGCTGGTTCCAAGGGATGGTTCAAGCAGTTTATCGAGAAGTACGCTATGTTCGTCTTGCCTTTTGTCACTGTCCTTCGAGAGGGTATCGAGGCTGTCGTCTTCGTCGCTGGTGTGTCCTTTTCTGCTTCGGCCAAGTCCATTCCTCTCCCAACTGTTGTCGGCCTCTTTGCCGGTTGCTGTGTTGGCTATCTTCTTTACAAGTAAGTGCTATATATACAAGTGTGACGAACTTCAGCGACTAACTGGACCCAGGGGTGGCGCGAGCACCAAACTTCAACTCTTCCTCGTTCTCTCGACCTGCCTCTTGTACCTTGTGGGTGCTGGTCTCTTTTCTCGCTCTGTCTGGAGTTTCGAGATGGCCAAGTGGAATGAGTACATTGGTGGTGAAGCTGATGAGTTTGGAAACGGACCTGGTTCCTATGATATTGACCAGAGTGTCTGGCACGTCAACGTATGTCTTCATCTGACAAACTTACCTCAATATCCTAACAACTCTTTAGTGCTGTGCCTCCACCGAAGCTATTCAGAACGGCTGGGGTATCTTCAATGCCATTCTTGGCTGGACAAACTCCGCTACTTATGGCTCTGTCATCTCATATAACCTATACTGGATTTGCGTCATGATCGGTTTCATCGTCATGCGTTTTAAGGAGACACATGGCAGGCTGCCTTTCGGAAAGGCGAAGGCTCCTGCCAACGCTGTTGATGATGCTGAGAGCCACGCAAGCTCAACTCCCAAGAACGCTGCAACAGAGAAGACTACTACCGCTTAGGAGAACATATAACAAGAGAGTCTAGGACTCATCTGCTGATGGTTCATTGTATAATTCACTTAGCTTTCTAACGACTCTATGAGTCTAGCTTGGTCTATATCCAATCACACGCAACAAGCAAGTCTTGTTCTATCTTATCAATTTTCAGGAGTCCAATCCCATTCATCTGCCATGAACATGGCCTTTGCCATTTTGTCTACATAAAGTGCTCCTTCGTAACGTAACCTTTGATCGTTCGCAATCGCTCGTGTAAACTGAAACTTTTTGGGTGGGTTATCTTTATCGTCGACAGCGTGTTCTCTAAGAGCCAGCCACGAGATTTCAACCGGCCTCTTTTTCCAGTCGGCATACGGTATCGCGATGACACCAGCTGAGAGCATAGATCGCATATAACTCAGGATTGGTTCCAGTCGAACCCGTAACCCGCAGTTTGTGTGATGCTTGTCAATCTGATAACTCGGGCACTGTTGAAGCGTTGAAAGGAGCTCCTCAATCTCGATCATCGCAGTATCAGGAACCATGTTCAACGACGCTGGACTGTAGTCAACGAGGAAGAGCAAATTCTTGTTCACCAAGAATTTGAGCATTTGACCAAGCTGGTAAGAGTCACATGCCGCACTCGAGTCATACCCGAGTTTACACTGCCTCTCTCGAGATGAGAACAGTGCGAGGAAATGCCGTTGGACAGAGGAGACGGTGTTGAGGATACACTCACGCCTATGTCGGAGCTCCTCTGGACAAGAATTAGCATTGTATCTGCACCTCGAGCCTTAGGTTTTCACTTACCCTCTAAGCCATCAGGCAGATTCCACCATGCAGCAGTCATATCAGTATCAGTATCATAAAACTCGCTCCAGAGACTTGATCCTCGCATGATGAGTTCTCGAGTTGACTGTTGCAGGCGCATGGGTTGTCCTAATAGCCACGCAACCAGAACCTTTTGACGCAAGACCTGTTCTGTTTCTGTAGGTCGTCCATCGCCACTGCGCAGAGGTTTGTTTGACGTCAATGGCCATTTAAACTTGAGGTCGGTGTTCAGAACCCGAGCAACGGCTGCCACGCAATCGAAGCGATCAGCAACGATTGCTAGCGTGGTTACGTATGACATGGTTCCACGTGAAGTCTTCGTTGGCCGCTGGTGTATGATATTGAGGATATCTTCCATGGCATTTTCGCGCCCAGCAGCTTTGGTAGCATCGTCATCGTCGGTGATGGGAATCCAGGGTAAGTCCTCGACATCTGCCTCGTTGACTTTGATCTTAAGCTGGGCAAGCTTCTCATGTATATCCGAGATAAGCTTGGCTTCCCTAAATTGAGAGTTCGATAAAAGGTTTGAAAAGTACTTTGAGTGCTTTTTCAATGCTCCCAAATTGACCCGATATGCCACCCGGACTTTTGATTTCAAAGATGAGCGATCAGGGGGCTGAGTACCAGCTTTTCTGCTGGCAGCAAGCTCAGCCTTGCGAGTTTTGTTGAGAGTACTGATGGAAGTCTCAAAGGTTACATCCAAGACAATGTCGCCAGCGGGATCGATTTCTACCAGGGGAGGCAGATCTTTCTTAGAAGCCTCTGGCCCGTCCGCCTCGGCGGATGTTGTAGTCCCAGACTCGCCCATTTGCTAGGTAATGGGTTTCTGTCGACATGGAGATGTCAGTCAGCCTATGTAGAGGCTTGAAGTATTGAAAGGCCGAATGCCGTGTGTTGATAGTGTTTAGTTAAGAAAAAGCCTTTAAAGCGTGCTATCCATAGTGAAAATGATAAGATCTCAGGCTCTGGTTGGGATGACGTTCAAAGGTAGAGTACGTACCCCGCCACTTTGACGTTAAAATCCGAACTCCGGGGAAACAGACAGCAGAAGGCTTTGGGCATTTTCCGTTAACATTCACACAAGAATTAGTTCAGATCACGGCCAGAGACTCATTCATCAAAACTTTACAGCTTTACAGTCTGTATACCACCAACTTTTTCATTATTCATCGCCTTGTAGGTGTTATGTGGTCTGTTATAAGTGGTACTTCTGGGACTGTAAAGTTTCACAGAGACAGCCACGGGGCTCCCTGAGTCGTTGGTTTTAGCGGTTGAACGAAGATTCCCACCCCTGACCCCCGATGGGATCCCCGCTAAATTCTCGTTGTGCCGCCTGAAGCCTGGGTTTAGTGGAACGTGATTGGGCAATCTTATCTAAGTGCGAGACGACCTTTGGTAGGCTCCACTTAGGAAGTCAATATCCAATATCGTCACTTTCCGACAAGCAGCTGGATACCCGACCCTTTATCCTTCGCTCATTTCCATGGTCATGTTTCGCTTCGAGACTGACAAGATCATCTGCTAAATCGGCTTGGATTATATGGTTCTCTCACCCTCATACAGAAAACTCAGCGGCTTCGTTTGGTCCTCCTACCGATCAGGAATCAGCCAAATCCTATACCATCCGCTCCCTAACACTATTAACTTTCCACAACTTGCCCGATGGCATTGCAGACTGTAGCCTGCACAGCGCTCCAGTTCTTCAAGGGACGCTGATGACCGAGGATTGGCAAAGCCAGTTATATACGACCTTCTTCGTCGAGCATCGACAATGGCCCAGTTTACTCGCGCCGTCGATTCAACAGCAACCCCTGCGATCCAGCTCCTGAAGATCTCAGCCCGACCGTTGACAATTCCGAATCGCTTCGCACATACAGACGCGTTGCAGCGAGCACGAAGGAATTCTAGACATATTGATTATACCCGGCTTACGACGTTCTATTCGACATGCGCGACATGGACCGGGAGTTCGCGACAGGCTCGGCTAACAGGTCCGGGATCGCAACTCGGTTTATTCTCACCGCTGGCAGTTGAAACATACGGTACACGAGGATTCCATACCTACTTTGTGACGCATCTACCTTCATCATCTGTCCATCCCGACTCTCGCCCTCGTGGGCCTGGTCATAAACTTCCTCGCGATGCTGCGACCCCTCACACCCCAAGCTCTGGCCCAGTCCCCGCTGTCGCCCCGCCTTATATCCCGTCAACCCGAGACCTGACTGTGGTGCGCATTCCCATGCGGAGGGCGAAACACCATCTTGGTGTCGCGACAGATCGAGGAAGTCGTCCCTACAATGAAGATCGAGAACAGGCTGGCACCATCAGCCTTCCGGCCTTCGCGAAGAGGGCACCCAGGAGTGTGCAACAAAAACCAGGGGAAGCTACAGCGGCGGATAGTGCTTGGGGAGACCCTCAAATCTTCTACTTTGGCGTTTTCGATGGCCATGGTGGAACCGAATGCGCAGATTTCGTCCGGGACGAGCTGCCGGGTTATATAGAAAAAGCCTCGGAAGAGTTCGGCCTGCAGAGCAGCTTGCGGAAGAGGAAACCTGGTCGTGAGGGCATCCATAACCATCACCATGATCATAAGCACAAACAAAGTCGTCCATCACAGCCGATTCAGTCGACTAAGAGCCCCTCAACAAAACGTGAGGCGCTCGACGCTGTGCCCATGAAGGGACCAGAGGAGGTTAAAAGCGAAATGAATGTCCCCAGCGCAAGCAATGGTGGCCTCTCCGATAAACCAGTACACGGGGAGCGAATACACAGCGCAGCCTCGCCGGCTGCCCCAGTCTCAGACCTGGCCAAAGCGATTCGTATGGAGAAAAACTTGGTCAAGGAGTACAGAGAAACCATTGGTGGCTATTTCAGGCGCTTTCACCCTGAACACTTTGTTCTCTCGCGAGATGACAACCCAGGTGAAAGCCACAAGATCACGATAGAATCAGTTCTCACATACGCCTTCCTGCGCGCTGATCTCGATTTTGTGTCTGCGCAAGCTCGAAAGATAGACCCCAACGATACCAAAGGTGCTGATACTCCTGTTAATAACGATGAAGTCTTCGGCCACCCATCCACCCCCTCTGGTCATGGCATAGGAGGCCCGGAGCGCTTTAAAGGCGGCTCGACGGCTTCTGTAGTACTTATCTCTACTCCAACGCCTGCCCCATTTTGGCACCCAGCTGCCCAGTCCACGTTGTTATGCGCCCATGTTGGCGACAGTCGAATCCTTCTTTGCGATACCGCCACTGGTTTAGCACAGCCTCTAACATCTGATCACCACCCTAGTACCCCCACCGAAAGCCGCCGGTTGCGACGCTATGCACCTGCTGGGTCAATGGTTTCTGGCGATAGTTTCGGCGAGGAGCGCATTGCAGGCCTAGCCAACAGTCGTGCATTCGGAGACATGGGGAGTAAGCGCATTGGAGTCTCAGCTGAACCAGAGCTTACACGAGTTGAGATGGGCCCTGCCCAGTATTCATTCCTTGTGCTGATGACTGATGGCATCTCTGGTACTCTAAGCGACCAAGAGATCGTCGATGTTGTCAAGGAGGCCCGTACGCCTGAAGATGGAGCTCGAAATATCGTTAAATACGCTACTGAAGTTTCCTCCGACGGCGATAACGCAACATGCCAAGTCGTCCGTCTGGGTGGTTGGGAGCGTCGATCTGAAGGCGGACTCGGCAGCTTGGGTACCAAGGAAATTCGCGATGCACGCATTGCAGAAGCTCAAGATCCAAGACGAGGAAAGAGGTAGTCGCACTACATCATCACGAGAAGACGTTTTTGTTTGGATATATGGTAGGGGAGTGGGAGTCTTTCAATGGTAGGATAGCGGGCCAGAATCTAAGATGGAGCATTCGGCTTTGTTATTCAACTTGGGCATGTCAGCTTCTTTTATTCTCATTTGTACTGCATGGGATTAGGAGTTCTCAGGATTAACAGATGGCGACATAGCGTGCGCTCAGGGAGCAGCATCACTTGGGCTATATCGCTTTGATACCCAGCCAAGATGGTAGATATGCAGCGTTATATTAACGAGCATGTACGGTATTTCCAAAAATCTTGCTATTGAGGAAGTAAACACATCTTTAGTGCAACAAAAAACCGGCTGCCTCTTCTCCCCTGGGTATTGGATATCAAAACGGCCGTTACCAATTCATCTCAGCCTTTATTCTTGGCTGACCCTAAAAGTTCCTTATCCAATCCCCTAGTCCGTGGTCGTATATATCATTCCTTCCTTACGTTTTTGACCTTGCGTCTAATCCAATCCTTCTAGTAACCGTGTCGTGAACCAGGGTATTGACCCCATCCAGGAGGTTGCTGACCAGGAGGCGGTCCACCGTAGCCCTGCTGACCGTATGGAGGATACTGAGGCGCACCGTATCCCGGGCCGCCGTATTGTTGAGGGGGAGGAGCCCCATACTGACCTGGGGGAGGACCGCCATATTGACCTGGGGGAGTTCCGTACTGAGGTTGAGGGGGTCCCCCATAACCACCACCATACGGAGGCTGGGGTGGAGGAGCACCATATCCACCTTGCTGAGAGTGCCCCGAGTTGGAAGCTGCGTAGTTGGGGTTCTGACCGTACTCAAACGAAGACTGGCTTGGCGGTGCAGGAGAGCTCGAGAGGTAGCCTGCAGCTGGATTACCATCTTTACCCTCCAACGAGTCAAGATCGCGGGTCTTGACTTGAGACCACAAGGATCCTGCAACCTTGCCATGTCCAGCATTAGCCATATCGCCAAATGTCCCATGGTTGCAGCCACCACCACCACCAATACTGCGGCTGTTGCCTTGGACTTGGTTAAGAATGTGGTTCTTGTGATTCTTGACAGAGTCGGAGGAGAGAAGATGAGCAAGCTCGTGGCGGCGGGGGTGCTCGTCAGCCCACTTCTTGACAGTCTTGAACATGTCACGTTGGATCTCGATATGGTCGTCGCGAGCAGCAGGGTGGTGGAACGCACGGAGGACGTCGTTGACGACTTCGTCGACAGAGACGCCAGTGTTTTCCCAAGCATAGAGGACGCGACTAGGATGGTTAGCTATGATAGTTATTGCGGGATAGTGAGTGGGGTTGGCTTACGGAACTGTGTACTGGAGAATGGTAGCGGCGATACGCCCAGCACATGAGTTCAGAATGTTGGTGAAATGGTCCTTGGATAACATGGAGTGAGTAGGATCAGAGCACTGGGGATTGTCCCAAGGCTCATATTGAGATTTAGCGCTGGCCGTGATGACGCCGGAAGAACCGTCCTTAAGAACCTTTGAGACCTGGTTGATGATAGGTCGGATGAAAGGAGCAAGAAGACCCAAGATGAAGGCAGTGAGGGTCTCGCTAATCTTCTCAAGAAGTTTCTCAAGGCCAGGGACCTTGGCAATACCGCGGCTGATGGCCTTGACAATTTTGTCGCGGAACTCGAGAATAGGATAGATCTTGCGGGCTGTCTCAACAGGGTCGAAATCGGGACTCATGCCGGGAACTTGGTTAGCATTGTCACGAGAGAGGTCACCGCGGGTCTGCTGGTAGCTCATGTTGCGCTGCTCTTGGGCTTCAGAGCTGGCCTTCAGGTCTCGAGCCTGAGCGGCGAATCCGTCACCGACACCGGGAAGCTTTGAAACCAAGCCGATGAAATCAGAGGGACTGGACTTGATTCCAAGGAAACCTCCAAGTAGGGATCGTTCACCACCGCCACCACCACCAGATCGGTTGGAAGCGCCCTCGGCGTTCTTGAGTGCAACATCGACTTCGTCAACCTCAGACTGCGTGAAGTGATCCGAGGCTTCTCCAATGACGGAATGCAAGAAGTCGACGGCGCCAAATGTGCCAGTCACAAGGGGATATACGCGCTTTCCATGGAGATGGATCTCGGTATGCGCACCGCAATGGGGGAACACAGAGTGGTAGCCAAGCTCTCGAAGGGCAAGCTCACAGTAGTTGCTGTGGGCACTGAAGTCTTCCATGGTGTGCAGCGCCTGACCAAGACATCTCAAAGCCTCGCAGAGGTCATCTTCGTTTCCTTTCTTGGAACCGCTGGTGTAAAGACGACCATAGTGGATGCTTCTGGCGAAGCTGTATCGCAGATAAGCGGCGCTGGTTGCCCAATTTCCATTCTCGTTTGCGATATAGTTTTTCATGCCCGTCCGAGAGTCGATTTCGGTTTCTATTTTCTCGACGGGCCCTCGCAAACGTTTATCAAAAGTCCGCGCATCAACTCCATCTCCGTAACCGAGAGGATTGTCGATGTGCTCTTCTGGACGATAGACGCCGAGACGGTCCGCGGTAACTTCGAATTCGCCGGTAGCATAGCCGTGAGCCATAAAAGAGAGAACCCAAACCTGTCGATCATGTAAGCATCAAAGAGAGTCATCGGTGGCGCAAAGCAGCGGGCTCATACAAGAATGCGAATAGTCTCGGCATTGACACCCTTCAAACTGCCGATATCAACGGCCTGAGAATAGTCGCGTAACCAATTTCCAAAGTAGGTACGTTTGATAAGCATAGAAGTCCATTTCTTTCCGTGAAGGAAGGCGATCGTCTCGAGCATATCCTCAATGTCTGAAAATGATGTGAGCAACGCGATGTAACGGGATCGATATGGAGGGGTAATTTACCTCCATGGCGCCAGTTGTGACCTTCGACCTATGCGCGTGTCAATAGGAGGGAGAGAATTTGCCGTGGGTGAGGTCTAATACTGACCTGAGCAATTGAAGGAATGTTTCCAGCACCGAAGGCTTCAGCTTTGCCGGGAAGCAGGATGAGGCATACTGCGATCAGCAGTAACCACGAACCCCGCGGCATGGAGAATGACGGCATGGTAAGTTAGTGATGCAGCCCTATGGCGGGGTTGTTCAGCAAGGGGCGTAATGCGAGTAGAGTCCAAAAGGTCTAGAGGATAGGTAACAAGATAAAGGACAAAGGTATGGTCGCAGCAAAAGGCCAAGAGGAGGTTTAAAAACTTGATATGCCAAGAGAGGAAGAGAGTGAGTGTGACATGCAGATTAGGTAGTCGACCTAGTAGAGCAGGTCACACTGATGACGGGATTTGTTGTGGCTGGGCTTGGGGTTCGTTGCTAGGAGGGAGGGAGTAAGAAGTGGCTCCAGCTTTCAGCTCCCGAAGGCGATTCCTGATTAGCATTGGACGTGGCGCTGATTGGGCTGATGGGATTTCCGCTTCAGGCACATGCTAAGCAAAAGCCTAGGCTAAGATTGGGTAGCAAACGGTTGGGCGAGAGGCCTCTCCTGGACTCGAACTTGACTCTATATTCGAGTTGATTGCGCAGCTCAACCCACCACTTGTGGCTCGGCAATTGAAGATGAGGCTCAGCCAGACAATACGTAAACATGTCTTGGCGTTACAATTCCAAAGGCTTGTTAATATTAAGTTGAAATACGATATAATCCATTCTAGAGATAAGACGTGAATGTCGACCCTGTCAAAGGGAGGCCAGAGAACTTATCACCTCTACCTATTCTAAGTGACAAAAAGACTTTGGTAAATCTAGTACAGGCTCAGGTGACTTTGGACTAATTGTTTTTGGGACCTGAGCTTATGATCAGAAGCTTTCTTGCTCCTTGAGGCCTGTGTAGAAAGCGAAGTCCTAGCTAGGCACTTACCTATCCAATGCTGACGTTTATTGCTGACTTCCAAGGTTGTTAGGTGGTGGTAAGAGGACTGCCCACTTACACCCATCTTCAACAGCATTTTCTTGCAATCAAGTAAATCAATGAAATTTGCCAAATGGGATATGTTTCAAGAGTTCAGTTGCCTCTTATCCATTTTCAGTTTCAGCCTCACTTGTAAATGGCTTGGTCTAGTCATTTACAAATAGAAGACTTGACTGGCATCGTGAGCTCTGTATTTGGGTAAATCGACTAAGGACATCATACATCACGGACTCTGCGCAGATGTCACACTTTTACTTTTTAAGTACTGTGACATGATCCTCTCCTATCCTGAAAGGCCCGCTCATGTTCTCAAGGTCGCACGGTATGCTGTGGAAGAACCAGTAGTTAGATGAGCTTGAGGTTTTGTTTGGTGGAGCTCATCTAGTAAAGGAGATCCGGCTTCTTCGGAAAATAATCCTTGGCAGTACAATGCAGTAATCGGAGCATACGGGTCACTGAGATTCCGATGTTGTCTGAAAAGCAGCCATTCATTGTCCCCGCTAAGGAGATGAATAGGAATTCGTAAGCCCATTGATCGACTGATCGATAGACTTTTCGGTCCCGAATTACCCAGATAGGACAGATAACATAAGCGAAAAGTAAATAATGTACATCATCTGAGTGCCTGAACGCTGACATTTGGATACGAATATTACGATTACGATGTATAGAGTGTATGAAGTGTATAAAAAACCTACCTCACAGTGCACGATGATATCGAGTCTTGCATGTGATGTTGCAATGTCCATTACAGAATGCCAGATTGTTGTTACTTGGTAAATCTCGATCTACTTTCAGCATTGACAAGCTCAGCTAGGCGTCAATTGCATGGAATTAGGGACCGTGTTACCATCACTAACACTTGATCATTTACTTCAACCTCAATCACTCAAGGACCAATCGTCCACCGCTAATTTCAATATAAACACTGTCTTATTTGTCGTTCCGGCAAATACTCTGATATCAGGTCTTGTATCCCGAATGTTGTGGCATGTTTTATGGTCATTGTAGCGCCACTCTTCTACTAACACGGATGGGGATCCTCATTAAAAAAAATATCCCCTGGATGGACCCCTGTGCGGCGACTTTCACTTGCCGCTCACGCCGCCCTTTCATTCATTCCCTTGACCGTTTGATATTAAACCTTTTTTAACTTAATCCCTAACCCTCCTCCCAAGGCTTCAATCATTCTATCCTCCACTCTCCTTCAGCTTCCCTCCTTTTTCAATCCTCCTTGGTTGTCGACAAGGAGCACCTCTGCTTGTGCGCTGCTTCAATCGCATTGCCTCCCAATCCTCATCTCGACCCGTACGTTCCGACCGCTGCTTCAACAAAATGCCTGGACGTACTCTACCAACTTTCACTCGCGCTGAGGTCGAGGCGCATAACTCTGGTGACTCCTGCTATGTCACCATCGGCAACAAGGTCTACGATATCACCGATTTTGTTGAGGATCATCCTGGCGGTCCCGAATATATTCTCGAATACGCCGGTCGCGATATCGAAGAGATCCTCAAAGATTCTGATTCTCATACACACTCTGACTCTGCCTACGAGATTCTCGACGAGAACCTTGTTGGATTTCTCGTCTCTGAAAAGGCTGTAAATGGACACGCCAACGGAAAGGCCAACGGTAACGGAAACGCAAAGCTACCCAATGGTGAAGCCAACGGAGAGGCCAATGGCTCAGTCCACCCCCGAACCGGAATGTCTTGCGCGGAGGACTTGAGCAAGGATACAGACTATAACTTGGACTACAAGAAGAACAAGTTCCTCGACCTGAACCGACCCCTCTTCCCCCAGATCTGGTTCGGCGGTTTCTCCAAAGAATTCTATCTTGATCAGGTCCATCGCCCTCGCCACTACAAGGGAGGCCAGTCTGCGCCTCTGTTTGGCAACTTCCTTGAGCCTCTTTCCAAGACCGCCTGGTGGGTTGTTCCTATGGTCTGGCTGCCTTGCGTCGCGTACGGTACCTGGGTTGCTTCTCAAGGTTTTGACAACCAGCTCTTTACCGTGGGCTACTGGCTATTTGGCGTGTTCTTCTGGACCATCATTGAATATGTCCTGCATCGCTTCCTGTTCCATCTTGACTAGTATGCTTCCCAATCATTTACTCCTGAGCTTGCCGCTAACTTTTATAGCTACCTGCCTGACAACCGTGTTGGAATCACACTTCATTTCATCCTTCACGGCATCCATCATTATCTCCCTATGGACAAGTATCGTCTTGTTATGCCTCCTACGCTCTTCGCTGCTTTGGCCGCTCCTTTCTGGAAGTTTGCACATGCTGTACTCTTCCACAACTGGTATGCTGCTACTGCAGCCTACTGTGGCGGCATCTTCGGATACGTCTGCTACGATCTCACACATTACTTCCTTCACCACCAAGACCTTCCTCTGTGGTACAAGGAACTCAAGAAGTACCATCTTGCTCACCACTTCCTTGACTATGAACTCGGTTTCGGTGTGACGAGCAAGTTCTGGGACAGTGTGTTTGGTACTGAGCTGATCTACAACACCAAGAAGACGAAATAAGTCTGTAATAATGCACGAAATCTGCCTGGCGCAAAGAGAACCAATTCAAGCCAGGACACGGTATATATCTGTCTTGCTTTCATAGTAGTTGGTGAACACTGGGTTGTACGGAGCAGTCATGATTTTATGGATGGTAACGAACATGGTGGTCACTGACATTAATGGCGATGAATCATTCTCATAAATAGTTTTAATGGTTGGGACTGGTTTGCCCAATGGGTCGGTCTATTCTTGGACAGAGTTACTTTAATAATAAACCCTTTGATGGATATTTTCTGCTTCTCTGCTTCACTGTATCAATGCGGCATTGCCGACGTGGTGGCTGCGGTACTCGCCACGTGTCTCGTCACGTGCAAGCCAGACGCTTGGGACTTTCCGTCCAGCCAAAAGCTTGACCCATCAGGAGTTTTCAAGGCAACCTCCCCCCAACAAATTTCCCACCCGACGACAGTAATTATCAAATCACCCGGCGGAAGAAACTCACGAGCAAACATATACCTGGTGCTAAATCACCAACGAGTCCCAAATCGGAGTTTTACCAGACTTACACAGACATCATGGCTACCTTGGACGTGGAAGCACTCCTGGACGCCACCGCGAAGGATACCTCTGAACAGAAGACTAAGAGCCCTGTGGAGGATAGAACGCGAGACGAGCCCGAACGGAGGGATAGGGAACGTGATCGTGACCGTGATAGAGACGGAAGTCGACATCGCGACCGCGATCATGGGCGACGCCGAGATCGTAGGGACAGCCCCAACCGAAGCCGCAGGGGTACACCCGATGTAGGAACGCCTCGAAGCGATGCTGGAAGTCATAAAAGTAGGAGGAGAAGCCGCAGCCGTGATAGCGACCGCCGTCACTCACGCCGAAACAGAGATGGTGATTACTACAGAGGTGGACGACGTTCACGTTCACGATCTCGCTCTCCTTACCGCCATTACCGCCCCCGTGACGACCGGGATCACCGTGACCGCAGAGACCGTGACCGAAGAAACCGTGATTATGGACGCGGTCGCGACGACGAACGTCGCGAAACCAAGCGTGAAGAAGGCAACCCCCAGCTTACCGAGGACGAAAGAGATCGTCGCACTGTTTTTGTGCAGCAACTTGCCGCTCGTCTGCGCACTCGCGAGCTGAAGGAATTCTTTGAGAAGGTTGGACCTGTCAATGAGGCTCAAATTGTCAAGGACCGTATTAGCCAAAGATCCAAGGGGTAAGCCGAGCTAAACCTATTCTAGAGTCTAATCGCTAACAATATGCAGAGTTGGTTATGTCGAGTTCAAAAATGAGGAATCCGTTACTCAGGCTCTTCAACTTACTGGACAGAAGCTTTTAGGTATTCCTGTCATCGTACAAGTCACAGAAGCCGAGAAAAACCGGCAAGCCCGAAACCCTGAAGCTTCGGGACCTCACCCCAATTCTATCCCTTTCCACCGCCTTTATGTCGGCAACATTCACTTCAACGTCACCGAGCAAGACTTGCAGGCTGTTTTTGAGCCATTCGGTGAGCTTGAATTCGTTCAACTCCAAAAAGATGAGAACGGCCGCAGCCGCGGCTATGGCTTTGTCCAGTAAGTTCCTTTATCCATTCACTGTACTATTCACTGACGTTCCCAGGTTCCGTGATGCTGGTCAGGCACGAGAGGCACTGGAGAAGATGAACGGCTTTGATCTAGCCGGACGTCCTATCCGTGTTGGACTCGGAAACGATAAGTTTACCCCTGAGAGTACTGCCAACATGTTGCAGAGATTTTCCGGACAGAATCAAAACCAGAACTTCCAAGGTTCAGCTTTCTCTGGTTCCGGCGGACGAGGCCCTCAGTCCTCAACCTTCGACCGAGCTGGCGGTCGAGACAATGAGAAGACTGGAGGTGCTAGTGCTCTTGATGACACCGATGTCGCTGGTGTGAACTTTAACAACTATAGTCGCGATGCATTGATGAGGAAACTCGCCCGAACCGATGATAGCGCCACCAACGGCCATGACGAGCGCCAGGTGCTTAAACCTAAGACGGAGACGAAGCCATTGCCTGTTAATGTCAACATGGCCAGTCGCTGTGTTGTGTTGCACAACATGTTTGATCCTGAAGAGTACGTATCTCCGCCATCTCACTTTGAACAAATGCTGACAATTCACAGAGAGGAGGGCACCGATTGGGTCAAGGAGCTCGAGGACGATGTTCGTCAAGAGGCCGAGAGCAAGTATGGACATGTCGTTCACATCTCGGCTGACCCCAACTCCAAGGGTGACATCTATCTCAAATTTGACAAAGTCCAGGGCGGCGAGAATGCCATCAAGGGCCTAAATGGCCGATACTTCGGCGGACGAATGATCGACGCGTCACCTGTTGTAGATGCCGTCTACAGCAGTTTGTTCTCACGTACCCGGGCAATCTAAGCTAATTTTTGGCTTGTCAACAACGCTCTCTAGGACTCTCGCAGGTTAGCAGAGTCCATATCAACTGGCTGAAGAGCACCACTAAGAATTCCTGGTGATCAACAGACTTGAAGTCTCCGCTTTTTCCGGAATTCCTCCGTTGTCATCTATATACGATCCTCGACATGACTCCCATCAAAAATTACGACTCTCATCTCACACATCAAGGTTTTCAAGTTTCGAAACATCACATATCTTTTTAACCAAATCACGGTGTCGCAGGTTTCCGCCCCATATCCCGACCTACCATATCTGGACCCGATGCGCACGCGCTCTCTCATCCGGATCAATGATCGAACTCCAGGTTCAGCACTCGTTTAGTCTCAAGGACCTTTGCTGATGTCTGTACCCTAGGAAGTCTTCCCCTTTTGATCGAGAAGGGGCAGCAACCCAGTTTTGCACCTTTATTATCTGAATAGTTTGTTACAATATAGAATGTCTTGAGAGTGATGATTGCTTATCCTTATTGTGACCATGTACATTGATATACAAAAGGTGAGGGAGATATGAAACCTGGTCATTGCTTTACTGATAATGCCCAGTGCCCCTCATCAATGCATCTCCTGCTTCATAACGGACGGGCGCGCCCTGTGTGTGATATCTACAGAGGATGTCGATTCACTAAGAGCAAAGTACCTAAGGAGAAGAGAGGAATGCTCTTGGGTCTAGTATAAGTCTGACGGTGTTCTCGAAGTCTCGTGTAGTGTCGAAAACAGCGGATGTGACTCTCTTTGCCCTGACTCCTGATATACTTCCATCATAAACTCAATTTGACTGGGACGCGCTCCGTGATACTAGTCAAACTGCATTGCTTGAACATATCAGCCTGTTTCAATTTCACTCTGTCTCATCCCTTCACCTATTGTTTTGCCGAGTGTTCGTCTCGATCTTTGTTTCCGAGTCTCATCTGGCTGATTGTCTACTCCTTCTCTTGGCCCTTGAGTCAGGCGCCATAGCAAGTGCTATTGTTTCCGGGGAACTCTCCTTAAAATGCCCCATTGACCACTCTTAGCAAGGTTTTAATCTCCAACCTTGTTGAATCAGGCCGGACCCGGGTTCCTGAGCTGCAGGAGTTGCTGGTCACTGGCAGTGCCAGTGCCAGTGCCAGTGCCAGGTAACCGAGTAGTCAGTCGCCTCGAAAGGGAACTATTTAGGAGAATATGTTTCAGGACCCCTATGGTTCTCTCTATCTATTTCTAATCCAGTAACTTCTGGATTCGCCCATGATCGCAAAATATAAGATCTTTGGTGATATTTACGTGAGGGCAAGCTGATATCTTTCATCTATTACCCTCAAGTCACCCATCAGTCTTGTTTTCTCGCTTGGCAAACAAAAAAGGATTCATCCCGGAGTGTGCCAAACACAGGACGAATATCAAGCAAAAAGGTTTTGGCTCGGAGTTGTTTTTTCAGCCTCTCTCCTACACTTTCAGCCTCCTCAGTAAAGTGCACTCATCATTCGGCCTCCACATATTCCTATCTTCATTCCTATTGTTCCTTACCAAGCATCGTGCTTTTCCTACTCTCCAATACTCGAGCAAGTTTGCTCTGTCGATGATGACACACGAGTATAAAACGTCCTCTTCTACTGACAGTCACTTCGCGCCGAGTCAACCCTCGTCAAAGTGGTCTTCCAGCATTGGAAGTCGTGATACCAAACCTTCCAACACGAACACCATGTTGAGTATCAACTTCTCGACACCTCTCGCGGGAGCTGCTCGATCCGAGAGGATCAAGCAGATGACCAACAATCACGTAAGTCAACGAGTTTCTTCATCCTTTTGCTTGCTTTTCTATCCGGCTCAAGTCGCAGCGCATCTCCGGGTCAACCACTGACATTGCCTCACAGCCTGCCTTTGAAAAGGCTCGCATGTCGCAAGAGATACTTGTGAAGATCCAGACATCTCTTCGCCGCATGCCTGGTGTTTCTTCCAATGAATCCAACGAGATTATCACAAAGCTGCAGGAAGTCGGGCAGATCATCAGCTCAGAGACGAGTCAGCTTGTTGATGCGCTTATGAACCTGACCCTCGATCAAGAGGATACGGACAAGGCCATCGCACGAATGAGTATCGAGGCCAACCTTGCCAAGGCAGAGGCTGATGACCAAAGTCACAACCTGGGCAACCTTCGCACCGAGCTGGCGGACGAGAAGGGCAAACGCCAAGAAGCTGAGGCCGAAGCCGCCAAACTCATGGGTCATCTTGAGAAGCTCATGGATGAGTTGAAGTCTCTCAAGGCGAAGGTCCGTGATGGTGGTTCTGAGGGTACCAGGTCCAGCGCCGATCATGATGAGATGGTCAAGGTACGCAGTTTGTTCTATATCACTCTGACAAAACTGACGAAAGTATTTAGCAACTTGAAATCTCCATCAAGCACATAGAGAACCAGATCAATGCTCGTCGATCCATGTGGCCCATGAGCAACTCCAGTCCTGACTCTGTGGCACGCGCTCTTGAGACCATCGCAGAGGCATGCCCTGATAAAAACGCCGCTCAGAAGTCTATCATGTCTCTGCGTCCTAATGTCACGGACTCTCCTAACAAGGCTGTTGATATCAATGACGGCGCTCTGCAGCCTCAACGTCCCTCTTCTGCCTTGCAGAACAGTCGTTCCCCCAATCTGCCCACGCGCTTTGGCTCTCACATCGTGCCTCCTCCTTCTCGCCCAGGCTCTGCTGCTCCAGGTGAGCGCCGGTTCAACCAGTGGGCTCCTCCTACTCCTGCACAGAGCCAACCTCGCTACGCAGTCCCTCCCCCAAACGGTGCTGGACCTCAGTCCATGTTTGGTCGAAATGCCCCCCGTCGTGGTTTCAGCAACGGTACTTATCGTCCTAATGCACCTGAATTTTATCCTCAATCCTACGGGCAACCTGACAAGGGACCCTCTGCCCAGAGCAATGGCGGATTCGGCCAGCAGCGCCGGGAGTTTTACCCTCCTACCCCTTCTCACAACCGCAACAAGTACAGTCGCTTCCGCGATCCTGTCCAAGCTCCTGATTTCGCCGGCCCCCCTGGCGCGCTGACTACTCGTCCCTCTTTCCCCGGTCCTCCTATCCACATCACCGAAATGACCATTGGGGCTTGGCATGACCAGCTAACGGAACTTTACACGACTGTCCGCCTCTTCGTCGACGTCTATGCTGACAAGCCGACTTTTGTCAACCCTATGGATCTTTCTAGCACTCGCCTCTGGCCTGTTCTCTTGGCTACTTACCACCCCCTCTCAGAGACAGAGGCAATCTCCTACCTTGACCTTCACCTCAAGGACAGAAGTTCCAAGTCTTGCCTTGTCACTCGCGTCATCATTGACTACATTGTCAACCGCGTCTGGGTTCCTCGGGCTTGGATGGGTGCTGAGACCGATGCTACCTACGGCCTCGCTGAAGTTGAGAAGGATCTTGAGAGAACTCAAGGTAAGACACTAGCCCGAATAATCAAAGTGATCGACTAACAAAGGTTGCAGGCCAGACCGCTGTCCGTCGGCAGCACATCCTTGATCGACAGGCGGCTATTGTGGACTCTGTCCTCAAGCTGGACAGCTTCGAGGAGTTCAGTAAGGTCCGTTGCCAGGAGATCTCAGACGTTATCCTTCACATGGTCGAGCCACTCCTAAACCCCACCGCCGACCCTGAGACTACCTACAAGGAGCTCGAGAAGGTCTCATCTTCTGCCTGGGCTCTGTCGAGCCGCATTCTCAGCAGTCGACTGACATTTGACTTCCGCTTCCCTGAGATCGGAAGCCGATTCTCGCACCAGTCCATGTTCCCCATCTGGCCCGACTCTGATCCACATGAGCTCCAGGCTGAACATTGGCGAATTGCTCTTGTCACCACACCTGTTGTGACCTGCCGCAATGACACCGGCTCAAACATCTCTGCTCACTCAGTTTGTATGGCTGATGTCGTATGCATGCGATAAATGCATCACCACTGACCTCATTGTTGTTGATCTGTGCGATTAACGTGAGGGTAAAAGACCTCTGGGTCTAAAGAACCGCCGAGGTTCTTTCGAGTACGGTGAATACTACCACTGTACCATAATGTCATACTACTGTTGACAACGATTACGCACAGCAGCAATGCTGTGACTATCTGGAGGGGAAGACACATTCCTCCTATCAGCACGACTTAGAGACGGTCGTTCATAAAATTCAGGCGATCACGGGCGTTTAGTACTTGATTTCAGGGAGATTTGCTTACTTTTTTTTCTTCTTTTTTTCCATGCGCATTTTTCTGCATGCACAACGGCATTGGGTTCACTTCACGGCAGGATATAGGCATCCTCATATCGCAACTCATAGCCCCTTCTGGAGATAACCGAGATCTACACCCCAAAGACGGTGTTGTTTCTTTGCATTTTCTTTTCCGTCGTGGGGAAAACAGGTACAAGGGGGTTTCTGGTGGTTGAAGATGCAATCAATCGTCGGGGGCAAAAGCAAGTACTACTGGGTTTATGATCAGTCATGGGAATTGTTGCGGCCTCGAAAGAAATGAGGCAAATACATCCAAAAGATGTAGATGCGATTGATTTTAGGGGTAATAATTGATTTTGACGTATTAAACTAGCGAAACTAATTGTGACCTGGTGTTCTCGTGAGAGTCGTCCCAGTCCTGTCGGTCCCTGATATCCATCTTATCTATAGTAAGCCCCGAACTCCTGGTATCAATGAAGAGCAGAATACCACCACCGTAATAATACAATAGAGGAAAGAAATTGCGACCCCGAAAAGCAGGAGCCATTACAAAACGAATGCTTAGTGACGACGGCCCTGGGGAGAGCCACGCGTGGACTTGCGATCCAGGCGTCGCACAACAGCACCAAGAACAACCTTGAGAATCCCATCTGCGGTCAAAGCCTTACTATTGTCCGAAGTAGTGGAATTCCAAGTTGCTGTATCAACCATATCTCGAATACCCTGGTCAGCGAGATCATCGTCGAGCTCACGCAGAGCCTTGGCAGCACCAAGCTCGTTGCCAACCTGGAAGAACTGGACACCAACTTGATGAGGAGGAGCTTCGATCTGATCAAGCTTCTTGGCGTGGTGAACAATGATACTCTCTGGGTCGTCCGTGGGACATCCGTCGGTGATTACAATGATGTTGACCGGCTTGGTCGAGTCAACGTTGGCCGCACGACGGGAAAGGTGGGCGACATAGGGCTTGAGAATGCTGTGAAGACGAGAACCCGTTGGTGTTGCTCCGCAGGGACGGACGGACTCGAACAGATGTTGGACTTGGTTGGCGTCACGGATCTGGAAGTATCCACCGGGTGCTTGAACTCCGGTTCCGACGGCTGGTGATCGATGGTTCAGGAAGTAGACGTCAATACCGTCGGGGTCGTGAGAAGTACAGATCGGAGCAATAGTGCTCAGCGCCTCTCGAACCTCCCTCCAAGATCGACCAGCCATGGATCCAGAGTCGTCAATGACAAAGATGGTATCGAAAGTAGATAGGAAGGCATATCTATCTTCGGCACTGGTGATGCTTGAGATGCTAGGCGCTGGTGAAGCTCCACGTTGAGGAACATTGAGAAGAGGAGCTGTCCTTTGGGTGGGCTCATAAGCAGGAGGAGCCTCCTCGGGAACACCGAGGAAGGGGTTGTTCTTGGGGGTCGAGTTTGAGTTGCCCATGTCGAAATGTGTGTGACTCTCGGCGGAGGACTTCTTGGCTGAGAACTTATCCTTGATGCGGCTGAACATTTTTGGTGGTGAAGGTGAAGCTGCGTGTGGCATGTCGCGGAAGGTGATTTTATAATTGTCTAGGTTGAAGGTTTGGGCTGAGGCTGTGAGTCACGTTCTTTGTCGCGAGAAGCCTGTTCACAAAGTTCAATGATGTCAATGGATTTAAATAAACTTCTTGTTCGATGGTGGTGATTTATTTGCCTTGTTCAAGTGGATTGTGAGTATTGATAATAATCCAGGGCGGTCATGGCAACTCTTTATATCAACCATGATGCATATCGATGTTCGTTTGTTAGTACAAGGCAGAATAAATGTCGCCGCTCAAGGCAAATGTAACTATCTCCATGGTGTTTGTCCATTTCAGTGCCCCTTGCACCGCCTTGAAGGGGTAGTTTCTCCATTGTCACAGAATCGATCAAGTGGTTCGCCTTCTGGCGACCTCTGGGCCGCCACAAGGACAAGGCGTTCTCATGTGCCCCCTGTACAGCCCCTGGGCGCAGTTTCCACCCCCACTGTATGCACAACACAGAGCCCACTTATAAGCCGACACCTGGCCAATCGCAAAGCTTAATGCGATGGCTTAGCCCTGTCATGTTAAGGTCGTTCCATGCTGCTGGATCTGCCTAGATCTGGACGGGCTGTCAATGACAAGTTGGACCCTTGCAAAAGCTATTAGTTTAGCACATGACGCTCAATTCGAAATTATAAGGCATATTATAATGGGGGTGAAGTCCTGAGGCATTCTTTACCTCACGCTTGGGAAAGTCCAAACAGTCATGGCATTAAACATTTCAACTCCACTCCCGATTTGTTATGATATAATCCTCGGATATGGTAAGCTCTTGTTGGTGTGTTAGCAGAGCCTTGCTTGTTGTACCTGAGTGACCTGCAATTTCCCCGATCTAATCTTTAAGAGGCTTCTTACATGCAGCTCAGACCAATCAAAATACATATATATCGTCCTTCTTGCGGGGTTATCCCTGGAGTTGAGCATTTGTATGAACCATACTGCACATGGATGCCTCGTGCCAGACTGAGCCTCGCCGGTTCAACCTTAGATGACAATGTCAGTAAAATTGGCAAGGCATTGCAAATACAAGTGTATCTTTTGTAAATAATCACCTGCTGCATGGTTTCAAGTATACTTGTCTCTGCTAAACCTATGACTGTTTGCAGCAATTGACACATTGCGGATATTTCAATGTTTTGCGCAAATGCGTAGACAACACACAGGATGACAGCAATCGTCCATGCGGGCCAACACCTGCCTTGTCTTGTCAGAAAACTACAATATATTTTCTGCTTTTCAAGCACTTATCAAGCCAACTTAAATGTACAAGTCTTGATGCATACTTCTACGGATACTCAAATGTTGATTGTGGTAGAACCAATATTTGCACTAGACTCTCTGCGCTATCTTTCTATTTCAATCCGTCAAGACTCTTGCTTATCTTCTACCACTATGACCTTCGAGGGCAAATGTCAGTTGATCTTTGATACATCGCTGAATTTGGAGGCGAGGATCCTTGTCGACCATCTTACATGTTGGGGAAAGGAACTCAAGACTGAGCAAGTTCAATACTCACTTTTGGCTCCCTCAACCTTTGAAAGTGAGGGGACTCGATTCTGCAAGCCCACCTAGATTTATCTGAGCGACCAGGATGAGGAATAGACTGTGTATACGGCAGGTCCGTTTTATCCGAGCATACTTCAATAATCAAGATATAGCTTTTCCATGTTTAGCCGATACCGAACTGTGGTGTTGAACCGCTTCAACTCAGTAGTACATGTCTAGACTTAGCGAGAGAAGTTCAAAGTTTACATTTACAATAGAAACCCCAGACTTTCAGCTTTCCGGGCCCAGTGCGACTCCATGCACCTCTGTGACAGCCAGACATGGGGATCTCCAGCCCGTCAAACCCTTGAACAACGAGTATGAGGTGCCTGGGCTTCTCATACTAGCAAAAGAGTGTCCAAGGTCACAGCAATGCGTCTTTTAGTGGTTCTAATTCGTTTCTTTTCCCGTGTAAAAGACACTGGTCGAATAAAGCTTCTTGACACACCAACAGAGCTTCAAATTCTACGGCAACACTGGTAAGCCTAGAGGAGCAGTCCAAATGTCCGCTTGTCTATCACGTTGGTGCTAACGCTGGCAGTAATTAAGCATCAGTAGGCCGACGAAGATCTCCTGGAGTTCACAAAAGAGTGAAATGAAATTAGTAAGAGACTACCGGGAGACCTCTTACTCCAGCCTCCACGGCTGAAACTGGATAACATACCAAGCTACAGAGTTCAGAAGGCATTCAGCAGCAAACCCCAGCCTGTGTGATACCGCGGAAACTCTAATTTTCTGATCTGATATGAGGCCCTGATACTATCAAGTACTGTTCAGGAAGGCTGGCTGAAGTCCCCAGCCTGGTGGTAGAAACGTAAAAGCTTCAAGAGTGAACGTTGGTAAAGAATTTGAACTGAGATGACGGGAGCTGATTATTGCAAAGTGATAAAGGAATGCAATATCAGTCCATTCCCTCCAGAGTTTAGGCTCTCATGCATAAACTTAGACTAAAGTCATCAAGATTAGGTTAATTGAGACGATCGATGGCCATACCCCTGGTCAATCCTAGTGATTTCTCGTATAAGTGCCCATTAGCCTTGGGAACCACATGACCAGTATTCTCATGCTTGTTTTACTCTTCAAAGAAATGGAACAACTAATGTATCAGTCATTTTTTATAAGAATTATGTTGTGAATCTTACTCAGTTCCAGCGAGTGTATCGACATCGTCTACTATTAACAAAGTATAGGCCAAGAATAAAACAAAAGGAAGAGGCCACCATGAATAAAAAGAAAAGTGTATAACGAGGTCTAAACGCACCCGCTAGATTCCATGAAAAAAGCTTTCAAAAGATTCCCACGATTATCTCCTCCAGCAGTCCATGATATCCCTCCAACTGCTTTCGAGGACGCCGCTTCTTCCAATACTTTTACCCAGTAAGTCTCATCCCCTCCGGAGTCAGAGTCTTTAAAACCGCACCTCATACGCCGCGTCATGCAGTAAGGGGAAACCCTCAGTATTCCCCTCCAATAATCCCTACTTGATTGCTCCCTGGCAAGACAGAGCATGTTGAAACAGACTAAAGACACAACTTGAAACAAGCCGTTTTCTCAGTCACAAAAAAAGGTAGCTGGTAGAATCTGCTAGTTTTCATATAGTTAACAAAATGGTCGTCCTATCCCATCGAGCTATTATCGAATTTCAGGGAGACCATTAGAAGAAAGCTTGTTAAATTTAAGCTTCCTTGGGCTTGGGGCGGGGGAGACCCTGCTCTCTGCGAGTCTTGAGATCGATCTCGGCGAGGCCCAAACTGGCATTGTAAAGCTGAACGCAGTTGATGAACTGCTTGAGGAACATAAAAGGAAAGCTAACCCCGGCAATTATCCAAGGTACTGTAGAATCCATCTTGTTCGCACGTGCAAGCTCGAGAGCAGCAGGGCTGAAGGGGTCGGGGAAGATCTGGGCGAGGATCGAAGTGTTGACTTGAGCACCAGCCTGAAGCTCGGCACCAACAGTCTGGATGGGCTTGATGAGGTAGGGCGAGACGAGAGGAGACGAGAAGCAGAGGAGGTAGAGGGCGATGAAGAAGAGCTCGTTGAGAGCGCAAAGGGCGAATAGGACATTCTAGGCGCAATCAGTATATAACACAGGTACCAGTGTTTGAAGATACATACCTTGTTGGTGTAGTAGAGGCGCAATAGCCAGTTCTTGCTCTCGTCAATGCTCTTGTGACTGGCGTTGGTGCCTGAGACAACGAGAGTAGCATACATATGCATATAGTGGCTGGCAAGGTCAAGAGCAATCAAGCCCTGGAAAACAATGGCCCATCGAGGGAAGGCGGAGGAGAGGAAGACAATAAGACAGGCTGTAGTACAGCGATCTGTGACCATATCAAGAACAGCGCCGAAGCGAGTGGACTGTTCGTAGATACGCGCGGCGTAGCCATCAAGGGCATCGAGGAGACATGAGACGCTGTAGAGGAACGAGCAAGTACGAGGATGGAGGGGCATGTAGTAGAGTGACGCGATAGCAAGGACGATGCGCGCGTAGCCTGAGCAATCGTTAGTAAGCCTTACTTGATTTTGAAAATGATTTCTCCTTATCATACCAATAATGTTGGGGATGAAAAGGAAGATGTTCTCGCGAGGGGCATCGTCCGAAGCATCCGCGACGCCGTTGGCAGACCCGTTACCGTTGGATCTAACTTCAGGCTCGGAATCAGAGGAAGGGTTTTGGGCCTTTGCGGCCTGTCGTCGAGTTCGTGGGCTCATGGTGTTAATGAGGTTTTGTATTATTGTATGTGGAAGATGAAGCTTCGAGTTGTCGTGATTATCAAGGTGGTGTGGCTTATCATGCAGCGGCGGAGTTTGGATCGAGATAACGGACAGAATCTGCGAAAGGGGCAGGGATTACTTGGCGCTGTTGAAGCTATCGAAGAGGCCAAAGAGGATTTATAGGTAGAGTTGTCGCGTTTCGCGGAAGGTTAACAAAAGAGACTCGTTGAAGATGTCAGAAGGAGCGGATGCGAAGGAAGAAAAATAGAATCGAGGAGGAAGCTCCAAAAACTCGAGCCGAGCGGAGGAAGTCAATGGGTGATGACGAACGGCGGAAGGTAAGGTGAGCTTAGGTTAGAGGCTCCCTTTCCATGAGATGCTCCCGCCAAGCGAACAACAGGGGGTGGTTTTTCGGTAGGCTCGGACATGTTTAGATCTTGGCTGCGTGTAAATTCAGTGGCTTGGCGTGTTGATTTGCCCGCTTTCCGCTGGCCAGGAGCTCCAAATTTGCACCAGTCGCAGATTGATCCCCTGAAATTGATATCCGCTCATGGCAAATTGTCAGCTTAGAAAGAGGGCACCCTACTCCACTTTCAAGGTCTATTTCTTGGATATTTGCCAATGAACAACTCATCATCTCACTATTAAGACGTATGATTTGCTCATAAAAGTCTCGAGATCCAATGTTGCCAGTCGCATTGATTGTGAACTCGGCCTCGGCTTGCAGAGACAACATATGTTTTTGCCATGTCATGACTTGTCTCGTCAAGACATCGGTTCCAGAGCGTTATATCCGGCTAACATGCGTAGTCGAGACGTCGCACTGGTAATAATACCAGAGCAGATAGAGTGTGTGGTGATTACTCTAACATAGATTAAATGCATTAGCGGCAAAATGTTCAGATCACGGCCCCTATGATTGCCGCGGTTGAGGTTGTCTCTGTATAGATAAAATTGAGCTTAAAGAAGCTTAAGTCCCAACACAATGTATGCTTTAGTGCTCTTCCTTTAGCTCGTTACGATGCCTTGCAATGACAGCTGGTTCTTGATGACCGTGAACCCGGTTATCATGACATCTTGAGCCACAGCAATAGCCATTGAGATCAGGATATATGCGCAATGAGAGGATTAGACTACCAAGAATTCATTTAGTCGCAGACATTGTCGTACGGACCCCGCAACCTTATCAATGAATGCGAGTCAACTCCGGTAGCATTTTAAACCATCTTTACATAGCACTATAAGTTGATGAGTAAACCCGTGGCCTTAAACCCGCGAGTCGAAGACCTTGCGCTTTATAGAAACATTCAAATGCGACGCAGACTTGAGACTGCAACCCTACTGGTGAAACTGTAGATTCAGCTGGATCGACAGCCTCGCTTCAACAGAGTTCGACTGGGACCATCGTTGTCAGTGGCTGCGCAGTCATTATATGAGCGACTGGTCCCGAGTATCCCTAGGACCCGGACATTGGTCACAGTTCACACCAATGTGCACAATGGCACCTCAGTGAGAAATTGCCGTATCAGTACAAATCACCAACTCGTTTCCAGACTCCAAAGCAAGCACTTTTATGATATCTCATATCTAGGGTCTCTAACTTCAAGCCTCAACGCGCCTCGCTTCGGAACGACTCCCACTTCCCGTCCCATCTGTATATATTTCTTGGTAGCTTGTCTAGAACTGTGGTAGTCGCGCGCCAAGCAGTATTGAATCGCTTGACTCTGTGAGCCATGCAATCAGTCTGATTGTGGCAGTCAACTAAAACCATTAGTTTGCGGGACTTTCAACTTCACGTTGGCTAAGGCGGCAGTCGGTAACTGAATTGTTCCCGAGTTGTCAATTGTCGCTTCTCACTGGTATGAGAAATAACGAATATCAGTCGGTTGGTTGTTTTACGAGCTGCAGACACACAGAGGTCTGAAAAGTCTAAATAGACTCAAAGGAACTAGCGACAGGCGTAGCTTAGCAGAAAGCGGTAATTATGTCAAAAAGCAATTTCCTGAACAGTCCTCCGCCTGCTGCATAAGGTTTTCCCGACTCTGATAGATATTCGGGAGTTCCGGAGAGTGGAGGGACTTACGGCATAGCCGAGACACCAGGCAGTACCGTACAGTAGGGCGGCACGCAGATGGGACCCTTGTTTTGCTTGAGGAGCTTGTTGAGTGCTTGCGTTGAAGTATGCTGTAAGGTTAAGTTTGCCAGGGTTCAAGTGTAGGTACAATCGTCCCCTGAAGTTGTGGTTGTCACTCGCGGGCGGGAGGCTACCTAAGAAAGGCAAGTCTGGGGACGGCGGATCCTGACCCTGGTGACGATCTTGGGACGGTCATGATGAAGAGCCCGAGCTTGGGGCTTGATAGTCTTGGGGGGGGGGGGGGGGCAATTTGTCGTTTCTAGCCAAACTGCCAAGGTGAGAAGGGGAGAGGTTAACTTAGACGGAGCTCTTAGCTTGTAACAAGCCCCCATCCTTTAGCTACTGTAGAGAGTTGATAGTCGTTGGTGGTAAAACGGCGGTGCCTTGCAGCAGTGAAAACCAAAACCCCATGTCAAGTGAAGCCGCTACTGCAGCTAGCTCATCTCACTGCCGGTTGCTCCGTTCCGTCGTTGCGTCTCATCACAAGTGACAGATACTTTAGCAGCGAGTCTCGGTGCATACCGCAATCTTATCCACCCGCAAGCTATTGTCAGGGTTTGTATTTGTGCCAGTCGGATTCAATCCAGGTAGTCAGTTGAGATACGCCAGGTACCACGCCCAAGGATATGGGCTCTCGGCATCGTCCCGTTTTCCCGTCTCGTCGTTTCGATAAGCCGTCTTAGCATTATGAGTTACTAACAACATGTACCAGACAGGCAGGCAACGCGCATCTTGAGACAGTCAGGTTGATGCAAAGTCATGTACCTGGGGTTCTGTGGATCTCGACGTTGTACTCCGTGAATTAGATTAGTTGTCATGTCACCCTTAATCCCTCGCTGGCTCCGGCTTGAAGAACCGCTGAAACGGGTGTTTGCGGCAATAGTTTAGATGTCGTGTAACCCAGCCAGATCACTTGGAGGTTTTTGGAAAATCAGAGTGATGATCGTATCCTAACCGCCTCATACCTGAGAGATGATCTCTTTGTTGAGCTTGGTGATGGTCTGTGTTGAGATATCACCTGCAGTCAGTATCATAAAAACCATGAACCATTTAATAGCCGCTTCCATGGTGAAAAGCACCAATCCACCATGGCAAAGCCTCCCGCCTCTTGGGCTGTCTTGAACAGATCATTAAGCCAGGATTGGTTATGATCATCTCGCCCTTCTTCTCTAGTTTCTGATCCCTGATCCGCAAAGTGCAGTGTAGGCTAAACCCTACCCGGATAGCCAACGTTGGACCTGGTCTCGACAGCAGGTGTATGCTTGTTTAATTCCTCTAAAATCAGATGATTTTTGGGGTTTCGTGTCTTTGTTCATCCACCAAGCTTGTCTTGAATTGGCTTCTCGACTTGTCCGTCTTGGTGCCCCCCACGATACACGTCACTGACGGTATGGATCTAGGTATGGGGGCATGGGTCCTAGGGTTAGGAAGAATTTGTTTCCATCGGTGGTGATATGATCAGGATGAGGAGAGTATGTATTTCTTCAGTTGAGGATTGTTTCACTGGGCAATGGCGAATGGAGGACTTGTAGACAAGGTGTAGTCATGTAGTTATACATATCGGATTACTTCCGACCAATTCCCCAAAGAAGGATTTATTTGCTTGCCATTTCAATTGGCTGATTCTTCCTCACAGAGTCTTCCACTACAAAGCTGGATGGATGGGTGGCTGCCCTTGTCCGCTCCGGCTAAAAGAGAACTGCCAGGATAAGTTGAGTTTCAAGCTTTGGATCGTCCATATCAGTGCCATTTTATTTGAATTGCTGTCAAACATCCTTGCCCCTGTTCCTGTCTGAGTACATACATACCTACAGTAGTGCCTCTAGTGCGTACATGTTGCATTCGCCGCCTGTTACAGTAAAAAAGAGACACTCTTGTTAATCCCTGCTTGACGCCACGCCTGTGCCTTCAACCTCTGAATGCCTACTTACTTTCTGGCTGCGTTTGAGCTTCGGGCCTTAAACGTGTTAGCTTGTTATGAATCTCGAGGTTCAAGCGCCCTTTCGCTTCATGTTGGAGCTAAGCTAAGGTACCCTAGCACTAGCACCTAGGTGGTAGTGACCCTCTAGCCTTGTCTCTCGCCTCACCTTCAGTGCCTTTCGTTGGTTGGGTCCATAAGTCACTTTTCTTTAAGTCGAGCTGTGGATCGTCACTTTTCACTTTTTACCTTTCACCTCTCACCTACAGTCTCTTCTTAACTAACCCCATCCCATCCCGTGTCATTCTGCGAAAGGTTTTTACTTCAAACCTCCTCCTCCTCCTTCCTCTTAACTCGCTCTCTTTCCTCTCCTCTCCTCATAATTCTCCTCCCACTCCCGATCGACATTCCACCCATTTACGCCTCACATCGGACGACACTTTCAGTCGAGACCCATTCGGCCGAAGCTAATAAGATCTTCACCCCTCGTTCCTATCAGTGGCTCTTGTCTCCGTTTTTCATTTTTCCCCAGCTTCCCCTCTATCAAGCCAAAGCGCCACTTGCGCCAGGTAGACTAGATTGTTGTGAACATCTTTGTGAATTGGACAAGTGTCGAGGTTGCCCAAAACTTGCGACTTAGATCCACATACGATTTAGTGTGCTTGAACTCGCTCCCCAGTTCGAGTCACCGTCTTTTCCTATACTTTTGTTCATATCAAATTGATCTTCGAACAAACTTTACCGTGTCATGTCGCCGCATCCTACCCTCAAGGCGACTTTCGCCAGTCGAGCTGAGACAGCTACCCATCCTCTCAGTCGACATCTCTACAAGCTCATGGACCTCAAGGCCTCGAATCTTTGCCTCAGCGCCGATGTCGCAACCGCTCGCGAACTGCTCTACTTCGCCGACAAGATTGGTCCCTCCATCGTCGTCCTCAAGACTCATTATGACATGGTGGCCGGCTGGGACTTTGATCCTAGGACAGGTACTGGTGCCAAGCTCGCCTCACTAGCACGCAAGCATGGTTTCCTCATCTTTGAGGATCGCAAGTTTGGTGATATTGGCAATACGGTCGAGTTGCAGTATACTAGCGGTGCTGCGCGCATCATCGAGTGGGCACATATTACCAATGTAAATATGGTTCCAGGCAAGGCCTCGGTTACATCTCTGGCCCACGCTGCCAACCGATGGCTCGAGCGATACCACTACGAGGTCAAGACATCTATCAGCATTGGAACTCCCACCGCCAGTCAACTGGATGAGGATAGCGAGCGTTCAGACAACGAGAACCAGAAGGACACGCCGGAACCTGCTCGCGCTGACAGCGGCCGAAAAGGTAGCATTGTTTCCACCACCACCGTCACCCAACAGTACGAGTCGGCCGATTCACCACGCCTCGTCAAGACGATCCCTGAGGGCGATGAGACAGTATTCCCCGGCATCGATGAAGCGCCGATCGAGAGGGGCCTGCTTATCCTGGCACAGATGTCGAGTCAGGGCAACTTCATGAACAAGGAATATACGCAAGCATGTGTAGAGGCCGCGCGGGAACACAAGAACTTCGTCATGGGCTTTGTCTCACAGGAGTGTCTCAACACAGAACCCGAGGATGACTTCATCCACATGACCCCCGGTTGCCAATTACCCCCTGAGGGCGCGGATGAGAATGAAGCCATCAAGGGTGATGGCAAGGGTCAACAGTACAACACGCCACAGAAGATCATTGGTATTGCCGGTGCTGACATTGCTATTGTTGGACGCGGTATCATCAAGGCAAGCGATCCCGAGGAGGAAGCTGAGCGATATCGGTCCGCGGCATGGAAGGCTTACACGGAGCGGGTTCGTTAAGAAGCGAAAATGACTGGAAGTCGGGATGGCCTTGAGGTTTTTCGCGCGGTAGGCAGGCTGCACTGGAGTTATCGAGACATCTAGCGGGTCTGACATGAATATCATGACTACATGGAGCATCCATAAAGTAACTCACTTACAAGAGAAATGAGACTTGGTTCCCTGATTGGGAATATCATCTAAGCACTAGGCCTCCTCCAACTGCATAAGCCTGGTTCCTCTCTACTGCATCTATGATACCAGGTTCAACACAACCTTACGAGAATGATTGTCGGAAAAGATACGAAATATGAATTACAATGACGGAATAATTCGGTTCCTTGCGTGTGCTTTCAATGCACCTCTCATGTCGACGGTTGTAGCTAATTCACTCCAGCTGCATATATCCATTTCTTCCTTCAATAACGTGGGTCCATTCAAAGATGCACAGGGCTGAATTCCATTCTTGTAATGGATGCCCCACAATCAAAGTGACGCTGTTTTCTTGGAAGCCCGGAGTTAGAGGACTTTGAAAGCTGATCCTCGTCCGCCGAGATCAACATAGACCTTCCCATACTCCACCTTAATATTGACCTCTAGCCTCTAAGTATCTGAATCCCATACTACTTTACTATAACTTTACATATTTGCTCCGGGTATTCCCAAGTGATCAGTCATTAATACCCGTTTCCGAAGAAGCCGACATGACAGCAGCGGCTGAGAACGCTGATGGTCCGCGTCTGAGGAAGAGAAGACGAATTGTCATATCGTGCACTGAATGCCATCGAAGAAAGCAGAGGGTCCGTAACTACAAGACTACGATACACTTGTCTTATACAAGAAATATTTGACTGAAAACATCTTTAGTGCGACCGCGAACAACCATGCGGCAATTGCAAGTCTCGAAATAAAGAGTCAGCTTGTGTTTATGAAACAGGAGCTCCAACAGCCAAACAGAGCAAGCAGACAACAAAAGCCTCGCCGACTTACTCGGATACATTCGCTAAACAAGCCGAGCCGTCACCATCACAGTCTGTTGACTCATCGAATGAGAGGCTAGACGAGCCTCTGTCGTCTAAGGTAGCTGACTGGGGGTACGCTCACAATGGCGCGTCTACCATGGGTATACTTAAACGCATCGAGACGCTCACAGACTGTGAAGATGGGCCCCCAGATCCAACATCTCGTGATTCCTCCGGGGGCTCTCCCGGCAAAGAGCTTGCCTTGAGGGAAAAGTACAGGGCTATAATTCGACAATTACCTGCCCGGAATTACATCGAAAAACTCGTCGAGATGTACATGCGTGGCTTCAACTGGCAGTACTATCCAATCGACCCTGACATCTTTTATGCGCAACTCGACGAGTGGAATTCGTTGCCGTTCTCGGTCTTCTCAGATGTCGGTCCCTGCGGCTTGAACCCTGAACTGCGAGCCTTTCCAGCAGTTGTATTTCAAATCATAGCAACGGCCCTTCTCCTATTGCCCGAGAAGCCAGATTCCACATTCGACTCGCTCAAATTTGCTGGAGGTATGAGATTCGAAGACTTGGCTGTCGAGTATAGCGAGTCAGGGCAGGCAGTTCTTGACCTTTTGGGGAAGAAGAACTTGTCTCTGTCTACAGTGCAAGCACAATTTCTCAGGGCGTCATTCCACAAGTTCACGGCAAAGGTTACAGATGCAGTAAGTTCCTGTTAGGAGATGATACCTAGAGAAGAGTCGACTGATGTTGGGTAGTGGCACACCATCGCAATTGCGATTCGCGATGCTCAGGACCTGGGGATGCATCGTGACAGCTTAGATCCCAGACCAAAGGACGCAAGCGTCGAGAGTATTCTAGAGAATCAATGGCTGATTCAACGGAGGAGAAAGATCTACATCCTGCTCGCCATCTGGGACCTCAACTGCGCGATGATTCTTGGACGTCCAGGAACCGTCGACTGGAATCAGACTCTTCCTACACCTCCAGTTGACGCGCCTATACCTCAAAATCGCACCAAGATGCCAGTGGTTCCTCGAAGCGAAGATGATCATCCTACACCGATTACTCGGCTCTTGTGGAACTACGAACTTTGTGGGCCTTTGCGGGCAATTCAGAACCTTGAAGTCGACGGTGCATACCCCATGGACCCTGCAAAGATTGACGAGATTCACCAATGTATTTTAAATCTCGATAAGAAGATGCCGGCTTCCTTTCGAATGGAGAACCCCGATACACGATGGGACCACTTACCAGAGGCACACTGGTATCCAGCAAATCGATTCTACTTTGCGAGTCTTCATGAGTTCAGTAAGATGGCTCTGCACAGGCCTTTTATCTTCAATCGTCTTGAGAGTCGAGTGGAGGCTATTCATGCGAGTCTGAAAACACTCGAAATTCAGAAAATGACATTCGAAGGTTTGCCCCCAGACTCGTGGAGGAACTTCATGCTGTTTTTCGCTAGTTTCGATGCGATTGTACTCCTGGCATCCGTGTATATCTTGTTTCCACGTGAGCACACGGAGTACACCGACAAGACGATAGAGCACTTTCAATGGACGATCGAACGGTTTTCGGCAATTCAAGAGCGCAATCCGCTGGCCAAGTCGGCTCAGGGCGTGCTAAGAGCTATCGTTGCTCGATTCAAGAGAGCGATGAACAAAACCCAGACTGGTTCCTTGCCATCTCTAGCTCCCAGCTCTTCAGCGGAGTCGATCAAAGCAAACGCAGATTCGACACCAGGTAGCTCATCTTTGTGCAGCAGTGACTTTTCGGGACTGGACTCGACATGGATAGTTCCTTCAGTGGACAATCTGAATGCGATGGCCCCTTTCTTTCCGACAGGAGATCTTGTTTACAATGACCTTACAGCGGGCCCCGGCATGACTATGCTTCCTCTACCCCTGCAAGGTGGCCAAGGAGATGTTGGCAATGATTCCATGTGGCAATTTGGAGGTGGATGGGGAGATGATACTGTTTGGCAAATGCTGAACCAGTTCCCTGCTGCGACGGACGGGAGCATTCCCGACATCATCTAGGATCTTGAAAATGTCAGATTGTTGAATCTTGTGGTAGACTCACCGTGCAAACAGTGAGCGTTATGCTCTCTTTGATTTCACAATAGTCGGTGGTCTTCTCAGTTTTATTGGTTAGGATTGGCTCACAGCCCTGATTTCAGCTTTCACATTTTCCAACACTTGAGGAAGAACTAGCCGAAACATGAATGCATCAGACTAAAATACTTGACAACTCAGAAATGGCCAGAGCCTGGTTTACCGCCCCAAAATAAGCTGCATATGTTATGAATGTATCAAGGCAGACCAGCTGTCGTATCTCACAGTGCCTAGACTATATTCTCCATTTATACGAATGGTCGCTTGAAGTCTAAAGCTACAGCCATTGTGATACAGAATAAACGGACAAATGCTTGAATGAGACAGTATGCCTCAGGGCTCGCCAGCTCTGGTAGTCCATAGTGGCAAGGCGTTCTAGTCAATGCAGTTGCACGCGTACGGCAGTAGGGGCGGTTCTTGATTGGACAGGTAATATCTTTGACACGCGGAGCATGTCGCTTGCACAGGCGTCTGCAGGATCAGGCTGAGGGCTTGAGCCCGTGGATAGGCTGTCAGATAGACGGGAACTGCTGTTGGTGGCCTCAAGAGCCGATGTTGGTCTGCTGTGTCACCCACTGTAACTCGAAAACCAACGCTGTCATTATTTGTCTGTTGTGGTGGCGAATAGTGAAGTCTTCTACTCGATTTACATCCGGCTGGATGTATTAGTCGCCGTATGTGAATAACACCGGGTCAGATTGGAGGCGTCATGCGCAGGTCTTCGGGTAATTGAAGAGTATTCATGTTATTGTGTGAATATGAGACAAAGATAGCCTATGACATTTGCGGTTCAGGAAAAGATCAGAAAACCATAGAATATACATGTTGAGCAAAGTGTATGGCTTTGAGGTTCCGTGTTTTTGTCTTAGCGCTAACCGTAGATGAATCAATGAGATGACAAGGCGTTTTTCCAGATCAAACGGTAGAGTGGAGTTGACTATATATGTAAGGCGAATCGACATAAAAAGCCGCACACTTGCATGGTTATAGGCAGTTAATTGGTGTGCCGAAAGATAAACAGATTTCTGGAGAGAGAAACGAGAAACCCGGATCTTGGATTAGTATTGGCCTCTTAAATCTACTGTTTCACACCCAATCATATATTCACGCCTGGAGAGATGGAAGTACCTTGGTAGTCCTTTGGTTTGTATCATGCTTCTATCGATAGGTGCTCAGGCGTGACATCTGAGCCAATCAGATTGACCCGGGGTTCGATCTTTCACCTTTGGCGCGCGTCTCCACTGTGGATCTGCACCTGCAGCTTGCATGGGCAAGGCCGTGGGCTGATGATCCCTGTCTCGGGTCTGCTTAACTGTGATCGCTGACGGGAAGGAGCCAAGTGTGATATAATAAATCGTCAAATTTAGTACCTACGAAATATAGCAGATTATTGAATACAGTTTCCAGCGGCATCCCCGTAGTCATTTGCAGTTTTCAGATTCGTTCGTTTCAGGAATCCGTAAATTTACTTTTATCACAAGACTTAATCCCGTTTCCATGATACGTCCTTTTGCAAGATGATTAGGTCCTGGTTATAAATAAGGCTGTGTCTTGACTTTTATGTCAACACATTTTAGCCAACCCAACTTCGGCTTTTATCGAGGCAAGGTCGCAAGGAACACGACGTTAGAAAAAAAAAGTTTTTGCGAAAAGTCGCACACCAAATCTAACTCGATTGCTTTCAGTTGATATAAGATCAACATCAACAGCTTCTTCTTTTCTTTAACAATTTTCCGTCTTTGATTCGACCTGATCAAAGCAGCTTCCAGTTACCAATAACAGCGCCGAATGAAGAGCTCAGCTCGGTTTGATTGCTGGCTTGTTTGCTTTTCTCGGCAACTGAACTCACTGACTGCTCTTTCCTCATCTCATCTCCCCCAAACGTGCACTCTACCGCTACCTTGCCTTGCCTTGCCTTACTTTTATACTCACACTGCGCTGCACTGCACTTTCCTTTCTCCCACCCCCATACAATCCAATCCCCTTGCGCCGACGGAGAAAGGGTACCTACCTAGGGTATCTACTACCTTGCCTGACTTATTAGGGTGTGCATGTTGGCTGGGTGCGTGCAATTACAGGGCCAACAGCTGATCTTTTTTCTTTCTTCTCCCATTTATTGTCCAACTCTCATTATCGAGACAGACACGCGCCTTTCACCAACTCCTGTCTTCGCGCTATAAGAGACCTCCAAAATGGCATCTAATACTCAAATGAATGACTTGGTCAGTCGATTTAATGCTCTACAGGCTCGAGAAATGCCCGAGCAGAAATATATCAAGGTCTGAATTCCGCCCCGGTACTCTCTGCAGTATCCTCTTTGTAACTTCGTATTGTCCGATCATTTCTGACTCTCATAACAGGATCTTGTAGAAAGATTGCATGCGCTGCAAGAAACAAATCATGCCCTCCAAGAAAAGCTTGCCGACGCTAGCTTGGGTTTGAATCATATGAGCCAGCTCCGCAAACTCTATGAAGGCACTCGATTGCAATGTGAAACGCTCACCGCGGACCTCAACAGCATCAGGGTACATACATGTCACTGTGCACACAGAACGCAGAAGCTAATATGTTCAGAGCGCTAATAACTATGTCTTTATAATCATGGACGGCAATGGCCTCGTTGTACGTTTGATCTCGTCTTGTCTAATCTTACCCAGCTCGCCTTCTCAAAAGGTTGTCCGTCGTGAAGGAAGGTCTCGCTAACTATCATGCAGTTCGACAATCGCTTTATCAAGCAAGGCCGCGAAGGTGGTAAGCAGGCGGCGCAAGCTCTGCTTCTCGCGGTAGCGAGGCTTTGTCCTAGCCTACCATCTTCGTTCGAAATTTTCTGCGACGTTCTGGTCAACATTGCTGAGATGGGCCGAGCCCTGCTGAATGATGGCAGCATTGATGACCCAGGTCTTTTCCATGAATTTGCTATCGGATTCACAGAGGCCAAGTCTTCTTTCAACTTTATTGATATTGGCTTGGGCAAAGGAACACTGGTTCGCAAGATTCAAGGTGCGTCCAACGGCTGGTGAAATGGCCAGAGACACACTTGACTGACGTGCATAGAAACGGCAATGTGGCATTTGGGATGCTATAACTGTAGGCACGTCATGTTAGGCGTCGGCCATAGTGCCCAATATGCTCCTTTTCTGCGCAGAGTTAACGAGGCCGGGGATGCCAGAATGTGCGTCTCCATACTTCTGGGAGAGCCTATAGTGCGCGAAATCGAGGCCTGCGGCAACACTGTTTACGCGCTTGACGGCGATATCTTTCGCACGACCAAACTTGTGGATAAGACTTTGATAGAGAAACTGAGTGTCCAGCATACCGAGGCGACCAAACCCCAGAGTTCACCGGTAGCTCGCGCAGCAACACAAGCAGTATTGACGCCTGCTACGAGCACTTCATCCATGTCGCCTCCACAAACTTCCTGGGCCAAGATCACGAAAAGCGCCAGTCCTCCCCCCAAACTGACCATGCCCCTACCTCCTAAACAGGACAAGACCAAGCCCGCGAGCAAGACACCTCCTCAGCCAGCTTGGAGCCCTGGACCTCGGGGTCGCGATCCTCCCATCACGGTTGGTGTTCCAGCCATGGAAGATATCAAGCGTCGTGAGGACACCGACAAACTGTGCAACAATCACTTTCTCCGTGGGCCCTGTACCAGAATAGGTGCTTGTACTTTCAACCATACGTTCAAGCCGTCAAAAGAACAGTTAAAGGCACTCGCAATGCTCGCCCGACAGAACCCCTGCATTAACGGACAAGATTGTGATGTCAACGACTGCATATATGGACATAATGTCAGTTCTTTCAAATTTCAAAGCCTTTGTTACTACTTGCTGACTTCGCCACTGCAGTGCCCCAATGTAACCAATGGTGTGTGCACTCGGTCGCATTGCAGATTTAAGGTCGACGGTCATCCCCCGAATACCAAGTTTACCAACAGCAAGATACACGAAAACTGATGAATAGATGCATCATGTGTAGCGTTTGCAACAGGTTGCAAGGCACTCGGTTGGCACAGTTTCGGACTTGATCTGGTGTACACTATAGTCACTTCGTTTCTCGATCACACAATTTTTAATATTCATTATACGAAGGGCTAGGAAGTTCTACTATGTCTGTGACAGGCTTTTCTATGGAATGGGATAACTGAGCTTCGATAAATTGATTGACTTTATCATTCTTGTCAAGTTGCCGATGTGTATTTCTTCATACTTGGTGAGGGCGCCCAGGCCCTCATCCTGGTACATCACTCATTGACTGAACGGAGGGTCTAATATTCACCGTTATGAATGATTCATATATCTAGTTCATATCCCGACCTTGATGTCCATAGCCCTCTAATTGCAGATCTCAAGCCCTTCTGCTTCTCATCCTAACAATTGCCCAAGGTTATCCTTAGCCTAAGCTGCCTAGAGTTATCTCAATGTCACCTCAGTTGTCAATTATGATCAAATCTCAAATTTTCTCTCCTTCCCTAGATAGCCAGATAGTTTTTACTTCATGGTATCCTTGTAGTTAACAGAGCTTACTTTTTTTGCCCCTGTCTTGTTGACCCTTCATTTTCGTACCAATAGGAATTACTCTCGGTGAACTCGGTGAGCAACAGCTTTACCTATACCCCACATTGAGGCTCATCCCACACCTGGCCTGGTGAACTTCATGGGCAAAGTGCCACCTTCCATGTCCCACTTGTACCCCATATCTCTCAACCTCACCTCAACCATTGCCAACCCGAGTCCTTGGGTCTCAATTGTACTCTCCCGACGAGTAACCTCGTCTACATCGAGCTCGGTCTTTTCTTTTCTCGACCGCTGGAGGATACTGACACTTACCAAACGTCCCTCCCACTTCACCCCTCCTCCTCATCCTCCTCTGGCAACCCACCAAAACCGCAAAAATGTCCCACCCAAGAATAGAAGAGGTGTCGGACAGCGACTTCGACTCTGACCCTGCCGAGGCCGATATCGATGATTTCGCCGACTCCGATATCATGCGCCGAGTCGAACCCTCCGAGGCCGCTCCTAAAACAGTTCCCGCTGCTGCAGCTCCTCCTCGTCAGATGCCCGCCATCGTCCCCGCCGATGCCCCTGCTGGCGGTACCATGCCCGCCTCAGCCGATCGATCTGCCTACGCCGATTTCCAATGTCTCTACCCTGTCTACTTCGATGCATCACGATCCCGCGCAGAGGGCCGTCGTGTGGGCGCTGAACTCGCTGTGAAGGACCCCCTCGCGCGAGAGATCGCAAACGCCTGCTCGAGACTACGCCTACCAACACTCTTTGAACCTGAAAAGGTGCATCCGAAGGATTGGGCGAACCCTGGTCGTGTCAAGGTCGGACTGAAGAAGACGCCTGGTCACCCTGTCAAGAACAAGCATCATTTGTATCGTCTTGTTGCTGAACACCTGCGCGAGAACCCTACGACCGAAGACAGCCCCGGTCTGCGTGTCCGCATTGGAGGCCAGCTACAGCCCGAGGCTGGAAAGCCATATCCCAAGCCCGCTGTGCCGCGCGGATGGAAGATGGGCGAGTTGGTGCCGTATCTAAGTGCTGCTATGACGGGCGGTGGTGTCTCTGAGAATCTGTTTAAGGATATGATGAAGGAGATGCAAGGCGGTGGAGACCCCATGTCGGCTCTTATGGGTGCACAAGGAGGTGGCGGCGAAGAGAGCAGCAGTGGTGGTAGTAAGAAGAAGAAGGATAAGAAGGGTAAGGGTAAAGCATGAGGGGATCCATTGTACGGAATGTAGAGGGTGCCATGATCTGGGAAGGATAGAGATACCCAGCGATCAAGCATAATCACATATGAACAAAAAAGATGAAATGATTCAAGATTCAATTCCTAAAAGCCCCTGAATGTCAGAGGTGGTTTGGCAAAGCTTGCTTCTGCTACGTAGATTTGCTATTCGTTCTCTCATACCAACAAAATCCACCAGAATTGATGAAAGACAAAGACGAAATCAAGGGGTATGTAATATTCTATAATCATACAGCCAACCGGCCCTGTAAAGCCTCCCATTCCTGCGATCCCACGATCTGGACACCCCTTCCTGAGCCTGGCACAACCTTCCCGTCGACGCCGGGCAACTTAATACGTAGACGAGCTGCTGTGGGCGTCTTCTTTCTCCGTTCAGCGTTGGCCGTTTGTCCTTGGAGAACGTGGGCCTTCTTAAGGACCGACTCTTGCCAAGATTCCCAGCTTGCATAGTCCTCCATCTGCTTGGCTGCGTGATACTGCGGCGTTGATCGCACAGGCTTCCAGGCGAGCTTGTCTTGGGGCAGGGAAGCGAAGTCGTAAAGGGAGGCGGAAGACGCCATCTTGACGAGCTCGCCGAGGACATCCTTGCCTTCGGCTGCTATCATGCTACGGCGCTTTTCAGCGACAGAAGTAGGCTTCTTGAGTGGCTCAGCCAGCCATTCGTATTTGTGTTGCTCAGACGTACGAGCCCGGCGGTTATCCTCGCGTAGATATCGAACTGCAGACTGCAGACTCTCGATATCTTTCTTGAGGGCATCCATCTCGCGAGCTGTGGCAACGGCTCGTTCTTGACCAGCCTTGGCTCCAGCAGCATCTGCGCCGTCAGCGTAAGCACGGCTATCGCTGGCAATCTTCTTCCACTTGTCGCGTTCTGATTCAAGATTCTTGAGCTCACGATCTTGCTTCTCAATGTCTTCCTTGAGGCTACCGATCTGCTGGCCTGAAGCCTCAAGCTCCTCTTGCAGTTTGGCAATGCGATCAATGTTAGCTTGGGCATCACGCATTCTGGACTCAAGCGTCTCGATCTTGAGGACAGCAGTGCTGAGATGCTCATCGCGCTGGGCGATGGTACGACGAGCCTCACTATGCTCCTCTTTGAGGCGCCGCAGCTCCTCCTCCGCGTCAACGGGGATGGTCTTGAGAGCCTTGAGCTCTTGCGATCGCAGTCGCCAGGGCGCAGGAGTGACATCAAACTCTTGAACCTGATCCAGGTCGGTAGCAAGCGACACCAGGTCACTGATTTGGGTGGTGACGGCTCGCAACTTGGACAAATAAGTAGAGAACAGGTCTGACTCGCTTGACGTGCTGACAGAAAGGACTGTCTTGTAAACAGCAGTTTGTACCTCTGCATAGCTGAAGGGCTCAGTGCGACCCTCGTCGGCAGTGAACAAGCTGTGGATGCCGAGACCAATCTGTCGCGCTAGATCAGCAAGTTCTTGCGTTGCCTCACAACATTGCTCAAACGCTTCATTGGTGTCTGGCAGTAGAGACAGAGATCGCGTTCGCAAATCCTGGAGAGCCCGGACAGCCTTGGCGGCGATGACCTTTGTACCTCGAGTATGAGTAACAACCGCCTCAGACTTCTTCGCGAAGTGCTGAGCCAGCTCATCCTCCTCGCCCTCAGCAGGAACCACTCGTTGAACGAGGCCTCGCACGGTGGTAAAGGAGACGGCTGCGGAGTCGAGGTGGCTCTGCATGACCATGGCCTTCATGTGAAGATCGTCAGCATAGTTAGCCAGGCTGTTAGAGATGTGCACCTCTCCCAAGTGAGAAAGGAGGGCGATGGTGCGATGCAACTCGTCGGCGCAGGTCTTCTCCTTCAGGTCGTCGCGGCGAAGACCGTCAATCCAGACGTTCAAGGCTCGCTCAACAGGCTCTAGCTCGTGCAGTGCGTTCTGGTACTTGGAGAACTGCTCGATGGTGCAGTGCGTCATGTCGCTGACGAAGCGATCGCACATAGTAGACACCCAGACGAGTTTATCCGAGGCATCACATCCAGCAAATACATCGTCCTCGTGTCCAGGATGAGGCTGTCCGTTGAGTCGTTCGCGGATGAAGCTGTTGAGGAGGTTCGCCTTGAAGGCCACCCGACGGAAGCGAAGCAGAGAAAGAACAGAATCCTGGTCCTCCTTGTAAGTGTCAGGGAGGAATAGCTTTACGATCTCCAGGTGTTGCTCTGCTTCCTGGGCGTCCAGTCGTCGAAGTTCAAGGTCGATAGTCTTGACTTGAGCCTTGGATGCTGAGATCTGAAGCTTCATGTTGAGATCCATCATGGCCCTGGATCGGTCGTTGAGTTTCTCTGACTCGCCCTCAGTGACAGCTTGTGAGGCCTTCATGTCATCCAGGTCGCTTTGCAGACTTGTCACTAGCTCACGGAAGCGTGAGAGGGTATATTCCATATCCTCTAGCGACTCTTCTTGCTGGGCAGCTCGTCGAGCCTGCTCAGCAATGACACTATCCTTGAAGTCGAGTTCTTCTTGCATCTCTTTTTCGTTCTGCACGTGATTGATCTCGAGCTCGTCGTTGATCTCCTTCAGGCTCTCAAGATCATCAATGACAGCCTTCAACTCTTCGATTTGCTCAGACATGCTCATGTTGCGCTCCGTTAAGTCTTCAATCATGTCTTCGGCACCAAGAGCATTGTCGAGTTGTTGACGTAGATCTTCCACGGCACTTTCTGACTGCTCGAGCTTTCCGCGGCACTTGGAGAATTCCTCCTTCATAGTGTTGAACTCTTTTACGTCTTCCTCGAGCCCTTTAATCTGACCTTTCAGTTCTTCCTCGGTCTCCTGAGTAAGGTCGCGTAATCTCATGAGAGCTTCCTTTAATCGTTCGTTCGCCCGTTCCATCTGCAACCAGCCTGAACTTGCTCGTTCTTCGGGGGCCATTCCCTTGCTGTACTCTTCGTTCTCTTCCCGCAAAATCTCAACCTCCAATTCCATCTCTTCAGCTTTCTCCTTGAGGGCTTCCAGTTCGGCCTTCAGAACCTCCGCTGTTTCTTCCGCCATTTCTCGGTCGAGTGTTGCTAGTTCTAATATGCTGTCGTGCTCTGCCTGAAGCTCTTCAACGGAATCAAGTCGCATTTCCGCCTCTTTCAGTAACTTCTTCAGCTCAGCATTTTCCTGTTGTTGCGGTTGGTATTTTTGTTGCAGCATTTGGATGACACTCTCGAACTTGTCTCTCTCGCCCTGGACTTTGTCAAGTTGTTTCAACTTGTCTCGATCTTCGGCCCGTTTGCGCTCTAAAACCTTCAACTTGGCCTTGAGGTCTTCGATTTCTCTACTTGCTGCCGTACTTGCAGCAGGACGGGGTCCGGTGGTCGTAGATGAAGGTTTTCGTGCTGCAGGGGGTGTGGTTGTTCGCGATGAAGGTCCACCTGTAAGTTTCTCAAGGGCCTTTGTTCTGGCTTGAACAGGGCTCCTGGGCTGAGGTGAAAGAATGTCCCCATTATCCTTAATGGGGGAAGCAATATCATCTCTGTCCGAGGAGCCCCTTCTTGCTTGCGAGTCGACAGATGTCCGTCTGGCAGCTGAGCTTGGCCGTGATGCTGGCCGAGATGCTGGTCGTGGTGGTCCGGCCAAAGACATGCGGCTAGTCGTTGTCCTCGGGGCTACGGATGCAGCTCGTGCTGTGCCTGACGAAGTAGATACTTGTCTTGTTCGAGCAGTGGGTGGCGGAGGACCCATGGATGTTCGTGGTCCTCCAATTGATGGGCGCGACTTTGCTCCAACGGAAGGGGCGCGCGCATTCGATGGTGTTCCTGTTCGGGATACAGTGGTGCTCGAAGCAGCACTCAACTGCTTTGTGGGAGATTTTGTAGGCGACTTGATCCGGGTTAGCATTCAACTCAACAGCTGTACAACAGCACCTACTCTTGCAATGCTTGTCGGCCGGGACACTCTAGGTACTGGGCTAGGACTGGGAGCATTGAGACTCTTTCTTCTACCCAAGCCTGCATCTCCTGCCGCACTCGAGGCTCTACCTGAAGTAGGTGCGAAACTGCTTGGCCTTGCGGCAGGCTTCCGGGCAGCCGGCTTTGGTGTAGGTGCTTGTGCGATAATCTTGGCCATCACAGGTTTGACAAACATGCCATAGCCCATAGGACAATCAAAGTAACGCTCTCCCTGAACGCTTCCATCGTTTTTGCCCGTCTTGTTCTCCAGCTCAACGCCTATCCATTCTCCGACCTGAAAGTGAGTGGTGCCCACGAAACGAACGATGGCCTTGGAGCCATCGTTTAGTTGGACAGTCTGCCCAGGCTTGAAATCCGGCATTATAAGGCGCTGTCGAGATCGTAGGGCATCGTGCCGGCACCGCTAGTACTTGAGGTGCTCTTTAACGGTATCGAGGAGAAACGTCGTCGGCCTTTTCTTTGTCTTTGTTGATGCTGTCTCCTGAGGCGCGTACAGTACTAATTAGACGGGAGGGAAGCTGTCTGGGTAGTGCGTAGTGGAGCGGTACTTGAATTAAGTCCCTAAAGTCGGGGGCGCGTTTACCTCTCGGATAAATTACGATGGCGGCAGTCATTCCCGGCGTTTAGCGGTTAAGGTACGTACACTTGCTGCAGGGGTAAACTCAAACTCCACCGATGTGCAGGGATAGGTACCTAGCTTCAGCTTCACTTGTAAGACGTCAGGTGTACCTAGGCCGAACAAAGAGAATGGAAAGATACTTATCTCTTTAAGCTATAATTAGGATTTCAGGTCATATTCTTTGTCTGTTTAGTCTCCGGACTTGGCTCAGACTATGCTTATCATTGGAAACGCATGTAAACAAACAAACAGATCTGAGAGTATTGACGCCATGGACTCCTACCTACTAAACTTTACATGTTTACTCCCATTGACAGGAATGCGATATTAACTGAACCAACACATGTTTCCTCCAAATAAACAACCCATCAGTGATGCGGTGCTGTAAATTTTATCCTCAGATCCCAGTGTAATCTTGACAATATCCTTTCATCACCCACTTCCAAAAAGAATATCGTACTTTGGTCATCTCAACGTGTCTTGTCGGCTTTCTCTCTGAAGCTCCCTCCCCGTACCCATTCAATGACTTCAAAAACAATTCGTCGTTCAGTTGCATCATCCAAGTCTTTACCCACCGCAACACGGACAACCATGAGCCCCTTGTAGGAATCGACCGTTCCGCACTTCGCGATCTCGTCCTCTAGACTTGGTTTCACGTAGACAACAAGGTCGGGATTGATGGTACCGCGCCAGAGGGTAGCCATCCACTGCCAATGGTCGATCGGTGCATAGGCGTCCGCAATGGGTATCTTACAGGCGAACGAGTCCGAAAGAGTGAGGCTGAATCCTTCCTTAATAAGGGCAACCGGTATCTTTGAACTACTGTTGTCATCCCATGATGATCTGGAGGCGTTGTCCTCTTCAACTGAACCACGTCGTGAAATTGGTGAATCTGATTCCCTCTCCCGCTGTGATCCACGTAACGATTCGGGTTGGCTGGTAATGTGTTTTACCATCTCTCGTGACTTCTGGTGCCATTGAATCATCGTTTCAAAACATGACACAAGGCTGGCGTTCGACTCTGACGGCTTATCGTTGTCCTGGGAGCCAGTTTGATTGCTTTTGATATCGTCTCCCGTCATCTGTCCCCAGGTCTTGAGTGCGATTTCGTTGGAGGTCGAAAGCGCTCGCTCAACCAGCAAGCCAACCTGCTTCAATATTCTTGGCTTCGGCCCCTCTACGGCAATAACAGCCCCCCTGTTCTCGACTTTCTCAAGAGATAAGGTTCCAGAACCTAGAGAGCTGATCGGAGTGTGATTTATCTTAGAGAGCACAGATAGCTTTCGGGTGAACGGAATAGACATGATCATGGCCTCAACGCTTCTAGCTTGGGGATCTCGAGCATTCGATATTCCAAGCCCCGTGACTGGAGTCTGGAGCTGTCGAATATCAACCTCTTGTGCATTCGTGGGAGACATGGCAGTTTGAGTCTGCAGTGGAGGGAGTCTGAGGGACTCATCATCATAGGAAGGGTGCCGGCCTCGATGTTCCTGGTGGGGCCAAGGCCCTCCTGCTGCTGGTCGTGGGGGGGGAGGCATCGGGCCTGACTTTGATCTAGTGAAGTACGGCTCGGGCAGAGGCGTGACAGGGTACGGTCTCTGGGGAGCCACTCCTAGTGACAATGCCCGTCCCACCGTCCCCGGGGATGATATCGGGTGATAGCTGACAGCAGTGTTGTAGCGACGTCTCTTCATTTCTGGTGACTCGGGGCCGTATTCCTCTACTTCTCGATAAGGAGAACGCTTGGAAGGCTGTTGTTGTCTCATAGCCAAATTACCAAAACTTCCACGACGAGCTGCCTCTGGATCACGCAAAGCCGGCGTATATGGATACGGGGGAGCTCTGCCTTCACTTGCCGATGGTGTGGGGTATGGTGTAGAGGGGGTTGAGGGGGTTGCAATGCACCGGAGGTTGCACTTTAAGCATCTCCCAGATTCATCAGCGGAGACAGATCCTGATCGGAGGCCTTGTGACTTGTTACCACGTCGTGGCTGATAGCGATAGTCAGGGTACTGTTGCTGATGGCGTTGCTTTTCTTCATCCGCCAGTGCTTTCCAGTTGTTTTTGACTTCTTGGGGCTCGTCCTTCCACTGTTCTCCAATGATCTTGGAGATGTCAGGGTTGGACAGGTTTGGGTTGCGAGCGACAACTTGTGCTTGGTGATGTTGGCGATACAGTATGAAAGCTTTTGGTAACGGTCAGCTATGATGTTGAATATATGTTGGAGGATGATTGTGCATAAATGTTGTCACTATCCACAACTCCAAGCTTCACTATCATGACCAACGAAATAGCATATCAACAAAGAAAGAAATAAAAAGAAAGAAGCGACTCACCATTTCGAGGTCGTGGGATCTTGGGCGCCGGAGTGCAGAGACAAATATCTCTTGTAGCTTCATTACTTGCCATACTGCTCGGCGTACTCAGTTTGAGTCTCTCAAGTCTACCATAGCTAGCGTCAGAAGTGTTGATGGGAGCGGCACGTTTTCTACCCAAGCCAGCAGTGCGAGGACTAGGAGAGTCTGGAGTGTCGGGGAGTGCACGAAAGGCTCGGGGCCTATCGTAGTCATCAGAATCCATGGGTGAGTGGGCTGGGGTCATAGCCTGGGAGGACGTAACCAAAGAGATGACCTGTGTCATTTTTGCTGGACTTTCCTTCTTTTTTGCCTTGCTTTGCTTTCCTTTGGTTCCTCTGACAGGCAAACGAACGGGAGGTGGTAGACCCTGTACCCTGGTCTCGGTGCCGTTGAGATTGAGGCCGAGAGATGAGCTGAGGAGACGCAACTTCTTGATGAGGTAGATATAGGAAATAAAGATAGAATCAATGATCGTGTGCTATTATGGCCTTTTCGTTCCTCAGAATAGGCTCTTCTCTGCTTTTTTTCCCTTTCTTGACTGAAAGAAGATAGAATGATTCTCGCAGTGTTGGGCCACTGTCTGTCTGTGCAGTGCCGTGTCTTTGTGTGTTCAATGGTAGCCCATGCAGTAGCCTCCAAAGAACAATGAAACTGCTTGCACCTGTAATGCTGTCTCTTTCTTTCGCTTCCTTTCTTTCCGTTGGGGCCTAAAGTGGGAAATTAGGCGTGGCTCATTATCGCCTTCGTCTTTGATCTCTTGTCTTGACTTTTTCTTGTTTCTTTTCTTAGATCCCCTAGAGTTCCCTTCTCTTCACTTCTTTTCTTGTCACCTTAACTTCACAGCCTTTCTCTTGTCATCCAATGACACCCTCTTCTTCTTTGATAAGCTCAGCTTAACTCTCCCACTGTGTTCTTTACCAATGCGCAAGATAGATTAACCGTACTGCACCGGGGGCTGCTAAGAGTAAACAGCGGGGAATACCCCTACATGTCCCGGTTCTCTGCAGGTTTGGCTTAGAGCTTGGTCCTGCGTCTGCACATCCAATGTATGGCCCGGTCTGTCGGCAGTAACAGCTGCACTTCCGTAGCCACTTGACCACTAGGAAGTGTACGGCACCAGGAACAGGGAACAAGGTATTTGCCGCAGTCGGGTGCAGTCCCTAGTAAAGTAGGACGAAAGGGAGCCGGGGTCTGTTAGTTAAAACCTGATAACAAGTGAGAGAATGAGAGTGTGTGGGAATATGAGCGAATGTGATAGGACCCAACGAAACAGGACGGGAAACAAAAAACGCTCACAAAGAGAACCATAACCCACGGACTTTGCCATGATATATCATCTTTTCTCCCTTTCCTCCCTGGTCCATCTTTTTGTCTCCCCATGCAGAGCACGTCCGCTCATTATGATGTGAATACCGACCCTCAACTAGTCCAAGCACAGCACATTCTGACTCTAACTAACCCCTTGTTGATTCCAGCCTCATCCAACAACGACAATGCAGTGCAATGTCGAGCCGGAATGTGGACTATGTCTGGTCTTAGTCTGGGGCTGGAATGTTTGGTAGTAGGGACTGAAACAAAGACAATGTCGTCTCCGAAATTGGCACAAGTTTATACGTAGCACGTGATGCATAAACTCGTTCAAGGGCGACTTTCTTTGAATATCTAACCATATTTAGTTATGCGAACCAACAGTTCCCATCAAGGCTTGAGACGGCAGCTGAAATAAGATGAGATAGGCTGGCATTGGTAACGCAGGATTGCTCCCGCTCCACCATCCGATCCCATCTGACCCAGTGTCTAGGGCTTGGATGCCGAAGTTGAAGTGGTTGCTGAATGATCAAAGAGCTTGTAGGAGGGTGCCACTTTGTTGTTTGGTGTAGATTTAGCTTAACATAATGGGAGCACAAGACAAGGGAGGCACACACCTCCCACCTAGAAGGGAGCTAAAGTTAGACAGGGATTTGCCGATGCCATTCTCTCTCATATCTTGATATGGCCAATGGTTAATAGCCAGTGGCCTATCTGAGCCAGCCCGACGCCAATTCTCTGTAGTATTCCATGGTTCCCTATCAAGTACGCAATAGCTAGAGGTCAGGTGTTTTCTTTCCTTATCAACCACGTAGCTCCTTTAAAAAGTAGTAATTATGACACGTCTTCCCTCACACCCAGCGCCTTCTAGACTGAAATTCAACACCCTCAGGCTCTGCAGCCTCTCCATTTTATGCGAGGTATCCTCGCCCGGCCTCGCTGCTGAGGAGGGCGGCACTTCGGCGGGCATCAAGGAACAAGTCCTCACACTCAGCAACGTCCTGAACGTCGATTTGCGAGCGGCCGTTGGCCTTGGCAAGAATGCTGTTTCTTCAGTCAGCAACCGTGTCTCGGATTATTTTACCAGAGGGTCTCCCCTCTCGCCACAGTGACTTACCTTGCAGGGGTCAAAAGCTGCAGACAATACCGCAGGCTGATGCGGACACCGTGTTCCGAGATTTTGTCAATGGCAGCATCTGATACTGAGACGCCTTCGGTTGATGAGCGTATCCGCACGATGCGCTTGATTTCTTCCGCCTCGTAGGGCGTTGTGGGGATGATGAGCAAGCGTGTTAGGAAGTCGGCAGGAATTCCGTGAGCCGCGACAATGTCGTCAGTGCCTCTGATGGTGCACATTCCCCGGTTGGAGGCCAAGACCACGATAGGGGAGATGGGCGATTCCAAGGCTCTGTTCAGGTAGGTGAAGCACTCCACATCGAGCATATGTGCCTGTCAAACGTCATATCGGTTAGCTTCAGAGTTCACGTCCCGTTATGATAGGGGGGATGGGATGTGTGTTACCTCATCGATAAACAAAACGCCTGGCACAAGCTCAGCAACACCCTGGTCGATGTACTTGCTGACCACTTTGTTGATCTCTCCACGAAGTTTGTCTGTAATCTCCGTCATCTTGGGCTTCATTAGCTGGCCCATCATGCTCATAATATCCTGGCCGCCTTGGGGGCGGGCATTGGCCACATCGAGGTCATGTAGCGTAACGTCTTGCACGATCTCCTTCTTCTTATGTACCTCACCCTTGGGAATAGGTACGTACTCCTCCGCCTCCAGGTCGAATTCTGTGGCGTAGGCGTCTGATCGGCCAACTCGTTTGCAGGCACCCGTGTTCGCTTCGATATAGATCACGTCACCGACCGTAACTCTCTCCTTTTGGATTGCTTCGTAGATACTTGGGTCGAGGCGGAGCTTCTTCTGTCCCTTTGCGCTCTTGAGTCCAATCAAGAGTGTGCTGATGGTCTTGCCGTAGCCGCCTAATGGGTTCTCGGCCTCCTCAGGTGTGAGTTCTGTAACCTCTCCTTCATACACCTCCTTCGTCTCTCGGACCTTGAGGCCAATGGCTCTTCGGAAGTTCTCCATCAGCATCTCGGTCTTCTTGACTTCGGTGGAATAGATTTCGCTGCCAACGATGGGGCAAAAGGGAATCTTGGTTCCCAATTCTTGGCTGATCGCGAGCGCGAGAGCGGTCTTTCCAGTTCCAGGTCCTCCTGCCAACAGCACACCTCGGCCAGCCATCTTCTGAGCCCGAATCAAGTCCACTACAACACCGCAGGACTAGCAACCGAATAAGTATTCGTAAGTCAATATTTGATTCAATCGGTCCTTACCTCACGCGCGCCGACTTGGCCGACAAATCCGGCCGCTTGCTTCTCTGCATATCCGTCTGGTTTCAAGCCCAAGCCCTTGATATGAGTATGGGCGGCTGTGCGATTGTCTCGCTTGTTACCCTTCACCTCGCTGATCTGGACCATGGTGTCGGCGGGTGTCGAATATGCCGACAGTTATTATTTTCGATGACAGTTATATCGGCGCGAGACTTCGATTCGTGTAGTGGGGCAATTCGTGATGTGATGATCGAGATGATGGTTGTTTTTGCTGTCGCAGAAGCTTCTAAATATTTGCGACTGAAGCTGAGCCAACGAGCTGCTCCATGGATACCAGGCGCGTTCAGGCGCTATGACGGTCACGTGCGTGCTGAATGACAAGCCTACCCTGTAGCCAATACTTTGTTTGCGTTAGAATGCTACACATGAACCATTTCCCATTTTATACTAAAGCTAGCTTCCATTGTTAATTTTTTCTTTGTACTCTGTATAAACTTTCCATTGGGGGTTAGGAACGCTTAAAAGTATCATGTTAAGTAATGTCACAGCTTACTCTCACTCCCAATGAATACAACCACGCGTTTCATGTCTATACTACCCATCGAATACATAGACCCAACGGCGAATGGAAACACAATTCCAAGCTTTGACGGCGTATTATGGATAAGGCGTACGGCGGTTAGTATGTCTGAAATATTTCTTGGGTTTTAAACTGTAGCACGAAACGGTGCTGGCGGATATGAAGTCAATGTATGTAAAATACTACCCAAGAGACAGCTGGAAAATATACAATTCCCTCCGAAAAAATGTATATCATGTGTTTACGAAGGAATTGAGATAGTGTTTAATTTTAAATCGTCACCTCCGATAATACCTACGAAACTTATTGCGCTTGATGATCCGTCTCCTTTCCTTCAACCATCTGACCAGTGCCTTGAATAACCACGTGGGTTGCGTGGATGGTTCTCATGATGAGACTCAATGTTTCTGGGAGAGTTGAACAAAGGCCCAGGAGTTTTTGAATGAACGAAAACTAGTAAGATATTTTACATGTGATTCAAAGTACGTACGTACACTTGTGACGTAGACCCATAGTTTAAATATCCATCTGCCTGATAATAGGTAGTGGAAATCAAACGTATCCTCATGTTAACATAAAGTCACGAACTAGAGATTTCCTGAGGTCGTTCAGGGTAAGCATGCACCTCCACGTAATCTGTCAGGGACAGCTACCGCCACGCCCCACTGAGCTACATGCGAAATACCTGGAAGAAGGCTAATTTACAGTAGTATGGGAGGTATCTATGAGAACCGGGCTCTCTAAATGGCAGCGGGACACTTTTAAAGGTGACGCCCCCCCCAGAGGACGCTTGGCAATAGCGTAGGCTACGACAAGACAAATGATACAGCACCCAGTCTTGAAATGATCTGTCCCCTTGTGAGCCAAGACACGAGTCACCATTTCTCAACAAACATCAAGTGCACCAAACGAAACACAATTCGGCCTCTATTCGATTGCTGCCAGCATTCATCAACAACAAGTTCGCCGGACGGACATTGAACGCGTAGATCCCTTTGCGACTTCGACCCTGAAATGCGATACAGATAAGAGCTCCTAAAGATTCGACGGCCTCCAACGGTATACAACCGAAAGAATAAAGACGAACACCGAATTCCCCGACAAGGAACACGAGGGAGGAAAGTCTTACAACTAGAAAAGCACGACTACGAAAAGAATCGTAAACGTCCTCATATCACCGCCGCAGCATGTCTGAGCAGCACCGCTAGCTCCCATCCTCCATTCTTCACCTTTAACACAGCACCTTTTCTATTCCTCCTCATCGTCAGGAGCTTAGCCAGGGATGCCGCCCTCACCACGATATCGAGCTTCCGACCCACCCGACTCTCCCGCGAATGACTCCGATTCCGACCTTGATCTAGATATTCAGGAGCTCGACCCAATATCAACCACTCCAGCTCCAAGGGACAACGAGCGCCCTTCAACCGAGCCACAGACATCGCGGATAGCGCTGCGAAATTTGCGCATGGGTGGAGTGCGGCGAGCTGGAAAGAGGAATCGCGGGTATGGCGACCTCGGCCAGGATAGAGACGGAAACGACGAACATTCCCAGGCATTATTAGGGGAACATAATAGCAGTGCGTCTCGATGGTCGGAAGGAAGCGGTTACAATGAGGACGATCAACCATTGCTAGGGGGGCAGCCTTCGCAAAGCCGGAAGTCCATGAACTCGGATCGAGTATCTTCACGGTTACGACTCCCCAGTTTCATGTCGGGCTCGAAGAAACCAGAACCGAGCGATGCGGAGGACCAAGAAGACGACGACCCATCCTCCTCTCGACATGTGGCCGTGGGATCGACTCAACCTGTGCGATTTCCAAACAACATCATCTCAAATGCCAAGTACACAGCCTTGACATTCCTCCCCATCACCCTCTATAACGAATTCTCATTCTTCTTCAACATGTACTTCCTTCTCGTGGCACTGTCGCAGGCGATACCCGCCCTGAGAATTGGCTACTTGTTAACCTACATTGCACCATTGGCGTTCGTACTCTGTATTACCATGGGAAAGGAGGCCTTCGATGATATTGCCAGACGGCGAAGAGACACTGAAGCGAATTCAGAAGAGTACAACATTCTGGTTTTTCAGGATGCCGACTCCAACCTTGCCCCTGTACGCCAACGAAAACTGCTCAAGTCTGAAGTGTTACAGAAACACTCTAGGAAGAAGTCAAAGGGGGCTCGAGAGAATTTGTCAGACATTCTGGAGGAAGACGACGTCGAGGCACTCCCGCCATCCTCACGAGTCGTCGAAGTCAGCCGCAAGTCAAAAGACTTGAAAGTTGGCGATGTTCTCAAACTTACAAAGGGTCAACGTGTACCTGCAGATGTTGTCATATTAAAATGCTTCACTTCCGAGGCACCAGCCCCTGCACCGATTCCTGAAGAACCAGCAGAGGAGGATACCTTGTTGGCGTTCGACGGCGAAGAGCCTCAAGCAAAGGGCAAGCAACCCGCAGAAGCGGCACCAGAGCAAGAGACTGAAAGCGGACCAGGAGGGGAGACTTTTATCAGGACCGATCAGTTGGATGGTGAGACGGATTGGAAGCTCAGACTTGCTTCACCGCTTACACAAAATCTACCGACGGAGGAGTTTGTTCGTCTGCGCGTCACCGGTGGAAAGCCAGACAGGAAGGTAAACGAGTTTCTGGGCACAATCGAGCTGGTGGAATCTCGAAAGGATGCATTGGCGCACCATGCGACAGTACAAGACTCTGACGCTTCCCACACGGCTGCTCTGTCAATAGATAACACAGCATGGGCCAATACTGTCATCGCCTCGCAAGCCACGACACTGGCCGTCATCATGTACACAGGTCCTCAGACGCGATCTGCTCTATCGACAGCCCCCTCACGTTCCAAGACCGGCCTGCTCGAATACGAGATCAACTCTTTGACTAAGATCTTGTGCGCGTTGACATTGGCCCTTTCCATCATCCTTGTCGCACTCGAGGGTTTCGGAAACACCAAAGACAATGTGTGGTACGTCAAGATCATGCGATTTTTGGTTTTGTTCTCTACTATTGTCCCCATCAGTCTGCGTGTGAACTTGGACATGGGCAAGAGCGCATATTCCTGGTTTATCCAACGCGATCCTGGTATGCCTGGAGCAGTTGTTCGAACAAGTACTATACCTGAAGATCTCGGCCGAATTGAATACCTGCTCAGCGACAAAACTGGTACATTAACCCAGAATGAGATGGAAATGAAGAAGATTCACGTTGGTACTGTGTCTTATGCCAACGAGGCAATGGACGAAGTGTCAACGTATGTTAAACAAGGCTTCTACATCCCACCATCCGCAGACTCTGCTGCCCAGAACATGCTTATCACTCCGTCATCCACATACTCTAGCACTACAACTATGGGCACGACACGTACAAGACGAGAGATTGGCACGCGAGTTCGAGATGTAGTTCTGGCACTCGCCCTTTGCCATAATGTTACACCTACTGTTGACATTGAGGATGGCAAAGAGGTTACTGGATATCAAGCATCGTCTCCTGACGAAATCGCCATTGTCAAGTGGACAGAATCAGTCGGTTTGAGACTTGTGTACCGAGATCGCAAGAGTATGGTATTGGAATACACGAACAGCAAGAGACCGGTGGTTCGCGTGCGAATCCTTGACGTTTTCCCTTTTACTTCCGAAGGCAAGCGAATGGGTATCATCGTTCACTTCCACGAAGACGTCAAGGTGAAGAATCCGAGTCTCTCTACTGGCGAAATCTGGTTCTTCCAGAAGGGTGCTGATACAGTCATGAGCTCCATCGTTGCAGCGAATGATTGGCTCGACGAGGAGACCGCCAATATGGCGCGCGAAGGCTTACGTACGCTGGTCGTTGGTCGCAAGAAGCTCTCATACGATCAGTACAAGGAGTTCTCGGCTCGCTATCAAGAAGCCTCGCTTTCGATCAGTGGGCGTGATGCTGGCATGCAGCGGGTGGTCTCACACTACCTGGAACATGATCTGGAACTAATTGGCGTGACTGGTGTCGAGGATAAGCTGCAGAAGGACGTAAAACCTTCTCTGGAGCTTCTCCGCAATGCTGGTATCAAGATTTGGATGTTGACTGGTGACAAGGTCGAGACTGCCAGATGTGTTGCCGTCAGCTCCAAACTGGTGGCTCGCGGTCAGTACATCTATACAGTTTCCAAGCTCAAGAAGAAGGATAACGCCCAAGAACATCTTGACTTTCTCCGGAGCAAGACAGACGCTTGTCTCCTGGTAGATGGCGAAAGTCTGGCTCTCTTTTTGACACACTTCCGTCTTGAGTTTATCTCCATCGCCGTCCAGCTGCCCACCGTTGTTGCTTGCCGTTGTTCGCCAAACCAAAAAGCCGAAGTTGCCAAACTCATCCGCGAGTACACTAAAAAGCGTGTATGCTGTATCGGCGATGGTGGCAACGATGTCTCAATGATCCAAGCCGCTGATGTTGGTGTCGGCATTGTTGGCAAGGAAGGTCGACAGGCTAGTTTGGCGGCAGACTTTTCTATTGAGCAGTTCTGTCATCTGGTCAAGCTATTGGTCTGGCATGGTCGTAACAGTTACAAGCGAAGTGCTAAGCTCGCGCAGTTTGTTATTCACCGTGGTTTGATTATTGCTGTATGTCAGACTATGTACAGTATTGCCATCAAGTTTGAACCTGAGGGTCTATACAAGGTAAGCCGTGGACTTGATTTCTCCGTTCATGACCACTGACGATTGTAGGATTGGCTACTTGTCGGCTATGCTACTGTGTATACTGCAGCCCCTGTGCTGTCACTTGTGTTAGACAAGGACGTGGACGAGAACCTTGCCAACCTCTACCCTGAGCTCTACAAGGAACTCACTTCTGGACGATCTCTATCGTACAGAACTTTCTTCGTTTGGGTCTTTGTATCCATCTACCAAGGCGGCATGATTCAGGGCTTGTCACAGATTCTCACTGAAGTCGACGGGCCCAAGATGGTTGCTGTCAGTTATACCGTTCTAGTGCTCAACGAACTTCTCATGGTGGCCATTGAGATCACTACATGGCATCCCATTATGATCATTAGTATCATCGGCACTTTCCTCTTGTATATCGGCTCCATACCTTTCTTGGGCGGATACTTTGACCTTCGGTTCTTGATAACATGGTAAGTCGCACTTCATTTGTTGAGTCATATTTACTAACATCTGCCCAGGGGATTCGTCTGGCGTGTACTAGCCATTGGTGCTGTATCACTGATCCCACCATACGCGGGCAAGTTGATTAGGAGGACAATGAAGCCTCCGTCGTATAGGAAGGTTCAGAGCCACTAGAGGAACATGTCATGGGTTTGGAGTTTAGTGTTGGCGTTAGGTTATCACGTAGAAGGCGCCATTGTTACATAGTATTGCATGTTTTATTCGTACCCAATAGATGATGTCTACGCCTCTTTATGAGTGCTTTGAACTATAATACATTATATGAGACCATCTTGACAGTGATTTTACATCTTGAGGACTAGCCAATCTCTTGCCAGGAGAGGGTTCTGTTTTTGCAGATAGCCAGCTATACCAGATATCGGACCTTGAGTCTGCTGGCCACCTAACCATATCTTGGGCCCGGCATAGTACTCAATGAAACCGTCGGGGCCAGAGACGATAAACAAGTTTTTCCCGGGGGTGGTGCCTTCAGAAGGCTTGCACACACAACCAGGCCCTTCAGCGAGGGCGAATTCGGAGGCGTGAACATGCATTGCTTGATCGTGGAATCGACAGCCTGCACTAAACGAAGCAACGGTTCCTGGTGATGCTGCAATGGCATTGCTAATATCCCTATCCTGGAAGCGAGTTCCCTCCTCGTCAACAACGACCTGAATCCTTAGACGATCACCATAGGCCATCTTGAGGTCTTGCAAGCGCTTTGTGACGGGGCTAGGGCTCTCGACCTCAGTGCCTAATGTCGTGGGCTTCTTTTCTTGCCAAAACTTCCACGATGATTGCCGAGGAGGAGCACTTTTTTGAACCTCTTCTCTCTTCCTTACAGCCCAGAGAAGGTCAACGCTTGACTTTTCGTTCGCTTCCAAAACAGCCTTCGCTGCTTGTATACCAGGCACTACACCTGTACCGCCGGCAAGGAAGACAAGACGAGAGTGCTCACCCAATCGCTCCGCTAGTTCAAAGCCAACGTGTGGACCACGTAGGAAAACATCTTCTCCAACCTGTCTTCGACCTAGATAGTTGGACATTTCACCATCGCCAACAGTCCGGATATAAAACCGCAGCGAGCCATCTATAGGATCCTCTGTAGACAGTGGAGGCAGGGGCGTATAATGTCGAGAAATTTGCACCTCGGGTTGCTTGAACTCCACAGACCAAAGAGGATACCTCCAGTGCTTATCTGAGGGGTTCAGATATGGTAGAGAAGGGTTTGGTGTGCGTGGGACTGCGGTGATGACGAATGAGGTTGGTGAGATGGCCTCGCGAGCTGTGATGCCGTAGGGAACAAAGGTTATCTCGTTGAGAGTGTTGGGTCGAGACGGCGGCGTGAGAAGATAGTAGCCGCCACTGACAAGAACTATTCCAACGACTATTAGAGAGGGGAAGATTCGTGATTGAAGAGGTGTAGAAAAGTCTGGTTTTTCAGAAGCATGTTGCCGAGGTGGTGATGAAGTTGAGAGGCTCCGTGATGAGATTCTTGGAGGCTGTGTCTTAGCTATTGACAAACGGCTCTGGAATTGACCACATTTTGTGAGAGTTCGTCGGTTCTGGGTGATAGACCGCGATGAACTTGTGATTATCCTCGATGTGGCTCTCATCATATCGGTTGGTGGTGAGGGCATCAGTTTTGATCTCGGAGTTTTTTAGTCGTCTTATTGAGCTTTCATATCCAGAACGAAACCACCTGAGGCCAAAACAGACTAAATAAGGCGGATGTGCTCAGACGTTCGAGTTGGTCCTTGTGGTCCCGTCGTTTTCAGTATCTTCAAGAGTTCCTTGAGCTGATGGTCACCAAAAATTGAAGCTGTAATTACTAGATCAAGGTCACGTGGATCACTTGAATCGCCTTAACATGTACTCATCGTCGTCATAATTGAATACAATTCGCGAATACGTAACGCGTGGTAATGGTTTATATAATGTTTATTTCTATTGGAGAGTTTTTGTTCATATGTCTCGAACTTGGGGTATCTAGCCATCTATCAATACATATATATGTCTCACATCCGCAACATCTTATGCTCAGCATCAATACCTCCTCTAAACATATCCGCAACCACATTTCCCCTCAGAATGGTCTCTTTTACAATACCCTCCACATTCTTTGGATCAACTCTTCCATACCAAATTCCGCATCCAGCCAAAGGATGAGGCTCATCGCCCATCTTCAGGTCTGGAGGCAGATAAATGATAACGTTGCCAGCAAACTTGTGACCTCCGATATGACTGATCAAACCAACTCTAGCTGTAGTCTTGCCTTCACCGGTTTCTCCCTGTATTCTTTGTTTGTCGCCGAGATTAACTTGCACGGGTCCATGCAAGACGTCAAAACCCTCCATTTCCAACTTGTCCTCAAACTCAGTTTGCAGAACAGGCGCCATGATACCGCATCTCGCGTCACGTCCTGTATGTCCACATATCAAGACCAAAACATCGCGAACATCTTGAACGCCTGGTAGTAGTCCCTGGTACCCTTCTTTGCGGGTCAAGCGATCCCGATGTATAGGTGAGAGTCCTTCATGTGCAGGGTGAAGCTTCTTAGGGAGCAGAAACCCCTTAGCCAGTGCTTCTACACTATCAAATGATACCCGCGGTAGAAAAGGGACGTATTTGAAGCTTGGAACCAAATACACGGATGTGGTTTGAACTTCAGGACGTGGTGAAACAGAGCTCGGAAACGACGAGTTGAGAACAGAAATATTATGAAAAGGCTACAAGAATCAGCAAGACAATCCACACATAATAAGAGAAAACCAACATCGCTATAAGTCCCTCCACGTCCAAACAACTCTTTCAGATCCGCAGCGAGGCAATCACCGCCATTATCATCCTCTATTCTCGATGGCCAATCTGCATTTCCTGTACACACTAGTACATGCTCTGCATACCCAGCAATTGCGCCTTTAAGAGGCCCCTCACGGTCCAGAGGGAGATCCTCTGGCATAGCAGGAGTAGCCGCGCACCCGCATGTCGGCTCCGGACATGTTGCGACAGTCTGAAAGGGCGGAGGAGGCGGAGGTCGAGTTTGCCGTGCCTGTTGAGCAAAAGTTCGCCTGGACGTTGATGATAAGCTGAAGAGACAGCGTCTTGTCAAGTTTATTGACGGCCGGAGGGACATGGTAGAATATTAGATATTATGGTCGTGGCTTTTGAACGAGACCTCGCTTTTGTTCTGGTGACACCTCCAATAACCCATATCACGGCCCGGTGTTTTGCGATAGACATATATCATCATTTCCGCCTCGGTCTCCGAGATTCATATAGAATCCCCCACTTCCCGGTCTGCCGGCCCCCCTCCCCACGTGTCGAAGCCGAATCATTAATAGACAATTGCTAATATCAACGAAATCACGAATTAACGACCGTCAAGGAATACAGATGAATACGCCATCTTACGCGATGTATAATGAAACTCGAAACTGAACCGGCTAAACCCTTCAACTCCCATCACCCGTTCCCAAATGCTACATACAATCTATCCAATAATGTAACACCACAATGCAAGCTACAATATGCAATGGATCCTCAACTAACACACGGGTATAGCAAGCCTTGCGGCCGTCAAACCTCTCAAACCCATGCTCACACACCTATACACCAACTATACATGAGTCAATGACTCAGAAGCCAACCATTGTTCCCTTCTCATCACAGTATCCCGGATGCTTAGGTTCCGCAGTGGCCCAACTCATCGCAGTAAGCGTGGTAGCGTACGCCATTGCGATAAATCCAAAGATACAGAGTAGGATGTCGGCCACCTTCCAAAACTTCGTACGGGCAATCGCCTTATAATGAAGCATAGGCTAGAAGAAACAGTCAGTATTGCACATCAAATCTTTCGACATTTTTAACTTACAGGATAGATAAAGACAAGTGGAATGCAGGCAAAGTTACCAACGAGAGCAACAAACTTGTCCAGATGGTCGGCACCGAGCCAAGCAATGGCCGCGCAAAGCATCACCACGAAGAAACGGAAGACGTTCTTCTGCCACTTGACCCAAGGATTATACTTGCCGCTGCGAGTGAAAAGCTCTGTTTCAGCGATACGAATGGCAGGGAAGATCTGCAATGGTGTAGAAAGCAAAATGGCAACAGAGTACAAGAACTGAACTCCGTTGACCATCTTGTTGTCCTGAGGCAAGTTGAGCAAGACAACAGTTTCGGTGTGAGAACCGTAGGCAGCATAAGAGATGGCACCCATGCCAATGAAGAGGACTGTGATGATAATCATAACGATAAGAAGAACCCGAGGAAACTTTTGAGGGTGTCTCATCGACTCCTGAACGGGAATGATGAGACCAATGCCTTCGAAAGTAAAAATCGCAGTTCCAATGAACAAGGTCCAGTCCTTCTTGTTGAACATGATGATGTCGGAGATACCGTTCGCGTTGAGAGTCAGAATATCGTAGTACAGGAGGTAAGCCAGACCAATCAAAATAAAGGCATCCGCGACTAGAGCAGTAAATGCTAGCTTTCCAATATCTCGTAGAAGAGCAAATGGCAGGAAGATGAGCATCTGGATAAGAATGAGCCACTGGATACTGATCGAGGACTTGCAGTCGGAAACAGCCCTGACGAAGGCCTGCAAATTGGCGGCAGTGAATACGGTATAAGCGGCAACGAAACCGATCTGGCTGATGACAATAGAAGCCAAAATGAGGGTACGCATATGCTTCCCGTAAAGTGCACCACCCAAATCACCAAAAGAGCCTCCAACCTTGAGCTGTGTTTGCACGAGAAGCACAAAGCAGTAATAGCTCAGAGCGGCAACGCCAAAGAGAATCAGGTTGCTGAAGAGCATACCTCCGTTGAGATAGGCTCGAGGAAGGAAGAGGACACCAGTACCGACAAAGGACTTAAGAAGCAGCAAGGCCGCGTTCATGGGACTATTGTTTCCAGTGCCACCGCGGACCTTGCGCTTGCGTCTGCGTCTTGAAGGTGTCAACAAGGCACTATCCTCCATAGGCTCCCGCTCGTCGTCGGAGTTGTACTCGTCTGTGTCTTCTCCGGATGAGAAGTACTCGTTCGGTCCTAAGTCTTCGTCATCCTCCTCCAGTTCCTCACCAGCGAAGTGGCCATAAATCGTCAAGAATTCGAGGAAGCTTGAGGTGAACAATCTCTGCTGGCCCGGCGCAGGAGAGGCGTGGCCGTCCTCAGGATGACCGTGAGGGCCAGGGCTTTGGACGTTACGACGGAGATGGTTTCTTCGGAAGCCACCGGGCACCTTTATCGAGTTGATGTCAAGTACCTCCGCCTCGGGCTCAGGCCGTCCCAAATCGAAACTCTTGCTGCGGTTGTACTTTGCTCTCGCTTCTGCCTGTTCGGTCCACTTGTAGATACCTCGAGTCACATCACCTCCCTGCAACTTCAGGCTGGAGAACTCGTCCTCGCCCAGTCCGGCACCGCCGATTTCGGCTGGCTGCTTGCCCTTCGAATTACCTTGAATCGATGACTCTTCTGAGCCTGGATTATCATCCGAGGGTTGGACTAGATGACGCTTGACAATCTCAGGATCTTCGTAAGGTGCACTGGTGCCCAGCGCATTTTGTGACCGTGAATTGAAAGAGCCATAGTTGGTCGGTGTACCCGAATTTCGACCGCCGAGCAGAGGAGACTGTGAGCGAATCGGGGGAGTAGCAACGCGAGCTGCGGGAGTGCCATGTCGCGGAGGAGACTGGCCTAGAGAGTTGGAGAGTGCAGCGGCGAGAGCAGATACACCAGGTCCTTGGGCGCTGGTCCCGCTTCCAGGCAACTGGGTCAAATCCTCGAGATTCTCGGCACGTGGAGCTGCATCAGGTCGTGGCGAACCTCCTCTGGGAGGCGTAGTTCCAAGTTGTGATGGGATGGGAGAAGCAAGACGCGCTGTCAAATCAGCTCGAGGGACCGAAGCGGAAATCGATCGAGGTCGGAAGCTCGAGGGCGAAGCAGACCTAGGAGGCTGTTCAGAGGGGATCCTCGAAGGAGAAGCCATTTTTCAGTCCGATTGAAGGTGTGAGAAGCCTTATCGCATAGTCTGAGCGGTGTTGACAGCAGGTTTTGAGTCGCGAACAGCGGTAATGACGCAGCAGGCAGATGACTGGCGGGATGCCCAGCAACACTGATAAGACAGTCGAAGAACCAAAGAAGTCAACAAAAAGAATGACGACAAAGAATGATGACCAAAATCAGTCTCGGGAACAAAGGTTATATGAATATGTCACGCTTGGTCGGGTGATAGAGTCAATTGAGAGGTATCGGAATTTCTTGTTGGAGTGAAGAGGAAGGGTGAGATAAGGGCTTAGTCAAGCCGTAGCATACAGGCTAAGGCTAAGGCTCCAAGCTGCAAACTGCATATGCCCAGGCTGGTAGTTGCCCTGAACGGTGAAGCTCAGACGCAGGGAAGGCCCAGTCTCTGGGGTCTGGTGACTACTGAGTAAGGGCAGCTGCCGAGCCAAGCTAGGCTAATAGTGGAGGTATTGGTTGAAGACTCCACGCGTTGAAAAGGTCAATACTTAGCAAAAATAATAGTTACAACTGTATGGAGAGGTGCCTTGTACATCATTTACATCAACATACAAATAAAATGGTAAAGTGTTTGAAAACCAAGTCAGCTTATATAAGCTGTGATAAGTGTCTAATCACTCATCCCGAGTCTGAAATGGATATCATATCATGACTTCCATGTCTGCCGTCGAGTATTCTAGGTATGGACTCGTCCAGAGCCAATGGATATAGGCAAGCAAAATGCTTTGAAAGGAAATCCAACCGTTTACCTGCGACCTTATCTCTAAGGTTGTACTGTACCTACCAAATTGGGGTCGTAATGACCGAGTCAGATACCTTGGGATGTTGATGAGTAACGTTTCAGAAGGATTTGTTTACGAGTGTTGATCTCTTATCCCCATATGTTTTATTGCGGCACAACATGCTCATCACTATCACCAATTTCGATACCAGTTGTTCTCTGTTCAGAGTATCTATAGGGGAGCCACGCCTATGAAAACACTGAACCATAACCTTGAATTATGCCAACCCTATTACACGAATCTATTCAATCTTGGCTGTGCGGCCCCACAACGATAATCGATGTACATTACCCGTCACTTGGTGCGATGAAGCGGGCACGTTTATGCTGTCACGCTCAGTGGGGGCGTCACGACCCTTCTGAGTCGAGTCAGATGAATGAGGCGCATGTCGACATGTGAATAGATATTTCTATATCTCACATCAGAGATCTCGATCTCTCGTCTTGGTTTTTGTGTTTTACTAACATCAGGCCTCGTCTTTCTCTCTGGCCATACGACGAACATAGGTAGCATTCAAAACCTCGGCAACAGAAGCACCGACAGAAGCTTGAATTTCAGAGTGGATTTCCTTCGGCATGGCCTACGTCATTTGGTAGCACCTACAGCGCCTATCGCGATACGAAGCTGCACCTTGTGGTTCACTATGAGCTCTAGCATAACAAGTCACGCCAGCTTCCAGGAGCATGAAAACTTGGGACCTTGACCCTAAGTGATAAAAAGACTTTGGTAAGTTATCATAAACTTAGGAGGTTTTTTGAAAAGTTTATTTTGTCACTTAGGATCAAAGTCTCGAGTTTTCTTGCCTCCCCTGGGCCAGCTCTTGCACATGATCCGACTTCCCCACAGACAAGAGTCATAAAGACGGCTATCACTGTGATATCTTGAGCTCTGGAGGGATAGCTCTAAGCAACACTACTGGATTCTACTGGCCTCTAACCGCTGAAATGGAGGTTTTAGCGGGGAATGTCCAGCACCCGTGGACCCTTGAAACCACCTCAAACACCAACATTAGCACCGTGGACCCCTGCTGACCCGTCTAGTTCCTCCAAACTTCCATACCTTTCCTGCTGTAACTACGATGGAGGCCCAAGAATGCCTCCCTTGAGGCTATTGTGGCGTCCTTGATTGGCGATGATCTCTAAACCAACATGGACGTTTTTGCCCGGATTGCCGAATAGCTCCCTTGTATTATCCACTCACCACCACACTAACCACACCCAATGTGCAACACGCGGGAGGCTTCAGCTTGGAATTCTCTTGGCAAGCATAGGATTGACGACCGATTACCCAATTGCTAAGTGGTCCTTGAACAATAGAATACACCATAACATCATTATTTCTCAGGCCTCTCCCCTCTTTCAAAAGCCTCATTCTTCAGTGTTTTGTTCCACCGCGGTTCTTCACCGTCTCATACTTGCTCATGTGGGCCAGTGCTCGCTACTACTGACCCCTCGTCTGGCTGACTGACTGAATGCCCGACTTGCTCTCTGGACTGCACCATGACAACACCTCAACAGTCAGATATCAAGGGAGTAGACAATGGGGGAGAACGACAACGAAATAGCATAACCGGGTCTCATGGCGGACGAGGATCGGTATCAGTCACCATGGAGCCACGGCACAACAAGTTGGGCAGCATCTCGGGTGTCTACATCCCTGTTTTTCTCAATATCATGAGTATTCTCATGTTTTTGCGATTCGGTCAAATTATTGGGAAAATCGGCTTCGTGGGCATCCTCGGTAGGTTTTTCGCATATGAGGCCTTTCATAAATATTAACAAAGACTCCAGGACTTCTAGTTACAGCTTACTCCATTGACTTATTGACAACGCTTTCTCTATCAGCTATCGCATCCAATGGCGAAGTCAAGGGCGGTGGTGCATACTATCTTATCTCACGGTCTCTGGGACCCGAGTTTGGTGGTTCCATCGGAATCCTCTTCTATCTTGCTCAAGTTCTCAATGCAAGCATGAACGTTGTTGGTCTTATTGACTGTGTTAGACTAAATCTCGGTGCGGCTTTCCCCTCAGGTTACTGGACTGGCTATGGCCTCCAAACAGCTGCCCTGTTGCTTTGTACTGGTCTTTGTTTCCTAGGATCTGCAACTTTTTCGAGAGCCTCCAATGCTCTGCTTGCCATCCTGAGCTTGGCCATTGTCAGCATCCCGGTCTCTGCTGTCTTCAAGGCTCCCTTCCATGATAGGGATCTCGGGATTCATTTCACCGGACCTAGTCTTGATACCCTGACCGACAACTTCCTTCCTCACAGCGGCCCCCAATTCAAAGGCCTCGAAACGTTTCGTGATCTGTTTGGCATTCTCTTTCCGTACGATCCTAATGTCAACCTGTGTGTGTATAACAAGCTCGTACTGACAATGAGACAGTGCTACCTCAGGAATCTTCGCAGGTGCATCCATGTCTGGAGACCTAAAAGACCCAAGCAGATCGATCCCTCACGGAACGCTCTGGGCAATGTTGACAACCTTTATCATCTACTTTGTCGTAATTCTTTCACTGGCTGCGAGCACAACTCACTCATCTTTCCTGGCCAACGACAATGTCATCCCTCTCGTCAACCTCTCCCAACCTGTCATCCTCGCTGGTGAATGTGCAGTCACCTTCTTCTCTGCTCTTATGGGCCTGATCGGTGCCTCCAAGCTGTTCCAAGCTTTTGCAAGGGATAAGCTTCTTCCAGGCCTCGGCTTCTTCAGCAAGGGCACGAAACATGGTGACGAACCAATTTACGCTTTGCTTCTGACTTATGTCATTGCACAACTGGCGCTGTTCGCTGATCTCAACCAGATCGCTACCTTTATCTCTATGGGATATCAGATGACTTTCTTCGTCATGAATTTAGCTTGCTTCCTTCTCAAAGTCGGGTCAGCCCCTAACTTCAGGCCAAGCTTCAAGTTCTTCACCTGGCAAACTGCTTTCCTTGCCGGCATCTTGTCAGGCTTTGCTATGTTCTTCATCGATGAGACTTATGCTGCTATTGCTATCACAGTGCTTGTGTTGCTATTCCTCCTCATTCATTACCTCAGCCCTCCTAAGCACTGGGGCGATGTCAGCCAAAACTTGATCTATCATCAAGTAAGGAAGTATTTGCTACGCCTGAGACCAGAACACATCAAATTCTGGAGACCGCATATCATATTACTTATCAACAACCCTCGCAGACAGACCAGGTTGATCCAATTTTGTAACTCACTCAAAAAGGGGTCGCTTTACATTCTTGGCCATGTCATCGTGACCGACGACTTCAACTCAGGGGTTCATGAAGCTCGGCTTCAACAACATGCTTGGACAAAATACATCAATGAGTTCTCCAAGATCAAGGCTTTTGTGCAGCTAACAATGTCCCCCACTATCACTTGGGGCATCCGCAATCTGATACTATCAGCCGGCCTTGGTGGCATGCGTCCCAACATTGCTGTACTTGGATTTTACAACATGGAGGAACTGCGAAAATCAAACCCGAAGCTACGCGTACCTGATGTTCCCGTATCTTTGTCCAGTCAAATGCGACGGCCCCCTAGGTCAAATGGCAAAGCTCCCGAAAGGCCTCGGAGGCGACGGGGTGACACGTCAGCAAGGCTCATGGACGGCATCCTACCAACAGACGTTATTCGTACCGAGAATATGATGTCTCCAAAAGAGTATCTGACTATACTAGAGGACCTTGCGTTGCGATATCGACTTAACATTGCGGTGGGGTGTGGCTTTGAATCACTTGAGACACCAAGAAAGGACGGAACCAACACCAAAAAGTACATCGACCTGTGGCCTATCCAGATGTCGGCCGAGGTTACTTCTGACGGAAAGAGTTTACTGACCACCAACTTTGATACATGTAAGGTGAATCTCTTGTGAAGACGGCACAAGCTAATATTTGTAGACACCCTCATTTTGCAGCTCGGGCATATTCTTCACAGTGTGCAACTCTGGAAGCATGTTTATACCCTTCGGGTCATGTTGTTTGTGGAATACGAGAGTGAGGTCAACGAAGAGCATGCTCGAGTTCTGGCACTTCTTGAGAAATTGAGAATTGACGCAGAGGTCAAAGTATTTTGCTTGGCATCAGGCAGTCTAAATACTTACGATCTCATCGTCAATGGAATAGGTAACGACATCGATTGGGAAATTGTCGTCAACGATACACTCCGCAACGAAGAGTGGTGGGATGATGTTCAGATGTTCCGAGGCCGATCAGACAACATGACTTCTACTCAGGAGCTGGATCAGCTGGAGCACATATATGATACGATATCTGGGAGGCCCGGTTTGTATAACCCTCATGAGGAGATATACGACCGTCGACGTGCTAGCACGACGGATGTTCCCGAATTACCAAGACGGCCGGCTATTCGGATGCTTTCAAAGATGGGGGTTAGTATGGGAATTCACACACACCATCTCCCAGACGGTGCATTAGATGAAACGGATAACGAGGATGACGAGGCAGAAGACTCGCAAGCAGAACTTCTTGATGACGAGGAAATGGGGTACAGTTCTACACTAGACCATGAGTCGATTGAGGAAAGAAACATCGGCCCGAGTGATGCAGCTCGTCAGCCATTGTTGGGGGGTGGAGATTCTCATGATGAGGATGGTAGAGTACGTGGTGACTTTTGGGAAAGCTTTGGCCGAAGGTCCAAGTCTGACACAGTTGGGGACGCGGTCGGGACAAGTACATCGTACGGTACAATGTCATCGTCTGCGACAGTCAAGGGAGTTGGCGTTAGTGTTGGTGGAGTCCAAACATCACAGTCGGCATCAGCATCAGCCTCTCAAGTTGCACCAGAATCGTCAGCAACACAGACGAACGAACGACCACATGGAGGCAGCACAGACTCTGCCCCGGCAGAGTTTCCCCCTCTTGTCTCGCGAGACTCGTTAGGACCTTCGGCAGCCTTCAGTCGTGTGCGCCCCCCAAGCCCTACGCGAGAAGACACTGTACGACCGTATCGCAGCGGCGCGTCAACACCAGGAAGACCCAATCTTTCCAGGCAGTCCTCGGCCGTGAAGTTCTCCAGCCGCCCGGTCCCGGAAACAAAGATCGTGGCCTCGGAAGCAGAGGGGTCCACGATAAGCTTTGCGCCGCCCTCTAGCACCGAATCTGAGACTCCCAAGGCCGGACCGTATCGACCGAGTTATTCGCGGCAATCGTCGCTAGGAAAATTCCCGAATAGATCCCGGCCTAGCGGTCAAGTGTTAGCCGGCGAGGAGAGCAGAAAAGTCAGTTTCGCGGAACAGTCTGACTGCGAGCCATACTCAACGCATCATTCTCGATTCCATTCACGGCGGAATTCTCGAGGATCTACACAAGGAGGGGGCGAATCTTATGACCAAATTCCAGAAATGCTTGAAAGATACAGATTAAGTTCACATCTAGAGGAGGAAGGTCAAAATTCGGGTTACACACCGCAGGGATTGGAGCTCTCTTTCAACGAGCTTCCAAGCAGAGCGCAGCATCTCATTGTGAACGAATTGATGCGTCAGCATTCCAAGGAGACTGCTGTTCTTCTCAGCACGCTGCCAATTCCTTCAGAGGGCACTTGCTTGGATGAAGCTTCTACTATACAGTATCTCTCTGATGTCGAGGTTCTCTGCAATGAGCTGCCACCAACGCTGTTGGTTCTTAGCAACAATATGACAGTAACTGTCAACCTATAGTCGATCGCTTAATCAAACAATGAATCAATTCCAAAGCCGCAATATCTCCATGATTGACAGCTAGCATGGATGACCCATGTAGAGGGCCTAATTGAGGCTACTGAGGGAAATACTACCACACTTGACGACAAAGTCTCTAAAAGATGGCGTAAGCCGAGTCATGACCAACAAAGGATGGCAAAGATTACTAGCCAGGAACAGCCTTGCAAAGACCATGTCAGGCACAGGAACCGAGGAACGGGACAAGACAGTCGGAACTAACAGCTGAACCATTCTGTCGATATAGTTTTCATGAATTCTTGCACGAGGTTTTGAATATCAGGGGCAAGGTTGACTGGAATGGTCTCTGAGGTTGGATATGTCGGGTAGTGGATAGGCGTTTTTTTGGTGGCTTGCGACCATGAATCATGGGCCATGTGGCTGTATGTCACCTCTCAGTCTCAGTCTCTGTCAGTCGTCACTGAGAAAGAATCATGAGAGGGAAATTTATTTTCAGCTTTCATTGTGTGCTTATGTCTTTATGCTCGGGCTCTCTTGCGGCCTATCTCTGTAGAACGGTTGGTGCTCTTGGATTGGAGCACTTTTGGTGTTGCCCAAACTGCATTCTTGGGAGACAAACTCTCTTCTTTGTACCAAGCCGTACCTTTCCCGTCCCTGTGCCGTGTGCCTGACACCACCTTGACGCCTTAAAGTGTCCTATTCAGTTACTGCGGAAGCCAAAAGGTTGAGTTGCCCCCGCACAATGACACTACCTGTTGTCATCGGTACCTCCGAGCCGCCATAGGTAAGAAGAGGCGCATGCTAGAGGTAACTAGACTATCTAACAAGGTTTGCATTTCCTTTACCACGAGAAACTCTATTCCGTCTTCCAAGTTCAGTTCAGTTCAGTTCCGCTCTGTTCCCCAGAGCTCTATACCCACTGAAGATATCCTCCGATGGGGGGCTTGTCTTGTAAGACCCAGGACCCCTCCCGTCTATCACTCACTTACATTCCAGTCAAACAGCCTGACACCACTCAGCTCTGTCAAAAAAGGGGACCCCAAAGACATTTCCTTATAACGGAGGCTGGGGCTGGGATATCCATTCTGCTGAAATCAGGTATTCTGGGAAATTCTCTTTCCTGACCTGTGAGACATCGTGCTCCGAGTCAGGCTACTCTACTCTTCTTCCCCAAGCCCAAACACTTCACGATGCCTTCTTGGACTTCCAGCAACGACGATAAGATGAGCAGCTGGCGGGACCAGCTCTCGCCCCGGAACCTGAGTTTTCGGGGCTTTAGAAGAGCTTCTGAGTCTGTGGCAAAAACAACCTCCTCAACCAGTAAAGATTTCACCATGTTGCACTATCCGGACCGACCTGCCAGGAGGATCACTGAGGCCGATATTCCCAGTGACGAAGAGTGTAGAAAGTCTCTTATTAATATGAGAAAAGCTTCTTTCGTGGAGCAAATACATCGACGACATGAAATTCAACATCAGAAACAATTATCTCCTGTGCGAGAACCAACGCAAGAAGAGCTTCCAGCATTGAGACCGCCTCAACATGAGTTACCTCGAATAGTACAGCCACCAACAGAACAACCTCGAGCAATTCAACCACAGATTAAGCAGCCTCGAATAATACAGGCACCAGCGGAACAACCACGACTAGAGCATCCTCGAGCACAGCAGCCGTTGCGATTAACTTTTGGACCGTTTAATGGACAGTTCCGATCTGCCTTTGGACCACTTACACCCGCTGAAGAGGAGCCATGTCCGTTAGAAAAGCTCGACACCATTGGGTCTACAGCAACAGCAACACCACAAGATTCACTGCAAGTTCCCGAACCTTCTGTGGACATTCGAAAAAGCCTCTTAGTTGTTGATGATTTAAATATTGCAAGAGAACCTTCGCCTTCTGCGGTCATCAGCGAAGCCAAGACCATCAAACTCGAACGAGTAGACAACCACGCTACACCTGGCGTCTCACCAATCTCATCACCACGACCAAGCGATGCTTCGGCTTCAGGATGGCCCAGGCGAAAACAATCAGTTCAAATGGTCGCTATTCGTCGATCATCGCAAGATTCTCAGAAGCGCAAGCAGTCTGCTCATACAGTCGTTGTGCGACGGCCTTCCAAGCCAACGGCAGATGCCCTTAACTCCCATCCCGTTCACGCACCTTCTACACAAGTCCATGTTCGACAAGACAGTGTTTCGGACCCAATGTGTCGGGTGTGTCATAATGGAATCGCTGAGACGTCTGGGACTTGTTCAAGCTGTGAGAATGGCGCCATCACAGCCACGCCGGTCGAAATCAGTCCCAACTTCTCTCGACTTCATCACAAGCCAACTATCAAGAAGTACAACCGTCCACCTCCTCTGATTCCTCAGTCTCTCGACGGTATCGCCAAGCTTCATCGCCCCTCCGCTTCTCTCACCTCTGATCCCGAAGCGAATTCACTGTCACCGCCGGCTTCGCCAACATCGCATTGCAGCAGTCCAGCTGAGACCGTCAAGACAGTGGCGACGGGTCCTTCAGTTCCTCCGACCCCAATGTCAGCCCTCTCGACGCCTGAAGTGTTTAAGCACTTCCAGGAAGAGGTTGAATCAAGGGCCAAGGCAGATGATAGTCCCGCATTCGATGATCCATGGATGATCAAATCCAAGACTCCTGAGGCTGATGTCTATGAAGAAGACTGGGCGGATTATTACTTCGATGAGCAAAACTTCAACGACGACAAAGTCACTAATGGACCGGCGCCTGGTGCGAATTTTGTTCCGAGTCCTGTCAATCCAGGTCCCGGGTGGATATAGAGCCTTATAAGAGATTGCGTGTAAAAGATTGTATCATGCATATATTCAAAATGCCAGGTAGCGGGTTTGTTTTCTATATCCTGGTCAAATAGCGACAAGCGTTCTTTCAATCCAATCATGAGTCTATGCTTCATAACCATCTCTTTCGTCTCTTCGTGACATCTTCTCACATCTAATCCATCTCAACTTTTAAATCTATATTCTAATCTAGAGAATTTTTGTAACGGCCAAGCCGCTTGAATCTCCACCTTCTAATTCTATCAATCCACCAGCTTCAATTCTCTTCTTCCACTTGTTGCTCTCATATCGCGCAAAAATTATTGTCATGCGTAGTGTAACATCGCTGCTCGAGTCATGCTCCTGCAGTGATTCCGCAACAGGTGTGAACGTCCAGCGGCCAAATGCCCAGTTGAGGATATATCGACCGGAGGCGCTTGGCTCTGGTGGGGGGATATCGGGATCGGAGTTTGTGGGCGTTGATGAGAGTGAGACAAGGGCCTTGATGCGGTAGGCTTCGTCTTTGGGGGCGGAGGAGAGGAAGGCGATGAGCTTTGCGGTCGAAACTCGTGCTGAAGGATCGGCTTTCAGGACAACTGACAAAACCTCGACTTCGCTTTGGTGGTCGTGAGAATGGCCGTTTGTTGTGCCGTTGGAGTGGTCGTGGCTGTGGCCGTTGGTCTTTTCAAGATCTGCCCCTGTCAACTCCTTCGCCAAACCACCATCCACACCAAAGATCAAGTCCATCGACACTTTGCCCTTGTCGCTCTTGACCTTGGCAACGTCAACTTCTAGATCGCCAACTCGGTCGAGGCATTCGTCGTATCTCAGCATGCTGACATTTTCCCACTTGTTGAAGACAATGAGATCGGTGTAGCGCGCTTGGATGCGTGCCGTGTAGCTAGTGTCCTCATAACCCTTCCAGTTCTCGACGTCAATGACGCTGATGACACCGTCGAGGATATACTTCCCGGACTCACGCGCAAGGCGGTTGACTTCGAGAGCGAGGGTCGCGGGGAATGCCGAGCCGCTGGTTTCAATAACGATTCGATCGGGTGTGACGGTCTTTTCTAGTTCTTCGAGCGCGGGGCCGAGTTGACCGACGAGGTTACAGCAGATGCAGCCGTTGAGGAGTTCCTGGACACCCGAAATGGCAGAGTTGGCCGCGAGTTGTGAGTCGACTGCGAGATCGCCGAATTCGTTCTTGAGAAGCGCAAGCTTATAGTCTGGGTTCTGGGCGCGAAGTTGAGGGATCAGGTTCAGAATCAGTGTCGTTTTACCTGATCCCAGGAACCCTGTAACGATAGTGATAGGAATTGGCGCCATCTTTGCTGTACTTTCAACAGAATTGAGGTTGAAAATAGCACCTATATAAAAAAGGGACGGCGTCAAGTTTTGTTCCTGATAAAATACCTCTTTAGCGGAACAAACAAAAGTGATATCGTTGGGTGATCATCAGCCCATCCATTCAGAACGGTCCGATAAGATAGACTTTTGAATCGTTATCGGGCCTTATCGGAACGACCCCGCCAGCTGCGACTTGACGTCACTTTATAGAGGGTGACAAGCTGAAAGAATGGACTAACGTAAGGTTTCACAGGGGTGCATTGAGGATTTGCGCCATTGCGTATGCCAATGCCGGGGATAAAGATGGAAGAACAAGGAAATGGGGTAGGGATACACAATATTTACATGCAGCCTTCTCTCGTCTGGATCTTAATCGGAGCATCAACCTTCAACAGGAAACACAATCCGCATAAAACGAAACAAAAATGGCTTCTCAAGAATCAGGCCAGAACAACAACATCCAAGACGAGAGCTTCAAGGAGCAGCTTGACAAGGCTGCGGACAGCACCCGTGAACTGGAGAATCAGAAACCCAATCCTGTTATTGAGAAGAGTATGCTTTGCCAAACACTCTGCGAATGATAAATTACTGACTTCTTGCAGTCACAGAATATGTTCCAGCTGCAGCCAAGATCCTGCCCGCTCGTCAAAGCCCACCCAAGGAGGAAGACAAGCCACCGGGACCACCAGAGCGGCCGCATCACGATGACAAAATCGAAGACTTTGTAAGGGATCAGCACAGAAGTCAGGGTGTTGATGGAATTTTGGGCGATTCTCCCAACGATGAGTGATAGGATTTTTTGCGGCTTTTGGGGATATCGGCGCTGTACAATAGGGCGTTTGCCTACAACGTAATGAATTCATGATTCACGTGTCTAGAAGTCGAATTTGACATGAAGCCGGTGCAGTGCGACTTGTGAAGGTGTCTTGGATATGGACGCTAGCTTGGTCGCTAGGAACACGATCCAATAACGGTCTTGAGCCTCATCAGCTTAATCCTTACGACAAGGCAAAGCTCGCTTAGGTATTGGTCTGCAGGAACGAAGTCGAGACGCAGGCTGAAGAGCCGCATCTCGAAACAAGGTCTCGCATCCATAGCAGCGCGAAGTTCACGACGCGAAATTTTACAGCTGAGATCTCTCAGTCAAACACCTAATGAGCAACACGAGTTTACGCGACACCACACTGATTAGTATCAGCAGCGCGAAATTTACTAAAAATCCTTTTCAGGATGATGAAATGTCCCCCCTTCTTGGCATTACACCGCCTACAGACATCGTTGCGAAACAACGACCTGACGGAGAATTTCCTATATCCAAGGGTTATAATCTACTGAGCGTTTCCCGCAATGGGAAAGGCAACGCGACACCGTGGGAGGTGACCCAGAGGTCAGGTGAAGGTCGTGGCGGCTCAGAAAACATTAAAAAATGCTTTTTGATCTAAGGAGCAAAAGTAAAAGAGATCGGGAAAAGTGCGAGTTTATATACCCCAAGAATTTCTGAGTGGGGCTGCCGTTTAGGTTAGTCAGCAGAGATTCTTCAAAGATGGTTGGGTATGGGTCATTTACCCTATAATTCAGATGAAGTCCAGCTGGATTAGGCTCTGTATGGAAGGGGGCGGAGTTGTTGTCATGATCGCGATACCTTCATATTAGATTATGTACTTATAAGAGATTTCAAGGATCTCCTTGGAATTTAATACTACCCTGCTTATTAAGGAACCGGTATAACAAGGAAACCAAAAGTAAGAGCAGCAACCTCCTATTTCCCATACAATCGCGATACAAGGAAGCCCAACGTACCCCAATATACCCCATAGAAAACAATGACCGTACGTTTTTAGCCTCGACTGATCTGAGGAGGAACCTGAAGCTTAATTAAGCACCTCTACCACTATCAGAAGGTCCATGCAGGACCTCGCTGTACTCGATCATAACCTCGAAAGCGAGATGGAACGATGTACGAAACCCATGGACTGGGGTAATCTGGATGCTGGTTCCAAATGGAATGATAACCAGAATAATGTGTCATTCGTTGGGGCAGTTTATGTCCTTGTTCGATATCTGTTAGAACAGATCAGTTTCGCGTTAGAAACAACATGACAATCACATTGTCCACATACCTCGAGTGTCCTTGTGGTGGTCCTTCTTCTGTCCCTTACACATATGATAGAACGCTAGGACACAACTTGGGAGGTTGATGATAGTCCCCACGATAGAGATGATAGCTTCTGCAGACAAAGCCATGTTTGGGATTATGTGTTTCTTAGACTGTATTTATGCTTCATAAGGGCTTGGGCTTTTGTGAGATGAAATGAAGTGGAAGATCCTGACTCTTTAAAATATGGTGACTGAAAACATATATTATTAAAGGAAAAGACTCCCATAACAACACTGGATTACAATAATGCTTAAGGTTATCGCCAGTAAGACCGAATCAAAATGTCAAGGTTCTAGCGTAACGTTGGAGGCATCGCATGCAATGTAATCTAGTCTTCAACTCAAGAAACTAGATCAGGTGGCTGATGGAAGAAGTTCTATCGAAAGAGTCGATCATGCCTTCTTGGGCCCATTCCATCACAGCACAGTGAAGTTTGACGCCTCCCACAAGAGAATATGAAGATGATCAGCAAGGGGTGCAATGCAAGTGCACAGGAGTGAGCTCGTAGGATCTGTATGATGGTCCCGATATGTTAGTCTAGCATTTCCATAATCGGAAAGCAACAAATCGTGGACCATGCATTTTGGACCAAAAAAGGAATCCGAAAAGGCTGAAGTTTGGTGCCACTAGGTAGGCGTAGTTCAAACGGCTCCGCATTCCAGTCGACAGGCGGCTCAACAGGATAGAGGATGTTCAGCCCAAACTCCATCAGTCAGTTCTTGCCCAATAGGGACAGAATCGCATCCCTTTGGTGGCGGTTAGAGGTATGCATATGCCAGGGACCAGGGCTGGTGCGTGTGTCCCGTCACTCGTCACTTCACCCCCGTAGAACGACGGAAACTAGACTGTAATCTCAATCAAGCTTTCTGAGGCCAAGAGACTCTTTCCTGGGTCTGAGACAGAAGCAGGTTAAAGCGCTGTACCAGATAGGTCGTCATTATACTGATCCTTTTCGAACAGACGTCACATTAGTATTGCTGATTTTCGTTCACAACCGATGCCGATCTCTCATACCAGCCAACCTCCTTGGTCAGTTATTTGATGAGACTGAAACTCAAGGCTTATACTTTCCACGAGGCTCTAGTCTTAGTAGATTATAGTGGTCATAGGTCTAGTTAATTATGATAAAAGCTGTATAAAGTATGGTGCTATAGAGTATTAGATTGTAGTATTTTATGCTAAATTTTTATCTATATAAATCATTCTAATTAAATATCTAGGCTAATTATTAATACTAAAAGCACTAAATACTGCTTATGTACCTATTAAATTTATTTTATTTTATGCAAATAAATATCACGTTAGTATTGCTGATTTTTATTTATAACTAATGCCAATCTCTTATACCAGTTAACCTCCTTAGTTAGTTATTTAATAAGACTAAAACTTAAGTTTTATACTTTTTATAATATTTTAATCTTAGTAAATTATAATAGTTATAAATCTAATTAATTATAATAAAAGCTATATAAAGTATAATACTATAGAGTACTAGATAGTAGTATTCTATGCTAAACTTTAATTTATAAATTATTCTAACTAAGTATCTAGGCTAATTATTGATACTAAAAGCACTGAATACTGCTTACATACCTACTAAATTTATTCCATTTTGTAGAACTTCGCATTTGATTGACTTGACACTGTCGAGTGTCAAGGAAGAAAGATCTCAACCATGAACTTGATGTACCACAAAGGGCTTGCCTTGCTCGTACCTTGCAAGTCAAGCGGAATAAACTGTATGATTGAATTTAATATTGTATGTAAGGGAAAATGTTGTTTCTTGGCTTTATTGATGGTTTGCTTGAGCACAACATTGATCTGACAGATGATGATAGCACACCAGATGGAGACGCGAACCGAGTAATTGAGGGCATAAGTTTATGAATAACATTAAAGTCTGGTACCGAGATCCCTTTGCGGACGGAGACTCCAACTGGCTCCTTTGAGTTGAAACCCTAGTGTCACTGAGCTCGTAATGAAGATGTGTATATTCTTATTATTGTCACGGTAAATAGTTCTAGTCGGAGAACTTGTCAAAAGATCTTGAAGAGGATCAATATCTCTTACAGAGTGGGATCCAACCCGTTCATTTATACAAAAGCACAAACTGATTGAATCACTTAAATAGTCCGACGTCATTGTCCAATGTGGAAGTATTTAACACGGCATACCAACAAGTCAATCCGCCAGAGGTCAGGTTGGTCATCTTGTCGATATGCTCATACGGACTTGTCTTTACCTGACAATTTCACCTTCCAAAAAGGATCGTTAAGCAGCGAGGTGACGCCATCCTTCGAAAGCGCACATCTTGATGCTTCTCGTTCTTTGTGTTTTCGAGAGAACAAACCTGCACTCCAAAAGGCAAGCCAATCCGTTCTATAAGAAGGGCATAGACGAACATACTTTGCCATGAAGTCGTGAGTAGTATTTAACTGTTCATATCTAGAAGATAAGATTGAAAAATGACTATGGCTTCCTAAGCCCCTTGCCCATAAGCTCTTTTCCGACTTCGGTGATAAGCTTTTCATTAGGGAATTTGGACTTTTTGCCAAGGATGTTGTCTCCTGCACCAACTGTCTGAAGAAGATCTGGGAGATCGCCATCAAGTGGTGTACCATAAACCAAGTGACCCAAAGCGAGAAGCATTCCATGCAACGCCTCTGCTGACTTTTCTTCCAAGGCAATAGCCTCGACTACTGACGCAGCAAGCTCGATCTCGTCATCTCCTGAAAGCGTAAGTTTTGACTCCTGTCTTGCCCGGCGATTTGCCACTGACAAGTTGAAGAGGAGGGAAGAACCAGCAACTCGCACGTTGTTATGGCTCTCGTCAAGGAAACTAGAAGAGACGAGAAGAATGACCGCAGCACGTAACGAGTTGTCTCGCATGATTTCGTCAGAAAATAGGGGCGTCGAGAAGAAGTTGCAGGCCATCTGGAGCGTGACCAGGCGAAGAGCATAAGGGCATCCTGATTGCTGATTGACAAAGTCCAGCACAGTCCGGACTGTCTCATGGTTCTTTTCTTCAGCAAAGTATCCACTGACTCTAGGATCCGAAAGAGCGCATCTGAACAAGTCAACGATAGTGAAAAGAATATCAATGGGGAGTGCTGTGACTGAATCCCTGACAAGGCTCGACAGGTGGTTCATCTCGGGAATGACTGCACTTGAAGGACCATCCTTTGCCCGATCCTCAAGGTATTTCTTGAGAGCCTGTACCTCTGGCTTCCTGGCAACTTCGTCACCCATCTTAACCAGAAGTTTATCCAGCGGAGGGACCTTTGCATAGAGAACAGGCTTTGCATTGGGATTTGCAAAGGTCGGTAGCCGGAGTCTCTCATGAGGATGAACAGGATGTGCCATTTGCACTAGAAGCTGGACATTTCCTCGAAGAGCAGCTGGATCAGCCCCTGACCACCTATTTTCCTCATCACCACGCAGAAATGTCACGATGGTTGGTGTCGCTCTGATGGAATATCGGCTTCCAATTTCGTGGGCTTGGGGCTGTGCAATGTCGACCTTGATCAGTGTGGCTTTCTCCCCAACTTCTTCCGCAAGTTCGTCATAAATTGGGTAGAGGACCTTGCAAGGTGGGCATGTCGCTGAGGTAAAGAAGACGACCGCACATGAATTCTTTGCCCCGTTCATCAAACGATCGAACTCGGCAGAATTGGAAACAATCTTGACGCCATGTTTTGGAGCACTTGGCGTCTGAGCGCTCTGCTGAAGTCCGAGGATAGAGCCATTCTGTCTCCCGGCATTGATCCCTTGAGTAAGCTGAGGAAGAAGCATACGGCCCATGGGCGAGTCGAGAACAGCCTGTGGCATTTTGACAATGTGCTCCGGAATACCCTTTCCTAATAGAAAGTTTGCGAACGAATCGCTGAAATTATTACAGTTGTGATGAAAGAGGTCATAGGCCTGTGGATCGTTAGACAAGTAAGCAAAACATGTAGCAAGGGCATTACCTCTAGTGTAAAGATCGGCCGTAGAGAGTCAAGAAACTCTTCTATTACATCCATCGGCAGATTCGTTGTGCCGAGATGGATCTTCTCCAAGGGCTGTCCAAGGTGTGACGAGCCTGGTCTGATTGCGATAATGCCTCCATCATAGACATACTCTTTGCCGTTGAGTTCTATAGAGGTGTGATAGATGGCATCGAGCTGGAAGCCCAGAAGACCCATGGACATTTGACGGGCCATGCCTCGTGAGAGGTCATAGACAAAGAGTTGGACGTCCATCTTTTGTCTCTTGGGGGTGAGAGGAATGTGGTTTTCTTGGCTGATAAGGATCGCAGAGATTTATTCACGAGAGGTATTTATGGCTTTATGAAGGTTTGATCAGAGCCTTGGGAGCGAAGGTTGTGGTTATTGGGTTGAACAGGTCGAGTTTGAGGATTCTGAGAATTGAAGTGCAAGTATGAAAGTACTATAGGCAGGCAACATTGCGTCGACTTCACTTGAGACTGGAACATTCGAAAGGCGCTGACGGAGAGAGTCTACCTAGAAAAGAGGCGCAGTTGAGTCTATGTTCTAGAGTCATGGCATAACCGGAAAATAACAGATCGAGCCAGGGCACTTTGAACGAGTATTGAATACCTAGTTATAACTATCTTCTCGGCACTTTTCAATAATACTGTTCGAACTTGATGACATCAAAAGTCGCATATTGACCATTGGTGGGGCATCTAAAATTAGCGTTTCGTTCTCTTCCCTGGGATTTCAGGGGCTTTTCGCATGTCTCCCCTAAAAATTGATACTCCAAGGTTCCAAGCCCCTGACAGATGCGCCAGCTGGACGGGCACTATCGCTATGGCCGTGGAGGTGCGTGTGGAACCTCGATTTTTAAGCATGCAGATTGGCTGTATCACGCAAACCAAACCATTTCCGTCTCTCACGAAAACTATCTTTGCCCCCCCTTTCTCACTGTATCCGTGTTATCGGTCTGCAACTGAAAGAGAGAGCCAGCTTGTCAACAGCCAACAACCAAAATCTCATCTCGTCCGTCCCATCCCTTTTAATTTATTCCTTTTTTTTTTTCGCCACGCTCCAATCCCATTCTTCCTCCCAATCCAACCCTCGTTTCGAAGTGAACCACTCCCTCCCTCCCTAGAATTATCCGATGGTCGACCGAGTCCAGTCCCTTCTTTAAATAGACAGCCCCGACACCACAATCTTATCTCCCCTTCTCTTGAGACCCGCGCTCATGAGAACACCCACATCGCCGCCCTCATCAAAGTTCCCCGTCTTCGACCCTCACGAGAAACCAGACCGATACAAGTTTAAGCCCAAGAGGCAAGGCATTATTGGCAGGATGAAGGAGTCTTGGATGACACAGTCCCAGCGGACGAGGTGGATTAAGACTGCCGCCATCGTTTTTGCGATTGTTACCCTCTTCTACTTTATCTCCCCCAAGGGTGTTGAAGTGTATCACGAAGGTACGCCTAGTGGAGGTAGTAGCAGCAGTCGATCGAGAGTCCGAATGGCATTGTGCTAACAAGAAGCAGTCACTCATCCTGCGCAGGGCAACAATGGCCAGTCCCCCTCAGATTCTTCCTACGGTACCGAACGATGCACAAAGTCTTACTCCAAGGACAAGCCTATTGTCCAGTACGTTCTCATGATCGATGCCGGCAGCACTGGTTCGCGAATCCACGTCTACAAGTTCAACAACTGTGGCGATACCCCTGAGCTTGAGCACGAGGAGTTCAAGATGACCGAGAAGGATGTCGGTGGCCTCAGCAAGTATAACGGCGACCCTGTGGCCGCTGCCAAGAGTCTCGATCCCCTCATGAAGGTCGCTATGGATACCGTTCCCAACGCCCTCAAGGGCTGCACTCCCGTCGCCGTCAAGGCCACCGCTGGTCTTCGAATGATTGGCAAGGAAGCTTCCGATGCTATTCTTGCTGAAGTCCGACGACACCTCGAGCAGGATTACCCCTTCCCTGTCGTCGACAAGGAGAACGAGGGTGTCGTTATCATGGACGGTTCTCTCGAAGGTGTTTATGCTTGGATCACCACCAACTACCTTCTCGGCAAGATTGGCGGTCCCGATAAGAGCGAGACTGCCGCTGTTTTTGATCTTGGTGGTGGTTCTACTCAGATCGTTTTCGAGCCCACTTTCAAGGGCGCCGCTCACGGTGGAATGCCCGAGAAGCTTGCTGAGGGTGACCACAAGTATGATCTCGACTTCGGCGGTCGTCACTTCGAGCTCTACCAGCACTCTCACTTGGGCTATGGTCTTATGGCTGCCCGCAAGGCCATCCATGGCGCTCTCATCAAGGATATCGAGTCTAAGAACACCGACAAGGCCTGGGTAAAGCAACCCATTGTTAACCCCTGCATTGCCCCCGGCATGAACAAGACTGTTGAGGTTACTCTTGATGGCAGCGAGGAGCCTGTTGAAGTTACCTTTGTTGGTCCCTCGCAGCCTGCTCCCGCTCAGTGCCGAAACCTTGCTGAGAAGATTCTCAACAAGGATGAGGAGTGCAAGCTCGCTCCCTGCTCTTTCAACGGCATTCACCAGCCCCTGCTTTCCAAGACCTTCACCAAGGAGGATGTCTACATCTTCTCCTACTTCTTCGACCGCACCAAGCCCCTCGGTATGCCCGACTCCTTCACTCTTCGTGAGATGCACGATCTTACCCAGACTGTCTGCATGGGCAAGTCTGGTTGGGATGTTTTCACAACCATCCCTGATGCTATGGCTGAGTTGGATGGCCGACCTGAGTGGTGCCTGGACCTCAATTTCATGATGGCTCTCCTCCACAGTGGTTACGATATGCCCATTGACCGCGAGGTCAAGATTGCCAAGAAGATCAAGGGCAACGAGCTCGGCTGGTGCCTCGGCGCTAGGTAAGTTTCTACGATTTCGTCTTTTTTTGTCCCTTACTAATAATATCTCAGTTTGCCTCTTCTTGCTGGTGGTTCCGGCTGGTCTTGCAAGGTCAACCAGATTGCTTAAGTTATACCATAGGATATTAGGCGTTGAAAGGAGATGTATGTTGGCTTTTGCTTTTACTACTAGGCCGATTCTTTTGGGACGGCAATGACATTGGGATATGGCAAAATCACGCTACGGACCATCGGCATCATGAACAAAAGATGGACGAGATTGTAAGCCATGAGTGGCTTCATGGGGGAACTGGAGTCCTCGACTTGTCATGACGTGTAGAATATTATAGAATTAATTAATACAAGGTACCCGCCTTAGACCGGCGCGGTCACCATGCCCAAGACATCTTCAATCACATCCTCGGGACCGACATCTTCTAACAGGGCTTCTACTGCTTCCAGTCTACTCCCCCATTGCATGCTCCTCTCCTTTTCAGGGGGAGTCAGCTGTATTCGGTGTAAGTACACCTTGCGGGCAGCGAGGCCAACCAGAGCTGGTGTCACAAAGTCTAGACAATGCAGAGCAGCCAAACAACGCATGAGTTGACCAAAGTGCTTTGTGGCTGTGGGACTGATACCCCCAGCAACAGCTCGGTGCATTCGAAGAAATGAGACGATGTTCATCTGGTAGCGGATGATTTCGACATCTACTTGCGCCTCTTTACTGAGTGTACCAAGATAACTGATATCCTATGATAGAGTCAACGACTGGAAAGAAATTGAACCAGGGCAACCTACGCTTTCGACGATCTGGGGTGGGTCTGAGCTGGTTTCATCACCAGGACCCCTTTTCACAACACTGCCCGTGGAGGCAGTATCGGCATCATTGCCGCCATCTGCCTCCTCCAAGTTGACGAATCCATCTTCGGGATTATGCCAATAGGCTATGTATAAGAAATCATTCAAGTGCGCCGTCACGCGAGCTTCGCCTCCACTCACTGCCTCTAGGACCGGAATAAAGACGAATTGTTTCGGAGCTGTTTGAACAGATGTTCGTGTAAAGATACGACGGGTACGTAGAAGCTCCAGCGCTTGGATCTGTACAGCTTGTGGTGCTCGATCGAGATTCTTTGCAAAAACAACGTTGGCAATTCGAGAGGTAAACGCACCACTGGGCGTTAGAGGACTGAGGGGCGTGCGCGGATGCGACGTTGATGGCCTCGAGGTAAAGTATGAGTCGGGGTGGCGCGATGCTGTCGGAGAGTGACTAGATGGAGAAGCCGCATTGCCTAGAAGAAGAGCAGAAGCGAAGTCTTCGAGCGTCGTGGAGGGAGTGCAATCGATCACGACCCAACTGAGGCCAAATGTCTTTGTAGCTACGAGCTGTAGCTCCTGAATCAAGTCGTCGATAGCATCGGATGGTGTGCTGACAAGACAGTGTTCGCGACTAATTAGACAAAGGAGTAAGGCCAGCTCGAGATCACTCAGAGCGTGGACCTTGTCGAGAAGGCCATCATCCGCCATAATTCAGCCGTCTCAGCCTCGTTGGCACGTCCATGAGGCTTTGCGTACCTGATAATGAAGGTTGACCCCTACTAGAACGTTCTTGTGAAAGCTAGTCTTCGGGAGCTTAATGTCGCATGATAGAGGTGCATATGATGTCACGTGGAGTTGCACAAACCCAAGACCGCCAGCGGCTTACGACCCCCCACTTTCCTGACTTATGCATACCGCTAAGCTAAACCCGGACTAGTCTGTAGAATCACCTCGAGCGACGGGCAAGGCTGCGACATTGGTACCTCCGCCCACTGTCATCTGCCGCTGCCATCTCCAAAACACCAACCTTTTACGAACCCGATTCTTGACGGTCGAATTTAAGTTCCAGATCGATCACAGCAGCAGCAGTCTTGCTTCACGTCGAAGACAGCCCGCGAACCGAAGAATAGAGGAATCGAGGCTATAAAGTCGACGGCGCTTCGATCATTGCGTCTGGAACGCTCGAGATAACGTCATTGAGCAACACTTCTCGTCCAGAAACAATATTTCACCATGTCTTCACGAAAGAAGGTCCTTCTCAAGGTGCGAGATGATGGAAGCCACGCCAGAATTTGTCCGGAACCCAAGTATTGATACGATTGTGAAAATAGGTTATCATCCTGGGCGATAGCGGTGTTGGCAAGACCAGCTTGATGAACCAATATGTACGCATTTTCAACCAATGTCGATGAAAATTGCAAAAAGACTGATGGCGATCTTGTGATTACAGGTCAACAAGAAGTTTAGCGCGAGCTACAAGGCCACTATCGGCGCCGACTTCCTAACTCGAGAGGTCCTCGTTGACGATCGACAAGTTACCATGCAGGTAGGACAGGGACACAAGATCGCACCTTGAGGATAGTAGACTGACTTTTTTGGGATAGCTCTGGGATACGGCCGGTCAAGAACGTTTTCAATCCCTCGGTGTGGCGTTCTACCGAGGTGCCGATTGCTGCGTTTTGGTCTACGACGTAAACAATGCCAAGAGTTTCGAGGCACTGGACAGCTGGAGAGATGAATTCCTTATCCAGGCTTCTCCCCGGGACCCTCCAAACTTCCCATTCGTTAGTGGCCCTAAGCTTGAAAGAAGGAAGCGTACTGATGCAGAAATCAGGTCGTGCTTGGAAACAAGATTGATGTTGAGGAGAGCAAGCGAGTGGTAAGTAAGCAGAAAGGAATGGTGATCACGATCTAACATTATCAAGATTTCCAACAAGCGCGCCATGACATTCTGTCAGTCCAAGGGCGATATTCCCTACTTTGAGACAAGTGCCAAGGAAGCCATTAACATCGACCAGGCTTTTGAGGGTAAGACTCTATGCTCTGTCACCTTGATAAAGCTAATAATTCGCAGTGATTGCTCGCAACGCTCTCGCCCAAGAAGAGTCTGAGGAATTCAGCGGCGACTTTGATGACCCGATCAACATCCACATCGAGAATGACCGTGATGGCTGCGCTTGTTAAAGGATGACATGGGCAGATGTTGATTGGATGTGGGGAGGTTTGTGATTGTGTTGAGTGAAGAGGAGGGTAGCTATCCTCGGTGGTGGATCATTGACGTTGCCTGAATGTATCATAAAGAGGCAGCTGGGTTTAGTTCTTTTTCTTATTTCTCCTTGGTGTTTATACATGGATGCGACTTGTTCTGTCTTTGAAATTGCTTCAGCATCTTGAGTGTGATATGATGGTGATATGAGATGTGTTTGAGTGTTAATGTGTCAGCTGCTAGAGTCTCGAGGCAATGCCTAGGCTTTACTTGAAGATGCATCTAATCAGGCCATTATTAGATCAAAAATCGAGCCATTATCAATATCGTACATCAATCAAGTCGCCTATAACCGGGGAAGCTTGAGTCAGCTAGCAGAGCTCCTCGGCTTAGACCCACAGCTGCCCGAGGCTGTGGAGGCTTCCAATGATAGCAGTTGTACCCCGGATTTCAAAAGTATCCACTTGGAGAAGTGCGAGCTGTGAGTGGCCAAGATGTACAGTCAGCAGCCGCGAACCTCGGCTCCGTTGCTGGACATTCGACGATGTGCGGAGAAGTTGGAGCTTGAGACAAACCTGGGGTAGAATTATTTGCAGTAACTTGTACTTTATTTCTTCATATCTTGACCTGATTCCTCTCTTCTTTCTTATATCATCTCGTTGTCTAACACTGTTGTTGTGATATATCATCCATTTGGCTTGTGATACTACACTCCCTTATCATCCACCATACCACAGTCTTTCCTAAGTCGACTATAGACAATTACGATGTCGGCGAGAATCCCTCTCATTGTGAGAAACTCCATCCCTAACTTCGGTTAACAGCATAGTGACACTAACAATGATAATGCAGGCTGCCAATCGCGTCAGCGATGCTGCCAAGAAGCAGCTTGACCTTGTCGCCAAGTTCGTCGAGGAAGAATGTATCCCGTGAGTTGCCCCTTTCACACAGCGCAACTGCATCTCTAACTCATATCAGTGCCGACCCTGTTGTAGAGGCTCAAGCCGGAGAGGGTGATGCTCGTTGGGAAGGTCACCCTTCCGTCATCGAGGATCTGAAGGCCAAGGCCCGAAAGCTCGGTCTCTGGAACATGTTCCTTCCCAAGGGCCACTACAAGGAGTCTCCTGGCTGGACCAACCTCGAGTATGGACTCATGGCTGAGTGGCTCGGTCGCTCACACGTTGCTTCCGAGGCATGCAACTGCTCAGCTCCTGACACAGGCAACATGGAAGTGTTGGCCAAGTATGGTAACGATGCTCAAAAGGAGCAGTGGTTGAGGCCTCTGATGGATGGCAAGATCCGTTCTGCTTTCCTCATGACAGAGCCTCAAATTGCTTCGTCTGACGCTACAAACATTGAGTTGGATATCCGTCGCGAGGGTAACGAGTACGTTCTCAATGGCCAGAAGTGGTGGTCCAGCGGTGCTGGTGACCCACGATGCAAGATTTACATCGTTATGGGTAAGACAGATGCCAACAACAAGGACCCTTATCGTCAACAGTCGGTCGTTCTGGTACCCGCCGGGACACCTGGTATTACCATCGACCGCATGCTTAAGGTCTACGGATTCGACGACGCTCCTCACGGCCATGGACACATCACCTTCAAGAACGTCAGAGTTCCTGTCTCTAACCTCGTCCTCGGCGAGGGACGAGGATTTGAGATTATTCAGGGTCGCCTTGGACCTGGCCGTATTCACCATGCTATGCGCAGCATTGGAGCTGTAAGTTTGCCATGATATTCCTTAGTCTGAACCAACATTTAACAATATTTAGGCTGAGCGTGCTCTTGACTGGATGCTCCTCCGTGTCAACGATGAGTCTAAGAAGCCATTTGGCAAGCTTCTCCGCGAACACGGTGTCATCCTCGAATGGATTGCCAAGTCCCGTATTGAAATCGACGCGGCACGCCTGATCGTTCTCAATGCCGCCATCAAGATGGACGACCTAGGTCCCAAGAAGGCCCTCAAGGAGATCGCAGAAGCCAAGGTCCTCATTCCCCAAACCGCTCTCAATGTCATCGACCGTGCGGTTCAGGCCTACGGAGGCGCTGGTGTCTCCCAGGATACACCCTTGGCATACATGTGGGCAGGTATCCGAACGCTGCGCCTTGCCGACGGACCTGATGAGGTGCATCTGCAGCAGCTGGGACGCAATGAGAACAAGCGCAGTGCTGAGGCGACAGCGACAATTCAGAGACAGAGGGCTAAGACTGAGGAGTTGTTGAAGCAATACGGTGTTGAGAGGTCCCAGCCTGGTGCTAGAATAAAGCACAATGCTAAGCTGTAGGTTTTGGTTGTCACAGCGAAGAGTGGCGTGGTAGCATGTTGGTTGTTTGTTTGATACTGGCCAAAGGGCGGCCGCATAACTAGTTGAATATCCGAATTATTATATTATTAAACATGCTAGATATCTTACACGCCATTTGTTGAATTCGGTATAGCTATTCCGCAATTGCTTGTAGAAGGTGAACTTTTGATATGGACATCCAGTCTGTTTACTTGCCATTGGTGTCTGAAACAGGGAACCTAGAGCTTCTTAGGGCAATTGTTGGCATTGATTCCATCCATGGCATCCAGTATTAACGGCATAATTCGCACAGTTCCCGAGAATCCTCCGTCGACAGTGATACTTGATTATGTTTGTAGTCTCAAGTGTGATATGCCATATTGCACTTCCATTATACCTAGAACAACTGGGTATAGCTAACGAGTTGTTTTAAAGGTCCCAGTGCCCTTGAGTTTTCATTGGGTGTCGTAGAACTATCAATGCAATGTCTCTTTTCTTAATGAGTCAACATCTAATCCCTGAGAGTTTTTTCCATATACATGTAAGTCATGCCATTCCATTACCCCAGTGATGGTGCGTTGTTCACGACAAGCAAGCGTAAAACACAGGCCTCAGCGTGCCATTTCTCACAGTGGAGTCCCCTGTAACCGACCATTCCAGGCCTCTATCGCCCGCTAAAACACGGAAATAATCAACGTCATCGGGTCCCTGCTGCCCAAAATCCTTGCATTTTTCTTTAATTGCCCGTTGCCCAGTTAACAGAGGGCACCGTTTACTTTGCCTGCTAATTTTCTCCTACTTGTGCATGGACTGTACCAATTTCATACAAGGGCACTCTATTTTTTTCATTAAAGAAACCCAAGATCCATCTCAACTGTTTTCCTTCATACACAAACAAAGAACGTTATCGTAAATCAACTTCTACTCTCTCTACACTCGAGTATTACTCTCTCAGACGAACGCCTCTACTTCACAACTTCTCACAACACTTTCATCATGTCAGCCAAGGTTCTCGCCGATAAGGACGTCAACGCTCCCATGATTGAGCAGCCAGTTACCAAAGACGTTAAGAGCATGGAGTATCATCGCCAGGTTCTCCAGTCCAAGATGGCTGAGGAAGAGACGTGAGTGATTCTGAACTGCCTCTACTCAATGTGAAAGTCTAACCTTGAAGCAGTGCCAACAAGTACGTCTCGCCTTCAGACAACATCATGAGCCCTTGCTCTGCAAAGATCAATGCTCTACGAAACAAGCACGCCAGCAAGTTCGTCATTCTTTCTCCTCTCTGACAATAACAATGAACTAACATCTTCTTCAGGGCTAAGCCTAAGTCCTTGTTCGCCCAAGCGAGCGCTAAGAAACTCCAGGGCGACAATCCCTTGGGGGCAAAGCCAGCACCAGCCAAGGCCGGTTTCCAGTTGTAAGAGAATCAACAATATGTCTCTTCTTTCCGGATAAAACATGTCCACATTTCATGGATACGGCTTTTGCTTTTGCTGGCTATTGACTACTAGCCAATGGTGTTTATTAAACCGCTGGAGGTCAGGTTAAGGGCGTTAGGGGTTCACTTGACGTACACATACACACATTGTATTGGTGATACAGGTTACGGAAACTTTGGCTTGATGATATGACGCGATGACAGGGTTTGGCTTGCCTTTCTTTTCTGGTGGCCGGTTTATGTACGGATTTTAACAATGAAGCTTGTCTTTGAATTCTAAACTTGAACGAATGAAACCGAGTGTAGTAATGATTTTTTGTTTTGGCTTCACGAGGCTTGCACATATATCTAAGCCTTCCAAGCACTGACGATATACACTACATCTTCATCCGCCACAGGGTGTGCCAGACCAACTCTTTGAGGAACATGTCTTGCGCTAGCACCCCATACCAGCGCATACTTGAACGTGTCCTTCAGAGTCCTGTGAATGCGGTCACAGACATCCTCGATTGTGCTGTTACTGCGCACAATCAACGCCTCACCAAAGTCTGGTTCAGCACCCTTGCGTTTGGTGTAAATACGGATCAGCTTGAGCTCTTTCCAACATCTGTCCACAACATCCTGGATACCCAGGTCCAGCTCACAGCTCATGACAACTGTATGATCCTCGCGTGCTAGCTTGTCCAAGAAGTCAAGCGAGACACTGTCAATCTTGTTGTAGACGTACAGACACTTGATGTACTTTCGATGGTCCTTCATGATAACATCAATGAAGTCGTCGACTGTAGCGTTCTCATCACGGACAAGAACCTCACAATTAAGAATCTTGTAGTCGCGCAGGATGTTGTAAAGCATCTTCTCGTCCAGGTTCTTGGGAGGAGACTGGAATGTGATTTTCATGCCACCCGCTGTCTTGACCTTGAGGTAAATGTTGCTAAAGTCTCACATTAATAGCGATTCAAACTTGTCTCAGTTGAACTTACGGTGGTTCTCGGTTCAGGCGGATACCGACAGCTTCCAATTCAGCCTCGAGCAATGCTCTTTGTTCGGCTTTTTTGGTAGCGTCAAGAACCATTAGAATAAGGTCACTGGTCTTGGCGGCTGAAATAACTTGTCTTCCTCGACCCTTGCCTTCAGAAGCACCCTCGATAATACCGGGAAGATCGAGCAGCTGAATCTCAGCACCACCATACTCAAGCACACCGGGAATGGCTGTCAAGGTTGTGAAAGCATAAGAAGCAACTTCGGACCGCGTCTTGGTGACTTTCGATAAGAATGTCGATTTTCCTACTGATGGGAAACCAACAAGAGCAATTCGCGCATCACCACTTTTGCTGACATCGAAACCTGAGCCACCACCACCGCCAGCTCCAGGACCAGGCTCTAGAAGCTGTGCCCTTAGTCGAGCGAGTTTTCTAGGATAATTAGTATAAATCTTTTCAAGGACATAGTCCTGTAGCCATGGCATGCCAAACCGACCCTTTTAATAGACCCAAATGATATTCTGGGTGTCGTTAATATTATAACATTCAGAAATTATTTCTACGACAACATACCAGTCGCCTTGTTCTCTGAAAAGATATTAGTCAATATTCACGAAGCCTTGTGAAGTCCTTGGAACGATTTGATATTCCTCCAACTCGTCGCAACTTTAATTTCACCCAAGACCGACTGTTTTAGGTCTCGTCTTTGGGCAAACTGCTGCAATTTTGCAACAAAGGGACATAACATCAGGTTTTCTAAGATCATAGATTTACTCACTTTGTGTCTTCTTCATCTCCTCCTCAATCCTGTTATTATGTCAGTGATGCCCCGCCACTGTATTCAAGACTGAACTTGCTCCTTGATCTTCTCCGTAATGTTCACCATATTGGCGGTACTTTGAGACGCTTTTGCGTCTCTAGAAACAGTTCAACAAAGAAAAGGCAATCAACAGAAAGTGTAAACCAAATCCTAGGCGCCAGATCAAGATCTAAATCATGAGTGGGGGGTTGAGAGAGGCCTGATGAAGTCGTGGCAGAATTCGAACATGAAGCTCCACAGGTGCGGGAGGTCAGTCTCACCGCCTTCCCTTTCTGACACGTTATTTCTCCCCAGAAATGGATCTTTTTACAGCCTTGCATCATCAGCACAGGCTCGTCGCGTTGCCATCACAACAACTTTTCAAGGATTCATCTTCCACATTAGATATAATGGCCGATACAGAAGAACAAATCGAAGCGGCGCCGGCCGTCGAGCAAGAAGGGCAGGACATGGCGGTAGCGACGACGAATACCGAGGTTGCAGCGCCAACCGGAAAGAAAGTCGTCAAGAAGATAATTCGCAAGAAGAAGCGACCTGCGCGCGCCCAAGTCGACCCCGATTTCGTCACATCAGAACCCCCGCCTCAGACCGGCACAATCTTCAACATTTGGTATAACAAGTGGTCTGGTGGTGATCGAGAAGACAAGTACCTATCGAAGACCAAGGCGAAGGGTCGCTGCAATGTTGCGAAGGACAGCGGATATACCAACGCCGACGCGATGCCTGGAAGCTACTTCTGTTTACGTTTTGCGCGCGGCGTTTGTCCCAAGGGTCAAGACTGCGAATTTCTTCATAGGCTACCTGGACCATACGATCACTTCAACCCCAATGTCGACTGCTTTGGACGCGACAAGTTTTCCGATTACCGAGACGACATGGGTGGTGTCGGAAGTTTTATGAGGCAGAACAGAACAGTGTATGTTGGAAGGATTCATGTTACAGACGATATCGAAGAGATTGTGGCGCGACACTTTGCAGAATGGGGCCCTGTCGAGCGCAGTAAGTTCCAATTCCACTATCCCAATTGACTTGTTGCTAACAATCATAGTTCGTGTTCTCAACACCCGAGGTGTCGCCTTTATCACATACGTCAACCAAGCCAATGCCGAATTTGCCAAAGAGGCCATGGCACATCAATCTCTCGACCACGAGGAAGTGCTCAACGTTCGCTGGGCAACAGCCGATCCCAACCCCATGGCGCAAGCTCGAGAAGCGCGCAAAATCGAGGAGCAAGCCGCTGAGGCTATTCGAAGAGCCCTTCCCGCAGAATTCGTCGCTGAAATCGAAGGCCGAGATCCCGAAGCGAGAAAGCGACGGAAGATCGAAAGCAGCTATGGTCTTGAGGGATACGAGGCGCCCGATGAAATCCACTTTGCCCGAGGCACTCAGGCAGTAAACCCCCTGGGTCGAGAAGGTTTTGAAGTTGAATATCAGGAACGGCCAATGATTGAAAACGGAGAGTCCGGCGAACCACCAGCTCAAGTTGAAGAGCAGCAGCCTCAGCCTCAACAAGAGACTGGTGGTATCTTCTCAGGCAGCACCCTCGCGGCTCTTAACAAGGCCAAGGTCTCGGTGGCATCGAAACCGAAAGCAGCGGCTACAACAGGACCTTTGGTGGCATACGGCAGTGACAGCGACAGCGATGATGAATAGGGACAAGGCGTTTTGATTGATTTTTAGAAATGCAAAGATATTTTGTATTACAATAATGATACCACAAGCAGCATACGATATCAGCTGTTGAAAATTCTAGAGTACAATGTCTCATGCCGTCCAATCCATAAATCCATAATAGGCACTGTTTGCCCAGCCTCTTCAACGGGAGTATTCCACTCTCGATCGATCATGTTGTCGATCAGCTTCTGTACTTGCTGCCCAGCCAAAACCTTTTGCGCCTGGTAGGGACCAAAGACACTTGCTCTCACCGCAGCAGATATCAACGCCTTGACATGACTCAGCATGAAGACATATGCTGTCTGTCGCAAACCCAGTCCTACAAGCGCGCATATCGCTCCAAACAGCGGCGCCAGATGCGCAGAGACAAGAGGCACTTCTTTCTGACTTTCACGTCTTAAAAATGCTGCAAATTCCCTCAACGGACGCCCATCAACATCTGGACAGCTGGCACGGAACGACCGCTCCCAGATTCCTAGTAGTGCACGACCCTGTGCAACGCTCGCACGTCGACCAACAGTACAAATGATAGCAGCGTCGAGCTGATCATCTAACTGAGGAAGAGAATCCGGGTCGCGGTGCGCGGCTAGGACAAAGGGTAGTGTTGTCGCGGCGAACGATGAAAGCGATGAAGGAAGAAAGGAGGCAAACGATGCCGAGGCACGCGGTTCGTGAGCAAGATAAGACTCGAGACCACTGCTAAAAGCAAATGAGCCTAATGGAAGTGCCGAGTCTGAGAGAAGAAGTAGAAAATGAGTTGTCGAGGCTAGATGAGCTATGAGTCGTGAGTTATGGTCCTTATCTATGGGTTGAGATGAGTCTTACGCTCTGTAGCCATAGACAGGGGTGGCGAAGGTAGGACTTTGTCAAGACGCGCTTTAGCATCCTGAAGACGCTTTTCTAAATAAAAAATCTCATCTTGAATAACATTGGCCGTATCTGGGGTCAGGATTTGTGAAGGCATCATGAGTTTAGATATTTTTAGAGGTTAAGTTGAGCATCAAAATAGCTCGTTCAGAGATAAGACCATCGAGGTTTAAAATAACTACTTATCAAAACCATGACAACCATCATCATGTAAATCCAACAATAAGAATTCCTTCGAGGAAAACCCCTTAAACTCCACGCGAATGCCAATCCAATTCAGTCTTTTTGACTGGATGACGAACAATTGTCAATAGTCAGGGTATTCCACCTCACTTACTCATATCACACCCAAGGTATCCATCGTATGTACATTATCATTCTCAAGGTCGAACATTCTCCTTATCATATGCTTTTCTTCCACGCGCTCGTTTCTTCTCCGCCATTCTTTGTTCAATTCTTGCAATCGCAGCAGCTCTACGCTCAGGCGGCAACACACTCTTTGGCGCGTTGGCCATTAATGTGCTGTTGTTGGGATCTGGGCCCCCTACACGCGCATAGTGGTCGTGTAGTAAGTCGATTCTTTCTTCAGGTTTCTCGCCAGATGTAATGCGCTTCGAGCGAGCGATCGACTTGGCCAGTGCGGGCAGGTCAGGCGCGGCGATGTCATCCAAGCCAGTTCGGCCGGGAGTCGCACCCCCATTCTCAATTCGCTTGGTGATTTCTTCGCCAAGATATGCTCTATTTCTTGGTGATCGCGGAACGAATGGCTGCCATCTAGGCCGGCCAATGTCTGGCTTATCACCCAGACTTGACGATATTGGCTTTGACGTGCCGATATCCGATTTGGTGACCTTTGGCACAGCGTCTTCGTGAAACTTTTGGCGTAATGAGGGCACGTTTGGGTCTGTCGCCTTGAGCTCCATGGTGTCATTTCCAAGCTCGGTCAAGTCAAAGCTTCGTCGTTCCATATTATGCCTTCGATTCTTGGTGCTGTCATCTACATCGACGTTTCTGGGCTTTGAGGCCTCGTCTGCCAGACGCCCTGCGTCTGTCTGAACATGCCAGCTCTTAGGCCGAGCAGCGTTGTCGTTCTGCTCAAGAGCATAATTGTCCCCAGTCTTGAGGATCCTGATTTCCTTCTTGAGCTCCGCAATCTTAGTGTGCGCCCGTTCTAAAACTCCATTGGTGTCCGCATTGTGGGCTTGAGTTTCATTACGATAGGCTTCGAATTCTTGCTTTAGCTGTCGTAGCTCCTCATCCTTCTTCCTATTTTCTTCCCTTGCTTCACGAAGCTGGGCGCGTAGTTCTTGTGCTCGTGAACCTTCGCGCACCGATTCGTTTTCGGGTTTTTCTTGTGTACTCTTCGTTTCGTTCATTGCCTCAGCCTGGGTAGCACGCTTCTCAGCCGCTCTGAGCTGACTTTTTAGAGAAGATATCTGCTCACGAAGTTCGCCAACTTCCTTGACTTGCATTCGGGCTCGCCTCAGTTCGCGCTGTGTCTCGATAAGGGTTTTCTGCGTCCTGGGTGATGTCGCTTGTCGTCGCTTGCGGTCTTTGGGATCGGCATCGTCTTCCCGCTCTCGAAGGAACTCCTCAAGTTGGTCTTCAAGCTCTTGGACGCGTGTTCGATACTGCACAGCCAGGGCTGTTTGCTTCGTGAGTGTCGATAAAAGCTCGGAACTGACTTCGTCTGATCTGTCTACTCGCTTCGATGCAATCTTGGAAGCACCTTCGGCGATCTGCCTTTCCATCTCGATTACTTTTTGCTGTTCTTCCTTGAGCTTAACTGCGAGTTCAATTGCCTCAGCATCCTTTTGTTTGGCATACGATTTCGCCAGTTGCTTATACTTGAGGAGCTTCTCCATTTCGGCTTTCGCGTCTTCGTGGTATTTCTCAAATTCCTCCTTCCAATATCTGCCCGACTGCGAGTGAGGCTCGTTAAGATCAACCGTAATGTCGTGTGTGCAGTAGTCCTCGTCATCAGCTTCTTCCCACTCATCTGAAGAGTCGCCCTGGTCTTGCTGTGCTGTGTTCTTCTGATTTACCGATTTGGAAGCCTTTTCCAAAGCGTCGTTTAATCGTGTGCGTTGGCGCGTTTCTGGCTCTTTGCTGAGATTGTTATTCTTCTTGACGTCTTGTCCAAAAGATACGCGTTTTCGTCTCGTAGTTCCAGTACCTGGGGTCAAAAGAATTCCTTGCGGTCGAGGCGGGGTTCGAGACATTTGATCTGTCTTGTCGTTTCTGTCTTTTGCTACTGCTTTTGTAGTTTGGTTGGTAGGTCGCGCTGGAGTTCCAAACAATGCACTCTTGAACGCTCTAGCAGCGAAAACAGGCGCGGGGGTGTCAGGTTGGTCAATTTGCGTGGTGTCTAGTAAACGAAGTCAATTATTTCACCTGCTATCATGTCTAAGTGCATACATACCTCCATCATTGACCGGTTCTGGCGCGTTCTCGCCGCGTCTCAACATCCAACCCAACATCTTGCGGCACGTTGCGCGTAGGCGTGAATGCGAAATGTCAAACGCCCGATTAAAGGAGGGAAGTCCTTCGCATAAGCGATCATAAACGATGAAGTAGTAACATTTATCCTCCTCGTCGATCGTGTTGTGTTGTTGACCGTCTAATTGTGGCAGGATAGGATTGGACAAAATTCGTTGATGTCAATGTTGACTTTCGTTTTCAATGTTTACTTCCACCTGTCGCAGATCAAAGACGCCAAACCCTGGCGCCCCTGTCCCACCAGGGCCTTCCACCCAATGAGAACTGCGCTAGTGCGAAAATAGAGGGGGCCATTCAGCTAATGCAAGATATCAGTCTCTCTGCAGCTACTCTGTACATTGCAAGCTATCATAACTTAGAACCATATTACCATGAACAGGAGGAGCATTGCTGAGACAATACTTAGACTTGAACCTAGGAGCAACTGTCATCATATGAAGAGCTCGCTATTCCTTATTTTCTTCCGGGTCATTCAAGGTTGGAGTTACATCTAGTCCGCTGCACGACCTGTAGGGACGCCAGGTGGCCCAGGCGGCAGCTCCAATGGAGCACTCAAGCAATTAAGTTGAGGTGGCCACCGCAAGAGCCGCAGCGGACCCCTCATCAGCCCTGTGGCCGCGTGTAATTCGATGAAACGACACCGCCTTTGTGAATGGGTGTCGCCAATTGAGTTGGCAGCCATGGATGCCAGGTATCGAGAACTAAAGATGGAAACATGGATATTGAAGAGTCTTGAGACGAGGGAATTCAGGAGATATAGAATAAGTATTACTCTTTTTTTAGATGATTATTTCATATAAATGCAGCCTAATCTTAGACCTAAGACTTAGAGTAGTAAGTTTGAGCTTATGATAATATTTAGATAAAATAATCAGAACATTAGAATACCATGGACCTGAGCATCTCGAGGTCGAGATGGTAGGTAGGGGCCACTCTTTTTCTCGCATCCCCTAGAAACTAACTACCTACCCCGCTGTCCCGACGTCAGAAGGTGATTTGTCTTCCTCTCCTACTTATCTTTATCCATACCTTGGATATCCTTATAAATTCCTTAATACAACATCATTTATCATTTCAGTATCGCCGTCATGGCCTCTTCCCTGTAGAAGTCGCAGCTTTTGCTGTGACTTCTTCTTTGTGCAAACATGGCGGGGAAGCAATCTGGGGTATGGAACACACCCTCGGGTCTCAAGAATAACAACAAAAATGAGTCAAGTTTCCCGGGCTTGCTACCTGCTGCGAGCCCGGAGGTCACCAACAAAATTGAATATGAAGAGCTACAACAGAACGAACTACTGGCCCTTGAGGCTATTTACAGCGACGACTTCGTCATGCATACCGAGACTCAAAACGCCTGGAAGGTACCTTAAAGAACCCTTATCATCGAGATCCATCATCTGGGCGACTTTGAAGCTCACGACCTATAGAAGTCAGAACCACATTTTGATATCCGGATAAAAGCATCATCGGATGAAGACTTTGCTTGTACGCTGGGTTTTGTCATGACTGCAACTTACCCAAAGTCACCTCCTCTTATCACGTTGAAGAACTACGACCTCAAGGAAGTTACGACGTTCAAGATCCAGAAGTACCTAGAGACGAAGCCCAAGTTATTCGCACAGGATGCACAAGAAATGATCGATCAAATCGTCGAAGGAGTACGGGATATCCTCGAGGATGCTGCGCAAGCGAAGGCAAACGGGAAGCATCTACCTTCTCTCGAAGAAGAACGAGAGCGGCACGAAGCTTCCATGGCGAAGCTAGCAGAAGAGAAGAAAGAAGAAGAAGCCCGAAAGAAAATAGAAGCCATGCAAGAAGAAGAGCGTATTATGGCCGAGATGCTCCAACAGCAGATTGATCGACAGAAACAGAAGGCTAAGGAGTCAAAGCGTCGTAACGGCGGCAATACGCCCCAGCAATCTTCGACAAGCTTAGAGACAGAAGAAATCATCGAGTTCGAGCAATTATGTAACGCTACGGATCAGTCGGGAAATACCCTCGTCTTCAAGTCTGTTACAAGCAAACGTCACCTTCGGCAGGGACCTGTATCCACCGTTTACGAAGTCCGACCTGTGTTGATCAATGGGCAAGGCAACCTGCCTATGGCACTGAAGCAGACTGTTATCCGTACCACAAATAAGGACACGAAAGAGTTCAAGCTTCAGCTACAAAGTCTCGAGTCTCGTCTTCAGGATCTCAAGTCTGTTAAGCGAGTTCATCATCGTCATCTTGTTGAAGTTTTGGGCTTCAAGGTCCAGGCCGGACTTTCTACTGATCCTGCTGTCTCGAATGTGTGCACTGTGAACGTCTTGTCTCCCTTGGCAGAAAAGAATTCTCTGGAGGAGTTCTTGGAGCTTGCAGGGCGGATTGAGAATATTGGCAGAGTGCGTTCCTGGACGCGGGATCTGCTAGATGCGCTCAATTTCCTTCACAACAAAAATATTGCACATCAAGATATTCACCCAGGGAACATTCTCCTGTTCCGAGAGCCGAATGGGCAAACCGTCCCCAAGATCTCTGATGCCTGGTATCAGAGGGAAATTCACTCTATCACTTCGAACAAACCTGGTCTTCCGGGATTGAACACTGCCAAGTCTGCCTACTGGCTGCCCCCTGAGATTGCCGGTGCATCTAAGCCCTCGTATACATTCAAGACAGATATTTGGGATTTCGGCGTTGTGTTCATTCAGATGATCTTTGGCCTTGACGCGCTACGAACATACTCATCGCCCAAGAATCTTATGGAATCGGTCACTTTGTCCCATTCGCTGCATGAGTTAGTCAACAGGTTCTTCAAGGAAGATAAGCAAAAACGGCCTCGAGCTTTTGAGCTTGGATCCAGCGAATTTTTAGCCACAGATGCTCCAGTTCTTTTCCAAGACTCTCCTGCAGTTCCGTCTACAAGCTCTTCGGTGTCCACACAAAACCTTCCGGCAAAACCTCGACATGAGTTTACTACTCATCGAGGTCCCGCGCTGTCACGGTACACAGAAGACTTCATTGAGGAAGCCAGGCTAGGAAAGGGCGGTTTCGGAGAGGTGGTTAAGGCGAGGATGAAGCTGGACGGCCAGATTTACGCCATCAAGAAAATCAAACCACGTTCCCAAGCTAATCTTACAGAGATTCTAAAGGAGGTAAGGCTTTTGTCTCAGCTTAACCATCCTGCGGTTGTCCGATACAATACCGCATGGGTTGAAGAAGCTCCTGATCAAGCCGAAACTGAAGATGATACATCAACTGGTTACTTTACCGAAGAGAACACTCAAGGAACTGGGTCTGCTGGGATTGACATTGAGTTCGCTACCAGTACAGGAGGGCTTGATTTCATCTCATCCAATGCCAACGTCGATTATGGATTCGAAGACTCTGAAGACTCTGAAGATGACTCTGATGAAGACGAGACAGAAGATGAGGATGATACAGAAGATGAGATGTCTATTCACAGAGTTTCGTCGCCAGATAAAGAAAGAAACGCCATGTTCCAGCGACGAGCTCGATATCAACGTTCATACAGAACCATGTTGTACATATCGATGGAGTATTGTGAGAAACGAGTGAGTCACGCAGTCTAGTAACATCTCCAATACGCATTTGCTCACCATTGCCAGACCCTTCGAGATCTGATCGCAAGGAATCTTTACAAGAATACTCCTGAAATTTGGCGACTGTTTTCTCAGATTCTGGAAGGTTTGGCTCATATCCATGGGCTTAGCATCGTCCACCGTGATTTGAAGCCGGAAAATATCTTCATTACTAGCGACTCTGATGGTATTGACAATGTGAAGATTGGTGATTTTGGACTTGCCACCAGCGGACAATTCTCACTGGAAAAGGCGAACGGAAACACTCTGGAGACAGACGATATGACGAGAAGCATCGGTACTGCATATTACTCCGCCCCTGAAGTCAGGTCGACGGTCAACGGCATATATAGCACGAAGGTCGATGTAAGTGGATCAAATCCGGACGTTGCCTTGTTACGCTAACGAAATCAGATGTATTCACTCGGCATCATTTTCTTCGAGATGTGTTATCTACCTATGATGGGTATGCAAAAGGCCGATGTCCTTGGTCAGCTTAGGCGGCCGAAACCAGTGTTGCCATCGGACTTTAAGCCTACGGACAAAGCTCAGGCAGAAATCATATTGTCTCTGGTCAACCATAACCCCAAGGAGAGGCCCTCAAGTACTGACCTTCTCAACAACGAAGAGCTGCCTATTCAAATAGAGAGTGTGAGAGGTAGACAGACTCTTGCTATACTTGCAAACCCAAGCTCGCCATACTACCACAAGACGCTTTCGTGGCTATTTTCGAAGCGTATGGACCCTGTTGAGGATTACGCTTGGGATATGTCTGCGAGGTCATTGAGTCCACAGGAGCTGCTCAATCAAGTACTGGTCAAGCAAGAGCTTGTTTCGATCTTCCGCCGCCATGGCGCTTTGGAACCCCCTCGAAGCAGCATATATCCACGGACATCACATTATGGAGATAATGCTGTCCAGCTTTTGACCCCGAGAGGCAAAGTGGTGCAGCTGCCCTATGATCTCACACTGGGAAACGCAAGGATGATGGCGTATTTTGATCCAGTAGTTGAACGATCTTTTACCTTTGGCAACGTTTTCCGCGACAAGAACGATGGAGGCCACCCACTCATGTTTGGAGAAGCTGATTTCGACATTGTCACCACTGACGCCCTGGACTTTGCTTTGAATGAAGCAGAGGTTCTCAAAGTGATGGATGAGATTGTCCACACATTTCCCTCCTTGTCCACAACTCCTATGTGTTTCCATCTGGGACACTCAGATCTTTTACAACTTGTCTTCGAGTATTGTGGGATAAGCCCTGCAAGTCGACGTGCAGCGGCAGATGTGTTGAGTAAGCTGAACATTCACAATTTTAACTGGCAGAAGATTAGGGTCGAGCTGCGGTCACCAACTGTAGGTGTTTCGGCTATAAGCGTGGACGAATTGCAGAAATTCGACTTCAGAGGTAAGTGAGGTACAGTGACATATATGAAGCTTCAGAGCTAATATCGAATAGACACTCCAAACAAGACATTCTCCAAATTAAAAACCCTTTTTGAGGGCAGCAATATGTACCAGCGAGCTTCTCCGACAATCGCGCATCTCAAGGAAGTCATTGAGTATTGCAAGCGCCTGGGTGTAGGAACAAAGATCTATATCAATCCTTTGAACAGCTTGAAAGAAGCCTTTTACACGGGCGGCATCATCTTTTCATGCATCTACGATAAAAAGGTCAAGGATGTTTTTGCTGCTGGCGGTAGGTATGATCAACTTATCAGAGAATTCCGACCTAGGGCTGGTGGCCAAGTCCGGGAGAAACATGCAGTTGGATTCAGTTTGGCATGGGAGCGATTGGCAAAGATCCCCAAAGCCGGGGGGCGATCGTTCTTGAAGAAATCCGAGGACGAATCAAGCGGAATTTTTAACTCTCGACGAGTAAGTCATTCACATGACCATATGCGCAACACTTACTGATACATGCGACAGTGTGATTGTTTGATAGCTAGCTTCAACGCTGCTGTGTCGAGATCTTTAGGTGCCGAGATACTTCAAACGCTCTGGGCACACAGCATCAGCGCTGAGCTGGCCAAGGATGCCAGATCTCCCGAAGACTTGTTATCGAAACACCGAGAAGAAGAATATTCTTGGCTCATCATCATCAAACAGGATGCAATGTTGAAGATCAAAAGCTTGGGCCGAAAGGATGTGCCTGATGCAGATATACCAACAACACAACTGCTTTCTTGGCTTCGTAACGAGATTCGAGAACGCGATTCAAAAACAGTGGTGAAACTTCGCGGCAACAGCTCTGCAGATACCAATGGCTCGGGCGAGAAGGAAGAGCAGGAGGTTCGTGTGCTGGTGGCACAAACACGGAGCAAAAAGTTCAACCGTAGAACGGTTGTGGAACAAGCTCAAAGCAGTGCCAGCAGCTTGGTTCAGTCTTTCCTAGATGGACCTATTTTGGCCATCGAGACCACAGATCAGGTCATGGACCTAATCCGCGGAACCTGCCTCTCAGAGGTTGAGGGCTGGCGACAAGTCGAGCAGTCGGTGACGAATACGGAGAGGAAGTATATCCGTGAGATCCATGACGAGTTGGATAACCTGAGGTTTAAGTATCAGAAGAAAAACGACGGGTCGCGGCACGCATTCCTGTACAACTTTCGATCGGGTAACTGCGTGTATTACGATCTTGGGGCCTAATAAACTTAGGGTTCTGATATCATAAATTCTAATAATATTTACAAAACTTCTAAAGATTATAACAAGTCTATAAAATTTATACTAAAGCTTGGCTACATATACTAAACTAGATCTAGATTTGGGAAACTCTTGAAGATATTTACACAGTTTAGATAAGAGACTTAAGGGATATCCTCATCATTCTTATACCCAAAAGGTAGTTTAATGGAGACACAATAAGCAACGCAGTTGGCCCTCCTCAATCCTGCATATTGTTTTGACATGAATCTCACTCGAAACACTGATGATACAATGCGCTGACGCTGAATCAGCCCAAAGACGCATATACCCTAAAGCAGCGGCCGGAGCGTTTGTCGATCAGGTACAAGTATATTCAAGACAAAGAAATGAAAAAGGGGCACGTTCCAATTCCATAGCCATGGCATGTTGATCACCTGTTTCTCCCTATCTCATGCACTTTACAGTACATCAAATGGCTGTAAAGGACGGGAATGCAGACGGGCAGGGCTGGAGCGGGCGGGAACGGATACGTACCTAAGCGTGATCTTGGGGTGGGGCCGTGCTTAAGGGAGGTGTGGGGTCAAGGGACCGACGTCAGTTTTTCCCGCCAAAGGGAAAGGGCAGCAGGCACGAGACGAGGGGCAAACCAAGGCAGGAGCCAGAGCCAGGAGACTGGAGCCAGAACCAGGTGGCAGGTGCAACTTGCAAGTGGTCACCAGCCGGGGCTTAGAGTGGATTTCCTTCCTTCCATTTCATGCTCCGGTCTCCGGATGGCGGCGGCAAGGCCGAAGTGAATGACTCTCTACTCTTTACCTACTTCATTGAATACCTCAGGTAATTAATTTACTAAGCTTTTTCCTCTTCTTTTTACCTTAATCTCTGTTGCTTTTTGAATGAGGATAGAAGGAAAAGACAAAAAAAGGTTCATCAATTTTTTTTCTATCTCTTATTATTATTCTTTGACCTCTTTTCCGCATTCGTCTTTACTGGGCGTTCCGAACCTCAAACGCGTCTGCTATCAAGGTTGCCTCATTGTTAAACGATAAGCAAACAACAAATAAACACTCCTCCCCCCGTTGTCAACACAAAAAGAGGCGATATCCAAACAAAATTTGCCAACGAAGCAAAGCAAAGCAAAGCAAAGCGAAGCGAAGCGGCTGCGGCTTCTTCTAAATCCAAACACCACCTTGCTCAACTTTTGCGCGTCCAATCGCCGAAGCCGCCCCTCCTCGACCGCCCTTTCCGTACAGCACAGCACAGCGCAGGCAGTCAACAACTCCCTTTCGCCGCTGGCGCTGGCCTGACTTATTAAGCCCGGCCCATCTCGTCAACTCGCAACAACCAACTACCTCACCCACTCCTCAACTTTCGGTCCTTTCAAACACACGCTCGCTTGGAGGATTCTCGTCGTTGGACGGACGGAATAGCGCACCTAATTAGTTATCGATAGTCAGTCATCATGGCGCAAAAGAGACTTATGCAGGAACTGCAACCCCTCCAGAAGGAGAAATGGGTCAACATCGAGGTATGTCGTTTGGTACCATGGAACAAGCATCGTCTAACATGATCGTCTTCAAGACCGATGACTCGAACCTTCTACTCTGGAAGATCGGCCTCTGGGTTGTTAACCCCGATAGTGTCTGGCACGGAGCCTACCTCAAGGCCGAGATGAAGTTTCCAAATGATTATCCTTACCAGCCGCCCAGCTTCAAATTTCTGACTAAGAACATCTGTCACCCCAACGTTTACACCGACGGCAATCTCTGCATTTCCATCCTCCACAAGCCAGGCGAAGACGAGCAGTCAGGCGAGCTGGCCAGCGAGCGTTGGAATGTTCTCCACGGTGTCGAATCGGTCCTGCGATCCGTTCTACTCCTCCTCGACGATCCCGAAATCAACTCACCCGCAAATGTCGATGCTAGCGTCCTCTATCGTGATAACAAGACCGAGTATAACAAGCGAGCAAAGGACATCGTTGATAAGTCTCAGAAGGATATCCCGCCAGGGTCAAGGATGCCCACTCCCTCCGAGCTCGCACCTGCGCCACAAAAGCCAATTGATGATGATGCCGACTTCTGGAATATGACAGACGAAGAGGAAGACTTTGGCGGCAGCGATAGCGACGAGGACATGGAAGACTTTGATGATGACGACGAGGATGATGATGATGTCAGAGACCAGAAGTAGACGTCCCCAGGAGGCCATGCATTTCTCAGCGTGGCCAGGACGAGTGATGGGTTGGCCACTTTTCATGCCTCTGCCTTCTACACCATTTCGCGGTATCCTCTTTCATCTACAGTACTATCGACATAGCGAGGTGATTTTATTTCATTTTTAAGGCGTTCAAGATGCGCATTACTCAGACTGGGACGGGCATTGCAAGCATCGAGCGATACGGACATTGAGGGAATGCAGGCAGACCGGTTGTCTCTGTTTTATACGTGCTGTTTACATGGAGCAAGGGTGTATTTATCAGGCGTGCTTTCTATAGACAGAATATACAACTTACAAAGATTCGCTTGGTGCCATAGTGAGGAACATCTGTCGATAGTATTCCGTACTTGTCCTACCTAATTGGAGAGAAAGCGGACACTCGCACAAGACATCTTTAGTGCTGATATTGATAAAGAACCCGCTCGACGGCATGCTCTACCTTGTCCTGACTAGGCTACATGAGCAAAACCCAAAACTCCATGCGCTCAAATGCTATTCTAATAATCATGCTATGTAAGCCAGCGACCCCTTCATCGAATGGCACGCCCTCTTCACCTGCAGAACAAAAAAAGAAGAATGTAACATCTTACAAGCAAGCGTCGGTATTCGTGAACTTTTATCTCTCGGAGCCACCTAAGGTTTCTCATCTGGGATGTCCATGTCCATCAAATTGGTTGGCTCCGCTCGCGTAGACGAGTTCCTGGACAATGACATAAAAGGAGGCGGCCTAGCCTTCTCTTGCATCTCCGGGCTTCGAGGCTCCTCCGCAGCAAACGCAGTGTTGGTGTCTAAGTAGTCGGCTGTTACTGTGCTCGGTGTCATGGTAGCTGATGTCGGCTCTGTCGGAGCTGTTGAATCTTGAGTACGGCCTATTAGTGAATCTGGGATGTGGCCTTCCATATCAGTGAAACTATAGACGTAATCCGTCATTTCAGTACCAACTCTTTCGTCGTCATCAGGGAGGAAAGGGTTGTCAAATCCGTTCCTATCATCGTCACTGCCGATTGAGGCGCGATTACTGTCCATTGAACCACCGCTATCAGACCGATGCTTTCTCTTAGAAGGCGAGAAGGACGAATGAGGCGAAAGAGACGAGCTGGACTCAAAGTTTCCCGTCTGCTTGGACTCATTGACTGTGGATTCTTCCTTAGATAACTCTTGACGGAAAGCTTTATTTTCCACCTTGATGAATCGTTCCAGTTGGGATGATAGATGGTCTTTGGGCGTTCCAAGGGCGTCTTCCGTTGCATATATCAGCAGTGGTTTCTTGGTATCCTTCCAGATATCGACCAATACTATGTCGATAGTTGTTTTCTGCAATTGTGTTAACAAGAACAACCTCCTCTGCTTCAATCAATGTCAAGTTCTCTTACCTCCGCTCTAACGGCCTGGTCTCCATAAGGGGTATAAGCCAGCCTCCACCATTGATCCCTTGGTTTGGTCTCCACGTCACTAAGGTCTATGAGATCTGCTTCCTCCCGTTGGCAGACATATAAGACGCTGGGTGATGCAACTAATCCGCGGAGGAGATACCTTTTGCAGGACATGGGTTTCGGACGACTTGGCTTATCCGGTACTGTAAGGAGTCTCCCCAACGCTCGCTGTTTGGCTGTGATCTGCTCGAGTTCTACATCAAGGCCTAGAGCCATTTTAGCCACGGGCACTGAAGCCTTTCAAAGCCTAGACTTACCTTTCATTTTTGTCTCAAGGTCCACAAGCAAACTCTCAGAATAGTCGATCACATCTGTGACCTTCTGAGATTCCAGATACACGTTGTCGTCCACATCTGGAGGAGCAGTGCGGTAGTCAGGGTACTTATCAATATCGAATCCCGACTTCTCCAAAGTCTTGAATCGGAGGAAGCTTTCCAGGTAACTCCTGTATCCCTCCCACTGATCGATCGCTTTTTTCAAAACTGCACCCTTGTCATTAGTTGCGTCACCCCAAGTGCCCGCTAAGCTAACAAGCTGTTCTTTCTTGTCCAGAATACGTTTCGTTTGTTCCTTTGTTTGGCACCACCCGTGCTGGATCCGACGTGCCTCGTCTTTCCGGTTCATGAGGTATCTTTCTGGGTAGAATTCCAAGGGAATCTCGAACGAATCGCTTGGCCCGTCACCAGTGGTGTCTAACACTAAAACATCGCCCATCTTTTTGAAAAATGCCATCTTCGATCCATCGTGTATTTTATCCAAACCCACGGTATCACTCCACATGACGTGGTCAAGTGCCTCGTACAGAGTTTTGATGTAGCTGTACTCATGTTGGAAGTGCTCTATCTCGAGAAGGCCAAAGCTTGCGACTTCTTCTTCATCATCTCCGTAGAACATCGACACTCCAGCAACTTGCATCATTGGCTGAGCAACATCAGGGTATCTTTTGCCGAGCATCTCATAGAATTGTTTCTCCATGCCCTGCTTGTCGGAATCCGCCAAAATATCTGCCAGAGCAGATATCGAGCCATAACTACGCTCGGTAGAGTCAAGAAATGCCATCAATCGGTGTACTTCGTCCTCAAATGCACTGCCGCTCTTGTGCACACTGGGGTCTGAGCTGCCTTCTTCAGCCATCTTTGCCAAAACCTCCGGTGATAGAATGATCTGTCCTCGCCACCAGTCATTATTACAGCCGTATGTGGTAGCAGGCGATCCAATGCCGAGGAGTATGTTCCGTGCAAGAGGAATTTCATGCAGAATTGTGAGAAGCCCGCCGAGGCTGTGTTCGCCACCTTGCGCACTGCTGATTACCAACATCGCGGGCGCGCCTGGAGCTCTCTTTCGCTTTGACGGTGTAAATTCATTCACGGAGCTTTCCTTCATAGGATCAGACTGGACAATGGCCCAATCGGCCGCCACATATGTTTCGCGGTTTGCAGGACCAAAATGCGGAGGCGGTGGCTCCGAAGTTCCTATAATACCGGACTCGTGATGTGACACCGGTAGTCCAGCTTCTTGTGCTGACGCACGAATAGCTCGTTGCATGTCATCATCCTCTTGGGCTTGGCTCTCTGGGACGCCTGTATGTGTCCTGGTCAGCGCATATTCATGGGGGTGACCAAGAGAGTTACCGGGCACATGTGCCGCAGTCCAGTCCACCATCGTACCCAAGGGAGATCGATTGTTTGATCGTGAAGGAGGTCTCGAAGGAGCGCCGTACGCGTGTGACTCTGACGGGGGGGTGACGCCCTGAATGATGTTGTGATCGGAAGACTCGACATGGAAGGCTATGGGGTCAGTTGACGTCCGGAGGGAAGCGTAACAGTGTACTGACAGATACCAGTCGTATTGTCGCTACCGTCTCGATCTGCGGTGAACATAGAATCGTCCCAAAGCTGTTTATATTTTGTTCGAAACTGCAATACGATCAGCATGTGCTGGGAATTGGCCTTGAACATGTTCGTACGCCATCCTGGTTTTCGTAGTATTGGCTGACAACAGAGTCGGGTTTCCAGTTACTTTGCTGTCAAGTAGGTATACGTCAGTCGCAAAGCTCACTTTGAGGGGTCCGCCCGATGCTAACCTTCAGAGCTTGAATAACCAGCTCACGATCGTCCACAGGGTCGAGACCTGTGAATTCTATCACTTGTCCTATCGCCTCCTGTTGTGAAGTCTCCATGGCTGGGGCTGGAAAATCAATCGTCCTCTGTGAGTTCCAACAAGCTCAGTCTATCGATCGGACACTCCTCCCACCATGAAGGGGGCCAAAGAGCTTATTTCGATAGGTGTTACCCGATAAAGATAGGATGAAGCAAACAATAGTATGGACTATTTTCTCCACGCTGATGTTGATAGTGATGACTATGTTTTCGACGAAACACGCTTGCCGAATGTTTGTTGTATTGAATAAATGGCGATCTAAGCGATGAGCTTCCGCAGTGTACAGTTGCGCTGGATTGCAGTGGAGGGGTACGTACTGAGAGAGATAAGATAAGAAATTTCTTGGCATGGACTTACACGTGCCAGCCTCCAACTCTTGGGCAACTCGAGGTAATCAACCTTACCTGGTAAGATACCAAAGGTAGATACGCTAGAACTGCTTCTATTTGTTCATGTGGAAAATGATGAACTGAACGGCATTGTTAATTCTAGATTTGTCAAATGTTCGTGATTGCTTTGACAATAGCTCCACGAAGCAAATATGTCATACGTAACCTACCTCCAACAATCACCCATGAGCAACCTACTAGTCAAGCTTCAAGTATAGATGCTGAAGCAGCTACTGCATAGATATGACATATGGAACTACTAACATTTAAAGTGACTGTGCAATGAAGCTGCTGAATATTTCCCCTCGAGTTACCGCAAAGTCATACAGCACGCGAACAGTTATATGAGACCCAGATGGTCAAGGTTCCCTTAGAGGCAGGCATAGTGCTAGACCTCAACCTTAAAACATCGGGTTTTAGATAATCCCAAAAGGCGAGTTAGCCAAAGAAGCTATCAACACATATTGGAATTGTTAGAGCATCTCATCCATGTGTAAAGTAATCGGAATGCCTCGTTCAGAGGTTAGAAGGTTCTAGAAGCTTCGACCATGGACCAGGGTTGCCGGGAATAACTGCAGCTTACAACGGGGAAACGCAATCCGCAAGTCACAGTAACAACTTCGATTCACGACAGATTTGTGCAATGTCTCACAGAGCACCAAGATGGTAAAAACATCATAGAATGGGTACACAGTCATACAAGTCATTCAGACAACCCCATAACCAGGCTCTATCATAGATCCGCTCAAGCTTCCAGCAACCATCTTAAGCTCCAAGTTGGGGCTCTTGAACTGGATTTATGGCGTCTGGGGCGTCGTCTCCACCACGGCTAGGTATCGTCATAGGTCAATTATCCCTGTCAAGTTGTCAGGTATCGACAGATTGAGCCCGACACGAGGACGAGAGAGCATGACCCTTGATGGCGTAGTTTTGCGGAATTGACTTTAGAGAATGTGTTACAAAGAGGATTCTGCAAAGAGAGCATTCCCACTTACTTCCAAGTAGTATACTTCCTAGGTAGACAATACAGTCGAACAAAGAACAGACGACAGCGGCAGATGTATAGGTACTTCTCGTTGTTCGAGAGATATCCATCGATCGACTCGACGTCACCCCCACCCTGGTAGACTGGAGGTCAGCCAGCCTCTATTCCATATCAAGTTCCTTTCACATTGCGGTGTCTTTTCCCCCCTACACTTTAGAAGCTTCCACAAGGTCCCATGCCCCAGTATTTCCCAGCGGTGGCTTCTGGAGATTGTCACGGTAGCATGGCGTAGTGCTTTCTCGACCTTGACTCTGAAGCGTCACTGGACTGATCTTTTAATCCTCACCTGCGGATTCCCACTCATCTTTTGTAAACTCACTCTTGCACTAAAACATCCCCTCTCTTTCTTTAACCTCACATCACATCACATCACCTCATTCAACCTAGAACGAAACCTCTTCTCATCATACGAAGCGCACTTTTGGTGTTTGTCTTTCACTGTTTCAACAAACAATCAACAATAAGCAATTCTTGGCATTGCCATCCATTTCTTGTTGTTCTCTTTCTATCGAACCTATTTGGCTCGCCAAAATCTAACCATATCGCACACCTAAATAATCTTGAGAAACACAACTTTTAACACGCGCGATCATGGTCAAGGAAACGAAGCTCTACGACACCCTCAACGTCAAGCCTGAGGCAACTCAGGACGAGATCAAGAAGGGATACAAGTAAGTACACACCATCTATACGGAGCTGCGGAGGCGCAATACACGATACCATTTTTTCACCAGGTTCTTGCTTTTGTAAATGCACAAGCAAATCATGATTTTTATTTGGCGAATTGACGAAAGAGATTCTCTTCGCTGAAATATGAACCACCGCGCATTCCGCCTAGCATCACGATCTGGCGAACACCGCTAACCACACCACCTACAGGAAAGCAGCCTTGAAATGGCACCCAGACAAGAACAAGGATAGCCCCGATGCGGCTGAAAAGTTCAAAGAATGCTCACAAGCATACGAAATTCTTTCCGATCCCGAGAAACGAAAGATATATGATCAGTACGGCCTCGAGTTCCTACTCCGCGGCGGTACCGCACAGCCCGAAGGTGGTGCCGGTGGAAATCCCTTCGCCGCTGGAGGCATGCCTGGCGGATTCGAAGGTTTCAACTTCCAAGGTGGTATGCCCGGTGGAGGCGGCACCCGAACCTTCCACTTCAATACCGGCAGCGGTGCTGGCGGCTTTGGCTTCAGCAACCCCGAAGATATCTTTGCCGAATTCATGCGTAACGGATCTGCTGGTGGTATGCACGGTGGCGACGAAGACGACATCGCTGGCATGTTTGGCGGATTTGGCGGTGCTGGTCCTCGAAGCCGCAGTTCACGCACACGCTCAGGCTTCGAGCCTCGACCTAGAGAAGCTACTCCTGAAGTTACCACAGTCGAGCGACCTCTGCCCCTAACGCTTGAAGAGCTCTTCAACGGTGTGACCAAGAAGATGAAGATTAAGCGCAAGACTTACGATGAGACCGGAAAGAGAGTCCAGACCGACCAGATCCTTGAAGTCCCTATCAAACCGGGCCTGAAGAAGGGTTCCAAGATCAAGTTCAACGGAGTCGGTGATCAAGTAGAGGGAGGCCGCCAAGATCTTCACTTTATTGTCGAAGAGGTAAGCACACCGTGTCATAATTCTGCCTACGAAATGATAACTAACAAACCTACAGAAGGAACATCCTCTCTACAAGCGCGAGGATAACGATCTTGTCCATGTGGTAACCCTTGATCTCAAGGAGGCCTTGACCGGCTGGCGAAGGACAGTGACAACAATCGACGGCCGGCAGCTCAACCTCGAGAAGGGAGGCCCTACTCAGCCCAACAGCGAGGAACGGTATCCTGGCCTGGGTATGCCCATCTCTAAGAAGCCTGGCCAGCGAGGCGACTTCGTCATCAAGTACAAGATCAACTTCCCAGCAAGTTTGACTGCCGATCAGAAGCAGAAGCTCAGGGAGATTCTGTAAAGGCGCGCCGTCGCCGGACCTATCTGCAACTCTTACCGGATACTAGACGTTTGCTCGGGAAATCTTCCAACCTCAGCAGCATCGGAATTCGGTTAGGAAGATTGCACTACATTCAAATGGTGTTTTGGCGTTTGGGGTTCTAATGAATAATGAAAAAGAGTGGAAGTTCGATGGCACAAGCCTTAGCATGGAAGACCAGGCTTGGTTGCCCAAAGTACACAAGCGACAGGAGAATGATAGGAAGTTGATTAGCATATGGCTTTTTGATATCCATTTGACGGCTGTTCTAATTGATGTCTTGGTAGAAACGATGTCATATATACTATAGTAGCTGTCTCTAATAGTACGACAGATTCAAGATTGAAAGAAGAGTTGCCGAAATGAAGAACATTCCATATGAGGTAAAAACAACTCATCTGGTACGATCGCGATTTGGGAGGGTAAATACTCTTGTATCTCTTAATATGGAATGTTACAAATCCCGCAACTGGTAGAGGAGAGGAGCCGTGTATGACGAGGGTGTTTATTGGAGGTCCACCACCGTTGAAGAGTGACACTGTTTACATGGACCATGCATGTTGATAGACGGGCTATCGGTTCGAACTCTCCGAAGCCTGAAAAGCCATGTCTTTGTACTCACTTACATATGCTTATGCGAGGTCATCACTGTAGGTCTAGTGCATACTGAGCATAATCCATGATTGTCAGAGGCTCAAAGAGCAAAGTCGCTGATGCGGGCCGGTGGACTGGAAGAAAACGGGTCCCTCTTTTTTAGTGTCATGTCCTAACAGGGATTCATAGTGCTTTGATGACGACACTGGGCGGTTCCTAGTCGGACCTTACCTTGGCTGAATGGAGGGGGAGGGGCATTTGATTCGATTTGATGTTGATTTTGGGTTGACTTACGAGGGGTTTGTTTTGTCTGACTTCCACGTGTTGACGATCGACAGTTCTATGAAGAACAAGCCGTTTTTTCCTTTGGCTCAGCGAGCATATCGAGAAGCATTTTATCAGTACAAATAGCTCTTCTAGCTGTTTAATTTACTATATTAGCTTAAGGATATTTGGAAACCCCTCCCTGCTGTACCTAAGTTACCTTGAGACAGCTATTCATGAACGCGGGGTTTCTTGTCGAATCTTACACATGAGGTGCAGATGCATATCAAACAACCTGTAGAGTTCATTGCAAAACAACCCGGGCAACCCCCGGCATCACCCAGTCGCACTTGCATATTCCCATTGCAGCATATTGCAGCTACGGGCAGTCGTAGTTGCAATGGCAGGTGAAGTTCCCGTTACAGTTCAAATGCCCCTGCTCCGTTGAACCAAGGCACGTCCTCCATAAAACCTCCGTTCCCCCACAGTAGCTCCGTCGCTGTCTCTTCTTCCTTACACCTCCATCTATTCCTTGCTCCACCTGATTTTCCACAAGGTTCTTCTGTTCTTCTCTTCTTCATACATCCAATTCCTCTTTCGAACTCGTCTTTGCCTCTTCTCTGGAGCTTTCTTCACCCCAATCCGCCAAAATGCCCGAGGTATGTTGCTCATGCAATCTCGATCTTATTCGCGCTTACACTGACAATTTCTAGATCAACACCCTCCTGTTCGATTGCGACAACACCCTCGTCCTCTCTGAGGAGCTTGCCTTCGAGGCTTGCGCGGGTCTCATTAACGAGATCTGCGAGGCTCGTCAAGTCGAGATGCGCTTCACTGGCGAGACCCTCATCAAGGAGTTCGTCGGTCAGAACTTCCGCGGCATGCTCACCACCCTCCAGAAGAACTACAACATCGAGATCTCACCCGAGGACATGGAGACCTATGTTCGAAAAGAGGAGGACGCCGTCATTGCCAAGCTCAAGGAATCTCTCCGACCTTGCGTTGGTGTTGATGAGCAGCTCGAGAGGCTTGCCGCTTCTGGCAAGTACACTATGTCCGTGGTTTCTTCTTCTGCCCTCCGCCGTGTCCGTGCCTCCATCGAGAAGGTCGGTCAGGACAAGTACTTCCAGGGCGATGTTGTCTTCTCTGCCGCCACAAGTCTCGAGAAGCCCACCAGCAAGCCTGATCCCGCTATCTACCTCCACGCTCTAGAGAAACTTGGCAAGAAGGCCGAGGAGGCTGTCGCTATTGAGGACAGCAAGAGCGGCACCCTTAGCGGTACTCGTGCCGGTATCAAGGTCATTGGTTATGTTGGCCCTTATGCTGAGGACAAGCAGCCCGAGATGGAGAATACTTTGAGGGATGCTGGTGCCGTTGTCATCATGCGACACTGGTCCGAGTTCCCTGCTGCTCTGCAGAAGATTGAGGCTGGTGAGGTCTAAAGAAACGAGCTTTGTTATTGAAATTGCTTTGAGGAATACCCAAAATACATATCAGTCAAATAGCGAAAGAGATGGAGCAAATAACCTAGATCAATTGAACTAATAAACTTTACGAACCCTCTGCCCTGTCATGGTAACCATTTGAGACAATGTTGAGACTGAGACACAATACAGCTTATTGTCTCAGACACAGGTCGTATTGTCTCATGATTGATTTGTTGATCCCGAATATATATTCTATATGAACTGCATCATTTTCGCCAGTCCATTAAAAAGCTGTTGACACTCTGTAGAGTGGCCCGGCTGGGATTGGCGCCCGGGTAAGCTGTCATGATGACACCCAATCTCGACTTTATGAACGTCTTTGTAAATGAGACGTCTTCTGTTGATTTTCTGATGTTCCCGCCGTCATCAAATAGGTAGCATGATATCGCGAGAGCTACGCCGACTGACAGATCTCGCCCTGATTCGCATGCGACTATGATTTGTTGCTGATTAGGCTCTGTGGCTGAGGCAAGATATTTAGCAGCAAAGTCGCATATTTCAGGTAGAGAAGTGCGAAGGTTGCGACTAGCCAGCTTGTTTTTGCCAAGGCCGGCCTGCATGTAAGTCTTGGATTTTATCCAGTTATCTTTTGGTGTGGTGTCTTGAGTTACGACAATGCGACACTCCGAGGGGTTGGCGGGAAGTGGTAAAGGGCAAACTGAAAGGTGTGGTGTCAGCTTTATCTGTGTTCCTTCGTCCTTCTTGCTAACAGCATGGTCGCTGACTAGTCTGGAGATCAGATCTGGCAGTTCAGCCTCTGGCGTCTTGAGAAGCTCATCAATATTCTCCCAAAACAAAGGCGCTGTAAGATCATGCGCCCACATCTCAGTATCGTCAGCCGCACCTTGTATATATCCTCCCTCGTCCATCTCGCTGCCTACAACTCGGCGACTAGCCGTGCAGCAGATGACGGGGCGGAAGTCGTCAAATATGGAGGATGTGTCTTCGACAGAAGGAAGAGATGAGTCTGGGGTTACCCAGAATGGGCGGAGTGGTTTTGTCAGACATGTTGGAAGATTGAGATTGAGTGCCTTGAAGGAAGCAACGAATCCAGGGATGAGTGCGCATATTTGGGAGTGCGTTGTTGCGGGGAGATGAGCTGGCAGATAGAGATTTGCTGAGGATGGGTTTGAGGGGAGAAGAGTGAGGTTGAGGATTGTGCACCAGATAGGAATCGTCGATGAAAGGGCATCAGGCATCCCTATATAAGTCAGTCGCCACTTTATCTGAGGCTCTGGTTGTCATGAGAGAGAACATACGCTTTCCACGGCGAGTAGAGTCGACGATTATGATACTATTAACATGTTAGATCTCAGATAACAGGAAGATAAGTAGGTCTCTATACGTACCCATCATTATTCTCAATAAGCTCAACCAGATGCAAGTTCAACCTCCTAGTGCTAAATTTCCACGCCCTCTCATGACCATCCGTACTCTTAAAATACGCACTTGCACCTTTACGCTCAGGCGGAATATACCAACTCCCACAACGTTCATTAGCCACAAGTGGTCGCGGACTATATGCTTGAGACACTAGGTCCACAAAGGTTGCATCGGTTTGGATGCTAGTCAGACGGTTGTGGATTGTAAGTGTGGTGCGTTTGAAAGACGCCATGAGTTGGGACATGGAGAGTTGTTCATTTTGAGGGAGGATCAGATCGGAGAAGCGGGGTTCTGGCATGTTGGCTATACAGGAAGAAGATATTTTATATGAGGTTGGCTTGAGCTTTTACGTAGTGAGAAGCATTGAAAGGTCAAAACCGGCTTTGTAACGTGGGTATATAAGGTGTGGTGTTGAGTTTTTGGTGGAGCTCAAGAGTTTAAAGGGTATGGTGTTTTAGTATCCACCCCGCATTAGACTCAGAGCATAATCATATTCACTAAGTAACCGGTAGATCATTTCTTAAAAGGTTGCAATAACAAAAGGCTTGATCATTACTTTTGGCCGTAACCCATCAGACATTTCTACACGTAGCATATGGTATTTATCCTTCTCCTATTCCTTTCATCCATTACTCCAGCCTCCACTTGCCGTTCTCGACAACAATCTTGACCTCTCGGTTCTCATCAATACTTCTTCGACCAGCCTCAAGAATAGCCGTTGTGGCAATAGTGTTCTTGAGAGTAGGGAGAGGCTTGGCGTCAAGGTCCTCAGGCTTGAGCTTGCCAGAGTTGACAGCTCTGCAACCATCGACAAACTTCTCAATAGAGATGTAACCATAACCAGTCTGGCCAGCGAAGTTGCCATCCTCATCAGGAGCATACTTCATGTAGAAGGGGTTGTACCACATCAATTGACCGATAGAGTCATCTGCAACGTCGTAGCCACGCTTGGCCTGATCGACACGGATCTCACCGTTGGCAGCGAGGTAGTGGAAGTATTGGTTCGAGTGGACACCGGCCTTTTGAGGAGCGGTCCACGAGGCTGTGTAAACACCAACGGCTCGCTTGCTGGGCTCGCCGTTCTTGTTCCAGGTGACGAGAAGTGAGATGGTATCCTCAGTGATGGGGTCGCAGCCCAGATCAACAGCAACACCCTTGGAGGAAGAGGCGTTGACGCTCACGGGCACATATCCGCGCTCCTGGACCATTGAGTCGCAAATATCGATGTGGTGGCTGTTGAGGTAGTAAGAGATATCAGACTCCTTTCCAGCCCAGGCCTTGAAAGTCTCGAGCTGTGACTTGGGTTGAGACATGTAACTGTAGAAGTAGTTGAAGTCGCCAAGCTTCTGAGCCTTTGCGCGAGCATCAGCGTAAGCAGGGTCGTAACGCTTGTGGTGCTCGACGTAAACGTAGACGCCCTTCTTCTGAGCGAGATCAACCAACTCCTGGTGCTCCTCGAGGACCTTGACAGCGGGCTTGGTGATCATGACATGGATGCCGCGCTCAATGGCGTACTTTGCGATGGGGAAGTGGGTAGGGTCGGGGGTGAAGATTGTGATGGCATCGCCAGGCTTGAGAGCGTCAATGGCGGTCTTGTAAGCGTCGGGGTCGACCTTGTCGTTTTCTGGGAATGAGTCGAAGGAGGTGTCGAGGTTGTTGTAGACTTGTTGGATGTTCTTGTTGAGATGTTCGCCTGGGGAAGTTAGTTATGAGCATGACAATTGTGTACGGGAGATACTTACGAATAGCAGGGAACTTCTTGCCATTGACGCCAACCATGCCCAGCTTGTTGACCTTTTCGCGACGGCGCAGATCAAAGAGACTGAGACCAACGACGCCAACCTTCTTGTCTGAACCAGAGGCACCGCCACCGACGAAACCGGTGGTGTACTCTCCAGTACCAATCTAAAGGTTTCGTATTAGCAAACTGACATGAATTGATTGTGAGACTGTTGTTTTTGGATCAACTCACCATGAGAACATTGAGAGGCTCCATTGTGATGTTATGCCGAGGGGCAAGGCGGGGGAGGGGCAGAAGCTATGATGAGAGCAAAAACAGAGTATGAGGGTATATAAACGAGTCCCGAATTACGTATGAACGTATACCAAGGTCAAATGAAACTCGAGATGGTGTAGAGACGAGGTCTAGAGTGCAATCATGAGAAGATGGACATGAAGGTTGAATACTGTTCTTATGAATGCTCGCTCATGTCTCCGCTAGCTTGGAACCAAAGCTGGGGGACAGTTCGGGGTTCTCTCCGGACGTGATTGGAGGAAAAATGAGTCCCCGCGTCAAATCCCCCCAATCTCAAGCTAGAGAGATGGATAGCTTTGGGAATATGGAGTCATGATGCCGGATAAATCTTGTGTTGATGTGCTCATGTGAGTGTGGGGATGATACAGCTTCGCAGAAATCTGGGGGAGAAAGGGGTAGGGGAAGAGATAAAACTGAATCCTTGAGATAATGGTGTCATTGCTATCCTGTTGTGGTTGATTTCGTGATCATGTTGGTAGTGTTTGTCTCACATAGCTAACATCGGGGGCGGGGAAATCCCCCTCGTGCTATGACAGAAACCGTCAAAATTGGAGAGAATGATCCTCACAGTAATTTACAGTGGCGATAGGTTTATCATGACAGCAATTCTTAGAAGTATTACACTAGTGAAGGATAGATTCATTTCCCATTCTGACTAGAGAGGCATTTCTCACAGGAACCATAAATTCGATGGAGCGTCTAGAAGCCAGAACCACCCCCAAACCCACGAGGATCATCACTGCGAAGTACAGTGAGGGGTACAGAGGATTAGTGCTTTGGAGGGGTTAACATCCCCCCACCCCCACGGCACTAGAATCCCCGGCTCATGACCGGAAGCAATGGTAATCATGGGTGATATGATTTGATGTTTACAGTAGCAGAGTTTTGTTACAGCTTGTGAATATCGAAACCGTTTCAGCGTCGTATAAATTGTTGATAACATCAATTGTCGTCACATAATCAAGTGCCGAAAGTCTATCAAACGCTTACTCGCATCCACTTCCAAGTAAATTGATATCAATCAACTTTAAGGTCTCGTGACTTTGACCCCTCGTAACACGGCATCAGGTGCTACGTTGGGGGTACCATCGCCAGAAATTCTCCGCCCACTCAGAGCCAGACTTTGACTTACCCCATCAACACCAACGCCAAATTCCTCACCTCGAAACTTACACTGCCAAGTAAGTAACTAACTAACTCAGGCGCACACACTCAGTGGAAGTACAGACATGTACAAGCACAGCCCGGTCACCTTCCGGTCAGTCTCGATAAACTATGCACTTTGCCTCTCTTACACACCGTGACGCCGCAAAATACAAGCCTTGGTCAGCTCGGGGTCCAAGGCAAAAGGGTGACTCTCCACCTGGACCTACACAATGTACACTACTGTAGAGCTCATATCCCGGCCGGCTAATCGACATCAGCGCGGGATGTTGAACATGGATTTGCCAAGCGATCCAACGGTTTCCTAGACCTCCAAGCCTCCGTCTCTTGTTCGTCCCGCCTAACCGGCTCCCCACGTCTGTTCTACCCAGCATTGAGACTGGTGATGGAAGAGGGTGCATCAATAGATGTCAGTGCGAGAGTTGTGTTATTCGTGGTGGTGGTTCGCTCTGATCGGAAGTGCCGATCTCGCATCCTATCAAACAGATCACCCGGCAGCTGAAGAGGCAATCGGTCATATTGGCATCTTCTTGGCCTGGGTATACTACCAGCAGATGGTTTTATCTATCTGTCCGTCGACTGTAGCCGCAGCATGATATGGCATTGCGGTGCATCCTCTCATTCAGTGTACTCAATTTGCTTGGTGAGACCAGATTACGTGACGACGTATGACAGTCTCATAGCCTCATACCCAACACATCACTTCTGAGCTTTCTCTGCCGAATGTTGCGCAACTCTTACCATCGCAAATGGATATTTTGGTGGTCCTCTCTTCTCCAGACTTACATTGCATTACTCCAATTGGGGGACGATCGAGCCAATACCCACACGGTCCTTTGAGCACTTGACTTCCCGAGGCGAATCCACCCCCAAACTGGTTACTGTTACCGCGAGGTACAGTAGCGTAGCGTAGCGAAGGTACCGAAAATGGATTTGTCGGTTCCATTCGACATGATGTCTTGAGGTTTATACGCTACCGTATGGTAAGGTATGCTAGCTATAAAGTCCCTCTCCGTTTCATTTAAACCCCGGCTTGTCCTGTTCCGTTCTTGTTCGTTGCTGTCTGTCTTTTACTTTTCCTCCATCTTTGTCGTCTCTCATACTCCACTAGCCATCATTCCCCAACAAACATCCCCAGGCACACCAGACATCTCATCATGACTACTTCTAACGGTGTTACCAACGGCCAAAATGGCCATGCCGCCGCTCCCAAGTCGCTGCCTACCGGGATCTACGCCCCTGTCATGACCTTCTTCGACCCTGAGACTGAGGAGCTCGACATTCCCACCATTAAGAAGCACGCCGTGCGATTAGGTCAAGCTGGCCTGGCCGGTCTTGTTGCCATGGGCTCCAATGGCGAGGCTGTTCACTGCACACGTGAGGAGAAGATTGCTGTCACAAAGGCTACCCGAGAGGCCCTGGATGAGGCTGGTTTCCAATCCGTTCCCGTTTTCCTCGGAGCCACTGAGGGCAGTGTCAAGGGCACTATCGAGCTGAGCAAGCTGGCCGCTGAGGTTGGCGCTGCTGCCACTCTTGTTCTCCCTCCTTCTTATTACAAGGCCCAGATGAGTGAGGATGCCATTTACAACTACTTCACCGACCTTGCCGATGCAAGCCCTATCCCCATCGTTCTCTACAACTATCCTGGTGCTGTTGCTGGCCTTGACATGGACAGCGATCTCCTCATCAAGCTCGGCCAGCACCCCAACATTGTTGGCACAAAGTTTACCTGTGGAAGCACCGGTAAGCTCACCCGGGTTGCTCTCGCTACCGATGCCAAGACCCCCTTCCAAGAAGGCTCTGGTTACCTTGCCTTCGGTGGTATTGCCGACTTTACCATCCAGACTCTGGTCAGCGGCGGTAGCGGAATCATTGCTGGTGGTGCCAACGTCATGCCCAAGACCTGCGTCAAGGTTTGGGATCTCTACGTTAAGGGCAAGAAGGATGAGGCTCAAGCTCTCCAGAAGAAGCTCTCCAAGGCCGACTGGGTACTGACCAAGGCTGCCATTGCCGGCACCAAGTCTGCTATCCAGAGCTACTACGGCTATGGTGGCTACCCTCGACGACCCCTGCCCCGTCTCACCCCTGAGCAAGCCAAGGGCATTGCCGAGGGTATCAAGGAGCTCATGGAGATTGAGAACTCACTATAGTTCACGGTCGATGTTTGAATCTGTTGTTTGCTTGTCCAGTTGAAAGACCACTGATATGGATGGGTATGAATTTGCATAGCGTTGCATTTAATGATTAAAAGGACCCAATGGACTAGACATGGATTTGGGTATGGGCCTGTACCGTCTGGACTTGGTCATGATTATAAAATTATGAATGTAAATGAACAAAAGGCTTAAGCCGAGCTATCATGGTGTCTTGTGTGAAACCTACTCATGAGCGATGTGTCCTAAATACGCGTCATTTCACATACTACCCCCTAAAAGATGAGCTGTCATGCCTGGATGCATTGCGACCTCGCCGATCATGACTGCGTTGACCGGCAAATAAAAAGATTGTTGTCTCGACCTTTTGACCCATGCTCGTCTAGTCGATTTCGTGGTTGCCATCATCCATACACCAATGTGCCAATTTCCAATAGTTCTCAATAGTTCATAACGAGCAAGAAGAAATCTTTAGTTTCTTGTTTAACTTGTAGTAATACCTTTCTGATGATGAGATTAACTGCAACTTCTTCTCTCACAATTATAAGATAGGTATACATTCAGTTCAATTCCAGTTTCCTTCACCGTTCGAGATACCCTGGACCCTTCCCCGGAATACTGTAGATGTCATTGGTTACTTAACCCCCGCGTCATCCCTTTTGGTATTAGTGAATTCAAGCCGTGGGTTCTTCTTATCTCGATTGAAAGATTACCCTTTTTTGATACTAGCGGCTGCTCAGATAGGCCGATAGTCGCCGATCGTAACCACGGATATATCAACAACGCCCTTTTGTCAGTAATCCTCAATTCCGTCTCACATAAGTCTCACACGGGGATACATAAAACTACTCTGACCGCCCGCACGAAGTCTCTTTTCAGTTGATTTCTCTTTCGTTCAATTGCTTGGTGAGAGTGAAGATGCGTGAATCTGCCAGCGGCAGCGTAGCATCTGCCGTGGCCGAGAACGGCACGAATGCACTCAGCGATGAACGAACCCCGTTGCTCAAGTCTACAAGTCAACCTCAGAATCAAGATTCCGAACCACTAAGTGAAGCTCAAGGAGATGACCCTGATCGAGGTTTACCAGCAGGACAAGAGGAAGAGACAACCGTTGTTGCTGAGGAGGTATCAACTGGCCGGTTGGTTCTCATCTTTGGTACAGCGTGGATCGGAGTCTTCTTGGGTGCCATCGACTCTACTATTATTGCGACTCTCTCAGGACCAATTTCGAGCGAGTTCCAATCCCTCAGCTTGTTGTCATGGCTTGCAACCGCCTACCTCATCTCCAATGCCGCATGCCAACCTATTTCGGGGCGGTTGACAGATATCTTTGGCCGAGGACCGGGTCTCGTATTCAGCAATATATTCTTCGCAGCCGGTAATCTCATTTGTGGTCTGGCCCGTGATCAGACCACCATGATCATAGGACGTGTTGTCGCAGGTATTGGAGGTGGTGGATTGATGAGCATCTCGACGTTCCTGGGCTCAGACCTGGTCCCTCTACGCAAGAGAGGCATTATTCAGGGCTTAGGTAACATCTGCTATGGATCTGGTGCAATGCTGGGTGGTGTGTTTGGCGGCTTGATTAATGATCACACATCCCAGGGCTGGAGACTTGCCTTCTTGATCCAGGTACCTCCAGTACTCGTCTCTGCTGTAGCAGTTCATTTCTTGGTCAGGGTTCCTCCTAAGCAGTCGGATAAGTCGTTCCTTGCACGCATCGACTTTATGGGGGCATTCTTGACATCTTCTTTCTTGGTATTCCTGCTCTTAGGCCTCAACTCAGGCGGAAATATTGTGCCGTGGACTCATCCGCTCCCGCTGACCACGATACCTCTTGCTTTCATCACATTTGGCTTATTCTTGTTCTGGGAGAGTAAGGCCCGCCAGCCAATCATACCAGTGAAGCTTCTTCTCGATCGGACTGTCTTGAACGCCTGTCTCTGCAATCTTGCCTGTACGATGGCGGTAATGGGGGCGCTCTTCTATGTTCCCCTGTACCTGCAGGTTCTTGGCAGTAGTGCCACACAATCTGGTATCCAGATTCTCCCATCACCGATCGGTATCTCAGTGGGATCTCTCCTTTCGGGCTTCATCATGAAGAGAACTGGAAAATACACCAAACTAGGTGTAGTGGGCTTGCTCTTTCTTATTGCGGGAGTTGTGGTTCTTACAATCCAAAATGAGCATAGTCCCAAGTGGTTGATGGGAGTTTCTTTCTTCTTGATCGGTTCTGGATATGGTGCAACCCTCACAACGACGTTGTTGGCATGCATTGCTGCTGTTGACCACTCTCAGCAGGCTGTCATCACCTCTGCAACCTGTGAGTTGATTAGACGTATTTTGTTGAGTTCGCATTGCTAATCAACTTTAGATCTGGCACGCAGCCTCGGTAGTACTGTGGGAGTTACCATTGGCTCAGCCGTGTACCAAAACATCCTCAAAGCTAGACTTTGGGACAGATTCGGTGCCGAGCCTGGGGCTGCAGATGAGATTCGCCGCATCAGAGACGACCTGAATGAGATTAAGCATCTTCCTGAAGGATGGTATGACGGCGTCATCAGCTCTTTTGTGGAGGCCTTCAGGGGAGTGTGGCTTACACTGCTGGCCTTCGCTATCATTGGGCTACTGTGCATCTCGCTCATGAGGCAGCACACCCTTCATTCGACTCTTGAGAGACGGTGATTACTTTTGAAGCGGAGTCGTAAATGAGGATCATATCGTAAGGGGTTTGAAAGAGTTGGAAGAAAGAGAAATTGAAAATGCTGGAAGGATAGATTAAAACAGTGGTTGAAGATCCGCCCTAGGTAGACATGTAGTAAATCACGGATATTCGTGGATAATGTGACAAAAGTTGAAGGCATTGACAGTTCTGGGTCAAATTTTCAGCCAGTGCTTGAATGGGATCGGTGCTAGTGATGAGGCATCTACAATTTCCATTTAAACTTCTTTCAAAAGAAAGACGCTTTTTGAAAGATGGCTTTTTTAAAGTGTCTTTCTCATAGTCTCAGAATATATCGATCTCTCTCTCCATCCTTCGTCTTTGGATTTCAAGAACCATCAACACTGACCTTTTGTCTTCTACCCCAACCTTGAACTCTGGATGGCTTCATAGATGAAACATTACTACATAGTTTACACCTCATCAGCCCCATCACATCTAGCTCGATTCAAGCCACGACTGGTCACTCTGGCCGAGTACAGCGATGACAAAGTTGAAGGTAGCTCTAGCAAAAATGTCTCGGCTGGCTCGTCGGAACTCACTTCAGAGCTTACGCCGAGAGAGAAAAGCGGCTGAAGAGGCTATACTCATATTGCTCTGAGTTTCCCTTACTGCCTAGAGTAACCTGCGACTTGATACAGATGTCATATAAAAGGACGTATAACAACAACTTGCCCTGATTTTAGTGTTTGACCTTTTATTGCAGGCTGTTTCAATAGTGAGCTAAGACTGGTTCTAAATTACCCGACTGACATTGCTGAACAACATACCGAAGCACTTTCTCTGTTGAGGACTCACCTAAAAAGCCTATTATCCCTAATTTAAAAGTCGATGAACAATCTTCTATCATTCGTTCCCCCGGAAGATCTCCCGGGACTTTGGTTCGGCTCAAGATTGGGGAACTAACGATAGCTGGTTTTCCTATGAGGCTCGTGTTGCTTGGACTAGCTTAAAGATTTTGGATGTAGAAAGTGAATAAAGACTGTATGGCAAAACTCTGCGGGCTGAAGCAAGCCATAGGTTCTGAAGAAGACCAGCTATCGTGATTGTGCAATCCAACCCCCATAACCTCTGGGAACTGGTTCTTCTGTTGTTTCGACATATAGTACCAACATGAATGCTCATAAAGTCGACATAAAGTAATGCAGATATAGACCTTTGATAAGAAAGGTCTGAAGTCAGCCTGAGGTTGCTCTGGATCCATGATTGGAGCTTATACGGGCAGAGTCAAGAATCTAGACCGAGGAGGTAGGCATAGATCTTGACCGCTCAAGTTGCTAACGATACGCCCTTTTCCGGATACGATATAACCTCACTCATAGCCCAATATCCTATTGATTGTATCGTAGTACTTCTTTGTATAGGCTAATCAGCTCCGCTCTAAAAGGTATGGTCCTGGTCATGTCTTCATAATAATATGCGTAGGCTTGCTTCTCATAAGTTGCAGATGGAAACTCGTGACTGTTGCTACACCCCCAAAACCTTGGATCATACACCCAGGCAGTGTAAAATCTCCTTTGAGAGCTTTGTGTTACACAAGTCGAGCTTGGCAAGCCAGAAAACAACCGGTTTGAGACACTAATTAACTTTGTCATTTTTGGGGACCATTCCTTCTGGCCAAGCGTTTTATGATATGATCTAGATGATGACCAACCCTATTGAACGAGAGGGCATCTCAAACTCGGCTTATATCATGCAAGAGTAATAATTTTGTCATGAAATACTGTTCAAGGGATGTTTGCATTCCTGGAGTTGTGCAACTGAAGGGTCATATGGCAGCGTCTTATACTGACTGGATAATAGTTTCGGGGTTATTCACAACAAGGACTACGGTCAAAGCTCGCAAGCTTGCGGACATTTCAATCGGAGATAACGCAGGGATAGAGCTACAGAGCGCCTGGCCACGAGATGTTCAGAGACAGCGGCCGACGGACTTGTTGAAGCGCTGAATGGTCGTCCAGCTAACTATTAATTTCCGTCAACTAATCGACTACGGGGAATATATATCGTAAGATGGCTTGAGCACTGTCCATATTTAAAGACTTTGTAGACATATAATTTCCTGCAAAAGCTATGTCAACATCTGTTGTAGAATTATGTCGTCCTAGATACGGCGTCCTGAACTCGGAGTCTAGATCTAATCACCATCTGAGACATCGAGGTCTGGAACGCCACCCCTATCGCTTTCACCGAAAAGCCACCTCGCTTGATGGTAAAGTTTATTCGAGTGTAAGAGGTGTCGTTGAGAAATGTTGCGGAAAGGCTGTTCAGATGATGGTGGTGGCCAGATTCGGAAAGAGATTCGTGGGCTAGACTCTGACGTGAAGTCAAGTCAAGCACAGACAACGATGGTACAACGTCTGCTATTTCCTCAAGCGTTGTTTCTGTAGGGCAGAGTGGCGAGATGGTACGGTATTAGAGTGAGGCGTTGTCTGGACTGTACTGTTTGTTGGTCCCTTGAATGAAGATCAACTATTGTGTACCGTCTTTTTATATTCCATGTTGATCAAAACATCATATTTCGCCTCTGATTTACTACCAAGTCATGATTTGTTCAGGATGTCCCAATCCGTACGACAAGTCTTCTGCTTTGGGGGGGGGGGGGGGGTTGCCAAGGTTCTTGTGTTCTCTGTCTCTGCTGAAGAACCGTTGAGTCAACTCTAAACTTCGTGTAATGCTTCAGTGCTAGTCCCAGGAGCTATGGCCATTGAGCAACGGGTTCAGTGAGTGCATCATTTTAGCTTCCGAGTGGGAATCTTGACAGGCGCCATACTTGACGGAAAAAGCAAGATGGTGGGCTCACTAAGGTATGCCACTGTGTAACCTTCGACCGATCTACGGCCCGTTACGGGAGCCAAGATAGTCTAGTCTCCAGTGATCGCACGGAGTTGTATCCGGAGACTCTGCTCAGGAACACTTCATCCGAGCAACGCTGACGCTTTGTAAGCTCTGTGGGTGGTTATGGCTTCACCTGATACGCCCAAACATTCTCCTCTTATGTAACAAACTCCCCGAAACAGAGTTTTGGCGCATTAGCCCAGTTCTCGTAGATCATGGTGGAGATTTTGGCTCACTGTGTACCTGCTTATGGATCTTGTCCTCACTCAAGCGGCCGACCCTGATCTCTGAGGCTGAGGGTCTCGATGTGATGGGTCACATTCACATTCACAAGATTATGATTCTGTTGGTTGAACCGGATCTGGGCTGTGAGATAGAGTTGCCGTGATGCAGGGGAAAATCTGCAAGGAACCAACAGCGGGCGCTCTCGAGACCCTGAATAGATATTTACCGTAGATCCTGTCTCACACACGCTTGTCTGTCTCACTCACTCATTCAACTAAAACGTTTCTCTTTCTCATAATGAAGCATCTTTTTATTCTCCTCAGTGCTTTGTGGTCTACACAGGCTGCTGCACAGAGATACACTTATACCACGCGCACCATGACAGAATGCTTCAGTGCAACTCAAACAAGCTTTGGCCAGGCTGAGCCAACACAAGGTGCTGACAAGTACTGGACTATTGAGATGCCTGAATGTCAGGATTGTCTATGTACGGACTGTGCCTACACAAATACATACACCACAACACTCGACGTCTTTTCACCATCAGGCATCGCCAAGTTCCCTTATCAAGTCAAGGAAGTCTACAGGGGCATGTCAGCCATGCCGGCTGATGCTACACCAACTGCTGTTCCTTATGGCTTCACCTCTGGCGTCGAGACCTGCAGCATCTGCGGTGACGAGCCAGTTACTGCAACGATGACATATCCTCGTGGTGGCTCTCCATATCAAGAGAGTGTACCTACAGCAACACTCGCTGCCCAGACTGCCTTTGAGCGTCCTTCAACATTACGAACTCAAGTGGCTGATACAGAAGCTACCGATTCTCCTTCAAATGAGAACAATACACGACCTCTTGAAAACACTGTCCTTGAGCACAAGGCCATTCAATACAGTGGCCAGGGACCAGACATGGCCGACTTTGTCAAGTTCAGTCTTGCAAGCAAATCTGGCCCTAATGTCGACGACGCCGAGTCAAAGACACCTGGAAAACCATCCAGGGATATCAATAGCTACGTCAAGATGCGATTTGACGCAGCTGAAGCAGCTCCATCGAAAGATGTTGATGGTGCAGCAGCTAGCAAACATCCACCAGCTGGCGTTGCTATAGCTGTGCTTGTGCCTATCGCACTTCTGTTGTAGAACAGCCAATAAAACAACAAGAAGAGAAGAACAAAAAAACGAGGGAGATTTTCAGGAATGCATTCAGCGCCGGCGTTGCATAACTCATCCATATTCGGAAATGCTTCTTTTATCCATTTAATAATGATTACCACGGCCAACTATGGAAGAACAGGATACCACCAGAGCATACAAGACGCCATTTGAAGGAAATTAGAATAGTCAGAATATTAGCTAGATACCCCCCAATAAATAAAGAATTAAATGTACTTTCAGGATAAACTTGTGATGTTGGAAGGAGGCTTGATGCGGTTGGTGTGCCTTGCTTGGTCAGATGGGATCGAGCACATCGGAGAGAATGTGATATGTTTCTTTCTGATTAAGTTATGACGGATTCCGTGCCCTGAAACCATTCCCATACTGAGCTTGGCGTGAAGGCTTTTAGTAATGTGATGCAGATCTGATAAACTTCAGTGCGAATACACCGTACACACGGAGAAAAGCCTCAAAGTCTCACTCTCATTGGAGACTGGAGACTCTTCTGGGGTGGTTACACAGAAGTACAAAAGTCAACCTTGTGCCAGACCCAGAAAACCTTCTTCTGAGGAGTTGTTGAGTTTGGTGATGCCTATTCTTTGGTGGGCTTATCATCCGTTTGCAGGTTAGTTCAAGACAAATGAGGGCATCGTGAGACAAGTGGATGAAAGGTGACGTCAAATATATGAGATCAAATACAACTGAATCAACTGAACTGAACTGGACTGTTGAGCTAGGCACTCCAGGGATAATGCATAGTAATATTTGACATAATCATGACTTTGAAGACACGTAGTGTAGCCCCAGTACACCTTGAGCAGACCTTCCTTTTTATCAAGATCAACAAGTTGAATCAACATCATCCCTTCCATCTTAACACTTCTGTTCAATATACGTGAGGCCTAACTCGCTCTCAACAGTATTGCGTCAAGGATGGGTGCAGTGACTGACTGCGGATCGATCATGCGAACCCCATGATAGAGGCTTCTCTCCGGGATGCGTTGCTTCAGGCACAGCCAAGTTCGAGTAGAAACGGAAGCATGCACACCCCTGACTGAAATCGTGCTCGCCAACAACACCCCTCCTTATTCTCTTGTAGTCGAGCTTCTCGGGAATGATGAGAGCCATAGGGCTTCCCGTGAAAAGCCGAAGAACGCTCGTTTACCCTAAGACCAGGAGGGCACATGAGTAGTAAGTGATGCTCTTCCTATTAAGCATGGAGCCAATGCCGCAGATATGTCGACTGTTAACCTTGGTAAGGTGAAGCTTCTTCACTGCAGTGGCAGTCAATTTCTGTCGTGGAGATTGTGATAGTGGTGTCGTTCAAGTCATAGAATTTGTTCTTCATGGGCATGGATTCTGTGCCTCATTCCTGTGTATCCTTTCCCTTTTTGAGGCATACGTCGCATTTATTGCATGCAGACTGACACTTTCTTTTGGGCTCAAGAGTCGGCAGAACACGAATTGAAGGATCATATCAATAGTAGAGGTCTTATTTCCTGTGGCGACTTAGATACGATAAAGGTCCAGTACCAGCTTGTCCGACGGTAAGGATACTCTCTTATCTTCAAACATTCCGCCATTGATATAATCCTGTGGTCTGAGCTGCGAGCTTTCGTAAGGAGAACACGAAGTTTCGGGAGTCAACCCTACATTTGTTCCCTCTAAATGATCTGTGAGGTTCAGTACTGATGCGAGTACAAAGAGAAGAAGAAGATAAACTTGCAATTCAGATTTGAGGAGTGACTTCTCGAGACGGAGTAATATTACTGCGCGGATCCTCAAGGACTGCAATTTTCCAGTGCTTAATTCGAGTCACTACTCATCAAACCTAGCCGGGGTCTTGTGCGAAAGACATTGCAGGCAGCTGTTGTGAGATATAACTATGCATCCAATTTCTTTCATTGCATTATCCAAAATGAACCATTTCAGAATGGTAGATCAGGATTTTTGATATCTTATAGAAATGGCAAAACCGAAGCTATTCCCATGTAGATACATGCCAGTGGAAAACGATAGGCTGAGGTAATAGACCCTTGTTGATATGACCGTTTCAGAGGCAGATTAGGTTGGACTTGGGCCCCGTTAGCATCCGCTGTGGCTCCTGTCGCGTAATTGCGACATTTTATCAGTGACACGTTGATCAGAGTCAAAATTTGCATTGTATCATCAAGTCAATTCATGTCATGTGAGTCTAATGAATAAAGAGTCACATTCACTTCGTGTTCAAGATGCATCTGCCGAGCAACCCAATGCAACAACAGCGAAGCATCCGTAACATCCGGATAAACAACGTCATGAAAGTCAACAAGGCTGCGTAATGATCGTGGCGTCAGTCATTTTTGGTGTCCTCGTGCAGATCAGATCCATCAGGTTGTTAGTGAATTGACAACCGTTGGATTTTATAGCAATGAGCAACACTACATACATATAGAGCGCTTCGGATGGAGATTATATAAAAGTCGGAATGATGATGAAACTGCTGAGGCCTGTCACTCAGCTGAAGCATAAATTTAGATACCGCTATGCAGATTTCGGAATCCAGTGCGTTTAATTGGTGTTGACTCTGTTCGCTGTGGTCCCCTAAATTCTTCTCCAGTGGCGCAGCTGTGTCCGTAATGCCTTGGCGAGTCCTTGGGCATACAGTAAATTCCACAAGGCATCTTTGACGGTAACGCAGAACCTGTCGAGTCTTAGGGGCATTAAGCTCCTGAATCTAGCGCTGACATGGTCGATGAATTAGTCGATAATCTAGAGAACGACTCAAGTTATTGATCCCATTAGAGGGAAAATACAAAGCCACACAGCCACATCGAGACAGCCCTGTCACTGCAGCGCTGTTGCGTCTAGCAACGCGTGGCCAGCCAGTGGAGGCTTAGGCTTGGGCGGGCGTCATGCTGGAGGAGGTCCCGCTGGCCAGGGAACCTGAGTAGAACTGGAACCTGTTTCGTCAGGGTTCGGTTTCCAAGTTGGCCATTGAACTTAATTCGCACTCATCCCAACGTCCATTAACGACTTGACCCTTTGTCAACACAAAACAACATCGATTCTATACATACATTCTCAATAACGATAACGCTCTTTGTTTGTGTTTTTTTTTTTTGCGTTTTCATCTGATCCATCCTAGCGAGTTCATCTCTTCAGAGGCATTGACGACGATCCGATTCATCTTGGCTTGAGACGACCTAAGCCGTTGCGATTGAAGCTGAAAAGCCAACAAACAAGACACACACATACTTTCGCAGCCTGATTTTTGGCTTTATCAACGAGCAGATCGCTTTCTCGAATCTCCTTCCAATCTTCCCTCCTACATATCTCGAAAGTCTTCACATCGACCTCCAATATGCGGTTTGAAATCGACCCCGACATCGTCCCCAACCTGAAACTTGGCCTTCACTCTTTCCAGATCATCATATCTCTGGTAGCATGGTGTTTGCAAATTGGTGTTTTCAATGCAAAGGACGCAGAGGTCACTGGAAGGAATGGCTGGACATTCGCGGTGGTATGTCAACATCTCGACTTCTATTTCACATTGTGTATAGGGAGCTAACGATATCTGCAGTGTTTCCTTTCTGTCCCAGCATGGATCTTCCTCATCATGACTCCCCGATGGGGCCGCACTCGTCGCTTTGCTCAACCGCATGCCATGCTTGCTGTTGACGCTGCTTTCACAATCATATGGCTATCTGCCTTTGCTACTCAGGCTGCCTACAATGCCGCTGGTCAATGTGGAAAGGCCTGCAGCATCAGCAAGGGTATTGTCGGTTGTGGTGTTCTGGTAACGTATGTGCTTCAACTCGATCTCTGCTGAATACTTACTAACCTCCTCTGTAGCCTCCTCTTCGCTGGTTCAACTTTTGTTTCCGCGTTTACCCTCAACTACTACAACAACCACAACATCCTGCCAGGTTACGATAACCGCCAGATGGGCAGCGACAACATCGACCCTGACAAGGCTGCTTTCTCCATGGCTCCTCACGGCGATGAGGCTTACGAGCGAGTCGACATGGACGATCACGAGCCCTCAGGCAGTGCCTACGGCGGTGGCTACAACAACAACAGCTATAACAGCCACTCCCGCTATGGCGATGCCAACCCCTATAGCGCCGATGACGAGGATCCCGACCGTTTTGGTGCCCTCCCCCCTCGAAACAACACCCTCTTCGACAACGACACTGAGTACCACTCCGGCGGTGCTCCTCCATCAATGCCTGCCAGCTACGCCAACCCAACAGGTGGTCATCCTTATGAGGATGTACCCGCACAATTCCCCGCCGGCAACTACGATAGGGGGCACTAAGTAGCAACAGCGTGATAAATGAAAGAAAGGATATATCGGTCTCTTTTTTATGCAACGGTGTTCATTTTGATTGGGTGTGGAATAGCCTGGGAAACTGCGTCTGGGATGCGGGGTTCACATGTTTTGTACGGTAGATAACGCCTCTGGTCGAGGAGGGGCGTTTAACGGCGTCATGGCTTTCGCGGAGACAAGGGAGATGGATGGGGCCTTTGGCTGCGTATGATCTAACTTAGACATTGCACCCATGCAAACACACGCACATATATATAAGGCACTTTGGATTCTCTCATGCTTGCGGTTATTCTATATTTTGGACAGTATAAAAGTTTGGCCGTGTGAAATGAAAAGTATACGGCGTCTTATATTTTAAGATGCTCGAATCCAACTCCCAACGCCTTCTGTTCTTAAGCCAGTTTTGATACTCCATGCTTGATGATTTAGCGACTCAATCTTATTCACCCCCAAAGCCCTGCTTTTATTCCGTGTATCCCGCTTCTACTCCTTGTTCATCTTGCGGATTCGCTTGGCGATATCTGCTGCGGTCTGCTGCATGGGGTTCAACTTTCGGTCCCTGGCCATAGCCGCTGTATCGTCGCCATACTTGGCCACGAGCTTATCCAACCATTCCTTCTCCCGGGTACTCTGATGTCTCTTCTTGGGAAGATCAGGCTGTTTGCTCTGCTCTAGGAGAGTCTTGACAACATCGGTCGCATCAGCGTCGTCCTCAATGCCACCCCACTCCTCGGCAGGCTCAGCGTCACTGTCGTTATCGAGGTCGTTCAGAGGATCGTTAAGCGGGTTAGGCTTAGCCTCGCCGAGAATACGGATAATCTTTCCATCAGCATCGCGTTCGACACGTGCCTCGGATACAATGGCGTTCTCGACGGTGGCGATAGAGAAGGGATCGTTGGGGTATGCGCGGGTTGTGGTTGCGCCAAGCTTCTTTTCTGTTCCACCGGTAGGAGCCTTGAGACGCGCTACGAGACCGAGACGACGGTAATTTTGAGAAAGAGTCTCCTTCTTGTTCCTTTGGGGAGTTAGCTTTGCGCTTTCATCCGTGGCTTGGGGATTGGCCATACCAGTTCTTTGCAATGGCATCGTTGCCTCGGGGGTTAAGGATCTTCTTGGATCTGTTAAGTTGACGGATAGGCTGGCGGCCTGAGCGGGCCTTCTTCTTTTGGAGTTCACGACCCATGGTTGATAATGTGAATTCTTGTGTTGGTTGAGATGTCGATAATTCAAGACGGTTAAGACGTCCAAAAAATGCCCGCCAAAATTTGATCGCAAAGTCTTATCGATAAGAGAAGTGGGACGCTAGTGGAAAGTGATCCAACCCGCCAACCTCTTTATATACCTTAACCAGTACGGGCAACAAGAAAAGCTTCTGTAATGATGATTCCAGCAAATCTTATAAGAAAAGCATGTCTTGCCTAGATCACATCTTGTAATGGAGTCGGTGGTTTCTGGAATCATCTCATCTTGCTCACGCAAACCTATTAAGTCTGGTACACCAAATTCATGCCAAGACCCCATGTTATTCATTAATCGTCTATATCTACCTAATATCCAACTGCTCAAGAGTTATTAAACCTTGAACTTCCGAGGGTCCAGCTTATCAACGTCGGCACTCTTTGCCCCTCCGTCAAACACGAACTCGGACATGAGCTTGCCCGTCCCAGGACCATTCTGAATTCCCCAGCATGTATGTCCTGCAGCAACGAATAACCCAGGCACAGTCGTTCTGCCGATCAAAGGTCCGCTCTCTTGTCCAAAGCGAATATGCCTTGGGAGATAACATGCTTGTTTCGCCTTGATGGGAGCCGCGGCTAAAACGGGACTGAACGTGCTGATATATGAGATTATGTCGTCGCACTGAGCCTCGTCGCATTCGACTTGATCTGCGGTTTCGGGTAACGGGACATTTGTATCTGGTTCACCACAGGCATAGGCCTCATTAAAAGGCCGAGCATAAATCTCTGGATCAACATTGCCCCTGTGCCTCCTTTTCTGCCCCATCTTAGCACGATGCTCGGGTATAAAATCCGGAGGGAGCTGAATATCTGTAAAGACAGCATACGGGCTAACGTTCGCGTCGAAGACAACGCTGTGCGCTCTTAGGCCCTCGATCCTGGCCCGAGGCAAGACTTTGTTCGTCCATGGACCAGCTGCCACGACTATATCTGTCACGCTGGCAATGGTCTTCGTCTCGTCTGTGTTGCGATCTAGATACTCTATGCTTTCGACGCCATTCTTTGTGGAGTTTATCTTGGTTACCTTGGCGTTGGTGTGTATTTGAGCGCCACCTTGCTGAGCAAGTTCTGCGATTGCTGTTGTGAAATGTAGGGGATGCACTTGAGATGTTTCTGTCTTTCCGGGTGCGCCCATCTCAGACCAGCTGTTAATAATGCTATGGTCTACCCAGTCGAGATCCTTCGGTAAAATGCCTTCTTCTAGGAGTTCTTTTGCTGCGCCATTTTGCTTCGGCAGTTTCTCCCAGTCTTTTCCATTCTCACTGCCGTTTGCGCTTCCATTTCCGTTGGCTTGGAGTGATTTGATCTTGTCGCGCGTCACGACAGCATCAAAGCTTCCGCAGCCGAGTTGGCGATAACCCCATCTCTGAGGCCCGTTATGTTCAGCAGCCAACTCGGCATGCAAGCGATATGAGAGAGGAACTAGGCATTCTGGATAAGCCCAGAGGGCGAGAAGACCGCCAGCTTTGCCTGATGCACCTTGTGCGATAGTAGGAGCAGCCTCAAGAAGGGTGATAGTATGTAAGGCTGGGTTGAATTTCGAATGGCGTGTTAGATAGTAGGCCGTGGTTGAGCCAATGATGCCGCCTCCTGATATTTTTGTCAGCCTTATGTGGTCCGATGTATGAGATGAGGTTGTTGAGATATGACGGGGATAATAGAGAGCCCTGTAAGTGGCGAGGTGACTTACCAACGACGACGATGTTTCTCTTTGCGTCCATATCCAACAGGACACGAGTAAGCCGAACTGAAATGAACAAAACTGAGTTGAGAAGCAAGATTCAAGCTGTAGTCTCGGTCCCTGTCATGAGCATGATCAACGTTTTGGCGTCCGATCAGATGGGAATCGGAAAGAGTTGGGGTCCAGTAGTGACGTACAGACCGCGCCACCACCGCCACATACACTTTAGATAAGTCTTATCGATAAGAGATAAAGCGGCCGCTCCTCTGAGAATCCATGAATGTCTTTAGCGGGGCAGCTCCGAAATCCGAACCGGAGCTATTACCGAGCCGGGGAGTAGCTATGAAATAAATCGGCAGAGTGTTGCACCGATATCAATTGATTCCAAATAGAAGAAGAGAGGTTGGCAGAATTATATAAAAAGACCGAGTGTATAGAAAGGGCCTCTGATATTAAGTTATACAGTTGAAGCTATGCTTGTAGTGCATGTCTTGTTCTGATTAGCGAGTGATGGTCTTCAGCTGGGCACTTTAACCGCTTTTGACCAGATATATCCTTTTATTATACTTCGGCTCACATAAACGTGAAACATATAAAACAATTCAGTGAACGTCAGGAATAATTCCAAATACCTATTATCTATCTGAATCTTCGGTACCGGCGGAATTGGAGACCCCGATCACTCCACCCCGAATACGTCACCAAACCAAAAATGGAGTCAAGTGCCGAGGCTTGTAGAAGTGTAGAAGCAGTCTCCATACAATCAATTACCGTTATTGTGTAACTCGGATTGTTTCTTCAGGTTTATTCCCTGCTCCTCTGCTACCAATTCTACTGCACCTATACCTGTACCTATCTAATGTCCCTGTGGCGTGCTACTGCTCCTCGTTGGTTGACTTTACGGCCATCATCAAGTTCCAGTTCCCGCTGGCTTAATAAATACTACACCACCACCACTACAACTTCTTTTCGTTCCCCACCATTTTCACCTCTCAACACAAAACACAACAGTCCTCACCAGAGAAATATCACTCATAACCATCTTCGTCATCTGAGTACAACTTCAAAGATGGCTTCTGCTACTAGCTTTTATGACTTTAAGCCTCTTGACAGTATGTGTCTCCCCCCTCATACCCCGCCTTAACCACACCACTCTCATGATAGCCTTCTCATAACTCTCAACTAACACATTTCAGAGCGCGGTCAAGAGGTTCCCCTCGCCGACTACAAGGGCAAGGTCGTCCTCATTGTCAACACAGCCTCCAAGTGCGGCTTCACTCCCCAGTATGCTGGTCTCGAGAAGCTCTGGACCAAGCTCAAGGAGAAGTACCCTGAGGACTTTGTCATTCTCGGCTTCCCCTGCAACCAGTTCGGTGGCCAAGAGCCCGGCACCGACGACGACATCCAGGAGTTCTGCCAGCTCAACTACGGCGTGACCTTCCCCATCATGCAGAAGACCGAGGTCAACGGTGACAACACCAACCCTCTTTGGGCCTGGCTCAAGGACCAGCAGTCGGGTCTTTTGGGCCTCAAGCGCATCAAGTGGAACTTTGAGAAGTTCCTTGTTGGGCGTGATGGAAAGGTCAAGGGGCGCTGGGCTAGCACCACCAAGCCCGAGAGTCTGGAGGAGCCTATCCTGAAGGCTCTTGCGGAGAAGGCTGAGGCTTAATTTGAGATGGGTGAACGACAAAAGGTGTGCTGTTGAACCCCTTCAATCTAAAATGAGATACCCTGTTGGGGCCAGACAGCGACACGAGGATTATGAAGTTTTAATGAGGGCTTTTAGGCCCATGCGTACTGCTACATAAACTAATACAAGGATTTAACCAACTATGGACTGTTCTGCCTGTAACCCATCTGATAATCATGAAGCTTTGTGGCTTGGCGTCATTCATCCCATTGGAATAATTTCGACATACCAATCAGTAACCCAATAAACAGATAAATCATTTTACCATGTACTTCCGAAGCATATTCACTACTGCAATAACTTTTATGTGATACCATATTATCTTTTCTCATGTCACAACCCTCCGATCATCCGTGGCTCACTTACACCCGACTACATACAATCTCATACCAAGATCTCACCCCAAATTCCTCCAACCACTCATCTTACACGTTTTCATAGTAATACCTAGTTCCGGGGTCGTATTCGAGCCAGACCTCCGCTTCCATGGTATCAACCTGGGCGACAACTTGTTGCCATAGGTAAATCTCAAAAGCTCCTGGCATGATTGCAGGAACAGCGACAGCGCATCTGAAGGTTCCCTCCCCCTCGGGACTTAGAATCATGACGAGATTACGCCCAGGCAGACGATAGAATCCTGGAGTGTCATCAGACGGATTCCAGCTAACCACCATTCCTGGCCGAAGACGCTCTTTGAATGGAACATCTGCCATCTCGGGTCTCGGGTCTTGGCTTGAAAGTCCCTGTTTTCCAGCTGCTTCTTTCTCCGACTTGGCGTCTTTCTGGGTCGCCTTTGGCTTGTTGTTAGCGGCTCGCTGTGAATCGATGTGAAGACGCCAGAATTTGGCTTGGAAGGCGGTCGCTTGCTCGAGCGTGACGCCCGGGGTCTTGAGGCAGCGTGTGATGAACTCTGGAACCGGGAGTCGAAGAAGTTGGATACCCGTCTCTTTGGGTGCGAGAGCTGTAGGAGAAACGGGCGGGGTGCCAGACTGTAGATGGTGTTAGCAAGTTGTTGTTATTGACAGCAAGCTAGTACTCGATGACTTACGTTCTTGAGAATCCAGTCGTGGAGCAGGTTCTGGGGCCAGGTGCTCGGCTTTGAAGCATCATATTTCGGCACGGCAGCTTTAGGGACGGTAATTCTCAGCATTTCTCCGTATCTCAGCGTGTTCTTGGTAGCGCCAACGTCAAGGAAGCTTGGGTTGACACAGGCCACGACGACGGTTTTGCAGCTGCGCTCAGCAGCAGGATCAAAAACATGTTTCAGAACTTTAGTCAGAGCACTCTGTCGAAACGGTACGTAGACCTTCTTGCCAGTGGCGAGCCCTGCAGCGTCGACACTGGCTCTCCCGCGGATACAGTCCTTGAGCACAGAAAGACTAGCATTGATCTCTCGAGATTCTTTGATGCGCTGGGCTGAATGCTCGGTGACATCTCTTGCGGCCTCCGAACCGGCAAGGTCAATTAGATAGAGAAGCCCGTCGTCAGATTGGGGGAGCTCAGGGTTCTCGAGGCGAATCTTGCAGATAGCGTGCGAGCGGGACGAAGAGTCGTTCTTCTGCGTAGAAGCAGTCCGTCGGAAAGATGCCGCATTGTTGATGTGCTTGATCAAAGTATCCGCATCTGTAACGTGGTACTCTGAAGCTCCAGCCAGATGAGTCGACCCGAAAGAGTCCTCCAGGATAGAGATGGGTTTGCGAGCGTTGAGGAGATCAGAGGCTGAGTTACCCGCGAGTTCGATGATAGAGATGAAGATGTTGCGAGTACCTTGAATATCACACGAGAAGAGTGTTTCAGCGATGAGGCGCTCGAGGCCGCTGACAGTGTATGTTTTGCCTGAACCTGTCTGGCCATAGGCGAACATGGTGCTAACACCGCCGCCCCACGCCCAGGGGACAAGAGGCTTGACGAGCTCTTGGTAGATGCCTTCGGTTGTGTCTTCGGAGTTGAAGACCCTGTCCACACGATAGTTTGTAGACTGCAATTCTATCAGTAACCATACTATCTTTATACGAGATATCTTGTACTGACCACCAAAGGAGGAGGTCCCCTGACTGGTCTCCGCAGTTCGTGTAAGTCAATCACGCCAGGTGCGTTGTTTCGAGGAAAGGCGCCAATCAACTGTCCTCCTTCTTTCTCGTCGTCGAGCATCGGCCGAAGGCGAGTAGCAATAGTGATGTCAGGGTTGGACTCTTCATTGCTGGTCTTGGACTTGACAGGTGTTGGTTTGAAGCGATTCACCAGCTCTTGATAGCGTTGAGCGTGATCAAGAAAGTATTGATCCATGGTTGCAATGAGACTCGTGAGATTAATGGGTATTAGAAACTGTGAGCTTTGTGTTCTTGACTAAAATCAATTTCTCTGTTGATATACTCTCCTGATATATCTCTTCAAGAATGATGGTGCCTAAACGATGTGAACTGCAAGCACTGTTGTGGCGCTCTGACCCAGCAACCCCTTATTACACGTGACAGGGTCGCTCTACGTAGATATTATTGAATACTGATGAACCAAGGCAGAGAAATTACTGTGGTACACTATTTCGTTGTTGTGGTTGTGATATGTGATACTCAATATGCTACGATTGAGTGTGCGTCAAAAGTGGTTTTGTTGCCGCAAGCGCCCGTTAATTCTAACCTCCATTTAAACATAGCTCTGGATATAGACTTCAACACAATTCGCTATAGAGTTCTTACTAATTGCTCTAACAGATTATTTACAATATGTATGTACCAATAAATCCGAAACCCAAAAGAGCTGAAGTTATCACTCAAACCAAGCTACCCGGCATTATTCATATCCTGCACCAAGCCCGGCGATAGATGCTAGGCAGCTGTTTGAGGAGCCGAATATATATTATGACACTTTAATTATAATCAACCTAGGTCTCCCAATAGTTAGATTTGTTTTCTCTGCTGCCTATTTATCCCTGTTTTGCGGAATACAGATAGTATGATAGAGTGGAATCCCGGTAGGCAACAGTTTAAGAACGGCACTAATACTTTAAACTACATTATACTGTTCAATTGATTCCGCTGTGGCATTTTCCGATTAGATTGTCTCGGGCAATGATCTGGTCATGTTGTCTTTCTAATATTGCTGCAAATCAGTTACTGTTGGGCCTTGTATCATGGTCAACCACAATCTGTTGCCAGTTCTTCTAGATCACATTCGGATCTCCTTCCTCATTTCTCCTGTCGTAGGAAGCAATCCAAGTCAATATCAATTGCACCCATGTCCAAAAGACCCAGGAGACTCGATTATAAGACACTCATGAAAGGTTTCGGCAGCAACGAAATCACTATGTGCGAAAGTCGGACCACGGGCTGTCTCGAGCTCGGAACAATATATTGTATCATCGATGATGCGCAGGCTAGCGATCAGTTGAAAGTGGGTTTGCCAGTCTAAGTCTTTACACAGCGCCTCGATATGGATGCTCCAGCATATCTGTCATCTGGAGTTGATCCTTATTCAAGGATACTGGTGACCCCTCCTCTGAGAAGACTTTTGATTCAATCCAAGGGGTTCGGTTTTGGGCTTCCCAACTACCAAGGATAGCTTTATACGGCAGCAATAAAGCTTGAGGACTTTTCGCGCGGGCTTTGAAAAACCGACTAGATATTCATGTCAAGTGATGGCTTCCACTGCCAACTGCGCCATCAACAGAGAATTGTTTTCGGTCACAACAAATTCCAATCGCTTCTTGTTCGTAGACGAATAGGAGATTGATTCGTCTTCCTTTGCTACTCTCAAATTAACAGCATAGCTGAAATAGGTTTTACCAAGCTTGACCTTATAGGAGCTTTGGGCTTTGGGAAGATGCTCTGTTATCAAGGCCTGCTGTCATACATCTGAACACCTATTCCCATACACATCGAGAGACAAGTGATGAGTATGTGATACGATACCTTCGAAGTTACAGGGGTAAGTCGCAGCCATCTTGGTCTACGGATGTCTTTCGGGTACTAAGGGCCAATAGAGCCTGAATCACGCAGACATAACTCAAAACCTACGATTCCCACGCCTCGGGGTTCCTGTTGTCAAACTCCACTGTAGAGATACGAAAGAACAGTTCTACATGTTGTGCTGGGTATCCATTGCGTTCGAAGACTGACCGAGGATCGCAATTACTGGAAAAAAGCTCCTGCCATCACATCTACTAACAGCATCGCCCAAGTCTCAGTCATCTAGGTTGCACAGGGCAAGGTCGAAAGCAAACGTAAGCCGAGCCACTTGTAAGACCTCAAGACAACATCTGGTGTCAATAACAAACCCAGCCGTGCCATAAGCTCTCCGTGCAACGTTAACAAGCATCAAGTCCTACACGCCTGTGTTCAATACCTTATATCTCCGAGTCTCGTCCTCCATTTCACGGTGCGCGAATGTGTCAGCGCCTGCTATTACCAATGGATGTCGACGAGGGAGGACAGTATGAGGAGAATAGGATCTGCTGCCTAGATTACCGGAATCACCGAAGTCGTACAGCCGCATAAGAGCCGTATAGGATATCATATCCAACAGTAAGAGATGACCACCATGTCATACGGGGCTATCTGATGATCCTCATCGCTGGTCGAGATTCAAAGGCGGCGAATGATCCCCGACGACGCCTGGTGCCAGGTCGGATAGGAAAATTCGGCATTGGGATCTGATCATGAGAGTAAGCTTTCAGCCTGAATCAACGGTCCAGATCCAATCAACACGTTGCGGCTTTGGTTCCCCTTGTTCCAACAGCTTGTCCAAGAATCCTACCCTAGGCAATGTGGTGGCAGAATCCCATGCCTCTAATCATGAGGAAATTGCATGAAGAGGATACAAACTTACCACAGCATAGTGCACTCAATTACGGTGGGTTCATCGTTTGTCCAGTGAAATGGTAATGCTTTAAGGGTAACTTTCCTGCCATCCATCAATGAAGGCCATTCCCAGAAACAAGATTCAGCGAGCCTCGAAATACGTTAGTACCTGGTGATGCGGATGCTTGTGATAACAAACTGATGTCTTGTCGTCACTATTTCGGTGAAGAATCCTTTGACGAGGGCTTTGTAGATAATTACCAGAAACTCATGGTTGTGATATCATCGGTTTGTGAAGGTCAACGTAACCAACATCATGTATCCTCCTCAACAAAGAAAAGATCTTTGTTGTGATAAACATAGTAGCCCTATGGTTTCATCTGCCACATTGGTTGACAGATCTCGATCCGAAAGCACCAGGATTCAGCCAAAACGTCAAACCACTGGAAGCGAGGCTCATCATTGCCATCTCAGATATCCGCCTGACGTCGCTTTTCCCTACCCTAGATTTGTTGCACTTCACACTTCCCTCAGAAAAGGCTTATCTTGAGCTGCCACACAACCACATCATCATCATTGTCGTCATCTTCCAGAGCTCGCCTGTACATTGGATTGATTGGATGTCCTGATCAAGCCACCGTCAGACTTGGCCATCAGCCTACCGAGTGTCGATCACTGATTGTCCACCGCGCACCGAGAGAGGCCGAAAGCCACAATCTGTATACCCTGCACTGAGGAAGCGGAAAGCCTTCCGCCGTCAGATAGTGAAGAAACTTTTACCTTGGATAACCACGATATGCCATCTCTTCCTCTGCGTTGCCTTCCCCAGATTTCCAGAAGTCTGCAATGCCACCCTCCCCCACACAGAACGGCCGCACGCCAACACCAAGCGGTAAGGGAAATGACGGGAGCCAAATAAATGCAGGTTCAAGATCGTCAAACTCAAGCCCACTAGCCACTTGGCTTTTGAGACTGTTCCGTATCGAGAAGTAAAACTGCAATTACTTGAGACAGAAAACTCAAAGGTAAAGAGATTTCGCAGCCTCTTTGCCCTGTGGGCAACGCTACCGGCCCTTCGTCGGTTTGTGTATCGAGGCAGCTTGAGAATTACGTACAAGCGACGAATAAAAGATAGGGGAGTGAGCTTTCGAATACCATTGCCAGCTGAATACCGCAAATTAGGTATCCACCTGTCTGACAAGCAAGACGTGTTGCGATGCCGCCTGAGGGTCATGAAGCGAGTTGATAGGACAGTTTTCGGCGATATTAACGCGATGCACGCCGTTCAATAGCATGGTGACCTGCCATGCGGCACTGCGCTGCAAAAACCTATGTACCCATCTCTCGTTCCGTGTGGAGAAATGTTGCTTCGTCCGTTATTAGAATTGCTCCGCCCCTCCAGACCATCTCAAGCCATCACAAAAAGTCTGGGGAATGCGGGGGACGAATGGGGAGCATTCTTATGGTGATGACCGTCCCGCTTTGTCTGGAAGAATGCATATCGTATTCGAACGGTCGACGTAGAACTGAAAGAGCCAAGCTGCAGGCAGGATATCTTTATCAGCGTTCATGATTTCCGGAGCATTGTTCGCGCACGAGACCCATATCAACCCGTCGTCTATGTGATTCAAGTGGAACTTTTGCACTATGAGAGCGGAGAGCCATACCTCGCAGCGCGCCAACGCTTCCATGCCCACGAGATTCCATGACTACCAGGGCATGCGTGTACTTGTAAATGTGCTGGCGGTGACTTCAACTCCTTCAAATCTCGTAAATGGCCTTCTACAAACGTCCAAGTCCTGCATTAAGGGAGTGGTGTGGCTGATCTATGAACCACCATCATGCTATTAAGGGCTCGGCCCTCTGCGGCTTGACGATTTTCCATACTCGGCACAAGGGACCTGAGAAGAATCGACTGTTGAAGCCGCACGAGCCAAGTCAGTGACGGTGAGAGTCCGAGACAAACAGCCCAAGTTGTTCATCGGAAGCCGAAACTTAAGAGACAGGTTATGTGCATGAGGGTACCTGGCCCATCCCCGCGCTGGCAATCTCATGACACACCAACACCAAGAGACGCGGGGTCGGTAGGGTTCTCCATCTTCTTGTCGGGGCTGTTGGAGATCAAGGGTGGCTGCCAAAGAACTTGGCTAGATGCGTTGGGAATGCCCCCTGACCCGACTTTTAGTCAAAACAGCAATACTATTACGTGATAATAAACTATGTCCAGCACGTGAAGACGAGATTGAATGAAGCCGACATCAAAACTCGCATCGGTAGCTGTCCGCCCAGTTTGCGGGGAAATCTGGGGACGTGGAGACGATACTTTCAGTACCCTTTCATGAGAGATTTCAGGGACTTGTTGTTGCATGGCTTTGGGGTTTCTGGATGTCGATCAAAGCCGTTGTCATGAACTCTTCGGGCCCTAGACCGTTCAGGCAGATGGCCAGGGAGCCTCGGCTCACGATAAACTAGGGTGAGATTTGCTTTTTGAACCCTAGTCCCGTTTGTCCAAACTCCAAACTGTTTCAATCGATCAATGTCAGGCTAACTTGCTAGACTTTGAATCATGATACCCAAAAGCATCAGCACTATAAACTTGACGAGTAGCCATGATGCGTACCTGAGTCGAGGGGACCGATCATAACCGACAGACGTCCTGCCACACCATAATAGACCAAGCCTCCAGCCTGGCAGCATTCAAGCCAACGTGAATGGCCTAGTTGAAACTAGCAGTGGTTCGCCCGGAGCAGTCGGGTCCTGGTATAATTCAGGACCAATCTTGATTCGCTCACCATTACCTTACCAGCAACGTAGCATTCAACCTCATCTCAGGCTTGTGGCAAATCGGAAATGAACCCCAACGCATCAATGTCGGTTGCCTCCCTCGTGAAGCGATACCAGAGTCTACGAGTCGCCGAAAGACGAGATAAAGAATGGCGGAATTACCCATTGCCTCAAAAATTCTTGGAAGATCATGGGCTATGTTAGTGGTTGATGGGGAGCAGACCGACTTCTCATTAGCCTAGCTCAACAGCCGCGTGAAGCAGACATGGGGAACTCGCTTAGGCAGGGGTTGTGCAAGCAAGCGGCTCGAATTGAAGCAGTGTGAAGACACCGTCAGCTCCTGTCGGACATTTGTGTCTCGGGTATTGGCGAAGAGCGTTTTCAACAAGGATTAGCCACAATTGCGCGAATAAAGGATAAGGGCCAGTATCCAACATGGTTGCCTTCAAGAAAAATGATTGCCTCGAGGTTTCGCACACCTTAATCTACTTTGCATTTAATGCCTATCAGCTCTCAGGCAAAGCGTAGTATACAACTCGGGTGAGTGGGAATCCGATCAAAAAATAGACATTCAGATGCGAGCCAAGACGTAAAACGATACCGAGGCGGTCATTAGAACCGAAAATAACTTGTTCCTAGTATCATAATAAGATGCGACTATGACCAAAGGCTTGAGACAGCCTTGGGTCCCTAGTTCGACTTGGGCCTTGGACTGCTCTAGTTTTTCGTAATGTAGCGCTTGCTTCTTAATTTTCCAGCGATGAGAAACGAGAGACTCATCAATCGCATCAGCAGCCAATGAAACGAGAGTATCGTAACTGAATAAGGTTGATGAGCCGGCGACAGGGACTGTGACGACCGAGACCTGGTTGGCATGGATATGCCTCGCTGTCAGTGAGTGGTTGCTGCTTCTAAGCGCCCCCTGTCACTTTGGGAGAGATTGGTAGTGCTGGAAGAGAGGGCTTTTTGCAAAGTGCGAGGCTTAGACCCTAGCTTGGCTTCCATGCAGCATCGTTCGGTCCTTCTAACGCACGATTTTATCGTTTAGTGTATGCGGCTAGAACCAAGCTTGGGCTTGGTTCGGAATAGCTACCAATGTAGACCCTTGCCGCCCCCGCACACCGTCTCTGTCGATACGTTGGATTGACTGGCTTGTGTGTTGATTGATTGCTTCAAAACAAGAGGCGCCGGTAGTCGTTTCCAGGTCACGGCATTCAACCATTGAAGCTTTTTGACCTATATTGTTGTAGTCTTTACCGCGTCGTCCGCTGAGGAAAAATCACTGTAGTACTCCCACCACTGTCGCAGCCACTGTTGTCACCATGCGTTTTTAAAGCAGGGGTATCTCGAAGGGCTTGACGAAGAGCGATTGCCAACATTTGCAAACGCATGTTTGATGATCCGACCCTTTTTGTATGTATTGCATGTCAAGCAGTTACTGATAGCCCACATAGTGACTTTAAGGACAAGTCCAGTGAATCTTGGCTTTCAACGGAGGAAGATAAGAGTTTTGCCTAGTACTGTCGGTGAGCGGAAGGTCCGGCGTCAAGACGTTTTGCAACGAAGAAGTTCTCCATTAATAGTGTTGTTTCCAACCAGCCTTGGGAGTTTTCAAAATTCAAGGGTTAGGATAAGCGTCGGGGTCGGATTTGCAGGGACCAGCTCTCGTTCAAGGGCTCTGTGCAAGGAACTCTTGAAATGACGATGAAAAGAGTTGTGATCAGCCTGGAAGGGTTCATGCATCTATATCGAGTTTAGAGATCAGCGACGATCACGTTTAGGAGACTCTTTATTTGGTCCGCTTGTGTCTCAAGTCTTCCTTTCACATCTGCATCCCAGGAGTATGAATGAGCCCAAGCCCTGTCGTGTTCGGGCTCCCAACCTTCGGGTTGATCCCGGTTTAGTGGACATTTTCCTAATCCCTGACCGAAGGATCGGTACTCTTGTAGACACCGATGAAACTCTGCAGCTCTCCACGAATGCAGCCGCTAAAGCTGACCTGCGCAAGATGATCACTGCCTTATCGGCTCCTGATAGTGTGTGTTTGAGATTGGTCCTCTCTCGGGACCGGCCGACACTTGCGAGCAACGTTGGATTGGATTTGAGCAGTACCGAGCTGGCTCTGACCCTGAAGATAGAAGAGCCGAGTTGAAGTCGATCACAGATGGCATTCATGTAAGCTAAACTGTACCGCGCAACGATGAGAAATGACTACAGCGCAATGGTTGTGTAGTAGCGGCGAAACGGTTGGAGTGCCTGACCGAAAGAATGCCTATGCAGTTTTCTGTCCTTGCTGTGTGATGTGATGCGTACCACCAACCAGGGGACTATTGTCAAGCCGCCAAGGCGTCAAGCAAGGCTTCTGATAACCCCCGCGGTTGAGCCAACTACGACCATAAACGTACGTAAGGAGTGATAGGATCGGTGGGATGTTGATGTTCTAGAAATGTGGCTGCGACGCTTAAAGCTTCGAAACCTAGGGAGGGTTGCTTCGTCGAATTTGCGGACATGCATGGTGAAGCACATTCGGATGTGGTGGACAGCCATGCTTCACACTTCACGATAACTAGTGCAGGGCAGTTCAAATCTCATGGTGGTGTGACGCGACGGTGCAGAGCATACGATCCTTGATAGCTGGACACTGGATACTTTTGAAAAGTGCTTCGCATGGATACGTGTTACTAGACAGGGCGATGATGGCAACCGTTGCAAATGGCTGAGGACAGCGCTGTGCGTAGTGGTGTTGAAGTGGTTCCAGATGACGAGAGCGGCGTGCATAGGTGTGGCTGTCTGTCCTCAGTGCGAGGGTAGCATCCATCTCTTGCATGCAAGCAACCACTTTCTTGGAATCGCTGAAGTGTGAAATCTTGGAAATTCGGAAGCCATTTGTAATGAGAATATTTAGCAGTAACACAAACTTTATAGAGTCCTGTAAAGATTGAGAATGTGCTGTGATTTTACACCCGGCATTCCATCCTCCTGTCCTTGAAACCTTCGGGTTTCTCGGCCGAGGAGGCGTGGGTCAAGCTCTGGGACTTCCTCTGGAACTTCACGGTCTCGGGCTCTATCCGTAAATTGAGAAGGGATCATATCGTAATTCTAGACCGAATGGAAAATGCTGGTGAGCCAAGTAAACAGGCTTGCACAGCAGATAAATTGTCTCCGAAGTTGTGAGTCCATAAATGATGTAAGTGGACGGGCGCAATTCAGCACGAGAGAGGGTCGAGTGGGGGGAACCAGCAAGGGCTATTGACTGCATGGACCAAGACGGTTGAAGTTAGACAGCGCCTAGTCTGTGTGACATGGCTGAAGAAGTCTGGTGGAAGAATGCATAGAAGCTCTGACACGCCTAAACTGCTTCTGAGGCGCCGCCACGGTTGACCGCTAGGCAACTGGGTGATTAGCCTTGTCGTGACTAATTGGCCTCAGGATCAACCGCTAAGAGACATGTACCGCAATGTTCCAAGTGTCTCCGTGGTATTGCCGCCAGTCGAATTTCTCGTCATCATAATCATGGCGTGAGTTGGTAATGGTCAGATAAACCGAGCAGTCGGAACAAATCTGTATGTTTCCGACACAGCTATGATTGTCCAGTTATCAGTGAGGGATGTCCTGATTGTCTCAAAGCATGGGGGTAATCAGCCCTGTTCATGTCATCCTGGGCCACGGCTTGCCATGTGTTGTGCGCGGTTGTCTTGCGTATGATCCTGCGGGGTGAGAGATTCGTTGGTTCCACTGCCTCTCACCAGCTTGGTCTTGGGCTGCCAGGGCAATTGAAGATATGTGGTAAGGTAAAGTGGAAGGCGGCCAGCAAACGCGGAGGTAGGACTTGAGCGGATACTCGTTTCGAGGTTCGACGTCGCCAACCTAGCAAAACTGCAAGAAAGCCCGGCTCTGGAGCCTCTGGATAATATCTTTCATGACGGCGCTGTTGCCAGATGAATGTTAGCATCTGTGTCGTGCTGTTGTAGGCAATAGGGCCCCTGTTCTTAATTGATTTGCACAATGCCGGCACGGTAGGCCTTACAAGATCCACGGTTGCAAGCGAGCTAGAACCGAGGTGATTTCAAGATTGACTGACGCTTCTCTCGTCTGCTGTTGTTGCTACTGGTACTGCTGCTCCTCCTCCGCCTCTCCACTGTAAGGAGGTAGCTACCTAGGTGGCTAACGCAGCTAGCAGGATTAATCGTGAGCCTTGGCAACCCCAGGCTGCTTGGCCCTTTTGCTTCTGAGAGGCGGGGAGACTTTGTTTTGTCACAGCGCGAGTGGTTAAGCTGTCGATAATGGATGCATGGGGAGTGGATGAGGTTGTCTTCAGTGGAGATGGAGATGGTTGAGACGAAGGAATGGACATTTTTGATTGGGCAGTCACGTTGCAAAAGGACCTGACCTGACCACGGTCAAGGGTGCTTACGATGCCCCGGGAGTGGATCGCTTTAGCGCCTATGGTTGTGGATATGGAACTGCAACTGCAAATGCAAATGCAGCGGATGATTTTAAGGTGCACCCGGCGGCGGTTTTGTCACCCTTGTCGCTACATGGATCCAGGATGTCTGTATGCAAGTCTCCTTGTCTGGTGCATCCTGGCCTGTCTTGGCTCTTTTGTCGCTTGAGATAGGTACCTAGCTCGCACGCAATAAAGATCTTTTGTTTCCATTACGGATATGATAACGGATATCTTATCTTCCTGTCGTCAGGAACCATTCGAACCTGCATCTGTCGATGCTATGTGATCGACAACTGCCAAGAGCTACAGTATCGTCCAGTACTGTAGTGACAACCAGTGACAGTGGGAGAAGTTGACTTATCGCAGCCTCGTCGGCGATTCCGAGAGTGTCTGAGAGATAAGTATCTTACCTCCAGTCTACAGTCTGAACTGACTTGTACGACAGAAAGGTGAAAAGCTTGGACAGATTGAATTTGAAGCCTCTTTTCCCCTGAGTTCTTCGATTTTTTTTTCTCCCATAGCGTCAAACTACTTGCGCACCAGACTATCTACGGTGTCAGTGTCAGTATGCAGGTTCCTTCTTGATCTTAGCCCCGTTGTGTCATGTATGATGAGCTATCTAGACTGGAAGCATAGACCTATGCCGGAACAAAGCTCCTTACAGAGTTTACAAGACTGGATTGAGCCTCAGGTGTGCTTCGGCCGTATACCGTTGTCATGTCGGCTCCAGACGGTTTTTCATCTAGACGAGAGGATGCTACGTGACAAGCCACAAAGAGGAACAAAACTTGCCTAATTCTCCTACATTACCTGGGTTCCCTTGCAAATCTTGGATATTCACGCATCAATCTTAACTCATCTCTAGTTATTACCGGCGGCTTTTATGCTTTGAGGCTCTATTCCCTTTGCGCAATCGTCCCCGACTTGGCGCTCGCTGCACTCTTTCCCGGACTTGGCCTAGATTTTCAACCTTGTCTTGAGTGCTCCCTTGTCCGCGACGATTACAGTACAGAATAAGAGTTTCGTGAGTCCAATCTGTCCAAGATCCGAGAGTTGGGGGGGAACTCGGGCGGAAGAGAGCGAGTGAGACCTTGCTCTACAAGGGACGGACTCGATGAACATGGGCTGGCCAAATCAGAACCCCCAGGCAATGTGGGAACGGCTAAGGGCAGTTGTACCGGTGTATGAACAGCGCTAGGTGCCTCGCAGCGCTATACCGACGGCCACTAAACCGCTCATGGAGATCAAGCCGGGGGGGCTTAACCCCCCGTAGGCCGCCGAACGATGGGAGGTTCTATCCACCCGACTTGGGGCGGGTGCTTGCTGGCTTACCCCAAAGACTTACAGGGTCGGCAGGGAAAGAATGAACCACTTTCCTGGGGCTAGAGATAGATACTTACGACTGCTCACATTCCACACGACAAACAAGGTACCTTAACCGTAACGAACTTGTTTGGTTGCAATTACACTTACCATTTCGTACCGTAGCGAGTAGCCACGCCCACGCAATCTTCGATCCCGCCCCTCCCCTCCATCTTCCCGTCATTGTGAGTGAAGTTTTCCTGGTTCAGGTCGTCGTCTCTCCATATTTCTCTTCCTCTTCTCCAAACAACGACGTATGAAGGAGGCCCGCGTTGCCGCTATCTACTGTAGACATCACCGCCAGCACCGGCCAAGACACACCGAGAGAGATTGAGATTGGACTGGGTCCGTTGAGACTGAAACCATTTTCTTATTGCCAGGGGAATCCCTTCTGCGGTTGTCACTAGTTAACCTATTCTGCTCCTCTACCTCGGCCGAAATGGAGATGGCATCCAAGGATCCCCCGCTGATCATCGCAAAAAGACACGCTTGCTTGGGTTTGGGACGATGATGCCAACGCCAGAGCCAGTGCCAGAGACAGAGCCACAGCAAGACAAGCCAGAGCCAACGGTGCCCCCATCATGGGAGTCCATCCCCCATCCCCCTCTCTCCACTCCCGTCTCTCATCAGACGTCCCGCTCTCTCGATCTTAAACGTGCCTATCTGCTGTAGGTACATCACTACGCTATTTCACGCTACCACTCCTTGTAATGAACTTCACCCACACCCCTCACTCTCCCTGCACCCCTCGAGTGCACTGCTCCCCATCATGATCCCTGCCGCGGCTTCAGGGTCTTAATGCTGCTCTCAAGTACTGGGCGATACCCTCCTCTGTCTCTGAACACCCCTCGCCTCTTCTATCTGGTCTTCATCTTGCCTTATACCGTCCTAGAGCGCCACTTCCATATTCATACCCCGTTCCTGAAGACTTCATACTTTAACATCGTGTTTCCACCGTTTCTAAGATCTCCCCGTTGTCTATACTCTTATGAGTTCCTCATATCCAAATTCTTTAACTGTACCACTACTCCACCACCAACTTCACCTCGACTCTTCTCAACATACACATTAACTTGACTCAACTTGGCTATATACCTTGGCCTCGACAACTCTCTCAACACCCATCCACCTCTTACACACTTTACCCCTTCAACTTCACGAACATGACAGCCGCCATGTCACAACCGACCGTCACGGTCAAGGATCCCTCTGCAGTACGAAAGCGCAGAAGACGTGCTCCTGCTGGTGGCGCTTCTGATGATTGTTTCTCTTGCTCCAAGAAGAACATCAAGTGTGACCGTAGAAGACCATACTGCTCTCAGTGTCTCGAGGTTGGCAGTGAATGTTCTGGTTATAAAACACAACTTACTTGGGGAGTTGGCGTGGCCAGTCGAGGCAAGCTTCGTGGCTTGTCTCTGCCCATTGCAAAAGCTCCCCCTGTTACTCGTGAACCTAGAAAACACTCGACTGCATCATCAAGAAGCTCTGCCATTGCTCGTTCAGGGACGGAAGATGAAGTCAGCCGGATGCGCCAAGGCCCTATTGATATTCCTGCAGTGACACAAGTCGCTTCTGCACCTACAACACCATTTACCATGGCAGGATACGACTACCTCTCTATCCCCCATCCTGAGCATGCAACCCCTATCCACCAAGGAAACTGGGGTGCGGTCAACTATTCTCCCGCTCAAGAAACAGCACACAATCTTCATCGATTCCCGGTGCCTCTTGTAACAGAAAACCTCTCATCTTCTATCGATCCCCTTACTCCCGACGTTGGCTACGTATCGCCCATGAGCCAGTCTTATACCAGAGACGATGTCTCTTATGTTCACAGCCCGTCCTACATGTACGACAGCTATACAACAGGCACCAGCTCTCCTGGTCCTCAGAGCCCCCCAGCATCCCTCTACGCCGAACACGCAAGGACCTTCGCCCCGACCTCATGCCCCAGCCTCGCCCATGCTCCTTCAGAAATGAGCTCCAGCCTTCACTCGCATACCGATACCTTTGACTCGCAAATGGGCAACAGGATGGTTCGGGATTGTGATTCATTCGGTAAGCTCAGATGGAACCAATGAATTCCTTGGTTCTAACGTGTGCAGGCGTGCCTGAAGTCGATACATATGGCGCCAGCTACAGCTCGATGCCGATCTCCTGGCAGTCTCCATCGATGCAAGATGAAGATGTTAAATCTCATCATTCGGACTTTGCTCCCTCGGGTTGGCCAACCGCTTCCGAAAATCATTCTGTTCATGTGAGCCAGGACCTCATCTCCAAGATGCCCTTTTTCATGGATTACTACGAGAACATCATGTGTCCCTCCATGGTCTTTATCGACGGGCCACACAACCCATTTCGAGACCATATTCTGCGACTAGCTGTAAACAGCCAGAGTTTGAGCCATGCAATTTGTGCTCTTGCATCCTGCAATCTCCGCATGAAGAGGAAACTGAGTCTCGGACGTGATACACGAGATCTTTCTGAGAAGTTGATGGCTGACAAACATGCCGCCGAAGCCATGGCAGACACTCAGCCCGACGACCTGTCCCTCGCCGAGGAATACCAACACCGTAACCTGGCTGTGCACCTATTAAACGAACAACTCAACGACCGGACCAAAGCAATTCACGATTCAGTCCTTGCTACGATCCTCCTACTGTGTCATTACCGCATGGTTGAGTCCGGTATCGCCAAATTCCATACTCAGTTTGCTGGTGTCAGCAAGATTCTTGCTCTTCGAACTCAGCATCTTGCAACATCTAGCAATTCTGCCTGGATGGAGGCTATTTTCAACTACTTTGACGCCATTTCTGCCAGTATCAACGAGCGCGAGTCCCAAGTGTATCCCGGTTTCAGTGGGGTGTCAGACTCTCAACTCTTGCCTGTTGGAGCCGAGAACCTGGTGGGGTGTGACCGCGAGCTCTTCAAGACCATTAGCAGACTCGGACGCCTGAATCTATTGTCTCAGAATCGCTCCGTACGAAAACCAGCTGCCGCATATGGAACTCAGGAAGTACCTGAACGATCACCGTCCTTGTCTTACATCTCCCCACTAGGTCACGCTCGGCGAGAATCTCTCACAGGGTTTAATGTGAACGATCAGGTAGGAGACATGAGCAGTGTCACTAGCCATGGTCTCGGTGATGGGCGATCAAACACGGGAATCCACGAGGATCGAGCTGCGCCAACAAGTGCCCCGGCCACGTCTTACGAAGAAGGTCGCTCCCTATTTTGGCATGAGTGGAAAGAAGCACGGCTAGCGCTCCAAAATTGGAACTTCGATGCTTCCAGGGTCAGCGCCTCACTTCCTGAGCCCTGTACACAGAGTCAACTACGAGACCTGGAATCCCTCTCTGAGGCTTTCCGCTATGCCGCCCTATTATACACGGAGCGACTAGTGAGCCCATCGTTACCTTCAGGCCACCAGAGCATCCAGAGCCTTGTCAGCCAGGTGGTCTATTACGCAACGAACCTGGACACAGGAAGTAGCGCCGAGAAGTTTCTACTCTGGCCCCTTTTCGTTGCGGGCTGCGAATGCGTCAACGAATTACAGCAAAACATGGTGCGGTCCAAGTGTCGTGATATCATGTTCCGTTCTGGTTACATGAACAATTTGGCGGCTCTGGAGGTGCTGGAGAAGTTGTGGGCCCAAGATTGGGCGGGAGAAGAGCCGTTGATGTTGGGGACCAGGACCGGGGATCAACGCGGACCGTTCAACTGGACCAAATGCATCGGGGGACCCGGAGTGGAGGTGGAGTGGATCATGTTTTGATGTGCAGGGATGTTCGGCGATTGACATGTGAAGGCGTTTGTGCTCGGACTGAACTGGGCTGAGATGATGGGATGGGAATCAGGGATTTGGATCAAGTTGCAAGGGGCTGTCATGAATTGCAGACAGGCGTGGGTAGGGGTTGGTGAAGTTGGCCGGTCTTGTTAGCCTAATGGTGTGTGTCATATTCGGATTCGGGACTACTGTGGGATTAAGTTTGGGAGTTTAACTTGATGGAAAGGCTAGTATCATCATCTTGTATTATGTAACGCAGGCAACGCAACAGCATACGGAACGGTTACGTTAGAAAGGAAGCAAGGCGTTTCGGTTTAGTATATTAGGACAGACCTTCTGGAGTTGGGTACGTACTGAATATGGCCCAAAGAGACCGAGATTAAAACGAATTTTCACCTGAAAAGTGTCAAACTACCGCTACTGCCAGTCAACGATTAAGGAGTAAGGAGTCGAGAGTGACCCTCACATCCAGGATATGCCGAGGGTGCTAGTGAAGCCATTGTGAAAGACGATGCAAGATTTGGCAGTTGCAAAGACGTTACAGGGCTGGACTAGGTTGAATACGGCCTCTAATTTTCAGCCTCCTTTTTTATTTCCAGCTAGCTTTTACCACGTAGTACTCCTAAAAGCGAAAGGTTAGAGTCTGGCTTGCAGCGGCGCCACCGCGGGTTGACTCCGCTGTACCTGGCGGAGCCGGCCGAAGGTGAAGGGCTTTTACAAGAGCACAGCTGGACGAGGATTGATAAGGCGCGGTTAGATCGTTGATTGGTTAAGATTGAGACAAGACGATGTCTAACCCACTGTCAGATATTTTTTTGGCCGATTCAAGCCAGAGTTTGAAAGTGTGAGTGTGGGGATGGGAATGGGAATGGGTTCAATGATCGACATTAGGGATGATTTACGGTAATGGAGCTGGGATGGGTCCCTTGTAAGTTGCTTGAACTCTGTCAAGTACCGGTACGGTAGTACTTGTTGTGTAAACGACAGATGCATGGTGATATAGTTACGTATTCTACACCGGGATACCACCTTGCACCACGTTGCGCTGTCACTTGGAATGAGACATGCAACAGTATGATAATCAGTCAATGCAACTTCAAATGGAGATTGCAAGGCTATTGCAATGCTTATTCCCACATCCAGGTACATGTAGTCGTAAGAGGGTTTTATTATGATCGAGAACTGAGACAGTCAAACGCAGAAACATATCCTAGTCAGCGATCTCCCTCCTCAACGTAACATCACAAGCAAAATCCAAAAAGCTAAAAGGATCCTCCCTTCTCTCCACATCCATTCGGCCTTGTCTCCTGGAGCTAGTAGGGGTGGGCAAAACGCCACGACATGTAACAATCCTGCTGAGCCTTGCTGGTAGTGTACAAGGATGGGGGATGGCTTCGGTGAGAACGGCGAACGATCAAGGGGCACGACAGAAAAAAAAAGGCATAGCTAATGCTGGTTTCAGGAGTGAAAACAGACATGGCCGAGACTGGGGGAGATGGGGGGTGGTGTGCATACAGGGCAGACTAAACCTGAGGCTGATGAGGTTTGTCATTCTGAGATTGATGCTATTCCCGACGAGGTAGGTCAAACACAATTTGGGTTGGGTTCCTTTGTGGTGATTAGGACGAAATAGGGTGGGATGGGGTGTAAGACATTAAAAGAATACATCTAGAAATGAGAAATGAACTATCAGGGAAGGGGTGGAAGTGCAAAACAGATGGGTACGACCAACTAACGTGGAGTTGTCATGGGGTTAGATTCAACGTTACGCCCGCAATCACATGTACGTTATCAATCTGAGAATAGTTTCGATTTCCTATACCTCTTACTTGAAACCATGCACATACAGAATGATGCGGGCGAGCGTGGGTTGTGTTGTGGCCGTGGGTGTATCGTAACGGCTAGGGAGTTTGTGTTACGGCATCTTAATCAAAGTTGATAACCGCGTCTGCCGACCAGAGCATCGGGTCTCCTCCTCGAGGCCCGCCTGCTTGGTACCTAGGGTGCAACTACCGGTTCAGCGAGACGTGGGTAGCCGTTGTTGTAGCAGTGCCATGGAGTTGTTCGTCAAGGAGTGGCTGTGATGTAGGAGGTTGCTCAGTTATGGGGTCCTCGTCATCATCATCCTCGCCATCGTGGACCCAGTCCATCATGTCCGGGGACTCGACGCTTTCCTTTGTCTCAGGTGTATTCTCAATCTCAGAAAACAAAGGGGGCTGTGGTCGACTTGGCTCAGGGAGCTGTACCTCGCATGCTCGGTCATAATGCTGCTCGGCGAACTGTTCTGGGCCAAGTCAGCTTCTCTCCTCTGTGATACCCCTGAAGGCTTTACTCACCACTGATCGTCCAGTAAGTTTCCCCTGGCTGGTCCTCGAAGAGCTCCTGAGAACATCGTAGACCATCTTTGATCACGACAAGATCCCAGAGACGCAAGCTCCTCAACTGGTCTATCCTCCTCATAGCCTTGCTTCGATTCCATTTCCTCGCGACCGTTACATCGTACAGCATAAGACCATACTCATACGTCCACTCTGCCACCCACTGGATCTCCTCGAGCTTCATGGCGCGGGCACTCTCGCGGAACGCGTTGTCAAGGCACTCTCGGTTCTGCAATACGATGCTCAACATTCTCTGTTGCTCGGGGGGGTAGTCCAGGGGGACTCCGCGCTGGAGATTTGTCCATTTGTGGTATCGCTCAACGAGTTCTGTGTTATAGTCACGTTTGTGACAGTCCTCACAGAGCCAGAGGTAACTAGTGACGACGAGGACTCTTTGACGTGATGGGGGACAGAGCCCTTTGCAAGCTTGAGTGCATCCGACCTTGAAGAGGAGCTTGTGCAGGCATTGCTCGTATCGAATGATGGCGACACCGCAAGGCATATCGTCGCTCAGTGTCCCTCGCTGTTCAGTCATATGCGTCGTATTGGGGGGGGGGGGGGGAGGAAAAGGTATGATGATGAGAGCTTCACGTTGTTTAAGTGGATTTGAAGAAGCACCGTAGAGTTTCAGAAGCGTTGATAGGTATCTCCTTCGTGACTTGAGCTACGCAAAACGTCCTTTGGCAGTTAAGGTAAGGTAGTTACAGTTGAATCGGTCGTCATCGTCGAGGGCAAGTCTCGTTTGGAAGTAGCCATAGAGCAACACGCTGCCTCTGAAGTCATCACCACCACGTAATTTTCCCTATTTGCCAGTGCCTCAACAGTATGGCTTGCCTGTGTGTGCTGTTCATGATATTGTGCGGAAGCTGTTGAACTCTCACGCATATTTGACCGTGAAAGGGGCGAGTGACAGCGAATGAGCACTCTGGCTTGACGGAGAGACGGCAAAAGCCATTGGTGCCTAGAAATTAAACGCATCTGTCACCATGTTAACCGAGTCCCCTAAACATAGAGGCGTTGTCGTACAGTAAACTTTGATTCCCATTTTGTTCTTATGACTCGATATGGTGATTTCGATACGAGGGTATCCATGAAAGTAAAGAGAGAGAAGAAAAAAAAAAACATTCCGAAATGCCAATCTAGAGTATACTGAATTTCACACCTCAACACCATGCCACAAGCGCCGAGATATTCGGTGCAATGCCCAAGCACACACGGTCATAAAATAAACTCAAACCAAGTCTCGCACCCCCTAGACCCCTTCTATCATGCCATTTCCCCAGATTACCTTGCCTTATTCCCCAGCCTTCCCCTCCCCTCCTTTTAAGACCCCGCATGCGATGCGAGCGTCAGTTCAGGGAAATACCGCGAAAGCTTCCTGGGATTATGCACATCTGCCCTCGTTGGCTCTTCTGTATCCGAGATTTGATCGTAATCGTTTGAACTTTGGCCTTGGTTGCCATCCAGCAGCTGAACAGATCGTCTCTTAACTTTGATGTTTCCCTGCGCTGGGGCTGGTTTGTTGCCTTGTTCACTTGGCGGGGTTGTCTGTGCAGGTGGAGGCTGCGCTTGTGGTTGAGGCACAGGTATCGACTCACACACAGGAGCTACCTTTCTGGTCTGACGGCACATATCGGGACTGAGGCTCCTAGGTGGGCCAAAGTTGAGAGTGCCTGTCATCATCTTGCGGTAACCATCAAGCTCCTGTTGCTGCCGATCAACTCCCGCAGGACTAGCAACGTCACTTCGGTTCTTCTCATTTGATGTAAGTCCCTTAGCCTGGACAAATGCACTGGAGCGAACGTGGTGCGGATCACGTTCGTAGTACTTGTCGATTATCGGATGGACCATGACGGTCTGTCTGTGGATTGTCAAGATGGAATTTGTTGGTACGTTGACCCAATTCTCTGCTTCAAGTCAGCCCCTCCCCTTCAATACCCAGAGCATTTTGCATACCTCTCTCAAACGTCAGGGGCTCGCTTGCAACAAGTACAATGTCAGCGCCCCGATCCTTGCGTTCCATCTGATATTGCTTGTCACTTGCAGATTGTGTTCGTGTTGTCCATTGGGTTCCGGAAGAATAGTATAAGCTGGCCGCCTCATCCTTGGAACTGCTAATGTATCGAGTGCAGATCACGCTATGACCATCGGTGACAGCAAAGTTGAGCAAACTTCTGGTATCGACATCCTCATTCTGCAGTATACTTTCGGGAATCGCATCGGTCATCTCGTTGATCTGCGCGATTGTGCGCTTCATAGCCTCTCGAAGAATAGTCGGACCAAAGCCAGTTTCGGGGCAAGCGTTTGGGTCGTGGCCAAGTCGCTCAAGAGTATCGAGGAAGAGGGCAAATGCCCACTCGCTATCCGTTCCGCCTTTGACGCCCAAATACCACTTGTCAGCGAGGCGCTCGCCAAGGCGACGCTTGATGTATTTCCATCCACCCAGACCGCCATTGTGCATCCACATCAGACTACCGTGTGTGAAAGGGTGGCAGTTGTCTTCGCTTAGGGAACCTTCGGTCGTGGCACGAACATGGCCAAAGATTAGGCGGGAGGCGGTCTTTGAAGCGATTCGCTGCAGATTGGTGCAATTCCAGGCGGGAATGGTCGATGTGAAAAGGCAAGGCGCTGAGCCAAGCTTAGGATCGGTGTAGAAGCCTATGCCGAAGCCATCTGCGTTGTTCTGACCTCGTCTCGTATCCTGTAGATAGTTATATGTGTCAGTTATGATATGACGTTCCTTGGATTGTCGGTCAAAGAAATTGGGGTTGACCCACGAGACGCAACCGAGAATCAAATGATTGTTTGAGAATAGAATGAGTCGGATCGAGAATCAGCTTTGATAGAAGAATCTCGTCACTCCCTTTGTAGACCTGGAAGAGTTACGGTGTCAGTACTGTGTTCTGCGTGCGACCAAGAAGCCGGCTTCGGAGGTATAGATAAGGGATCTTGATTATAGGGGACTCACCAGGAAACGGCACATGATTTTGCCTTGTGCGCGCAAAGAAATCAATCTGGCCCGGAGAAAAAAAAAACAGATAGGTCAAGAGGGAGGACAGGTGCGAGAAAGAATAATAACGGAGAGGTGTAGGGAGAAAAATGCCTGGAGAAAAATAAGGGATTGCGTATTACGGAGACGGGAGGACAGTGATTGTGAGAGAGTGATAATGGTGAGGGATGACACCATTGGCCTTGGAACTCTCAAGGGTTGCGTTGCTTCTTCCAGTGGATGCCAGGAGTGGCTATCGGTGAACGGGCCATCGGCTTTGGCGGGAGACAAGCCCAGGTTAGAGGTAAGACAAGGCTGAGAGGGAGGGGGAGAGCGGCCAATGGGGATGAGTGAAAATAGGGGCACTTTAAAGGATTAAAGGATTTGAGGATTTGACTGACAGAACCAACGTGAGATGGCTACGATAGTGCATAAAAGCTATTGGTGCTGATGAGTTGTCATATGCTGTGCTAGGTACCACACATATGTATGTACCTAGAATACATGTTTTTATAGTATGAAGTACCTGCAGTAATCACTGATGGCATCATTCACGAGACTGCTTCTATCCTTGCATACGAGTTAAAAATTCCGGGGGATGGGCCCGCTGATAGTGGAGAATATCACGGCTCTCATCAGTTGAACTGCCTTCAAGTCCCGCTCAAAGCGTGACTCAACAACTCAATTCTTTATTGCCCGTTTTCGCTTGAAATCTAGTTATGACTCGATTGCTTCTCATCACGTCAACGACCCCCTGCGAAGCCGTGATTTATGAAATGTCTTGTGTTAAAATGATCATTCAAAAGATATCATATTCAGGGGAAAAAAAGAAAATCCAGTTCTGCAGCCACCGCCAAAAGCGGGAGTCGCCACATCCGCATTGTTGACCCTTGCAGCTAGAGAGCTTTGAGCCACAGCTGACGTCGGCTAGCTGCACTGACGTCTTCTCCAACTGTGGCGCTACTAGGAGAGCCATTTTACGCGAGAACATCGCCCATTTACACGCTCCGCGGTTTCGCGACCGCGTCTTTGGCCTATGACATTGGCATGGTCCACTCTCGTCTCGCTTCAACCCCATCCCAGCCCGGCCTTTTGGCTCCTCTGGCAACCAAACTAAATCTGCAATTGGAGCCTCTTCTTTCCACCATATTCAATTTTCGACATGTTCTGATCTACGTCTCTGCAAATCTTCGTCTCATCAATTCGTGAACTGTGACCTCTTCGCCACCATATATCGTCAGACCCGACTTCCCAGCCTCTCGCGGCTTCAACAGGGCATCGTTGCCTGCCATGTCCTCCGATGGCCCAGATACTCTTCCAACGCCTGCGTCATCGTCACGACCAAAAGGAACACCCTCGATAACACCTCGTCGCTTTAATCGCTTCTGGCAACCAAGACAGTTTCAGACTCAGCCGTTGCCAAAGTTTAGAACTGCTCTTGGGAGCTTGGACGAGTCCGATACTAACCAGCAGCCCATTTCGCCCCAATCACTTCTTCATAGTGATCCTATTTTACCTTCTTCTCCAAGTGATAGATTCCAGGATGAATCACGGAAGAGAAAGCTTCAGGCCGAAGCTTCGGGTGATGAGGCTGTCTTCAAGAGGCCAACATTGAACTTGGATGACATGCCACCACTTCGATTCAGTACCACAACTACTTCAAGCAACACACTTCCAGGCAATGATAATGAAATTCAAATGTCAGAAAGCCAAATTAGTCTGGAGAGTCTTGATAGCTATAGAAAAGCCACCCTGGTAAGTTTGGCTTGGTCTGAAATTGCTTACGCGATCTCTACTTACACCACATCAGAGCAATTTCTTCAAGACCAGCCGTGGAGTTGCTCGAACACTTAAAAAGTCACCTTTTCTCGTTAATACACCCAGCATCACCGAGGAACCTCAACCTGATAACGTATGTCATTATCCCCAGAGCCCCTGGCGTCACTGACATCATCACTAGGAGCTAGCCAACTACGCACCTAGGCCAATCCGAAAATTCGGCAATAGAGGCGTTGCATCACAATTACTCAACCGAGAGCATGGACTTGGATATTCAACTGGTCAAACATATCTTCACACACCAGCATGCGACCCTCGAGCCGAGACAGCAAGGTTTCACAGCCGCTGCATCGATTCTTATGAATGTCTAACTCCTAGTGGCAGCCGTACCATCCCCTTCTGCCTTACAAGCACTCACAATGCCCCCGTGACGGCTGTCGGTGATGAAGAAGGTTGTGTTAGGTTCTTCGACACTTCTCCAAACGATGATCCCAACGAGGAAAAGGACTTGGGTGTTCACTCGGTTCATGACAATGCCATCTGGGATATGGACTTTTCCCAAGATGATATGCGTCTTGCGACTACAGCTGGTGATGCAGCTCTGATTATGGATGTTACGACCAAGTCTATTGCTGCTAGACTCGCAGATGGTCATTATAACTCGACCCGACAGATCGCTTGGCAGAAGGGCCAATCTATTGGCAACGTATTGACAACATCAGACAAGGCTGGTCGAATTCGTCTATGGGATTTGAGATGCCCTCATTCTCATGTGAGAAGTTTCTCAACGATCAGTAGCAGCGAGACAGGTCGTCGAACCGTCACTGTTCGAGATGAGACCATTAGACCATTCCAGGCCTCGACCGTGAACACTCTTGACAACACCCATGAGCGTACTGCCCATGGTAAGACCTCTCCTGCTTCCGTTACTGCAATCCAATGGCTTCCCGCTGGTCGAGAACATCTTTTACTCTCCGCTTCTGAGGCCGAAGCTGTTGTCAAGCTCTGGGATCTTCGGTACATCAACCGTCGTCACCAAGACAAGAGCACACCTCTCTCAGCTACCACCGTCCCCTCCAACCACGCCTGGCGTTCATATGGTATCACCTCTCTGTCTCTCAGCAGTGATGCCGCCCGTATGTACGCAGTGTGCAAAGATAACACCATATACGCTTACTCCATGTCTCATCTCATGCTTGGTCACGCTCCTGAGCTCAAAGACCTCGCCACTAAGAGGAGACCCATCGCAGCCCAAGGCCTAGGACCTCTTTATGGTTTCAAGCATGACTCTTTCGCAGCACGAACATTTTTTGTCAAGTGCAGAATGCGACCCAAGGGCCTCTCCCACTCATCCGACCTCCTTGCAGTGGGTAGCTCTGAGTCTTCAATCGTGCTCTTCCCCACAGACGAGCGATATCTTCGATCTGCTTGTGCCCAGCGCGCTCACCTCCTTGATCCACCTGGATCTGCACCTACACCCTCCCGCTCATTCTCATCTGCCGCAGGCGCTGAACCCACCTCGTCCACAATCCCCATCTTCCGCAATGGCACAGCTCTCGTCCATGGCCATCAACGTGAAGTTTCAAATGTCAGCTGGAGTTACGATGGCAAATTAGTCAGCGCGTCTGACGATTCTATCGTACGTCAGTGGCAGGAGGATGAAGGTCGGGCTCGGTACTTCAGACAAATCGGAGATTTTGGTGGTGAGCGATACATGGCGGGCTGGGCTGATGTGGGCAGTGACTGGGATGATGAAGATGATGAGTAACGAGTTGATAGCATGTTGCAGTAGCGCATAGCGTTTCTTTGATATTATACGATACCCTTCAGCCAACATGGGCGTTTCAAACATGTATGTTAGTTAGCAGAGCTCTCCACAGAGACTCGAGCACACAAGCGGGTTCATAAAGGGCATTTACAGATAGCATTCACGAGGAATGACAGTTTAAAAAGGGAGCATTCACGAATTGGAATCACAGTATAATCTTGTTCAAGGATATATCGTTTAGGTATTTGTGACGTAAACTGGCTATCTCTGAATCTAGTGTCGTAATCGTTTCTTTGTAGAACGCTGAAAGACCGTGAACGGGTATCGAGTACAATCGTATGCGTGTGCTCTAGGTATAAAAATGCAACCAATTCCAGGTATAGACGTGCTTCTCCCCAATGAGGGTTATCCTGAATGCTTCAACTCCATAAAACGCCAAACAAATTGCAATCGCTGTCGGGAACAACTTTTCCTCTCATGCTTCAATAATCATTACTCCGCGGCCACGCCTAGCAGAGCATAATGCTCCCAGCAGGATAACACCAACGGTCAATACTATCAACCAGTTGAAGAGGCTCATGCTATCAAACTTCTTGGAGGCGACTTGAAGACAATCTTTCAACTCGTGCTCGGTCGTGTTTGTTTTGGCTGGCAGGCGCATTGGTCGCGGCAAGGTCTTGTCGAATCTCATAGACTTGGAAAAGGCTGGACAGAGTTCAATGGCTGCAGCATCATCCTTGGAGAGACCAGGATGGCCGATCGGGAGCTTAATCCCACTCTCTGGCTCCACTGTCGATGCGGTTGCACTGTAGTTCCAGATCTTCCAGACTAATTTAGTGCCGCTTGGTGCAAGCTTTGTAGATCGCTGAATTCTGTCTCTTGCGATAGAAACACTATCTCTGAGACGAGAGCGAAACGGGTGCAGTTGATCGACCAAGTCAAGCAGTGATGAGGTCGTACTGCCGCCACTTTCTTTGCGCGCTGGGGCATCACAGACCATGTCGAGCTGCTGAACCAAAAGTGTCATGTTGTCGAAAATGCAAATCGACTCTTGAACGATATCCTGCTTCTCGCGTGCTGTGAGCTGCCCCTCCATGCTAGCGAGTCGTCGCTTAAATTCCCGTTTCAAATCTTCCCCGTCCTCAGGAGTCTGGAAGTGGAAAAATCGGAGAGGCATCGTGTGAGTCGCATGGCGGTGAAAGTCGTCTATTGGGATCTCTTCGTCGGACAAACCACTTGCACGCTTAGTTGGCCTTGATCTCTCTTCACAGGGGAGACGGTTTGGCTGAACTGGCGAAGGTAACCGGTCCCAAAAATCGTCTCCAGCTGATTCGAGTGTAGCTCTGATAAAACGGCCACCAGCAAAGAGTGCCATGAACAAGATATAGGAATATGCCATCAGCACATGAGGCCTATGTTGGACAGTTCTTTTGATGTGCTGTATAAATTCCCCCAATCGACCATTTTCTTCGACAAGCCGTAACTGTTCTTCAACAGTATCGTTGGACCACCCCGCCAAATTGGCAATGTCAGCCTTTAGACGATCTGAACGCATTAACCCCGGGAGAAACATTTGTTGGAGTATCGATTGCATCCTGCTGCAACTTGACAGCTCGTGAAGATCGGAGGCTGGGAATGCAGTTTCTGCTGAGTTTGGTGGAGTTTCCAGCTCACAGGTCTCGCCGGCCTCTCCGGGCAAATCTACAGGCAAGCCCGACTCGAGTATGTCGCGCCACAGCGTCTCAAAGGCGACATAAATAGGTGTAACGTGGAGTAAGCCAGTGATATAAGCGGATGAATCGGTAGCAAGAGGAGGCAACGCAAGCGGTAGCCGGGCGATAATAAGTTTGTTAAGCTTTGCGTGCACCGATCTTGTAGCAATGGCGACAGACTCGGCTAAGGAGAGGTCATGTTGGCGATGTTGAGGTTGGGGTTGGGGTTGAGAGTCGGACGCAGGTTGAGGCTGAGGATGTTGTGAGACGTCGGCTCGAAGCGAAGCCATCTCCGTTGGAGTTGACTGGGTTGTTTGGCCACCCTCAGGCCTGGACTTCAAGTAGAGGATTGGTTTTTTATTGCAGGTTGAGGTTTAGGTTATTGGTGTGCGACGAAGATAGTAGTACTTGGTTGTCAAGGTTGAGGTAGGGGCAGAAAATATTCCAGATAAAGAGTGAGGAAGACAAGATGATGAGGACTAGGGTCGAGCCGGAAATAGGTCAATTCAGGTTAGGCAGAGTGAATGTAGGGTTATGAAGGAGGAGGAAGAGTCGATTTCGGTCTGGCCTGGGTCGAAATGGAAGAGGACCCTGCAAATGGAGATGAAGGAGGCAACATGAACGATATTACAAGCGGAGCAGGAGCAGGTATGATGCCATGCCTTCCTCATGGAAGATTTATGACAAGGGAATGATTAAGAGCCTCTAAAATTCGAGTCAAGTAGTACCTATTCACCGTTCCTTATGATTCTGAAAAGCTGTCTCTAGAGCTTAAGCTATCATCCAAAGTGAGTTGCTTATCAAGCCACACCACGAGTCAATATTGATTCACGGATGGAAAATCAAATCAAGCATGATGCAAAACGCCGCAATCCTCTCATTCCCGCCAACGCCACATCAGGAACAAGGGCACTGTAGATCCCCCTCATGACAAGGGCCCATGACACGGAGTGCTACTGAAAAAAGAAGCTCCCCCACTTGGAGACGTGAAGTCATGATCGGAATTTTGGCGTGTCATCGTTAATGGACCCGCTGGAAGCAGGGATCTAACGCCAAAACGCTCCGGAGCTCTGGGTCGGACAGGGAAGAATGTTTAACGGAGCTGCTCCGGGCCAGGACAAGCATTCTATCGTTTGAGCATAGAGGACACAAGAATCAAGGCAGATGAGATTTACGAAAGATCTAGTCGATATGAGTTTTGATTATATTTCAGGGTCTTTCAGCTTCAAAGAAGCAAATATGTCCACGTATACTACTATTACGAGTACTGCTGAGCTGTCAATTATTGCAAAAGTAAAGAATTAGACGAAAACATCAGCCATCACCAAACATGATACGATTTCCCACAGCTTCCATGTCTAAGTGACATCCTTCCCAAAATGCAGTACTCTGTACAATTGGCCATCTCATCTTTAGACCCGGCTGCCTCAAACCCTTCCCCGATCCGAACCCCGGTCCCGAGGCGCATGGTCCCGCCCAAACTTTCGATTCGATCCTCACAGATCATCGTACATGGCCCAAGATCGAGAGTATAAGTGAGAAGTTCAGGGTCCAGAACCACAGGACCCTCAAGACCCTGCACGATCAAGACTTATTTCCTGCAATTTTCTACATCGGGAAATCTAACATTCTAAATTAAGTCCTTAACTCCTTATCTCTATGACTGAACTGTTCATGTAGCCATATCTTGCGGTTGAAACGCCTTGCATCCTGTGCATAACTTGTCCCTGCTGTTCCGTAACTTGCTGTTGAAAGCAACCCAAACGCCTCAAAAGTCCGTAAGCTCGTGCATTTCGTTATCGTCATGACCCGTACACTTAAACTCCCACCGATCTCTCCAAGTCGTCATCCTTCTTGGGCTCCTCCCCATCGTGACTCTCTCGGCTGACCACAATAAATGAAACAAAAACAACTGCAGCACCAACCCAATAGGTAAAACTCGAATATTGCTGATATTGCAAGATCTCGCCAATCAAAGATAGGGGTATTGTGAGAGATAAGCCAACTGTCACCACAAGGGGTGTCGTCATGAGCAGAGCGAGGGCCCATGAAATATCGCTGATGAAGGAAGACACCGCATTGAACTGATCGTGTGTTAGTTTTCTGATACCTCGGCGGAACCACAGTAACTTACAATAATGATGCCCCAAAGTGTGCTACTAGGTGGTAGTTCAAACTGGCCACGGTTAGCTCACAATCACACCACGGCTCGGAACAAAACTCACCGGTTCCAAGCCTGTCCAATGCAAGATGAAGAAGATGGGCCAAAGGAGAACCACGTTGAAAACACCAACAAGCCCGAAGAACAGCTGCATATCGACCTTGTCCTCATTTGGAACCTTGCGCTTCATCACCGTCACATAAAGACCATAAATAACAGCACTCAGAAGCGCCATTGAATCTCCAACCGCGATTTGTGTAGGTGACTTGTGCGGGAACGACCCTCTATCCTCATCGCTTTTGCCGGACAAATCCACAGTCGAGATAAGAATCACTCCTGCTAGAGAAGCTCCTACACCTAAGATCTTGGCTGTCGAGAACCGCTCGATTCCGAATAGGGAGCAGAAGATAAGAGTCCAGACACTACTCGTGGATGTCAGGATCGTAACGCTCGCGACGCTTGTGTATTCGAGACAAGCTGATGCAAAGTAGTTCGCTGAGAACCACAGCATGCAGAACTCGAAGCTCAAAACGGCAGTCTCCTTGAATGTCAGCTTCTCTTCGGAGGCTGCGGTTTCGGTGCTTCCGTATCCTTGCGATATCAAGCGCTCGGTTGCCTGTTCGTCCTCGGATTGATAGAGTGACTTCGTATTTATTCTGCCATGCTTGTAATCAGACCATAATTGCGTCGCATCATGTCGCATTCCACTGATTCCATGCTTCCGTAGGTATTTGAAGAACTTGGGTATTAAGGAGATAGCGAATATCGAGGTGTTGAGGTAAACGATGAAGAAAGGCTTGTTGTAGGTTTGATCAGAGAACATGTACTAAAAACATATGTTAGCTTGAACATGAAGGCTACCGTTTTGATGCTCCTACACTGGCGATGAAATTGTATAATGTCCATAGGAACACGGTCAGCAATAACAGCGCAAAGCCAAGGGTTCTTCTCGCAACACCGCCCAAGCCCAGTTTCGCCCTCAACCCAGCTGGTGATCTTGATCTCGACTCTAGTAGCGGGCTCGAAGGTACTGCCACATCGTTCTCATCTTGTACATGCTGTCGCTCTCGCGAAAGCGATCCCTCATCTGATAAAGTCGACATAGCCGGTGCCATCTCTTATCTTCGATGCGAAAGCAGTTTCCCCGGATGCGCGCAACTGTGCGCGTCTCGGCACGAGTCGCGATAAGCGAAGATGTTGGTGATGTCAGCGCAAGCGACCACTGCGGCTTTGAGAGTATTTCGATGGTTGTGTTTGAAATGTGGGAGGGAGATAATATTAATATGGTCGCGGATGTCGGACGGTTATTGAATTCCAGGGTCTCGAGCACGCAATTAATCGAAGCGGGGATCTTGGTGACACTTTGGGGTAATCATTCGCAAGTTTAAGATAAGGGTTCTATTTTTGAGCCGGTATCGGGGGTGGTTTATTCCCACCAGTGAAACCCATTCTGATGTCACTTATACCAAATTCACGTAAACTTGCGAGACTCTCAAGTCAGATCTTTTTTTAATTTTATATAATAGTTTGGATAACGACATTAAGCTGATGCACGGAGATCTTGGTCTCTAATAGACTGTGTTTGACACGTTCAAATTATCGAACTGATAAACGCAAATAAGGTAGCATTGGTATACAAAACTGAGCAGCGATGAGTATGAATGCGAAAGGCTTGACGACCTACCCATTTCTTCAATAGACCAAAAGTACCAAGCTCTTTGCTAGTAACGGCTGTAAACGTTATGTAATGAATGCGGTGTATTCGTGAAGGAATATCTAGGGTAACTTGAATGCCAGCAAAAGTATTTGCAGCAGGTAGACATATTGACCAAGTTCGAAGACCAATGACTAGGAGCAGATTTGAAACAGATAATGCCGTGATCTCAAACTCAATGACTTGGTCGATCTTTAATCAAGTATCATCCCTACCCGAGGGTGTTGACAGGGCGGTGATATAGCAAACACCAATGATGATAACTTGGCCTAAACTGACGGATGTATATAATTTCTCCCTTCTTCATTTCGGAAGGACCAATCAAGCACCTTCCTTCTAGACTTCAGACTCGAAGTTTGCTATGCAACTGCATGTATCCGTCGTGCTTGCCCAAATACACCCAAGCTCCCGGTTGGTCTTCTCGGGACGCCCAGATCGATTCACTGGCCTCCTAGTCGTTTCCAACACTGTCAAGCTGCGCCGGCAATTTACTTTCGAAAGTATCCAATCAAAGTCCCATCTCCTGCTATATGACTGTAATTCGGTTTACTGCATCCCTTCTGCCTATTTCTTAGACTCATTCTTGAACTTTCTTGATTTGTGTTTAAACGGTCGCACGAGTTAAAAGAGCAGTCGCCGCCTGCTCCTAAAGCATCCATGTCCCGCAGGAAGTCAAAAAAGCGCAAGAGCACCAATACAATGGTAAAGAATAAAGGAGTCCCAACGCAGAAAGAAAGTTCACCGTCAACCCGAGACCGGCCTTATATCACACGCAGCGCATCTCATCGTCTCTCTCAATCGAAAAGAGACAAGCGAACCTCGACGCTCTGTGTGCCGAAAGGAGACGAGATCCTGAGCTTTCCAGTTAACGAAGATCGCATGAACAGAATATGTCCTCCGTGGCGCCAATTCGAACTTCTGGGCGGACGCAAAAGGATGGCCGACACCAATGGCATGGACTTCAGGAATGAGAGGGCTAAGGACGCTCTCCGAATAGTCTTGGAAATTGTCCATGGCAAAGAAGTGGTGGACTATGAAAATTCCAGCCCCCGCCTTCTATTCTACATACTCGAAGTTCATGCCTGGTTGGGACATCCGAAAGCCACTTACAGCAGTGGTATGGATCCAAAAATGGTCGGAACTCAAGGAGCACAATTCTCTCCTTTTTTTCACAAGGACGCCATCTCAGGGTGTATCTTTGACATGGCAAAAAAGGCTAAGTACTTGTATCGGGTGAAAGACTGGCTGCTTCTGGCTCTCGTCGCCGAAAAGCTAAGACTTCACGACGTTATGCAATTGGTCCTCGACAACTTATGCCTTTTCTGCAGAGCTGATAAGAGGGAGTTGCCCGAAGAGGCAAGGGATTGCATCAAGGATAAGGATTGGGCCAGGATACAGGACCTCAAACTTATTGGTAAGTGATATACTTACTTTTGTATCTTGAATGTTGAACTAATTGTGCAACAGACAAGAACTTGCTGAACAAGCGTGAGTTTTATGTCGACAAAATCTTCAAGGGGCTACGTCTTCTTTCCCACCAAGTCCTCTATTTTGATGGAGGCATTCTTCCCAACGAAAAGATCTTCAATACCTATCAAGACTATAAAGTTGCAGCATGTTCGTACTGTAGATCGCTTTCGTCTGACGAATTTCATCGGGAACTCATTTCAGCGCATCTATGGCCGCTGTGCGCTGAGACTTACAGAGAGCGCGTCATCGATCTACTTCACGTAATCAGGGATATGGAAGAAAGGACTCTTGTTGGAAGAAATTGCAACCAGTTAACCCATCTTTACGATCACCTACGGCGGATGTGTACCGAATCGGAGCGTTAGGGATATAAGAATTGGTCGGTGAACTCGGTGATGAATTGCCGTGGGCGAAATGGTAAGGCGGGGAGAAAAAGATCGGATTGACGAATAGCCATAAATTTGGAGTTGCTAGTTCGTAGTTTTTGCTAATTGATCGGTCATTAAGGCCAGCTTATGACGAGAACACCATGGCCTGAGGCTCCATGCCCTTGCCTTCAGCCAAAACTCCCGCCTTTCTCAAGATGGAAACCGTGTTCTGAACAACCTCAGCCCGAACACCCTCAGTCTTGGTAGGGAATCGGACAGTCTTGAGCCACTCTCGGGCATCAGGTTCTGTGTATCCAAGGCTGCTTGAGATGTACGCGACAGCTTCCTCCTGATTGTCATTGAAGTGCTTGATACCCTGATCCAGCTTTCCGAAAAGGTCCTTAACACGGGCATCCAGACCATTCTGGGTGAGCTTCGTAGAAGCAACGATCTTCCAGCTGCTCCAGGGAGTGTAGATCTCGCCAACGCGACGAATCTCACCAGAGTCGTAGAACTTCTTGGAGGTGAAATGCTCCCACATGAAGAAGTCGGCCTCGCCGCTGTTGACGGCATTTCGAAGATTCTCAAAGTTATTGAGAACAACTGTATCGGAGAAGGGCTTCTCTGCAGCGCCGGGGGTCAACCAGCCTTGCTGATCGGCTAGGACAAAGCCCATCACGTAACTTCCTGAGCCAATGCGTGAAACGCCGATTTTGCCGCCCTTGAGGGAGTCAACAGAGGTGATCTCAGGGCGCTTTGCACCAGTAGAGATAGCCCAGCCTTTATGTGTTAATGACTGTTTCATCGTCATGGCGAAGAAGACTTACAAAGAGGTGTCTCAACATATGTGCCAACAAGACGATATCCACCATCACCCTCAATACCCTCCTTGCCTAGACCCGCAATCCAACCCTCAGTCAGACCAACAGCTACATCGATCTCACCAGCTCGAATAGCAGTGACCATGTGGCCGGTGCCTGAAGGAAAGGGAATCAGCTCCGCATCGAGACCGAAGTGCTTCTGAGCAAAATAGAGGGGAGTTGAGAAGTGCTCTGGCACGTAGCCAATACGAAGAGGAGAAGACATGACTGAGATGTTTGATCTATGAGTTTGAAGAGCCTAGGTTGACCGTAATAGTCTATTGTACTTTGAGTGTCGTTGATTCTTAAAAGGGAGAGACCGGATCCGGAGAGACGGATGGTACGGATGCGGGGTTTGATATACGGCCCCGCTACGGCAGTTGACGGTCCTGCGAAATAGAGTTTCTATCCATCACGGCATCTACCATTATTTAAGCGGCATAATTCGTGACACCTCCCGACAAAACATCGATATCCATCTTAGATGTGACGTTTACAACTTCGTTGGGCCCCTGACTATTCTTGGTGCTTATGTGTAACAACTTGGTGCATAAGGAAGAGCATTAAAATCAATGCACAATACGGAGCCAATTCCGCCTCGGAAACAAATTGTGTAACAAGAAGAATCCGATACGATACGCGTACCAGCACGGTCCAGGCCTAAGCCACGCAACAAAAACAGCCCTACAGAGGCTCAGCGACCAAGAACAAGGGGTCGTCGGTGGCTTTCCAACCCCTGAAATCTCTGAAGCTGTCAGCCAAGAAGCTAAATCTGGGGATCGGATACTTGAAATAGCCTAGCTAGCCTAGTCAAATTTCAAGTTAGCTCAGCCTCCCTTGATTATTCTGACGTCTTCTCAAATTTCTTTCTTTTAAAACCAATTTCAGCCATCTTTGGCTTCTCCAGGCCGGATGGCATTGTTTTGAGTTGTTCCTTAATCTTTTCTATCAATATGGTACCTCAGTATCATCCCGTTTCTAGCGAAGATGTGGAGTTGGAGTCTCATCTGGATGTGCCTCTGCTTGATCTCGAACCGCTAGAAGATGATGCAGTAAGCGATAACGAAAGCCTTCATTCTCATTCAGAACCGATTCCAAGATATCGATTCTCGCGATGGGGCGTTCATTCACCGAAAAGAATTGTCATTTTGATTGCTGTCATCAAATTTGCTGTTGTTTTGAGCGGGATGTTGTTGCTTTTGCCGACTGCGCGTTTGATTGAGGATATGTTTTGCCATATACACTACCAGGATACATCTACGGACATCATCGATGAGATGAAATGCAAGGTTGATGAGGTTCAATCTCAGCTTGGATACTTGTATGGCTGGAACAGCCTCATCACCTCTATTGTTGGTGAGTAGTACCCCAGACGGATAACTTACCCAGTATTCAGTGTCTAATATTTCCCAGGTCTTGTCGTAGCCTTTCCTTATGGGATGATGTCCGACAAGATTGGCCGTAAACCCACTGTGATGTTGGCATGGTCTGGCATTGCCGTGTGCTTTCTTTTTGCTCCCTTCAGCATGAAGGCGTTTCAAGGCGAGCTTCGAGAAAAGCCCTATCTTTTGATCGTGGGAGGTTTCTTTCAGATATTCGGCGGTGGCATTCCGGTAATGTTTTCTACCCTCTATTCGATCGCAGCCGATGTCAGTTCGGAGGAAGACAAGTAAGTGGACAGAAGATCATTCTCTACGGGCATATACTAACATCACCCCCAGAGCCAAGCATTTCTTATGGCTTACGTTTGGTGCGACTTTGGGAGGTATTTCAGGGCCTATCATTGCAGGCATCCTAATGAACAAGTACGGACCTTGGGTTCCCGTCTACCTTGTCTTTGCCACTGTTCCTATCATCGTGGGCATCCTCTGCCTGCTTCCTGAATCCTTGACTATCAACCTCAAGCACCAGAAAGCTCAGGCGGGCAAAAGCGCTCCAACCACCTTCAAGGGGCATGTATCACATGCTATCAAAGATCTCAAGCATTCAGTTGGCATGCTCAAGGACCCAAGTGTTCTCATGATCATGGTGACATTCTTCGTGACGAATGCACGGTTTACGGCTTACACGACAACCCTGGGCCAATATATCAGCAAGCATTTCAAGTGGAAGATGGCTGAAGTGAGCTTGATTCTGTCTCCTTTGGGAATTCTAAATCTCATCATCCTCGCCGGCTTGCCCAAGGTATCGGAGATTCTGGTGTCCCCTCGATTTCGAATGTCAGCATTTGGCAAGGATTTGTTCTTGACGCGAATCTCGACCGGAATACTCGCCTTTGCAGCCTTTTGGCAAGGCATCAGTCATAATGCTGTCATGTTCCTTTTTGGTCTCTTCATTGGGACGTTTGGCGCGGCCGACAGTCCTCTGGCTCGCGCAACAGTTACACACTACGTGCAACCTGAGTATACTGCTCGACTATATGCCTTGATAGGTATGATTGAGGTGATAGGGTCGTTTATCGGAGGACCAGTCCTGGCTTGGTTCTTTGACCAGGGTCTGAAGCGAAAAGGAATCTGGATTGGATTGCCTTGGTTTTACGTCTCGTTCCTCTGTTCTCTGTCTTGGATTGCGCTCTTCTTCGTTAAGCCACCGACGAAGCGATCACGAGAAGATCCTACAGACAGCGATGGCTACGAAACAGATGATTATATGCCAGATGATCCATTGCGACTTCAGTAGTTGGAGTTTGGAGGAGCGACAAGCAACAATCTCAACATTGACTGGATATGCCAAATTTAAGAAACATATTCATCTACTATCTACACTGAAAGATACCCAAATAGAATACTTTTTTATTACTACTATACAATACTTCGTATCGCTGGAGTTTGTAAGGAACAATACTCTTCCGACATAGGTACCTAGGAATAATTGCGATACGCTTATCAGTTACCTTCCGAATAAGGCCATGCCAAGGGACTTTTGTAAGTCGACCAGCAAATGATAAAAGTCGCCGAACTCGCAAAGGAAATCGTCCCAACAAGGATTTTGATCCGTCTCCTCATTTTGACGGACTCTATTCGTCCGAGATGCTCATTATTTTGCGGCGTGCTGACCGATGCTGCCAAAATCAACTCTCGAATGCGGCACGACCTTTTCACTATAGGAACGTTAACATGGCCAAACTATTAACTGCATCAACGTCGTTCTAGATTATCTGTAGTGGTTGCAGAGTAACCACAATCGCGTACGGCTTGTAGGATCTGTGCAATTGGAGCTGATGCATGCATGAGCAGGGTACTACCACGCTATTGGGTCCACGGGTATAAGGTCTCAGGGACGTCAACTCCATCTATATTCTCCTTGGCTCGCAACATTCTGCATCCCAAGAGGCCAAGAAACACTCAAGCTTGGCCTTTTTCTTGGGCTGCAGGCTTTTGGTGATAGTCTTAGCCGTTATGGACGGCTACAACTCTACGGCCTGTGGCGATAGCCTCTTTGGGCCCAGCGTTTGGACCGAGGGTTGTCGCGGTGGATTTGATTTCACCTGTGAGCACACCAGGGAACTTGACGTGAGCAATTGACTAACTGTGTCTCAGTATCTTTTCAAGAGAGTATCCTCAGCATCGTTCCATCTGCTATTTTTCTTGCAATTGCCGGCCCACGAGCCTTCTACCTCTTTAGAAGTCCAGACAAGACCAAGCGTCACGCGACATATACACCAAAGCTGGTAAGAACACTCTTGGTTGTCTTCCTTAACATTTTGGCTAAATTAAACTACTCAGATCACTTCCGCCATATATTCTGTCTTGCAGGTAGTTTTAATAGCTTTAGTTCCATCCGCCAAGAAGCTCAATACTCGCTTCTCACTAGCTGCGGCCATTCTCAATCTCTTAGCAGCTTTCGCCATTCTTTTGTTGGCTCACGTCGAGCACGTCAAATCTGTTCGACCGTCATTCATTCTCACTGCGTATTTATTTGTCTCGCTTCTATTCGACGCCGCTCGACTTCGTACAGAATGGCTCATGTCACTGAACATTGCGTATGCTGCAACTCTTTCAACCTCGACAATTTTCAAGTTGACCTTGCTTGTACTAGAAACGATTGAGAAACGCAAGATATTGATATCAAGCGAAAAGCCAATTTCAAAAGAAAGCACAAGCGGCCCCTTCAGCCGCGGGTTCTTTGTCTGGTTGAACTCACTCCTCATCTCAGGCTGGGCTACTGTTCTGACTAACAATGACCTGCCTACCATCTACGAGAAGCTATCCTCAGAGAAGCTCGCAGTTCGTTTCGGAAAATCATGGAAGAAAGGTAGGATACCATAGTGAGATGAAGTCAACACCTCTAATTCGAGACTACAGCCACCTCGAAGAGCAAGAAACCTTCTCTATTTCTGGCAACCGTGACTGTCTTGAGATGGGAACTTCTTGGTATAATACCACCTCGTATTGGTATGATCGCTTTGAGTATCTCTCAACCCTTTCTTGTCAGCAACGCGTTACGATTCCTCACGATGCCCGAGTCTGACTCGACAATGAACTTGGGTTATGGCTTGATTGGTGCATTCGCATTCGTTTTTATCGGTTCTGCGGTATGATCGCCCCAAGCGATGTAAGTTCACCATGCTGACATTATATAGCTGCTCACAGCGTGGTACGAGCATCTGACATTCAGAGCTGGCGCCATGGTTCGTGGTGGTCTCATGACCATGATTTACAGTAAGATGATGAAACTTCCTACCGACGACCTCGGCGAGTCTTCAGCTGTCACACTCATGGGAAATGATGTGGAAACCCTGATCGAGAAACTTCACATGCTCTTGGTTGAATCCTGGGCGAACACTCTCACAGTTGGCATTGCTATGTACCTGCTGGCAGCACAGCTTGGTGCTGTTTGTGTTGCTCCTATCGTCACAGCAATCAGTGAGTAACTCTGTCTTCTGGTCCAATCAATTCTAACCGTGTAGTCTGCCTCCTGCTTACGGGTTCCATTGGCAAGATGATGGTCGCTCGCCAGATAAAATATCAGAAGGCCACTCAGGACCGCATTAATCTTACTTCTGAGGTTCTCGGCTCAATGAAACCAGTCAAGATGCTTGGACTATCGGAAAGATTTAGCAGCCTCATTTCTCAGAAACGGGATGAAGAGATCAAATCCGGTAAACATTACCGCCTGATCAATGTTTATCTGAACTGTATCAGTAAGTAGTTCTGGTCTGGCAGATATTCTCTTTGCTCACTCTTTTAGCCAACTGCAATGTGGGAATGACTGAAGCAATCACTTTTGGCGCGTATGCCCTTGCGGCAAAGTTCGGAAACGGTGAACCATTCTCTGCAGCCCAAGCTATCACGGCATTGTCTATCTTGGGTGTCATGATGGACCCTCTATCGCATCTTCTCGGAAGTATCCCAGGATCTTTCTCAGTCTTTGGATGCTTCAGAAGAATGGAAGATTTTCTCAATTTGGAAGAGCGAATTGACCGCCGCCAAGTTAATGGCCGCGTCAAAAACACTTCCAGATCATCTTCGGAGAGCTCGCAACCCGTCCAGGAAACCATCGAGGCGACTCCATTGAAAGATATCCCAGTTGGAGCCGATGGAAGTCGAATCGTGATCGAGGATGGCAACTTTCTCTGGGGCGAGAAAGCTGTTCTTCAAGACATCAACACAACTTTCCCGAGTCACAAGAATGGATCGCTTACCATGCTTGTTGGTCCGGTTGGTTCCGGTAAATCGAGTCTGCTGAAGGCTATTCTGGGCGAAACAACGTCTTCTATGGGTAATGTGTCTCTGGACGCATCGGAAGTCGCATTTTGTGACCAGACTCCCTGGGTTATGAATGCGACAATCCGTGCCAATATCATCGCAGAGTCCAAGGGATACGACAGCGCCTGGTTCGAGACAGTCATCAATGCCTGCGACCTGACCATCGACTTGGGACGGCTTCCTGAAAGAGACCTTACCCAGGTTGGCGAGCAAGGAGTCAAGTTGAGCGGTGGACAGAAGCAACGAATTGCTATAGCTCGTGCCCTATACTCCAGGAAGCCTGTGGCCATCTTTGATGATGTGTTTAGTGGACTCGACAAGGTGACTGAGCAGATCATCTTTACTCGCGTCTTTGGAAAGGATGGTGTTCTTCGAAAGAATGGCACTACTGTTATTTTGGCTACACATGCAGGTACGTTATTACTAATGAATCATGCTTCAGTGGTTTGACGTCCTTTTAGTGAACAGGCTCCCAGAGTCTGACTTTGTTGTCGTCCTTGAAAAGGGCGGGAGACTTGTTGAGCAAGGAACTTACCATGAACTGCGATCCGGAAATGGATATATCCACGATCTTGACATTTCGAGCCACGACGATCACGATGACCAACCTTCTGCCGAGACCAAACCTGTAGAGGAGAGTGACAAGACCGACAACAAGGACGCGGTTGAAGATGAACCGACTGAAGTGCCGAGTGATCGAAGCGTGTTTATGTACTACTTCAAGGCTAATGGGATACATAACATGCTCGCCCAGATACTCCTTATCGCCAGTGCAGGGGTTATTACGTCCTTTCGATGTAAGTTCTCTATTGAATAAAATCTACACACTGCTAACCTGTATCAGATGTTTGGGTCACTTGGTGGGGTGATGGAAAAGGTCGTGATAGCAGAGATATTGGCTACTGGCTCAGCATATATACCGTCCTGTCTGCCTTCGAGGGCATTCTTATTACGCTTGCCATTGCGTGAGTGAAACCGACTGTAAAAGTGCGACCTTTACTGACAAGAACCCAGGATGTTCCTTTTGGTTTGCGGACCCGTTAGTGGAAAATTGCTTCATTCACGACTCCTAAACGCTGCTATGGGCGCTCCCCTATCCTTCCTTCACAACAGTGCGGCGGGATCTCTGATCAATAGATTCAGTCAGGATTTGCGCCATGTTGACATTATTCTCCCTATGGCCTTTTCCATCTTCCTCTTTGGTGAGATATATCTATGCATTATGGTTGATGCAAGCTAATATCCATTACAGAGGTTGCTGCATGCTTTGGTGCTGCTGGTCTTGCTATGGCAGCTGTCAGCTGGTTTGCCATCTCAATTCCATTCGTGATCGTTGTGCTTGCCCTCATCCAGCGTTTCTATGTCCGAACATCCAAACAACTCCGTCTTCTGGAGTAAGATAAGCGTGATCTTGAATGGTTCAATATTGTTACTAACACATTGTTTAGAATCGAACACAAGGCGCCGCTGTTCTCACATTTCCTCGAGACCATCGACGGACTGGCCACAATTCGAGCCTTTGGTTGGATTCAGCCGTATACTGACAAGGCGCTGAGTCGAATTGATGATGCCCAGAAGCCAGCTTATCTTCTCAACTGTATTCAGCGATGGCTGACTCTGGTTCTGGATATGGTGGTAGCATTCTTGACGATCATTCTCGTGGTTTTTGCTGTAACCCTCCGCGAAAAGATTGATCCTTCACTTCTGGGTATCGCGCTTGTCAACATGATGAGACTTGGTACCAACATGAAGGGTATTATTCTCAACTGGTCGATCCTCGAGACATCACTGGGCGCTATTGCGCGCATTCGCATGTTCTGTTCTTCTGCACCAGATGAACAAAAGACAAACGAAGACAATGAACCAGGGGAATTGTGGCCGAGACAAGGCAGTCTTGAAGTCAAGAATCTGGATGTTCAGTATGAGTAAGTGGGATCTACACCAACAAAGGCTTTGTCCAATGTGTTGACTCTATAGGCAAACTACTGAACCTGTGCTACGCGGGCTTTCGTTTAGCATCAAACCCGGACAAAAGCTTGGTCTTTGTGGTCGAAGTGGAAGTGGAAAGAGTTCTTTCGTCCAAGCCCTTCTCCGCATGGCAGAGATCGTCAATGGCCAGATCACTCTTGATGGACAAGATATTTCGACGGTACCTAGATATTTGATCCGCCAGCGTTTAAGCTGCTTGACGCAGGATCCATTTGTCTTTGGCGATACCATCCGTGCCAATCTTGACCCATGCAATACGGCGTCAGATGATGAGGTCAGAAGCGCCCTCGAGCGAGTTGGTATCTGGTCTGTCATCGAAGCCAAGATCGACGACAATAAGGATCCTCTTGATGAGAAGATGGACGAGAACTTTTTGTCTCACGGTCAGCGCCAGCTTTTCTGTCTTGCAAGAGCGTTATTGAAGAGAAGTTCACTGCTCATTCTTGATGAGCCGACAAGCAGGTAAGCCATTTCATCAACCTTGAACTTTTCTTGTTTCTGACACCGTTTGTAGCGTCGATACACAGACAGATGCAAGGATGCAAGAGGTCATCCGTACCGAGTTCTCGGACTGTACGATTATCATGATCGCTCATCGCATTGATACACTGCTCGACTTTGACAAAGTTGCCGTGTTGGACAAGGGTTCTTTGGTTGAGTTTGGAGCCCCTCAGGAGTTGTTGAAAGACGAGGCTGGTGCATTTGCCAGATTATACCGGGCGAATAAGGGGAGGAAGACTGAGGAGCAGTGAGTGTGTGACGCGTTTGGGGGCGGATTGTTTTCCACTGTAGCACTCCAGTCCTAATTCAGAGCCTGCTGCTGTGATCAATAATGTTTCGCGCCGGTGATTCTACTGGTTGAAGACAAACGATATAACTGAATCTCTGTCACGGACATGCACCAGGCGAATCACGGCCTCTAGTGAAGAGAAAAGAAGAGCAGTATAAGTTCACTCCCTCCCACCCATTCTGCCCTTCACTCGTTTACCGCACCATCAACTCAATCTCTCAGCTACAATCACTAGGTCGACTAAAAATGTGCCAAGGGGTCATCTTTTGGGCACGGTGTCCTGTCTGCCGCATCCGACACGAAGTATCGCGAGCATATCGCCCCATGTGCGAAGAAGCTGAGAACACAGACCTGTGTACTTATGGCGCTTGTTTTTTAGGCGTCGACTGGGTATTCCGACAAATCAGTCCAACTGGATGGGGTTGGGATCGATATTGCAGAGAGTGTAGGCCTCCTCGATGTAGACGTACTTTACGCCTGAATAGGAGGCTCGACAGGACTGGAAGAGGGGTGAGGGTTCATGGAGTTATCTATGCGCCACCTGGGTTGAGTAGACAGAGTAACGAGGATTTGGAGATTAGGCTGGAAGAGCAGTGAGACACTATCAGATCGATAGGGTAGAATGGCTTGTTCCAGACAGGGTTCAACAGGGGCTAGTTTGGATAGTGGCAACTGGGCATCATCTCCAAAATATGATATGTCTGTTGCAAAGTTCAATTCACAAATTAGATTATGGTATTGTTCTAGACTTACGCGGCGTCATCACGTTATGTTCTGGTGTTATTTGTTCTTTTTCGATATTGTGTAGTCAAAAGAACACGTATCGATTTATCTGTATTCTTTTCGTGATAGATCATACAGAGCGTCTCATATTCCTGTTCCTATGCTATTACTGTTCTTTGTCTGTACAATCGGTTGTGAGTCACGGACGCCTCGTAACATATACGAACAAAGGATCTATTCGCATTATGAGACGAAAATGTTGGGTTGGCTTTAGAACGTTCACTGTCTTGAACTATTGAATATGGAGCTGCTCCCTCTCCGGTGAGTGACTGTTGCTACTGCTATATATTCATCCTCAAAGCCATTACTCTTCCAATCCTTTCCACAATATTACAAACCTCAATCCAGGAGGAACAAAAGAAACGACCCAAGACTTTTACCAATTCTTTCATCAACTCTATCATCAATCAACAATCATGTGCGAAATCAAGATCTGGTGTCGCAAGTGCATCGTCTGCCAACGCGTCCATGAGATCGAATACTGCAAACATCAGGATGGCTGTGGATCATGCGATGTAATTCGCACTACTCTGCCTGACCAGTCTCTCCAAGGTGCAAACGAGAACTACCGTTGTCGAGGCTGTCGATCCAGACATGCTTATGAGAGTCATCAACTCAACAACCAAATCATGGAGGCTCGCGAGGACAACAAGTATGGGTATTCCAGGTAAGAAAGTTTCCTAATAGAAAACCAAGGTAGGAAAGTAGATCATGTGATGACATTGCCTTTTGGTGTATCATCACGGACATGGTATCACTCCAATACAGTATCACAAATTGCCTTTGAACACTACTAATTCCACCATCGTGCAGTGACTCAGAATAAGTCTAGAGGTTTCCAGTGACTTACAGGCCAAATTACACCCTGATTCACTGTCCCTAAGTGCAAACTGATTCATAATGGCCGCGCGTCAAGGCCGTTTGTTCTCTGAATGACCTTCCCATCTCGTCTCTTTTCCAATCTTATAAATACCTCTTTATCCCCTATTCCCCTTTCCTCTCTCATAGATAACTCATATCCTCAATATTGCTTTTTCTATAGATATTATCAGCGTGTCTATCCCTTGCGAGATCTCTCCTTCGGATCTTTCAACCTACCTACCTATACACCAACATGTGCCAAACGCTCGTCTTCTACCGAACCTGCGCGCATTGCGATGGTCAATTTCGCCTCTAGGAGACGGCGAAGTTGCTTCCAGATTGCGACGACTGCGGCACCCTTGGGCGAGGTGCTTGCAACGACGGCGTTACTCTGGCGCTAGAGCCTCATGCCGATGACCCTTTTCGCACGTTTGTCTGCGATGACTGCGGATTTTATAGACGGCGTCACCAAGCAATGCTCTGGTTCTCACGCATCAGGCTGTGGCCTTAGATGACGAGTTGCTGCGGAGCGGGCACCTCTGGAGTTTGCATGGTTGACTTCAAATCAATTCGTGTGGAAGACTCTCGACCAAGCAGATATTTTCATATGCGAACATCTCAACACTCGAGGGAGTAACAAGATAAGGGCTGTGCCCGAGAGCATCTCAAAGCTTATTCTCCCATCAACTACCGACTAATTGGATGCTTGTAATAATCTTGCACCTACATAAGGTAAGACAAGGCAGCTTATAAGATTTTCATATGCTGGTAGCTGACCGTCTACTCCATTCAGGGGTTCTTCGCCTTCATTGAAAAGACACACAGATCACAAGAAATTGATTTGATCAAGAACATATATCTTATGATGGAATAATCCAGCTGTTGCATCAGGATCGAAGTTTTTATTGTCACTTGAGAGATTGGTTGGGGGCTGTCAACTCAACTGGCAGGACTGGTCATGGATAGAGGTAGTACGAAATAGAACACTACCATAGAAACAGAGCCCCTTTTTATCGAGTTTTCTAATGTATTGATTTTGTTAGAATGAACCACGATTAATAGTTCTTGAGCCTATATTCATTCTACTTAGTATATATCTCCTTACACGAAACGAGCCATATACGATATCGTCGCACAATGTGACCCATATATGTCGGTGTCAATGGAGTTCTATTCTTTGAAACTATCATAAGTCTTTCTAACTATTGTCACTTCCGTGATCCAATAAGTAAACAATGGCCTTAGTTAGCAGTGAGACGATTCATCCTTGCACCCTTTTTCAGTTGGTTTCGAGTTACACAACCAGTCAACCTCGTCGTCGTTTCCTGTCAGTTGCCCGACTTTTTGGGAAGCTATTGAATCCAGACCAAAAGCTATCGTGTGACTCTTTTTTAGCGACTTGTTGGCGTTATTTCATGTCCGTGATCTCCCTGGCTCGTTGCATATCATCATTTTCTTCCACACGAGACTGATCAGCTCAAGGAGCTTAAGGGCACTGGAGCGAAAATCAAAACCAGAACAGCGATTCAAGAATATCATTAAGTTCTTTGCGTATAGTAATGATATATATAGTCCTCAAATAACTAACTAATGTTAGCAGTGTTTGGGGTGACTACTTACAACATCAAGCTCCTAAGCCATTATGCATACCTACCATGGCATATCTTTGGATCCTTTTCTTGGAACACTGCAAATTCTCTGAACGAGAAACACTTTATGGCTCGGCTTCAAGAGAATGTGGGATTCTTCTTCCAATAGCGTCGTGAAGCCTCTACGCCAGTGAAAGTGACCTTAATAACAGCCGAGATAGCGCGAGGCTATGCGGAGAGTCTTGCATTCCTTATCATTCCGTAGAATGTGGTTATAGTATTGATATAAAATATCTTGCTGGTGAGCTGTTCACTGAAGGATCACCTGTCTTTGATGAGTTGGCGGAGGTTGCGAGACCATTGGGGCCAACTTTGTTTACAACATCTCGTTCGGGCGTAATATACTAGGGCGTGTAGTAGAGTTAAAGATTATGTTGATAGCGAGGTGAAGTCCGCCTGTTTACAATCCGCCCTTGAAGTATTGCATGAACCGTATTCCTCTCTAGGCAGCATGCACATGTCTCGTCCGGCAAGACGTCACGCCAAAGAAAGCTCAAAAACAGCTTGCAGTAATTCATAATTTCTATGTTATTTCCAACAATTATATGACGGCAATGCTATCCAAAACACGGATCAACGCCTTGAATGATTGATATACAGCTGGCAATCTGCCAATCATGAAGCAACTCCCTAGCAGCAATGTTTACCCCTTTCGATAACGTATTTTTCCTTCTCTTACTCCTCATGACTACCCCACATTATCGTAACATGTAAGAGAGATCCGGCAGATCTCGAAGAATATTTGCGACGATCTCGTCGTCTTTAAAGGACTCAGCGGCTGGTTCTGGTCGCGGAGGGACAGGTAGTGATACCGGCCGGGGCTTTTTAGGAGAAGCCATGTCTTTGAATGTGTCAAGTGGCGTAGGAGCTTGTAGCTGTTGGCTTGCAAACATCCCATCTTCCTTTGGCCTAACTGGCTTGTTGGAATCATCGAGCAAACCTAAACCCCATGAGTCCCATGTACTGACCTTGTTTGCTTGCTCGATTGGTGATTTGGCCTTGTTTGATATCAGGTTTGCGGATGCAAGACTTGCCAAGGGCGGCCGAGGTGTTCCCAAATCAATTGTTGTGGATCTTGAATGATTGGGGATCAAGCTCTTCACAGGGGAAGCAGTCAAATCGACAGTAGTCGATCGAGAGTGGCTCGAAGCTATGCCTTGCAGCGCTGAAATGTTCCAGGGGTCCGTGGGCGATTGAGCGTGGTTAGGCGCAGAGCTTTGAGGAGGTAAAGGCAGAGTATCCGTAGACGGTCGGCCGTTAGTCACTATTTCAGATTGCGGTGCACTCTGGACTATGTCATCCAACGGACTTTGAGCTGTAATTGAGGGCTGACTGGTATGGTCTTTGATGTCATTCGAACTATCATCCACAATCGCATCCATGGAAGTAAACCCGCCGGTTGTTTCAGCTGTGGGTGATGAAACCATGTCGCCCCAATCATCATCGTCATCATCTTCGCCCCAGCCTGCGTTTGTTGGAGGTTGTGCTAGAGGGGATGTCGGTGCTTGCGATACCGATACCGGTCGGTTTGTTGATAGAAACGAAGGAGGATTGAGTGGAGACTGTGGTTCCGAGATCGTAGGTGACGCTGGGAAATGTAAAGGTTGCGTTATAGAGATAGGTCGGTTTGTAGGTTTTAATGGTGTAGGCTTGATAGGAGAAGGAGGCTCCTCGGTGATACGTGGTCTTGGAGGAGATGCCAAAGGAGGTGCCTTTGTCTTTGACACAGGGGATGTTTTCGTGGCCTCAACGGGCGACGTTTCAACTGGTAACCTCGGCTCACTTGTGGTCGAAGTGCGAGGCGCAGAAGAGGGTGCAGCAACAGTTGGCGAAGGAATGAGGTTGCTACCCCATCCAAACGCTGCAGCTGTAGGCGACGCGACGGTTCCTTTGGAAGCTGCTGAAGCCTGTCTCGAATGATTCTTCCTCGCCAAAAGTTCGGAGATTGAGATCTCGGTGGATGGCGCCGATGAATCCCAGTTGAAGATCTTTGCACCAGCTGCACCACCTCTTCGGCCGAGAACAACACGGCCCGTGATCGAGTCTTCCTCCATCCATCGCCTGACAATTCTGATTGCCTGTTCACGAACCTGGGAGTTTCCCCAACCAACGCGAACATAGTTTTCGTCGTCTCCCAAGTTGTGCTTCCGCATCGAACCAGGTCTCGACATAAGATACCATGCTTTGCGCTCCGAGATGGAAGTGAAGCTGTCGTCGATAATGACATCAGGAATCGGCTCCGGGGATGGGAAGCTCGTTTCGATTGATGGGAAGATATCATCCAGCTTTGTCATGTCAATTGCGAATGGTTCCGAGGGTGGTTTCGGCGGAGCTGGTGCTGGTTCTTTGGATGTCTCTTCATGGCTCGCCGTGTCAGTTGTTGTTACTGTTGGCTGTTCTTTGGAAACTTCAACTTCAGGTTGTTTAGCCTCGTCTTGCTGTGCCTCCTTCATGGGTGATTCGAAATCCG